AATGTTCTTCAGTACTTTTCTCTGAAGTTTATTGTTTTCCAGATATAAACGTCTTGGTATCTGAGAAAGTGCGAGATATACCGTTTTCGATTCCGGAAAACTATGAAAAAACGATGTTGCCAAGGATCACAAATGTTCTTCAAACACCCATCAACAAAATCTTGAAGCATTCTAAGGGATAGTGTTACTTTAAACCGTCGTCACAACAAACGAAGATTTAATCCAGAATTCGTTTTTCAAATAAAAAACCTACTTGTGCCTGAAAAAAATGTGAGAACCCTATATATGAGTCAACCCTCGTTTATCGAAGTTGCAAAGGTTTTCATTATCATGGTAGGACTTGGCTTTTTTGGCTCTAAACAACGTGCAATCCGAAATCCGTCGTCGAACAAACCGTTAAATTTCTTTAGCAGGCTGTGACTTTGACTGGACAACATTTGTAATCATCGCAACCTTTTTCTAGTAGGCCTTGACTTTGACCTCGACACCACGGCTTTTCGATCAACATTGCATTGTCGATATTACGAGAAGTAGACTTTGACTCAAGTGGAATGCTAATTTTTTGTGCCATAATTCCAATGACGTTGTAAAAATATACAATAAAATATAAGGCTCTCGTTTTTTCCAGGGTGTCCGCAAAGTTGGGGTTTTCCTTTTCAGAAACAACTACCCTTGAAATAACAAAGGTAATGTGTAGTGAAACGAGGGCGACCAAGTAAAAAAAAATAAAGGAAAAAGTACTCACTCTCCGGTTGACGAGAAGGGCTAAGTACGTCTCTGCCCGAAATCATACAGCTCCAACAGAAAATGAAATCAGCTGAGGCGCTACCGAGCAGACGCAGGCAAACAAGGAAGGCAAAATGTTGCGTAAAAAGTCTAGGTAGGTATTGCATCCCGTCCAATCGATTTGGGAGAATAAATGGTCCAATGAGCATACCGTTCACCATGCCAGCCCAAACATTCACCGAAAATGTTTGTTGAAAATGTGCCCGACGGACGGCGTGCGGATTTTCTACTGACCAAACATGAGTGTTGCGAAAGTTATTCACCCCATTTCGCGTGAACGTAGATTCGTCTGTCACCAATATGCAAAAAGTCTGGATTATTGTCATGTTGATGCAACAACACAAAATCGTCAGGTTGAAGGGCTTGTACACGTTGGACGTGAAACGGATACAGCCCCTCTTCACGCAGCGTTTGCCACACTTTAGTTTTTGATACTTGCACTTCTCTAGCCACGTCTCTAGTGCTTGTTGAGGGATTCTCGCCTACGCGATTACCTCTACACGCGTGACCGTAACCGTCGGTTGAAGGTTGCATACTGACCTGACACACTGACCCCGACCCAGTTCTGTCGTCGGGTTGAGCTAGTGTCCTAGTCCCTGTCGGGGATGTCGCGGCTACAGGACGGTATTCAGATATTTTTGATGTTGCAGAGCCCTTTATCTCGGTTCCCTTAAGACATTGGTGTATATGGTACTAAGAAAAATTGCTTATGTTTTCAAGATCTACACGTCGTGTAAAGGAAAACCCCAACTTTGCGGACACCCTGTATACCGAAGAATTTCCGAAACAATGTAGTGGCATTTTATGACGGTACAAAGATCCATCAGTCGCGTGTCAGGTTATTCACCCCACGACTACGCTTCTTTCTATCATTGCTGCTTGTGTATGTTCGATAGCGAAGCCAGTTAAGCGTTCAATCATTTTTATCACAAAAAGAGAAGTACCGTTCTATCGAGAGATATCGCAGCAACATAAAATAAGAGCATTGTTATTGTTGCCTGAATCAATAAAGTTTGACCGAGAACAGAAATTTACTCAGAAATCCATTTGTTTGGGAATTGAATAGTACATATATGAATATTGTAAATAGGTCTTGTGATTGAGAAAATTTTCAAACGTGAGAATGTTAAACTTTAAAATGCAAAAAGTGTTTGGGTTTTTCAGCTTGAGGATGTTCCTCATTTTAGTTTGAAACAGCTGATTTTCTTAGTTGACACTGTAAATCCAAATACCCTATTTTTATTTTTAATTTCGTCAAAAAGTTGGGCCAAACCCAATGAACGAAACACAACAGCTGTGTCACGTTCAAATCATTATCTTCCACCTGTCTGACACAGGTAGAAAAGTAGTTCCCAGGTAATTTTCGAATTTAATCTGTCTATTGTTGTATACGGCTTCACATATTTATGTCGAGGCTGAAAATCAAGGCAACTGAAACGGTACTACCTGTATGTGACCTTGAGGATCTATAAAATGATTGTGTACTTACGGGAGCGATATTTACAAATCACGAGTTTTTTTATAATCGATAGTTAAAAGATAAGCGTGGTTACAAAGTTCTAGTTGTTTTAAACGTTGTATACATATAAAATGTAACAGCCACGTGTTACTTTAGAGTTTCTACAAGCGTAGAGGAGCTTCAAAACATTATTAACAGTAAGGTGGGATATCTCGGATATTTTGAGAAATTTCGAGTTAAAATTTTCTATTTATCAGTAGGTGGACCTAATACTTGTAAAAGTATGCTCAAAATTACAGCACTCCTAGTCTTTAGCGCATATCGCAAATATTTCATTTAGTATTTTAAAATAAAAGATTAGGATGTAACTTGCACGAAAATATCATTTTTTTCTTTAAGGAACCCTCTGCTTGCTATTTTATAGAACTTCAAAGTTGCATTTTGGGTGCCTAATACTGTGGTATAGAATACCGCTTTATAAGCTGATTTCTTCTTGTTTATACAAAAGATTGTTCAAAATTATATGAATATAACATAGACTGTAAGTTTCTGTGACACTGTTCATCGCAATAATGCAATTTTGCATCATTTCAATGATGAAAATAGTTCATTGTTAAGTAGTCATTTCGGATAATTATTCCCAACACTACACCAACGTCACTGTCATATTCTCTCCATCTAGTTGCGACGTTGCCAAATCATGGATAGTAATATACCTTAATTGATTTTGTCAAATTCTTACTTATACAGGGTGACTTCGAAGTTGAGTCATTTATTTTAACAGTGAGTAGATCTGATCAAAAGGAATGTTTTTTTCCTTTACCATTTTTCTGGTAAAATTAAAGTAACAAAGTTATAGCCCTTTGGAAGTTTGAGTACCACCCTGTCTCAATAATAATATTATGTGCTCGTGTTTGTCAACAACGGATATAATCCGCCTTATCGGTTCATCGCATCGGAAACAAAAAAGCGAAAGGATTTGGAACGATGTTTTTACAATTATTTTATTCAGTTGTATACAGTCAGTGTCAGTCGGTAACGCGTGAGTGAATAGTGGTGTCTGTTGCGTGGCTCAAACGAAATCAAAAATGGCACATGTTTACGAAAATGCTGAACTTGTGGACATGATTCTTATTTACGCGGTATCATGGATTTATGCGGATCGGTTTCCCAATCGAGTGCAACCAACCCCTCGTGCCTTTGTTAATGTAGTACAACGGGCTCGTGAATCAGGTGACTTAAGACCTCACATATGGACGGCATGCCGGTGCTCCAAGACCTCACGATCAAATACAGGTCCGTACTGAAATACTTGTCGGGAGGATACTTTATACAACAAGGTAACATTTTTTTTAATTTTTTTTTTATTTTTACACACATATTTTGGTTTATCTTCCTTCTACAATCCTTATCTGAAAATTAATGACTCAACTTATATATGAGAAATAACTGAAAAAGTTGCTTTTGAAAATCACTAAATAATGAAAACATAGCAAAGAACATTGCAACTTTTTGATGATTTGATCATTATTTAACTATTATGTTGGACAATGACATATTGGGTGGACCTAGCGAGGTGGTCCAAATCGACGTTGGGTATTTTAATATGCAATGACCGCTGGTGCCTTTTGTATTTTTTGTCACGCGAGCCGCTGGTGCATTTTCCACTGTTACGACACATACTGTTCAAAATTTCATCTAGTTTTCGGTAAATATTGGGACAACTATTTACAATAAATTAAGACCTTTATTTTGCAAATAACCTCATTTTTTATTACGTATTTCTCCAAAAAAGGGACAACTTGGCAACAACGGACATCATTTATTTTATCTGTCAAGAAATGAACGTTATAAAATGGCCATTGAGAATCGTTTGTACTTTCAAATATTTCTCATAAACGCAAAATCTTTGATCTCATCGCAAATACGCGAAATAACTGGTTCAGGAATTTCAAGAAGACTTGAAAAATCACAAAACAACACCTCTACACAGTTTACCAAGTAAATACCATCATTTACGTATGTACTTTGATCTGTTATTTGAGCTAATAAGCTAATGTGTAATAGCACCACTGGTTTTGAACCTTTTTTTGCAAAAAACAACGATTTTTTACAGTCTCACATCTATTTTCCTTAGTACTATACAGTGTATAGCATAAAAGCAGTATTCTATTCTAGAGTATTACCACCAAAAATGCAACTTCGAAGTTCTATAAAATAGCAAACAATATTTTCGTAAAAGTTACATCATAATCCTTCATTTTAAAGTAGAAATAAAGTATTTGAGATATGCGCTGAAGTAAGGTTTTACCGAAAAAGAGCAATCACCTGCAGAAAAAAAACAACGGGCAGGTGTGAAAAGAAATCACAATTTTTCAGATCCATTAACTATCGAGTAAGGCCGGACTTACATGCACGACAAGGATTCATAAACTGTGCAACTGCATTGCATAAATCTGTCGCAAATGGTCAAAAGGGCATGCCAATTTTTTCAAGTTATATAAACTCAACTTGAGGCTTTTTACTAAACGAATCCTAGCCTCACTTTTGATTGTTATTTTAACGGCATTTCTTATATCTGGTTATACTATTTACTGAATAAGACCGACGTATGCCCTTTTATCTATTTACCACAGAATTAGCATTATATTATATGAGAACGATCTACAGACCAAAGCCGTTTTATTTCTCGAAATGAAGTCGACGTGCCTTACTTATTGCAAGATGAGAAAGATCTTCGGAAGATGGTACCTACTTGGACAAAACATGACGCATATCAGAGACCTCTGACACGCTTTATCCTGCCCAGGTTGTGACACTTTGGCGGTGACCCCGTTCAAAACGTCGTCCACCACCTCGTTCGCGGCCCTTTTCAACTCGTCAGCCATCACTGTCGGACACCACAATCACAAAACCACAACGAACGGTCGCTCTATGGATGCAAAGTCGCGGATGTCACACGGTCTCGCGTTCGTGGGGACACAATAACGCACTGTTTCGTTTAGATAGCAGGTGGACAAACGTATCTACATGTAGCTAGTTCTCTCAGCTCGGTGGTTGTGCGATACCGAATCGAGATGGGCGCATCGAAAAAAGATCGATACTCGACGTCGACGTTGATTGCGTAACCAGAAGGGTGACTGTCGTTTTTTTACATTATGCAGGATTTTTTATGACACGTAGGTTTTCCTTTACTTTTAACAAGCGCGATTGAATCATTTGCATACCACCAGCTATCTAGTCAAGCAGTTGACGTTTTATAGATTTTTTGACATTGTACAGGGTGTTTCAAGTTAGACCCTCACCACTGGGATCTCGAAAACTGTAAGAGATGCGAAGTGACATAGAAGAGGTAAAGTTGCGTATTTAGGTTGTTAACAAAATGTCTCTTCGAAATTCAAAGTAGTTTCATACAAAATTTTTCAAAATTGTTATTCCTGACTTTATTTGTAGTGGGTTTTTATAATAAATTGCACATTAAAATTGCCACTTTTTCTCCTCTACATATTGGTGTAATTAATAAAAAAAACGTTTCGTCTCTTGTCACCCAGCATCAACTTTATTTTTTCTTACGGACTCCATATTGGATTTTTGTACAGATGCATAAAGTTTTTAATTCTGATTCCAAAAATGTAGAATACGACACATTGCCATTTTTAGTTTAATATTCAAATTAACAGTTTGCACACTGACGTCTCTGTTCAAGCGGTGGTTAGGTATACTTGTATGCATATGCAATTATCGTTTCAATGTGTCAAGACATGTTTTAAAAGCCTGCTTTATAAATGCGCCTTACGACACATTTCGAGTATTATTTCTAGATAAAACACTTAAAAATTAAAAATTAAAGTAACAAAGTTATAGCCCTTTGGAAGTTTGAGTACCGCCCTGTCTCAATAATAATATTATGTGCTCGTGTTTGGCAACAACGGATATAATCCTCCTTATCGGTTCATCGCATCGGAAACAAAAAAGCGAAAGAATTTGGAACGATGTTTTTACAATTATTTTATTCAGTTGTATACAGTCAGTGTCAGTCGGTAACGCGTGAGTGAATAATGGTGTCTGTTGCGTGGCTCAAACGAAATCAAAAATGGCACATATTGGATTTTTGTACAGATGCATAGAGTTTTAAATTCTGATTCCAAAAATGTAGAATACGACACGACATTGCCATTTTTAGTTTAATATTCAAATTAACTGTTTGCACACTGACGTCTCTGTTCAAGCGGTGGTTCGGTATACTCGTATGCATATGCAGTTATCGTTTTAATGTGTCAAGACATTTTTTAAAAGCCTGCTTTATAAATGCGCCTTACGACACATTTCCAGTATAATTTCTTGATAAAACACTTCTACTAAAAACAACAATAGACAGTTGTTTTCTTTTCGGTCATGACAGTTAAATAAAAAAAATACATTAATTCCAAGCTTTGGATGATTTTCCATACTTTTTGATCGTGTCGCAGAACCACAAATCGTTTATTCTTAGTACGGCCCTGTAACGTGCTCGGCGTTCTCGAGCGCGATCACATGGAGTATACTATACGTGAATATGTTTAGTCTCTTTCTTCGATGCATACATAATATCTACAATCTCACCGTTCCATGCTCGATATTTTCGCCCATCTCTAATGTTGATTATATTCTGGCGCCGACTCGGTGATATCATCGTTATCGACCCTGGAGCGGCGAAACACGGTGCGTCGTTGTACTTTGACCCGTGATAGGGCGCCGACGCGCGCCGCTTGACGCTTGGCGTCGGCTACGTGACGCCCCAGACATGACCTACACTCGACTGCGGCAAGCGGGGCATTTTGACAGACGAGACGAAAAGATGCATCGCAGGTGTCTGGGCGTTAACAATTTTCCAAAGGGCCCGTTAAGGTTCCCCGAACCGATGCGAAATTCGCGACGGATTCCAGATGAAGACTCGCGCAAAAGCGAATATAAGCGCATCGAGTTGTGGATGAAGAAATTACTAATATTAACTATGTACAATTACGAGAAGCTCTTTTACTGAAAGATATGACTGAAGCGTTTGTTGATCATAGCTACTATACCGCAAAGTTGGGGTTTTCATTTACACGACGTGTAGATCTTGAAAACATAAGCAATTTTTCTTAGTACCATATACACCAATGTCTTAAGGGAACCGAGATAAAGGGCTCTGCAACATTTTCGGTGAATGTTTGGGCTGGCATGGTGAACGGTATGCTCATTGGACCATTTATTCTCCCAAGTCGATTGGACGGGATGCAATATCTAGACTTTTTACGCAACATTTTGCCTTCCTTGTTTGCCCGCGTCTGCTCGGTAGCGCATCAGCTGATTTCATTTTCTGTTGGAGCGGTATGATTTCGGGCAGAGACGTACTTAGCCCTTCTCGTCAACTGGAGAGTGAGTACCTTTTCCTTTATTTTTTTTTACTTGGTCGCCCTCGTTTCACTACACATTACCTTTGTTATTTCAAGGGTAGTTGTTTCTGAAAAGGAAAACCCCAACTTTGCGGACACCCTGTATAAGCCTATTGGATAAAGTTGAAGTTTGTATAAAAGAAGCTACAGTCAAGACAACAATTTATAAAAAGAAAAATCCAACACCTTGGTTCTCGCAAATGTTCAGGGATTCTAAATTAAAAAGGGATTACGATTATAAAAAGTTTATGATTACTTTAAGTGAAAATGATTGGCTAGAATACACAAGATCAAGAAACCAATCTGTAGCAGTTCTACGAGATGAAAAGAAAAAATATTACAATGCCAAAATTGACCAGAGTAAAAATAATAGCAAGCATATGTGGAAAACGATGAAAAACATTATTTCTCCTATAAAAAAAAGTGCATTATCTAAAATGAAATTCGACGATGGGGTAATAACAAATGAAGAAATAATAGAAGATCGAATGAATACCTATTTCATAGAAAGCGTCGACCACATTGTAAAATCAATTATTGACGGGATCCCAACCAATGTCCCACTAGCTCAGATTATAATCCATCATTCAGTGAATTTAGAACAATAAACATTAATCGTCTCAAGAAGATTATATCAAAAATTAAATCAAATCAAAATAAGGGTGAGATTTTGTCTAAAAGTGTGCTTAATGAATGTTTTGATATTATTGAAGCAAGAATATTAATCCTGATAAAATATGGTAATTGCATCACTACGGATTAAAAGGATCTGTATTCAAAATTCTACAAAACTATTTAATTGACAGAAGTCAAACAAACAAAATTGGATCTACATTATCAAAATCAAAAAATATTTCTGTTGGTATACCACAAGGTAGTAAACTAGGTCCACTACTATTTGTATTATACATTAATGACATTTGTAATACTTTAGATTATTGTAAACTTCAGATATTTGTAGATGATACAATAATTTAGATATCAGATGAAAATATAGACACTGCTTTAAAAATGCTAAATGCTGACTTGGCAAAAATCGTAAATTGGTTAAATGTAAATAAACTAAAATTGAATACTTCTAAATAGTATCACAGTTAGGATAAATGAAGAATTAATTGAAAATGTTGAATCAATTAAATATTTAGGTATATACAGGGTGACTTCGAAGTTGAGTTATTTATTTTAATAGTGAGTAGATCTGATCAAAAGAAATGTTTTTTTCCTTTACCATTTTTCTGGTAAAATTAAAGTAACAAAGTTATAGCCCTTTGGAAGTTTGAGTACCGCCCTGTCTCAATAATAATATTATGTGCTCGTGTTTGGCAACAACGGATATAATCCGCCTATCGGTCCATCGCATCGGAAACAAAAAAGCGAAAGAATTTGGAACGATGTTTTTACAATTATTTTATTCAGTTGTATACAGTCAGTCGGTAACGCGTGAGTGAATAGTGGTGTCATTATCTGAAAATTAATGACTCAACTTCAAAGTCACCCTGTATATATTGATAGTAAACTGAAGTTTGAGGATCACTATGAATACATTATTTCAGAAATTCACACTCAAGAGGTCAGACAAATTTGGTTCTCAGTGTATATCGTAAAACTATGTTGTTATATTTTGACTTGTTACAAAAATAACTCGGTCATAAATGGTGTACGGAGGAGGATGTTTAAATAAATTTAATTATCTGCGGGCTAGGAGTCACCTTGTATGGCGCTGTATGCTGCGAATTTATATACGAGCATATTATAATACAGGTACAAACATTATCATTATCAGTACTTTGCTTTATGGCGTACTTAGATAAATTTGTATATGACGATATTTTTGTATAGGCGTCATAAGAGATGACAAAATATAAACTTTACCAAAATTAAAATGTAGATGAATGATGCGAAATTCGAGAGGACGGCAAATGTTTGACGCTTTTTTCACTGTGTATTGTCAAAATTGGCCATCTCAGTAATTAAGAACTTTACAGTATTTTATGCTGAATGAGAATGGTCTTCGAGACGAAGACCTGCTGGAAACAATCGTTCTGCATACGATTTGAAAAACTACTTGCTACACACAAAAAGCTGCAAAAAAAATAAAAAATGCAACAAAAACAAAATTGCAAAACAAAAATAGCCGTGATGGTGTTCCGGAAACAGTGGCACAATACGAGGCAAAAAACCATACGAAAAGTTCGTGTATGAGGAGAGAAGATGCGAGGCGATGTTGCCAGGTCTGTTGAAATTTCACCAGATTTATTTTATGAATAATCTGGTTATTGGTGAAACACTTAAGCAGACCATGATGCGAATCAATATTATTACCTTCTTTTTTGAGTTTTCAAGAATCTTACGTTCAATTGTTTCGAAAAAAACTTTGGTTGCTCATGGAATGCATTTTTAGAAAAATCGCTGACACCTTTTTTATGAATAAGTGTCAGAAATTTGAAAGTTTTTTATCGTCGACGATGTGTTCCCTTCACTGTTGCCTAAAAACAATTTCAGCAACAATCTCGCCGACTTAGTAACTATTTTTCCTCCTAATTGTTAATTGATGCTATTGTCAATAATTGTTTCCAGCTCCAGACGATGAAGACATAGATCCAGTGGCGGCTCGTGAGGTAGTGCCACGGTGCCATGGCACTACCTTGTCTTCTTCAAAAAGAATATTTTTTTCAATCTTCAATGTTTTACTTTATTTTTTGCTTTTTCATTTTTTTTTGGTATAAATTATATGAAGTGACAACACTGACAACGTGACAACACCGCAAGCACCCGAACACGCGACGAGATATAAAGCATGCCTTGACCTTGACGTCATCAACTTGTGCCAATGTCGGGCCGGCCCAAATAAAAAGAGAGAAATTTTACCAGCATCGCATACGAGCGACAGAGATAACGCTACAATACACATTTTTATATGAGGTGAATAGCGAAAGACAAGTATAATTTGTGCCAGGCACATCATCAGTCGTAATTCGTTATCAAATGATATCGGCGGTGTTTTTGTTCGGTCGGTCGTTTCGTTATGATTACGTCTAGTGCTGATTTCGGTCTTTTTTTACCTGAAAAGTGAGAAATAACGTTTTTGTTTTAGTACGTCTAGTGTTAATGAACTGCTCTGTTTTGTGATCATATTTTTTACTGTTTTATTAAAACTAGTGAAAATGAATAAAATCGGGATATTAAAAAACTCATTTAGTGGTTTTTCGCTGGATCAAAAACTGCAAATTAAAGAATTAGGACGGCCAATACCCGATTTAAAAATTGAGAAACAAAGTGGTAGCGGACAAAAATCGCGCTGTCGCAAATTTAATAAAAATGTGTACGATAAAAACAGCTGGATATGTGGTTGTGAAGAAACGAATAAACTATTTTGTTTTGTATGTGTTCTATTTGGAGGTGACGAGACTTGGTCAAAAAAAGGTACAGATGATCTTATACATATATGGGATAAAATGAAGACCCACGAAAAATCTAAAGTCCATATGAATAATGTTTTTAGCTTTTCTATTCTTGGTAAATTAAATATAAGGACTCAACTCAATTCGGCTTATCGCAATGATCTAATTAAACATAATAATCAAGTGGATAAGAATCGATATGTATTGAATAAAATTATTAATTGTATAAGGTTTTGTGGAGTATTTGAGTTAGCCTTAAGGGGTCACGATGAAAAGGAAAATTCGGAAAACAGAGGCATATTTAAGGAGCTGGTGAATTTTAGCGCCGAATTAGACAACGAATTGAAAGTCCATATTCAAAGTGCCAAACTTTTCAAGGGTACCTCAAAAACAACTCAAAACGAGCTTCTTGAGTGCATGCTAGATGTTTATCATGAAGAAGTTAAGAAGGAGATTGCAAATTCTCCTTTTGTTGCAGTAATTGCCGATGAAACGACTGACGTAGCCTGTGAATTTCAGTTAGTTATTATTTTCAGATATTTGTGTAAAGGACAACCAGTTGAGAGATTTTGGAGATTTTACGTCCCCGACGGACACGATGCCAAATCAATCGCTGCATGCGTTTTAAATGTTGTAAATCCATTAATAGATCAAAATCCAAACAAATTAATAGCTCAAAGCTATGATGGTGCGTCTGTTATGAGTGGTGAATTGAATGGCGTTCAAAAGATTATTAAGGAAACTTATCCACTTGCAAATTATGTTCATTGCTATGCACACCAGTTAAATCTAATTATGACAAGCGCATGCTCTGTCAATAAGCAGGCTAGAATATTTTTCCATAATTTATCTGGATTGTGCTCTTTTTTTTCGACGTCTCCTCAAAGAACAAAAATTTTGGATGAAATAGTTAATCGCAGATTGCCAAGATCTTCCCAAACACGTTGGAATTTTCAGTCACGAGGTGTTCATACAGTTTATGAAAATAGGAAAGACCTGATTGAAGTTATGGACAATATAGAAAGTACTTCACGCGATTCTTCGTCGATTAATCAAGCCAGTGGGTACAAATTAAAGCTGCAAGATACAAATTTTGTATTTTGGCTAAGTATATTCCATAAAATAATGCCACATGTTGAAATTGTCTTTAACCAATTACAAAAAGTATGCACCGATTCTGTTAAGGTCAAAAATGATTTAGAGAATTTTGAAGCAGCAATTCAAACTATACGAGAACAAATGGATAGCATTATTGACGAGATTGAACGAGTGCAGAGAGAAACTGATGAACCGGCAAGAAAAAAAAGGCAAGTTGAAGAAGGCAGCAAAAAACGGGAAGCGTTAGAAATATGCGATGCAGTATTATCGCAAATAAGAACAAGATTTAACTTTTCTGGGCATTTAGTTGCTTCTAATTTATTTGTGTCTGAAAAGTTTTCTGTTTATAAACATCAGTTTCCTGAAGCACATTTAAATGACACATGCACACAATTTTCATTTTTAGACAAAAACAGGCTTAAAACTGAGTTACAAGTATTATATCAGAGAGAAGAATTGAGTACTACTTCTGGAGCTGTTCCACTATCCATTTTATTGAACGAGGAAGGATTAAATTGTACGTTTCAAGAAACTCTTAAGCTCTTAAGTATTTTAATCACTATACCGATGTCAACATCTGAAGCAGAACGCTCTTTTTCAATGCTGAAACGGATTAAAACTTTCCTCAGAAACACAATGAAGGAAGAAAGGCTTAGTGCTTTAGGAATGCTGTCTGCAGAAAAACATTTTGTTAGTGGCATTGAAAATTTTAATAATAAGGTAATCGAAAACTTTGCTACCAAAAAAGAAAGAAGAATGGACTTCATGTATAGAAAACTTTGAAGTTATAGGTACTTCTCCACACTTGTTTTATAATTTGGTGCGCGTGTGTAAATAGTTTTATTTTTGATTTTTTTTTGGACATATAGATTTATTGAACCTCAAGAACTTTGACCACTAACTATCAGGGGTAAGTTATAAGTTATTCTTTACAATTTTAAATCGATTCAAAATTATGGCTTCCATTCTGGCACTACCTCACTGAATTGGCACGAGCCGCCACTGCATAGATCTACGAAAGCTCGAGTTTAAGTTATAAGCAATAATTTGCCTTCTACCCAAAGAAATTCAAGGATCAGGGTGACTTCGAAGTTGAGTCATTTATTTTAACAGTGAGTAGATCTGATCAAAAGAAATGTTTTTTTCCTTTACCATTTTTCTGGTAAAATTAAAGTAACAAAGTTATGGCCCTTTGGAAGTTTGAGTACCGCCCTGTCTCAATAATAATATTATGTGCTCGTGTTTGGCAACAACGGATAAAATCCGCCTTATCGGTTCATCGCATCGGAAACAAAAAAGCCAAAGAATTTGGAACGATGTTTTTACAATTATTTTATTCAGTTGTATACAGTCAGTGTCAGTCGGTAACGCGTGAGTGAATAGTGGTGTCTGTTGCGTGGCTCAAACGAAATCAAAAATGGCACATGTTTACGAAAATGCTGAACTTGTGGTCATGATTCTTATTTACGCGGCATCACGGATTTATGCGGTTCGGTTTCCCAATCGAGTGCAACCAACCCCTCGTGCCTTTGTTAATGTAGTACAAAGGGCTCGTGAATCAGGTGACTTAAGACCTCACAGGGGTGCTCCAAGACCGCACGATCAAATACAGGTCCGCACTGAAATACTTGTCGGGAGGATACTTTATAAAACAAGGTAACGTTTTTTTTTATTTTTTTTTTATTTTTACACACATATTTTGGTGTATCTTCCTTCTACAATCATTATCTGAAAATTAATGACTCAACTTCAAAGTCACGAAATACTCCTTTTTGGTATCAATATTGAACTTCCCTTTTCCCCTGGTTTGCCACTGCTTCCGAATCACCCTGTATCCAACATAACTTATCCTCTAGCCTTACCCAATCCCATTTTTTTGAAAATGGCCTCCGCATCGGCCGGCGCGATTTTAGCCTTGACCTCTAGGCCCTTCTGCGGAGCCTCTTTTTGAGGGGGCTCGACGGGAGCCGATGCGGGCTTCGCCGGGGGCTCTGGTGTTTTTTCTTTAACCGGTGGCTCCGGAGTTTTTTCTTTAACTGGAGCCGGAGCCGCAGGGACGTAACTGGGCACCGGGGGCGGCGCGGAAGTAGGGGCTGATATGGGTGTCACTGGAAAAAATCATTAGAATAGGGAGTTTTCGCGATCACAAATACCTCTCCGATACGTTCACGATTTTGGTTCCGGCCTCGAATTCGAATCATTTAATTCCTTCACGACTCCGATTCCTTCCTCGGGATGATCGAATCCTCCGAAGCCGGCGTTGGAATCGGCTCTTTCTATTCGTTCCAGGCTCGGAATCGCTGTGTTTACGATATCCTTTCATTCTTTCACGACTCCAATTCCGATTTCGGTCTAGGAATCGATTACTCTGATACGTTCAGATTCCGATTCCAGCTTCTGAATCTATTCCTTCCTTCCATTAGCTCACGATTCCGATTCCGGCCTCGGAATTGATCCCTTTCATTCGACCATGAATCGATTTCGACCTCGGATTAAATTCCTTCGAAACGTTCACGATTCAGTATTATTCCTTTCATACAGTTTGTCCAAATCCGGTCCGACCCGGTTGGAATCGAAATCGCCGGAATCAAAATCATCGGAATTGTAACAGCTGCAATCGAAAGCGAAGCCACCGAAATCTGAATCCAAATCGAAACAGCCGCAATCGGAATCATCGGGATCGAAACCGCTGGAATCTGAATCGAAATCACCAGAACCGGAATCATCGGTATCGTAACCACCGGAATCTGAATAGAAATCAAAAGAATCGAAACCGCCAGAATCGGAATCGAAACCACCTGAACCTGAATCGAAATCATCATAATCTGAACCGCCGGAATCAGAATCGAAATCATCGGAATCTGAATAAAGATCATCAGAACGAAACCGCCGAAATCTGAATCGGTACTGCCGGAGTCGGAATCGAAATCATCAGAATCGAAATAGTCGGTATTGGAATCAGAATCATCAGAATCGAAATAGTCGGTATTGGAATCAGAATCATCGAAATCGAAACCACCGGAATCTGAATCGAAATAATCGGAGTCGAAACCACCTGAATCTGAATCGAAATCATCATAATCGGAACCCCCGGAAAAGGAATCGAAATCATCGGAATCTGAATAAAGACCATCAGAACCGAAACCACCGGAATCTGAGTCGGTACTGCCAGAGTCGGAATCGAAATCATCCGAATCGAAATCGTCGAAATTGGAATCAGAATCATAGAAATCGAAACCACCGGAATCTGAATAGGAATCAAAAGAATCGAAACCGCCAGAATCTAAATCGAAATCACCAGAATCGGAATCATCGGTATCGAAACAACCGAATCTGAATATAAATCAAAAGAATCGAAACCGCCGGAATCGGGATGGAATCGAAACCGCCGGGAATCTGAACCGAAATCAACAGACCCTGAATCATCGGTATCGTAACCACCGGAATCTGAATCGAAATCAAAAGAATCGAAACCGTCGGAATCGAAAGTGAAATAATCGGAGTCAAAACCACCTGAATCTGAATCGAAGTCATCATAATCGGAACCGCCGGAATCGGAACCTGAATAAAGACCAACAGAATCGAAACCGGCAGAATCGGAATCGAAATAATCGGAGTCGAAATCCCCTGAATCTGAATCGAAATTATCATAATCGGAACCGCCGGAATCGGAATCGAAATCATCGGAATCTGAATAAAGCCTATCAGAATCTAAAACGCCGAAATCGGAATCGAAACCACCGGAATCTGAATCGGCACTGCCGGAGTCGGAATCGGAATCATCAGAATCGAAACCGTCGAAATTAGAATCAGAATCATCGAAATCGAAACCACCGGAATCTGAATCGAAATTATCATAATCGAAACCACCGGAATCGGAATCGAAATAATCGGAGTCGAAACCACCTGAATCTGAATCGAAATCATCATAATCGGAACCGCCGGAATCGGAATCGAAATCATCGGAATCTGAATAAAGACCATCAGAATCGAAACTGCCGAAATCGGAATAGAAACCACCGGAATCTGAATCGGCACTGCCGGAGTCGGAATTGGAATCATCAGAATCGAAACGGTCGAAATTAGAATCAGAATAATCGAAATCGAAACCATCGGAATCTGAATCGAAATTATTATAATCGGAACCGTCGGAATCGGAATCGAAATCATCGGAATCTGAATAAAGCCTATCAGAATCGAAACCGCCCAAATCGGAATCGAAACCACCGGAATCTGAATCGGTACTGCCGGAGTCGGAATCGAAATCATCAGAATAGAAACCGCCGAAATTGGAATCAGAATCATCGAAATCGAAACCACCGGAATCTGAATCGAAATCATCATAATCGGAACCGCCGGAATCGGAATCGAAATCATCCGAATCTGAATAAAGACCATCAGAACCGAAACCGCCGAAATCGGAATCGAAATAATCGGAATCGAAACCACCGGAATCGGAATCGAAATCATCCGAATCTGAATAAAGACCATCAGAACCGAAACCGCCGAAATCGGAATCGAAATAATCGGAATCGAAACCACCGGAATCTGAATCGGTACTGCCGGAGTCGGAATCGAAATCATCAGAATCGAAACCGTCGAAATTGGAATCAGAATCATCAAAATCGAACCACCGGAATCTGAATCGAAATTATCGGAATCGAACCCACCGGAATCGGAATACATATCAAAAGAATCGAAACCACTGGAATCTGAATCGAAATTATCGGAATCGAAACCACCGGAATCTGAATAGAAATCAAAAGACCCGAAACCGTCGGAATCTGAACAGAAATCATCAGAACCAGAATCATCGGTATCGTAACCACCGGAATCTGAATAGGAATCGAAGGAATCGAAACCACCTGAATCTGAATCGAAATCATCATAATCGGAACCGCCGGAATCGGAATCAAAATAATCGGAATCTGAATAAAGACCATCAGAATCAAAACTGCCGAAATCGGAATCTCAACCACCGGAATCGGAATCAAAAGAATCGAAACCGCCGGAATCTGAATCGAACTCACCAGAATCGGAATCATCGGTATCGAAACAACCGAATCTGAATATGAATCAAAAGAATCGAAACTGCCGGAATCGGGATGGAATCTAAACAGCCGGAATCTGAACCGATATCATCAGAACCACAATCATCGGTATCGTAACCACCGGGATCTGAATAGAAATCAAAAGAATCGAAACCGCCGGAATCGGAATCGAAATAATCGGAGTCGAAACCACCTGAATCTGAATCTAAATCATCATAATCGGAACCGCCGGAATTGGAATCGAAATCATTGGAATCTGAATAAAGACCATCACAATCGAAACTGCCGAAATCGGAATCGAAACCACCAGAATCGGAATAGAAATCAAAAGAATCGAAACCGCCGGAATCTGAAGTGAAATCACCAGAACCAGAATCATCGGTATCAAAACAACCGAATCTGAATATAAATCAAACGAATCGAAACCGCCGGAATCGGGATGTAATCTAAACAGCCGGAATCTGAACCGATATCATCAGAACCAGAATCATCGGTATCGTAACCACCGGGATCTGAATCGAAATTAAAAGAATCGAAACCGCCGGAATCGGAATCGAATTCGAAATCTGACCATCAGAATCGAAACCGCCGAAATCGGAATCGAAGCCACCTGAATCTGAATCGGTACTGCCAGAGTCGGAATCGAACTCATTAGAATCGAAACCATCGAAATTGGAATCAGAATCATCGAAATCGAAACCACCGGAATCTGAATCGTAATTATCAGAATCGAAACCACCGGAATCTGAATAGAAATCACAAGAATCGAAACCGCCGGAATCTGAACCAGAATCATCGGTATCGTAACTACCGAAATCTGAATCGGTACTGCTGGAGTCGGAACCGAAATCATCAGAACAAAACTGTCGAAATTGGAATCAGAATAATCTAAATCGAAACCACCGGAATCTGAATTGAAATAATCAGAATCGGAACCGCCTGAATCGAAATCATCGGATTCGAAACCGCCGGAATCTGAATCGAAACTACCGGAATCTGATCAAAACTGCCGGAGTCGGAATCGAAACCTCCGGAATTGGAATCGAAATCATCAGAATTTGGAATAATTCGTTCAAGACCGGCCCAGCTCTATTATACACACGATAGATTGACATGTTATTCTGAGACAGTATACAGGGTTACTCAAAACGTTAACGTTTCCATATTCCGTATACGTGAATGCCAAAACTCTCCAATATCGCCGTCGTTTTTTTATAAATGTTCCCTTACCGTGTGGTTTCGGCGGTTCCTTTTTGGGCTCATCGAAATTCTTGAAGGTCTCCAGATGGTCGACCTTGGCTTTCTCAGGCACGTTCTCGTATTTCGTACGTACGAATTCGTCATCGTCACTATCGGAGTATTTGTCCAGCAGATCGCGATCCGGATTCTTGGAATGCAGTTTTTCTATGTCCTCCATCACCTGGAACAATCAATGGGAGACGTCCAATCCGATTCTGCGTTCGATATAAAGCGGGAGATGCCACGGTAATGAAGGACTTCGGGCAATAAGGTACCTGAGCCATATTTGAATAAAAAAACGTGTTCATCTAAATTCACCCGAGGCGTAGATATTCAAATTCAAATTATGTATTTTATCATCCTGAGAGGCATGGCAATGTATGCAAAAACTAATAAAACAACACAAAACAAATATATGTGTAAAAGCACAAATAAAATCATAAAATAACAAACTCAGAGACGGCATAATAAGTTTAGGCTTATAATTGTGTCATATCTCCACACTCTTTAATATGATTTTTTGTCAAAGTGAGTTTCAGCTGGAAGCATTCGAATTAAGACTGTAAACACTAGAAGAACTCTTGTCAAAGCTTATTTACATGGTTAGTACAAGAAAATCTAGTATATCTTTTAATATGATATTAAGCTAAGTCTCTAACTAGAGAATAAGCCCAATATGAGGCTATTTGACTGACCATGAGTCATTGTACAGCTTTTACTTATTATTTCAGATTTACCGTTGCGCATTTTCCGGTGAAAAATGAGCTTGGAAATCATCGACAATTCTATAATAATAAATTAACCATTACAGCAGATTGGCCGTTGGTTCTCATTTTCATATTCACATTAAAACATCATTTATTACCAACACATTTAGAAACCTTCACAAATTAAATAGTCATTGTTATAATTACGAAACTAGAAGCTGTAAACTATTTTAACTGCCAAATTGTAATAAAAGCATAACTAGCAAATCTGTATTCCAAAAGGGAGTATTTGAATTTAATCAACTGGACATTAGTGTTCGAATTTTTAAAATTCTTAAGGTGAAACTAAAAATCGGTTTATGAATACCCAAAATGCAAAAATGATTAAAAAAATGTGTAAAATAATTACATAACATTGACATGTAGCATTAATTCTAAATAAATATTCAAGGAACAAAAAAACAACTAACCACACAAGGATAACGGAATTGACCTTTACAGTCGCTGGCCAAAAGCTCGTTATCTATTCGCTGATTAAACTCAAAAAAACATCGATTTATCGATGTTCATCTCTACTGTTTGCATACCTAAACAAAATTGATGACTCGGGGATTCCCCGAGTATTGTCTATGATATACCTAGTTTTTGTGAAGCTCTAGATTCCATTTTTTTCAACCCAGAATCGCGGAAAGCGGAATTGCCAAAAAATATCTATCTTTCTTGCGATGACCCGCCTAGGGCCACCACTGGCAGGGTGTAAAGGTAACCACAAAAGCTATTATTATATATTGACCCAATATATTACCAATCTTAGCACCCCCTAAAGTAATTATACATCGTCAATTACCCCCACATAAAACTGACCTGTCGTTCGTTTTCCATGAATGTTTTGAGGATATTCTGTCTATCCTGCAGGTGGTCCCTGGGCAGAAAATCCTCCCCGTGCATGAAATCATCCAGTTTGGGTTCGGGTGCAGGTTGTCGCGCGTTCTGGGGCACCGCGTCGCCCATTTCCAACAGATTCGAGTCCATTTTCTGCGATAGCGGATCTTCCACCGTCTTGGAGGGTTGAAAACTGACGCCGGTAAAAGCGAGGCCTGTATTTTCCGAGCCGGTATCGATTTTCGCAGGTTCGCTGCACTGCATGTCCAGCAGGTCCCCCACGGGGGGGTTCGCGTGCCCCAACGGGCTCGAATCGTGCCCCAGGTGCTCGAAATCGTCCACGGAGTCACCCTCGCGACGCATTTGGGGTGATTTCGAGTCGAATTCGCGATGGATGTCTTCCATTTTTTCTTTGCGGTGAACGATGATATGTCGAAAATGTCTTTGAAACACGTAGAATTTGACGCGTGAACGTTGAAATGGGATGGATGTATTGCACAAGTGCACTCGGCTTAAACGTCACGACTGAAAAACTTAACCTTACCTAAAACACCGACAACCATTTTCAGCCGACTTCTTTTGTTGCCCGTTTCAGCGCAACGTTGCCAGACGTATCTGAAATTTCGGTCAAACTGGGATCTTTATACAAGGTGGACCTGTTTCATTCTACAATTCGGATTCACTTATATAAACGTACATCTAAGTCTCAAATAGCATAGATTCTTGCATCTTTCATATACGCCTCAGGCCTCCTTTCGCTTAAACAGCTGGTAGGAACTGATGACAACGTGAAGTGGAGCTGTCTTCGTTAGTTTGGAAACATTGATCTAGCTCCTAAGTCACATCTGTAGGATGCTTTTATGGCCTCCTTGATTTTCATAGTTTTTCCTGTCCTTCAGAAAGGCGCTCTATTTTGAGGTGATGTTTTCTTTTTGAATTCCAACAAATTTCAGGCTGATAAAACTTTTTATTATCTGTTTTATCAGCCTGAAATCTTAACATTCAAAAAGCCTTTCAATTGCAGAGCGCTGACAACGCTGACACGGAACAGTATAAATATAGCAACACACCAGCCTTTGTGAAGGACAGAAAATACTACGAAAATCAATGAGGTCAATACGGCTCTACTACGCAATTTGACAGACAGATCGAGGGAAATTATCCTTAGATAAAAATACATTTATTTGTATTATTTACACCACTCTCCTTCGAGGAAATGTTCAGGGAACTGGACACTCAAAACTCTCGTCGTGATCTAAGATTTTGTTATATTGTAGTGCCGCCCTGTATATTAGTCTGGAGAAATAACGGTTCGCGATATGGCGACGTTGCAATGTCTGTCTACAAACGAATTGGTGCGAGGCATGAATCAGCACGGATGATGATGCCATCGCCCAGAGGCGTGCTGGTTTTAACACTTTACAAAAGCTTTTCAACAAGCGGAGAAATTACCATCATTGACAGAAGTGCTCCACTACGAAATAGCTTTTCGCTACCTATAAAAACATAGGTAAAAAATAATGTGTCCGTAAACAAGAGGGCTCTAGGTAGAAAAATGCATTATGTAACATAATACCCCTACATATGATTATTCAAAATTGCAATGCTTTGATTACGGTTTTAATAACACCTATCGTACGTATTTGAAGCGAATCCGAAGTTAATTTACATGCATCTAACCCATTTTATCATGTACATTCTATTATTTAGTGAAACATTGCAAAACTATGCGACGTTTTCCACTTTTAGGCTGCTAAAAATCAATTTTCTTTATCGGTGGCCAAATGCGAACGATGCTGTGTGCATTAAGGTAACTTGGGGCGTTAAATTTGAATGTCATTGTGAAAAAATCTTTTTTTGAACTCGAGTCGCTCGTTTAAAAATGACCTCTTTTAAAGAATACTCTTCATGTTGCCGGACGTCAAAATTTGTTTAAGCAATTTATGTGTAAGTTCGTCAACATTATTAGGGCATTCCACCTAAAAATACCCATTAAGAATAGGCATATTAGACAATGCCCGACTGAATCTACCATACTTAAAGTTTCCTCTTAATAAATTGAAATTCCGAAGCATCAATGTCTATAAATATAAACAAATATATTATTTAGAAAACATTTATTATGTTACTATCACTGATAAACCACTATGAATCATTAGCACGCTGGCATTTTAAAGCACGTATCTACGTATTAACTGTTATCGATATGAATCATAATAACATGAAAACAGACTCTGAGGCATTTGATATGGAAAAATAATAATGTAGTTTTATAGTACCTCCAGAATTTAGTAGTGATTCATCTCTCTAATATTGTCGAATTCTGATTTGGGAGATGAAGTTGGTTTTACCGATTCATTGGTTATGCTGTTACCGAAGACAAAAAAGCTGTTGACGATCGGTCCAGTGGAGTTATTAACAAAAATAAATAAGACGGCTTTAATGAATCTGTTTGGTGTGTTTCCCTCCTCTTTGATGAGTACATCAATGTGAAATGGTCACAGCGTATAGGCAACCAGTCATGCCTCAGCATCTGAAAACTGTCTTTCTATTCTTTTTGATGGACACGTCCATAAATTTTATGCTTGCTGCAACCACATTACTTTTGATCTAAAAACAGATGTTTGCCCACAATCGTAGATTGCAAAACTACATCCGTTTTTAGCAGTTTAACATAGTTTCAACCGCAATGAAGCATTTTCTATTTGGCGCAATGCTATCTGCGCATGTCTCGAGACATCACGCGACTACTGCCGTCAACGCCATTGCCAGATTTACGTTTTATTTTTCCGTAAGTTTCTCAGCATCTATACAGGGTGACTTCGAAGTTGAGTCATTTATTTTAACAGTGAGTAGATCTGATCAAAAGAAATGTTTTTTTCCTTTACCATTTTTCTGGTAAAATTAAAGTAACAAAGTTATAGCCCTTTGGAAGTTTGAGTACCGCCCTGTCTCAATGTGCTCGTGTTTGGCGACAACGGATATAATCCGTCGTATCGGTTCATCGCATCGGAAACAAAAAAGCGAAAGAATTTGGAACGAATTATTTCATTCATTTGTATACAGTCAGTGTCAGTGAATAGTTGTATCTGTTGCGTGGCTCAAACGAAATAAAAAATGGCACATGTTTATGCGGATCGGTTTCCCAATCGAGTGCAACCAACCCCTCGTGCCTTTGTTAATGTAGTACAACGGGCTCGTGAATCAGGTGACTTAAGACCTCACAGGGGACCTCACGATCAAATACAGGTCCGCACTGAAATACTTGTCGGGAGGATAGTTTATAAAACAAGGTAAAAATTTTTTTTAATTTTTTTTTAATTTTTACACACATATTTTGGTTTATATTCCTTCTACAATCATTATCTGAAAATTAATGACTCAACTTCAAAGTCACCCTGTATAGGGACAGGGTACACGAGTGATTGATTGTTTTATTGTTCTATTCCCGAACAGCGGTCAGTGGTCTAAGATTTTATGTTGCTATCGGGCATACTTTCTGCTATTGAAGCATTACAATAATTGTCTTTTTAATGAACCAGCGTCTATAAGGAAACTGGCATATCTGGGCCGAAATAACAGATATGGCAACGCCGCGCTCTTATCATACGGCCACCGAAAGTCAGGTTAATTATTTTCAGTTTATAAAATCGTGTTGTGGGTTTGAGACTGGAGAGGTTCTGCGAATGAATACACGGTGATAATTTCGAAACCAAAGAGAAAAAGGAAAAAACACAATGTCGGGGGCCACCTTGGAAGCGGAACTTTACGAAAGTAGCTCCAAGTTTTTAAACGGGGACGTTTTAGCTTCAGATAAGGTGGGTACCAAAAGAAACACAACCTAGAGGTGTCACTGATTTTTTTCTGATCACCGGTGCCAAACTGATAGACACATATCACTTAAATAGAGGTGGAGTAGCACAGGAATCTGTATATTTTCTTTCACATTGCTTCCAAAGTTTAATTTCTCAGAAAAACAACGAATTGTTTGATTTTTTACGACTACATTTTTCTATGATTGTTTTTCAAATATTTTGTCCATGCATTAAATTTTCTTTTGATTTTAAATCCAAATTGATTGAGAACGGTTCAGATCATTCCAGAGCGATTCAAATTGTTTCAGACCACTCCAGATTCTTCCACAATGATTCAAATCAGTTCAGAACGATTCAGATCGTTTCAAAACGGCTCAGAATATTCCAAAACGATTCAAATCATTTCAGAATGATTCAGATTGTTTCAGAATATTTCAGATTCTTCCAGAACGAATCAAACAGTTTCAGAACACTTTCAGATCGTTGTAGAACGATTCAAATCATTTCAGAACACTCCCGATTGTTCCAGAACGATTTAAATCGTTTTAAAACGGTTTCAGATCACTTAAGAACGATTCAAATTTTTTAGAACCAGTACAGATTCAAATCAGTTCAGAACGATTCAAATCGTTTCAAAACGCCTCAGAATGTTCCAAAACGATTCAAATCATTTCAGAATGATTCAGATTGTTTCAGAATATTTCAGATTCTTCCAGAACACTCCCGATTGTCCCAGAACGATTTAAATCGTTTCAAAACGGTTTCAGATCACTTAAGAACGATTCAAATTGTTTAGAACCAGTCCAGATTCTTCCACAATGATTCAAATCAGTTCAGAACGATTCAAATCATTTCAAAACGCCTCAGAATGTTCCAGTATGATTCAAATCATTTCAGAATGATTCAGATTGTTTCAGAATATTTCAGATTCTTCCAGAACGAATCAAACAGTTTCAGAACGCTTTCAGATCGTTGTAGAACGATTCAAATCATTTCAGAACACTCCCCATTGTTCCAGAACGATTTAAATCGTTTCAAAACGGTTTCAGATCACTTAAGAACGATTCAAATTGTTTAGAACCAGTCCAGATTCTTCCACAATGTTTCAAATCAGTTCAGAACGATTCAAATCGTTTCAAAACGCCTCAGAATGTTCCAAAACGATTCAAATCATTTCAGAATGATTCAGATTGTTTCAGAATATTTCAGATTCTCTCAGAACAAATCATACAGTTTCAGAACGCTTTGAGATCGTTGTAGAACGAATCAAATCATTTCAGAACACTCCTGATTGTTCCAGAACGTTTTAAATCGTTTCAAAACGGTTTCAGATCACTTAAGAACGATTCAAATTGTTTAGAACCAGTCCAGATTCTTCCACAATGATTCAAATCAGTTCGGAACGATTCAAATCGTTTCAAAACGCCTCAGAATGTTCCAAAACGATTCAAATCATTTCAGAATGGTTCAGATTGTTTCAGAATATTTCAGATTCTTCCAGAACGAATCAAACAGTTTCAGAACGCTTTCAGATCGTTGTAGAACGATTCAAATCATTTCAGAACACTCCCGATTGTTCCAGAACGATTTAAATCGTTTCAAAACGGTTTCAGATCACTGAAGAACGATTCAAATTGTTTAGAACCAGTCCAGATTCTTCCACAATGATTCAAATCAGTTCAGTACGTTTCAAATCGTTTCAAAACGCCTCAGAATGTTCCAAAACGATTCAAATCATTTCAGAATGATTCAGATTGTTTCAGAATATTTCAGATTCTTCCAGAACGAATCAAACAGTTTCAGAACGCTTTCAGATCGTTATAGAACGATTCAAATCATTTCAGAACACTCCCGATTGTTCCAGAATGATTTAAATCGTTTCAAAACGGTTTCAGATCACTTAAGAACGATTCAAATTGTTTAGAACCAGTCCAGATTCTTCCACAATGATTCAATTCAGTTCAGAACGATTCAAATAGTTTCAAAACGCCTCAGAATGTTCCAAAACGATTCAAATCATTTCAGAATGATTCAGATTGTTTCAGAATATTTCAGATTCTTCCAGAACGAATCAAACAGTTTCAGAACGCTTTCAGATCGTTGTAGAACGATTCAAATCATTTCAGAACACTCCCGATTGTTCCAGAACGATTTAAATCGTTTCAAAACGGTTTCAGATCACTTAAGAACGATTCAAATTGTTTAGAACCAGTCCAGATTCTTCCACAATGATTCAAATCAGTTCAGAACGATTCAAATCGTATCAAAACGCCTCAGAATGTTCCAAAACGATTCAAATCATTCCAGAATGATTCAGATTGTTTCAGAATATTTCAGATTCTTCCAGAACGAATCAAACAGTTTCAGAACGCTTTCAGATCGTTGTAGAACGATTCAAATCATTTCAGAACACTCTCGATTGTTCCAGAACGATTTAAATCGTTTCAAAACGGTTTCAGATCACTTAAGAACGATTCAAATTGTTTAGAACCAGTCCAGATTCTTCCACAATGAATCAAACCGTTTCAGAACGATTCATACCGTTTATAAACACTTTAACGTGTCTTTTGACCAATTGTTAGCCACGTTATCTTTGATTTCGATATTTTCGCATTAGAACAGTTCATCGTTAATAAAATTTAAGAAACATGATATTTTGCAAACTAGGATTTATTTGAGTTTTTTTCCAGGAAATTCAACATTTAAAAAAAACAAATGGCTATAGACAAGACAAATATTTGAATGGCCATACTTTGGTGAGTGGGATTACATCATATATTATTAGCATTATCTTATCTGATTTCGTTTTTATATTATGAAGATTGCATGTTAGGTGTGCTTTTAACCTTTACGTCTGAAATTATATTATTTTTATACGATCTAATAAAACTAGTTCTTCCCGACAGCAGTTTGGAATTTTTCTAAATTTCTGGACCTTTCAAAAAATATGTTTTGACAGCACGCAAGGATTACGAGATGCTTGCAGTATCTTCTATAAAGGGACGTTTTGGCAGCTCCTGAATATTTACGTTTTTTTCCGCAAACTTCGCCACCAATGGGACGATTGTCAAAAGCTTTATCGACTGGCATCTTAAACTTCCGTCGAAATCTGAGTTAACTTTATGAGATATAGAATTATTATCAGACAAATAAGGTACATCCGACACAAAACATAATATCTCAATTTTACATTTATACCTACAGTCAAAATCACGAAAGATGACTCGTACGTCATACCATAAATAATTGTAGTGAAGTAATCAATGGACGTACGTCGATGATAAAATCACGAGTCAAAAACATAATGACAACAAATATATATGATGATTTTGCGAAGTTAGGTTATTTCACGGATTATTTTTATTTTCATTTTATTTCACGGTTTTGAGTGATACCTTCATAATATTTTTAGTGAGGAGTTCTTGGTTTAAAAAAAAAACACTTATGAGTAGAATACATTAAGACAGGAACACCAAAGACCACTGTATTATTCGAAAATAACATAACCTGAAAACATCGTCTTACTTTGTCGGATACATGCAAATTAGCAATACAGTTTGTTTAGACAATAAAATTCTGTCTGTCTCTGTCTAACATATCAGAAACTTCATTAAATATATCCACAAATTGCTGTCGTTTGTCTTTACTACAGACTAAAATAATGACGTAATCGTCATCTTTCGTGATTTCGACTATATGAATCAAATTCAAGCGGATAACCAAATGGAAATGGTATTTACCATTTTGGGTTGGTATTTACCAATCCGTTCAAGCGAGTGTAGTTATCAGTTTGGTTATAAGATCCGTGACGTCACGAATCAGCTGTTATATGTCATAGTTATCACCGCAAAATTGTGGTATTTACCCAACTCAAGAGTAGTTTTATATTTCTGGTTATTATTTGAAATGTGACAAGTTAGAATTTTGCCGGGTATTGGATATTGTTATTGTACTTCAGCTTCATTTTTGAGAAAAACGATACAGGCTGACTTCAGTTTTACCATAAAGTGGAGCACCTTATTAGTTATACTCATTACGGTTGTTGGGGATACTTTAAATGTAGTTCCTATGCTTAACAAAGTATCCTGTGTAGCCATATACCACAAGAATATTAAAATATGGCCATATAAACTCACTAGATGATATCCACCTGTATACGGTTTTGCTAATTTCTTTTTTCATCATTTCTGCTGAATCAATAAATGTTTTCTTTGACATGCGGAAAAATTTAGAGAATTGAAAGTTATCATAGCTACAAACCCATGGTTAGATCATTAAAAAAAAAATCTGAAAAAAACATTTCTCCATGAATATTATGAAAGGTTTCTTATTTAAACTTTCCATATACAGTTGTAGACGAAAAAGCACCGATTATTAAGTGATAATTAAAATAATCAGAGATTATATACGCGCTTTTCTAAAATAAACAACTTGCAACAAAAACCGCGGTTAAAACCAACGCGTTCAAGCGATTCGTGTAACTGACGTCATCAACCCGTGTGTCATCTTGAACCATATTATAACCGCGGCACATAACACAGAAATTTTGGTTATTCGCTTGGATTTGATTATGGTTTATTCACTGAATCAGAGCAGTTACGGCACAATGTCAAATGACAGTGACGCACATGGTTGCCACATTAATTAAATCTACTAGATCCTAGGACAAAATCTACTTTGTCTTCGATGCCTTACGGCAACCAACATTACGGAGCGTATGTTTTGTAAACGCTGGAGCTAGTATAAATTCTATTTACTGCCTAATACCTCTATTACGGACTGTAAAGGCAATAATGGAGCTCCACGATCTCGTTCGTCAAAGAAATGACGAATTGTTTTGCTTGTCGACCCAGAGGTTCCGGCATTTTGAAAAAGAAAAGTAAAAGAAGAATTATAAGTAAGATTTGGATCCCCATCTTCGATCTCATTTATAATTTCTATAACAGAAGCTTTTTTTTGTTGTGTGCTGGAACGAAAGTGGTCGTCATACCGAACACCTTTTATGAAAAATTCGCACATTTTTTTTCTTAAAAACTATCCCGAGGTGCCCTTTTGCAGTTGAATCACCTACTAGTCGATTATTTTAAGTCTAAAAATACGCTGTGAAAAATAAAAGCCATGACAATTGTTTTTATTAATCAAAGCTGTCAGAATACGTTTAAAATAGTTTTGGGTAGTTAAGGTTTTCAAAATGGGTGGAGGAAAGGTTATTAGTGAGAAAATTCGGTTACTGATAATTAAATTTTTTAATTTTGGGGAATCAAACTCAGAAATTGCAACTTTGTTAGACTTATCGCGGTACAGTGTGAGAAATATTGTTAGAAGATATAACGTAACTGGTTCAGTTAATATTAAGCCACGATATGTGAAAAAAGTAATATCACAGCATTAATAAGAATAATCGTGCAAAACAGGCGTGACAATTATTTACAATTAAGTGCTCTGTGGAGTGACGCTGTTGGAAGGAGAATTTCGAGGTCCACAACAGATAGAGAGGCCCACAAACTGGAATTTAGCACTTGCAAGGTAAGTTTTCTTATAAAAAGAAGTGAAGTAAAAACCCTAAAGTTGCACAACTTGTTTATAGGCCAAAGGAAAGCCACTATTAACTCCACTGCAAAAGAAAAATCGGCTTACATGGGCTAAAGAACATAGACAATGGACACCTCAACAATGGTGTGCAATACAATGGAGTGATGAGGCCCGATTCGAAGTTTGTGTTGGTGACAGTCGCAGTAGAGTTATTCGCAAAAAAAATGAAGCATTCCATGTTGAATGTCTGGAGAGAAAAGTGAAATTTCCAGCATCCATTATGGTCTGGGGCAGTATGTCATTAAAAGGCGTAGTAAAACTTCATTTTATTGATGGAAATGTGGATACAAACAAATATTTGGCAATTTTAGAAGAATCGTTTTTATCAGTGATGGAAGAATGTTTGACATCCGGCCAAGATTTTGTGTTTCAGCAAGATGGTGCAGCGTGCCATACCTCAAAAAAGGCTATAAAATGGACGGAAGAAAATAATGTACCACTTTTGAAATGGGTTTCTAGCAGTCCAGATTTGTCACCTATTGAAACTTTGTGGCACGAGATGAAAAAGGTTCTACGACAACATCCTGCTCGTACAATCACCGATCTGAGACAAAAGCTTCAAGAAATATGGAATTGTTTCACACCAAATTTTTGTCAAAACTTGGTTAACACTATGCCCCAAAGAATTTCAGCCGTAATAAAAAATAAAGGTGATGTTACCCAATGGTAATCTTTCAACTGTTGCTTTGTTAACTTCGCGCATTTATTCGCACATTGTTTATTTTAGTTATAGGTCTGAGTGATTTCGAATATGTATTTTTTACGAGTAGAGTGTATCTAAGATGTCTTTGAGAAAATAAATTGTTTTAGCAGTAAATAGTTTCGTCATGTTTAGTTTATAGAGGCATATTTTGGTACAAATCTTGAAGTAGGCCAATTGAAGTGGGAAGGGGCTCGTAGTCTTGTGACATAACGAATATGAAACGAAATAAGCTGTTTTTCTTAGTTGAAACTGAAGATCCAAATACCGTATGTTCACCCATACAATTTTCCAAAACAGCGGCTAATGTTACATTTCGCGTCCTATCAAGTAACGTCCAAAATAATAGGTAAGAATAACCAGCCATTATCAAACTTTCGCCTTTCATTTTGCGAAAAAATGACTGCTGAAGCAAGGTTACTTTATCAGTTGATTGTTCATTGTTTGTATCCAAAAGGGAAGTTTGCCTAAATTATTTCTCCAATATACACACTAATTTTAAACTCTCGGTTTCTAATTGGTAAATATTTAGACTAATTACGACAACAGCTGTAAAAGTTTATAGTTATGCTGGTTTAAAATGTTAAGAAAATTGGATCATTTCGGTTAAATAGCTGTTAGATTCCTGGTTTATGCGGTGGCAGAAACAAACTGTTTATTGTGTGACCTGCTCATAATATACGTATTGTTTGTCAATGATAACAAAACGCGCAATACGCGATATCTTTATATTATAATTCTTCGAACGATATTGTGCATCGTTACGCGTTATTTAAAAATAGCTCAAGTGCAATTTCCATTACTAATTAACTTTTGGCTTCAGTTAACGCCTTCTAAAATAGATCGTAAAGTGGCGGATTTTTATTAGATTTAAATCACACACTCTCAGTTCGAGCGCCAGAACATGGCAATTATACGGCAGTTGAACCGATAATTCACAGAAATTTAGAGAGCGTAGTCACCAGAGGCTGTAACAAAAACGCTACAAGTTACAAGTATTTTGCCGTATCTGCAAGTCGTATTTAATTTCGTAACAATGCAAATAACTTGAATCGAATGAGCAGAATTGCAGACCTCCAGAAATCGTATTTTTCAGGCGGGTTAAAGACGTTGGAGCATCGCTGGTCAAGTGTATGGAGCTGAAAAGAGGCTATATTGAGGAATAAATCGCCACGTTTCCAAAATTTTCTTCTTATCGGACCGCACTTGTATGTAGCAAGTGTATACAAGATATCGACATTTTATTCTATAATACCCTGTATACAGGGATCAATATTACACTGAATTCCTTCCTTAAGGATAAATATATGTCGTTTTTAAATTTTAATCCGTGCCACTTTGTATAAAACGGCAGTTTAGCGGAAAAATAAAGCACGCTATTTCCGTTGTACACGTATGAATATCGGATTGATTAATAAGAATATTGATTAGTTTCCAATTATTACCAGATGCTCTCATATGATTTTATGTTAATATGCATAGTGAAAAACGTCTTTCCGTCCTCGATATTTATTTAAATTCGTACCACAACCCCCACAATGGCCGTCCTCCCAACGCCCGAATGCTGTCGATTCAAAGGGTTCCCTACTGTATGCGCGAAGTAAGATCGTAAAACGTGCTCTTGTCTGACTACTGAAATGTGCAGCGGAGCTTGCTCCAGTTCTTTCGCGTCTCTTCCAGATATCTTACGAATCCGGAACTTTCCCAGAAAACTTCTAGATGGCGCCACGTACTATTTCGGTAAAAAACTTATCAGAACTTTTTTGTGCCACCCTGTATACAACAACTTAGGCCTTAGGCCTTCGTGGTAATTGGAGTATAAAAAAAATTATTAAGGTATCACTCAAAACCATGAAATAAAATGAAAATAAAAATAATCAGTGACATAACCTAACTTCGCAAAATCATAATATAAATGTGTTGTCATTATGATTCCGACTCGGGATTTTATCATCGACTTACGTCCATTGATTACTTCGGTAGAATTTATGGTATGACGTAACAGTCATATTTCGTGATTTTGACTATATAACCCTGCGAACGTACATGCTACTTTCTTGTCAGAGTGACATTCACAGATTGTGGCGTTGATATTATTTACCGATTTCCCAGAATATGGTGCGTGTCGGTTCCAGTTTGAATCTATATTTCAATGCAATTTGCAGGAAATGGACATCTTCATCGATTATCAAGGTTTTTATTTTATTTACAGTACACATGTTACTTGGAGAAACATTTTGTGCGTTATCAGTATGTACGGCTGGTTAAATACATGTTTTTACATAGATTTTCAATTTCTCTGTGATAATTTTCGAATTAGAACTATTGTAAAATGCAGTACTTGATGACGACTTATTTGGTATCCTATGATTGTTGTCATTTTCTAAATGGAAATCTATAATTCCCCTAGGTAGAGTAGAATATTGCCAACGTTTACCGAGAAACTTAATTTTCTTATCGTCTATGCAACTCTATTGGAGGCTGAACTATACTTTAGCGCATATCGCAAATATTTCATTTCTTATTTTAAAATGAAAGATTAGGATATAACTTGCACGAAAATATGATTTTTTCTTTAAGGAACCATCTGCTTGCCATTTTGTAGAACTTCAAAGTTGCATCTCGGGTGCTAATTCTGTTCTAAGCTGTTTTCTTCTTGTTTACACAATAGATTGTTCAAAATTATATGAATATAACATACACTGTAAGTTACTGTGATACTGTTCATCGCAATAATGCAATTTTACATTATTTTAATGATGAAAATAGTTCATTGTTAAGTAGTAATTTCTTTCAGATAATTATTCCCATCACTACACCGCCATCACTATTATATTCTCTCCGTCTAGTTGCGATGTTGCCAAATCATGGATACTAATGTACCTTAATTTGGTTTGTCAAATTCTTACTTATATATACTAAGTGACATATAAATCCGAACACCCAGTTTAAATGGTTTTATTTTAATAAAAGTTGGTGAATGTATTTATCTTACTGTAAGTAACAAGTGAAACATTTTTCAGCCTTATCAGTTGGACATTCCGGTTTTTATACTGCTTTTTTTTAATTCACTAACGCTCTAAAAATGAATATTTCAGCCGCAGTAAAGAATCAACGTTGGCGGATTTTGGTTCTTGACATTCTTTACGATCGGTTACGATGCCTAGAGTACGGAGACCTGTACGATTTCGTCAACTTAGTGAGTTTGATAGGGGCCGTATAGTGGGACTTCGGGAAGCTGGACTTTCTTTTCGGGCAATTGCAGTTAGAGTGCAAAGAAGTGTAGACACTGTGGTTAGGTGTTGTCAGGCATGGCTTCGAGAAGGCCGTACGCAAAGAGCAAGGGGCACTGGACGCCGCCGTAGAACAACAGACGCCTAAGATTATTGGCCTTAAGGGACCGTTTCTCCACTACCAGGTCCATTGCAAATGAATGGTTTGCAGAACACGGAAGACCTATTGGCATGCGAAGTGTTTACCGACGAATGAGAAGTTTTGGCTTGTTTTCATACCGGCCACACTGGGTCCTCCCTTTAACTCGAGAACACCGACGAACTCGCCTTGAGTGGTGCAGACAACGGTCACTCTGGGATCAGGAATGGAACAGTATTGTCTTTAGTGACGAGTCTCGATTTTGTTTAGGCATGCACGATGGTCGTGCCAGGGTTAGAAGGGGACGTGGTGAAAGGAGGAATCCACAGTTTTTTGTTGAAAGACATGTTCATCACACTGTTGGAGTTATGGTTTGGGGTGCTATAGCTTATGGTTCCAGGTCACCTTTAATCTTCATCAGAGGTAACATGAACGCGCAGCGTTATATCCACGAAGTTCTAGAACCCCATCTTTTACCCTATCTTGACACCCTGGCAGATCCAACTTTCCAACAAGATAATGCCCGACCACATGTTGCAAGAGTCACAATAGACTTCTTTCAACATAATGATGTCACATTGTTACAATGGCCACCAAGATCTCCCGACTTATCCCCAATTGAGCACGTGTGGGATATGATGGGTAGGAGATTGCTCAATTTGCAACGTCCTCCTCAGACTCTAGAAGCACTTCGAGAGGAGTTGGTGGTTGCCTGGAATGAGATACCACAGGAGGACATTGACCACCTGATCAGAAGCATGCCTAGGCGCGTAGGAGAATGCGTAGCACATCAGGGTGCATCCACACATTATTATAGGTCAAAGGGCTTTAAAGTAGTGCAATCATTTTGAAATTTTTATCATTTACTTATTATGCTTCATTAAGTACTTATACAAAATTTTATTAAAATAAAACCATTTAAACTGGGTGTTCGGATTTATATGTCACTTAGTATATTATTATACAAGAGGAAATATAGAGTTTCGTTTACAAAATTTCAATAGTAATATACCTGGCAAATCAATATTTCAGAAAGGATTACTTGAATTTAATGAACTAAATAATTATATAAAGTGTACTTGTAATTTAAAAATCTTTAAAAGAAAATTAAAGGAATATTCGATGGACAGTGAAACTTCTTAGAGACGCAAGTTTTGTTTTCCAATATCTGTAAGTTGTGTAATGTAGTTTTTTAAAAGAAAGTAATCATGTTAAATAAATCTTAAACAACAAAAAATATTGTTCATAGTTTTACTGCACATGTCCTTCACTTTAGATCTGTATAGTACTGACGAGCTCTGATAAGGTCGAAACATCACATGTAACTAGTTGAGATGACGATACACAAAAAACAGACTGACGAATAACAGAAAGCATTAAGTAATTTCCATTTTTTTTTCAGGGACACAAACCAGTGGAGCGACAAAAAAGAACGCGAGAAGTGAAAGAACATTTCGAGCCCCCGACACTTATCGTGGCCATAATGACGCACATCAGTTTTTATATTCTCATGTTTCTCGGCTACCTCAGCCAGATGCTGTTCCCGCCAAAAGTGATCAAAGAAACAAACAGAGATGGGTATAGACCGATGTTCGATAGGTAAGGTTGCACGGAATTGGAGGGCTTGGGACAGTAAGGTGCCTAAGCCACATAATAATAATAATTTATTGATGGTATTACACAGAAATGCGTTTGCACAAGTCGGTTAAAGTAGAATAGTCAGTAAAAACAACAAACAATTGCGTAAATAAGACAAACTTGAAACACACAGTGGCAATAAAAGATAAAAACGTTAATAAAATCAAAGGTAAAATCTACGAGCCTCTTCCCACTTCAGTTGACTCACGTCAAGATTTGTACCAAAATATGCCGGCGACGTGGTGAAAGGAGGAATCCAGAGTTTTTTGTTGAAAGACATGTTCATCACACTGTTGGAGTTATGGTTTGGGGTGCTATAGCTTATGGTTCCAGGTCACCTTTAATCTTCATCAGAGGTAACATGAACGCGCAGCGTTATATCCACGAAGTTCTAGAACCCCATCTTTTACCCTATCTTGACACCCTGGCAGATCCAACTTTCCAACAAGATAATGCCCGACCACATGTTGCAAGAGTCACAATAGACTTCTTTCAACATAATGATGTCACATTGTTACCATGACCACCAAGATCTCCCGACTTATCCCCAATTGAGCACGTGTGGGATATGATGGGTAGGAGATTGCTCAATTTGCAACGTCCTCCTCAGACTCTAGAAGCACTTCGAGAGGAGTTGGTGGTTGCCTGGAATGAGATACCACAGGAGGACATTGACCACCTGATCAGAAGCATGCCTAGGCGCGTTGGAGAATGCGTAGCACGTCAGGGTGCATCCACACATTATTAAAGGTCAAAGGGCTTTAAAGCAGTGCAATCATTTTGAAATTTTTATCATTTACTTATTATGCTTCATTAAGTACTTATACAAAATTTTATTAAAATGAAACCATTTAAACTGGGTGTTCGGATTTATATGTCACTTAGTATATTAACTGGTGAAAACTGCTGTAAAGGACTGGTTTTCAGCAAGTTTTCCCGAAGAAACCCTCTTAGACATGAAAATCGTGTAAAGATTAAAATTTCAATTTTATTTTCAGATTTACAGCGTTTTACCTGCGATACGTCTACAGGCGGATCAAAGACTGTTGGAATTATCCTATTTGTAGTGTGCCTGGAAGTGAAGTCGTTTTGAAAGAGCGCGTCACGAATGATAACGGCTGGACATTCCAGTAAGTTTTGAATTCATTGTTTGTTGTAGATTTATTTAGGATTAGTGCTACAATATCAATGTCACACAGTAACGTATGCCCTAAAAGTTTTCCTCGAAACATGCCGCAGGCTCGCCTAATAGAGGATTTTTGGGGTTTACCGTCTAGGAAGGTTTGTCATGGAGGCTGGAAAGCCCAAGACGAAGAACAATTAAGAAAAACTCTAAATTCTGCTCTTTAAATAAATTTCTTCATTAAAAAAATCCCACAAATACTTTATGCCAAAACTGTAGAAATTATTTATCTAAAAGGATGCAAGTTACAAAAGTTAATGACACTATTTCATCAAGAATTGAAAATACGTTGGGTGTTCCACAGGGAAGTATCCTGGGACCACTTCTTTTTATTTTATACATAAATGATTTACCTGCCGTAGTCAAAAAATGCAAAATTCAGATGTTCGCCGATGACACTATGATTTATACGTAGTCGTGCCATAAGTTCTGTCCCATGATAATCTCATGATAAAAATGAAACAAGATAAGATATATTTATATGAAAGATATTATTTATTCGACAACATTTTTAGAATTCATAATCAAACAGTTTTATTCAAAATGTCCCCCCTTGGCCTTCACACACTGCTTCAATCTCGCGGGCCACTCATCTATCACTGCACGCACAGCTTCCAAAGGAATAGCTGCCGCTGATCGGATCAAATCCGCTTTCAGGGACTCGATATTACGGTGGGCTTTGGAGCAGGCCAACTGCTCTAGCAGGTCCCACAACTTGTAGTCTAAAGGATTGAGGTCCGGACTCCCTGAGGGCCAATCTTCCGCAGCAATGAACTCTGGCACATTGCTTTCCAGCCAGCGCTGCGTACTCTTAGCCTTGTGAGCGGGGGCGGAATCCTGCTGGTAGACCCAGTGTTTGTTGGCAAACAATGTACCACTTAAAGGCTTGACGATAGGATCCAGTATGTCGCTCTGATAGTTTGCCGCTTTTGTTTTCACGCCCTGTTTACAGAAATGGAGCTGAGTGACCCCTTCGTAGGACACCCCCCACCAAACCATGACTGACGCAGGGTGGTGGTCTCTCTCAACTCTCGGAATGATCTCCGAAGCTTCCTGTGAACTCCTTGTATACACTTTGTCATTTTGTCGGTTGAATTTTTCTTCTATGGTGAAGATTTTCTCATCCGTGAACAAAATCTTTCGGAATCCCCCAGCTGCGTACCTCTCCAAGAGCTTCTTGGATCTTGTCGCCCTGATGTGTCGCAAGGTGGCCGTAAGTCGCTGGCCCGTACGTCTCCGGTAAGCCCCTAGCCCTAGGTCTTGTTTAATGATGCGCGACATCGTCCGGACAGGAATCTTCATTTCCCTGGATAGGATCTTCTGCTTCCGGAGTGGATTCCTTTGAATCCTGGCTTTTACGGCTTTGATGGCTGCTGGAGTCCTTACTTGACGAGGTCTTCCGCTTCTTGGCCTGTCATCAACAGAGGACGTCTCATTGTACCGCTGAATGGTCCTAGACACAAATTTACGCGATATTTGAAGGCCGCGTAAGAGTTCAAAAATCTGACTAGCACTGTGATTACACTTATGTAAAGCTATCACTGCAATACGGTTCTCTGCCTTGCCCCACTCCATCGTTATGCTTCGAGAGATCAATACAAACTGAGGTATATGTAATTACCCGAAAAGCGCTTAATCAACTGACACCACAATGTAAACAATCGGACAAGTATTAACAGGTCTACACTTGTTTGAAAACGAGGGACAGAACTTATGGCATGACTACGTATAAGTACTAAAAATATTCAGACTGATATCTCTTATATAAATGAAGACTTGAAACTTGTCTCAAATTGGTTAGCATCATCAAAATTAAATACAAGTAAAACGAAAGCCTTGTTAATCGGAAAAATACAATGTACAAATGTTCAACTGAATATTGATGGTGAAGATATTGAATTCGTAGAAAATTTTAAATACCTGGGGGTTTTTGTTGACTCGATTAATTTTTGATATTCATTATGAAAAAGTTTTAAATAACATTAGTAGTAAAGTGGGATATTTATCGAGAGTTTCTGGATGTCTGTGAGTTCATATAGCAGAAAAATTATCTAAAATACCATCATTCTAAATTTCTTGTACTGTTCGACTATTCTATATTTAGCAAATAATTCCATTTTTGAAAGGCTGCAAATTTTACAAAATGAGTGCATGAGAATCATACTAAATAAAGATAAATATACTCCAATTAGGCAAATGCTTAGCAAATTAAAACGGCTCAATGTAAAAATTTTTATCAAATATCTTGTAATGATATTCATTTATAAAGTAAAAAATAATATATTTCCATCAAGTCTAACTAATTTAATATCATCCAATGTCGACCATCATTTGCATAATACCAGAAATAAAGATGACTTCTATTTAATGACCAAAAAGTATAACATATGCTACAAATCTGTATTCCATCAAGGGTTGATTGAATATAATAAATTATACTCGGAGATAAAAGACCAGAAAACTTTGACAAAATTTAAAGTAAAATTGAGAAATCACTTGTTAAATCTACAATTATAGGTTGCCCAGTATTTACATCATACACCATATGGCTTGAATTTACTAGTTCTAAGTTGTTTACAATTATTCTGTTTATGTAGCCAAATGTGCTAAATAAATCTTTCTACTGCTACTACTACATACGTTTTACTAATGTATCATCAGCATATATTTGACTATAGTTGATATATAAAATAAATAATAATGGACCTAACTGACATTTTATGCTTATTCGACATTTTGATAGTACTACTTTGTTCCAGATTCACAGGTTCAAAAAGGAAATGCCTTAATCTAGCTTCGTATAATTATTTGGGTTTTTCGGAAAACACTGGCCCCTGTTCAGAGCATGCGATAGCTTCATTGTATAAATATGGAGTTACCACTGGAGGCACAAGGTAAATATTTGTAAAAATTGTTTTCGTTCCACTATTCTTGCCCGAAGATAAATATGCTTTATTGTTTGAAGACTCTTATCCACTAAATTGAATCAAATAAAAATATAACAGTATCTATATAAGGTGTCCCAAGATTCCGTGGATACGTATGTTTATTAAAATTCCATTCTGCGTCTTGTTCTAAACGAATTTAGTATTACGGTATAGGGGGAGACGTTTTCAAACTCTTTGATTTCTTATAGACAGCAAAACGGTACGTGCGAGATCCACAGGCAACTGGAGCGTCTCATGGCCGAATTTCTCGGCGTTGAAGACGCGATCACTTTCGGCATGGGTTTCGCGACCAACGCCCTCAACATCCCTGCTCTGATCGCGCCAGGTTGTCTCGTAATCAGCGATGAGAAAAACCACGCCAGTTTGATTGTCGGCATCCGACTGTCTGGGGCTACAGTCAAGGTGTTTCGGCATAACAGTAAGTGATCCTCGTTTTCTTTCTTTTTTTCTTCTTCAATTCTTTCTTCCTGATTCTGTCTGGTGTCTAGGCCACCCAACCTGACTTCATTTCATTCCTTTACCGGTTCTGTCTGATGTTTAGTTGACAATACAATTAGGCTCATGATTGGTGATGAAAAAATCGATGCCTCAATGAAGTTGGCCGAAATAACAAAACTACGTTTTTTATGAAATTTTACATATTAGCGGAAACTTATTAAAAACTAAAATGTATTTCTGGTAACAAACGATATTAACCTAAAATACTACATTTTTTGTAGTAGTAGTAGTAGTAGAAAGATTTATTTAGCACATTTGGCTCCTTAAACAGAATACTTGTAAACCACTTAGAATTAGTAAACTCAAGCCATATGATGTATGATGTAAATCCTGGGCAAGCTATAATTGTAGATTTAACAAGTGATTCCTCAGTTTTACTTTAAATTTTGTCAAAGTTTTCTGGTCTTTTATCTCTGTGTATAATTTATTATATTCAATCAACCCTTGATGGAATACAGATTTAATAATAATAAATCTTTATTTCAAAATAACATTGCATGATTACAATGTATTATACACTGTTAGGTGAAATATACGTCACAGTGTCATCAAAACAGAAAAAACAAAGAGACAAAACATATAACATAATAGAGATATTACATTTCAATATATTCTTGAAGGTCATATGGTTCTAAGTGCATTAACAATTGATAAATACACTTTTTATATTCTTGTATATCTGCCAACCTTTTAATTTCTTGTGTTAACTTATTATATATTTTAGTGCAGCTGACATTTTTTTCAGTAACCGTGAGATGATGGACTGGATACAGAAGATTTATATTTCTTGTGTTACAGTCACTTCGTGGGTTACCGATAAAATTGTTAATATTTTTAAATGTAAAAATTAGAATCTCTTGAATATATATTGTGGCTACAGTTGAAATTTTATTACTCTTAAATTTTTTTTTAGCATATGTTATACTTTTTGGTCATTAAATGGAAGTCATCTTTATTTCTGGTATTATGTAAATGATGGTCGGCATTTGATGATGTTAAATTAGTTAGACTTGATGGAAATATATTATTTTTTACTTTATAAATGAATATCATTACAAGATATTCGATAAATTTTTTTACATTGAGCCATTTTAATTTGCTAGGCATTTGTCTAGTTGAAGTATATATATTTAGCTTTATTCAGTATTATTCTCATGCACATTTTGCAAAATTTGCAGTCTTTTAAAAATGGAATTATTTACTAAATATAGAATAGTCGAACAGTACAAGAAATTTGGAAGAATGATGGTATTGTAGATAATTTTTCTGCTATATGAACTCAGACATCCAGAAACTCTTGATAAATATCCCTCTTTACTACTAATCTTATTTATAACTTTTTCATAATGAATATCAAAAATTAATCGAGAGTCAACAAAAACCCCCAGGTAAAAAAAAAACGTCACAAAATTAAATAGTCATTATCATAAATACGACACTAGAGGCAGTATAGATTTTCATCTGCAAAATTGTAATAGTAGCATAACTCGCAAATATGCAAGTCAAAAAGAAGAATTTAATATTTTGGATAATGCTATTAAACAGTGTTCAAATTTAAAGATGTTTAAGGTGAAATTAAAAAATCTTTTTATGAACACCCAAAATGCACAATGTAATTTTAGTAGGCAAGAACGGAAAATTACAAAAAACTGATTAAAAAAGGCGAGATTTAGATAATATACTAAGTGACATATAAATCCGAACACCCAGTTTAAATGGTTTTATTTTAATAAAATTTTGTATAAGTACTTAATGAAGCATAATAAGTAAATGATAAAAATTTCAAAATGATTGCACTGCTTTAAAGCCCTTTGATCTTTAATAATGTGTGGATGCACCCTGATGTGCTACGCATTCTCCAACGCGCCTAGGCATGCTTCTGATCAGGTGGTCAATGTCCTCCTGTGGTATCTCATTCCAGGCAACCACCAACTCCTCTCGAAGTGCGTCTAGAGTCTGAGGAGGACGTTGCAAATTGAGCAATCTCCTACCCATCATATCCCACACGTGCTCAATTGGGGATAAGTCGGGAGATCTTGGTGGCCATGGTAACAATGTGACATCATTATGTTGAAAGAAGTCTATTGTGACTCTTGCAACATGTGGTCGGGCATTATCTTGTTGGAAAGTTGGATCTGCCAGGGTGTCAAGATAGGGTAAAAGATGGGGTTCTAGAACTTCGTGGATATAACGCTGCGCGTTCATGTTACCTCTGATGAAGATTAAAGGTGACCCAAACCATAACTCCAACAGTGTGATGAACATGTTTTTCAACAAAAAACTGTGGATTCCTCCTTTGACCACGTCACCTTCTAACCCTGGCACGACCATCGTGCATGCCTAAACAAAATCGAGACTTGTCACTAAAGACAATACTATTCCATTCCTGATCCCAGAGTGACCGTTGTCTGCACCACTCAAGGCGATTACGTCGGTGTTCTAGAGTTAAAGGGAGGACCCAGTGTGGCCGGTATGAAAACAAGCCAAAACTTCTCATTCGTCGGTAAACACTTCGCATGCCAATAGGTCTTCCGTGTTCTGCAAACCATTCATTTGCAATGGACCTGGTAGTGGAGAAAGGGTCCCTTAAGGCCAATAATCTTAGGCGGCGATCTTCACGGTCTGTTGTTCTACGGCGGCGTCCAGTGCCCCTTGCTCCTTGCGTACGGCCTTCTCGAAGCCATGCCTGACAACACCTAACCACAGTGTCTACACTTCTTTGCACTCTAGCTGCAATTGTCTGAAAAGAAAGTCCAGCTTCCCGAAATCCCTATCAAACTCACTAAGTTGACGAAATCGTACAGGTCTCTGTACTCTAGGCATCGTAACCGATCGTAAAGGATGTCAAGAACCAAAATCCGCCAACGTTGATTCTTTACTGCGGCTGAAATATTCATTTTTAGAGCGTTAGTGAATTAAAAAAAAAGCAGTATAAAAACCGCAATGTCCAACTGATAAGGCTTTTCACTTGTTATTTACAGTAAGATAAATACATTCACCAACTTTCATTAAAATAAAACCATTTAAACTGGGTGTTCGGATTTATATGTTACTTAGTATATATCTATGCTAACATGTAACCTTTTTTTTTTAGTTACAATTTAAACCGATATAAAATACAACTAATGCTCTTCTGGAAGATACTATATGGAAAACATTTTTAGGAATCAAAAAAACTTTTGGATGATAGTATTAGCTACTCCCGTCTGGTTTAATAATTTGATTTTCTTTAAAGATATGAAACATCTGGAGAAGGTTCTGCAAGAAGCCATCTACTACGGTCAGCCGAAATGCGCGACGCATACGCCTTGGAAGAAGATTGTGATAATTGTAGAGGGCGTTTACAGTATGGAAGGTACCATCGTCCATTTGCCACAGGTACTTACAGAGTAGGAATTTGATTCTTTATCATTCGCAATATGTGATTTACTTAGAAGAAATCTTTTCATTTTTTATATGGTATTTTGAGTCATGTTTATAAAATTGGGGAATCATTATTTTTTCTTCTATGCTTTCTATTTTTATTTTTCTTTTATTTCGCTTCATTATTGAGTTATTTTTTGGTTCATGTTTTCCAACATTTTATACTAAGTGACATATAAATCCGAACACCCAGTTTAAATGGTTTTATTTTAATAAAAGTTGGTGAATGTATTTATCTTACTGTAAATAACAAGTGTTTTTCAGCCTTATCAGTTGGACATTCCGGTTTTTATACTGCTTTTTTTTAATTCACTAACGCTCTAAAAATTAATATTTCAGCCGCAGTAAAGAATCAACGTTGGCGGATTTTGGTTCTTGACATCCTTTACGATCGGTTACGATGTCTAGAGTACGGAGACCTGTACGATTTCGTCAACTTAGTGAGTTTGATAGGGGCCGTATAGTGAGACTTCGGGAAGCTGGACTTTCTTTTCGGGCAATTGCAGTTAGAGTGCAAAGAAGTGTAGACACTGTGATTAGGTGTTGTCAGGCATGGCTTCGAGAAGGCCGTACGCAAAGAGCAAGGGCCACTGGACGCCGCCGTAGAACAACAGACCGTGAAGATCGCCGCCTAAGATTATTGGCCTTAAGGGACCGTTTCTCCACTACCAGGTCCATTGCAAATGAATGGTTTGCAGAAAACGGAAGACCTATTGGCATGCGAAGTGTTTACCGACGAATGAGAAGTTTTGGCTTGTTTTCATAGCGGCCACACTGGGTCCTCCCTTTAACTCGAGAACACCGACGTAATCGCCTTGAGTGGTGCAGACAACGGTCACTCTGGGATCAGGAACGGAACAGTATTGTCTTTAGTGACGAGTCTCGATTTTGTTTAGGCATGCACGATGGTCGTGCCAGGGTTAGAAGGCGACGTGGTGAAAGGAGGAATCCACAGTTTTTTGTTGAAAGACATGTTCATCACACTGTTGGAGTTATGCTTTGGGGTGCTATAGCTTATGGTTCCAGGTCACCTTTAATCTTCATCAGAGGTAACATGAACGCGCAGCGTTCTAGAACCCCATCTTTTACCCTATCTTGACACCCTGGCAGATCCAACTTTCCAACAAGATAATGCTCGACCACATGTTGCAAGAGTCACAATAGACTTCTTTCAACATAATGATGTCACATTGTTACCGTGGCCACCAAGATCTCCCGACTTATCCCCAACTGAGCACGTGTGGGATATGATGGGTAGGAGATTGCTGAATTTGCAACGTCCTCCTCAGACTCTAGAAGCACTTCGAGAGGAGTTGGTGGTTGCCTGGAATGAGATACCACAAGAGGACATTGACCACCTGATCAGAAGCATGCCTAGGCGCGTTGGAGAATGCGTAGCACATCAGGGTGCATCCACACATTATTAAAGGTCAAATGGCTTTAAAGCAGTGCAATCATTTTGAAATTTTTATCATTTACTTATTATGCTTCATTAAGTACTTATACAAAATTTTATTAAAATAAAACCATTTAAACTGGGTGTTCGGATTTATATGTCACTTAGTATATTTACATCATCATATAAAATAAACCTATTTAACTATATTTAAATAAGCTGTGATAAACGTGCTGGATCTCAGAGCTGAGTATTGTATCTAACTTCAAAGATAGGTCGTATTGATGAGATCCAATGAAAGCAAAACAGGCGCGTCTTCGATTGGCTTAGACGATGATGTATAGAAAGCAACGTATCATCTTAATGCCATTTGTAGGTTATAGCCTTGAAGAAGAAGTACAAAGCCTACCTGTACCTGGACGAAGCGCACAGCATCGGAGCGATGGGCCGTAGAGGTGGCGGGGTTGTCGACTATTTCGGCTGTGATCCTAAAGATATCGACATTCTGATGGGTACATTCACGAAAAGCTTCGGGTCGCACGGCGGATACATCGCCGGCACGAAGGTATGTATACATAAAGTATTTCAACAGGTTCTTAGACAGGTAATAACATGGAAGAAAAAGATTTGTTGGGTCAGGAAGCGAACACCATTTGGCAGATGCTGAACTACGAAATTAGCACCTCGAAGATTTTAAAAATATGCTGCGAATGTCTGAAGATCGTTTTAATTTCCTCATGTAATGCGTTTCACCACACAACATGTGCACCCATAAGGGGGTAGTAAAATATACCTAATTGGGTACCCTTTTATTGAGCAACCAGTGTCGTGTGTTTTTACACGCTTTTATTAGCTTGGCTTGTAACGAAATCTTTGAGCATAATTTTCACCGATTTCCAGAAGTTTGATTAATTTGAAACTTCGCAACTTTATTCAAAAAAAATATCTAATGATTTAATCATTAAAAACATATTGCCCCTTTCTTGTAGGAATTCATCAGCTACCTCCGTCAACACAGCTTCGCCTCAGCACACGCTTGGGCGATGGCTCCCCCCTTAGCCGCCCAGATAGTCTCGGTATTGGAGACGCTGATGGGCAGAGATGGAACCGACGAGGGCCGCAGAAGAATCGAACAATTGGCACGGAACACGCGCTACGTCAGGTTAAGGCTCGAGCAGATCGGGGTCATCATACACGGGTGTGACGATTCGCCTGTGGTGCCTATACTCGTTTATCTCTACTCGAAAATTGCGTAAGTATAGTCATTGGTCATTTTATGCCGAGGTGTATCAAAGAATCTACAAATTCATGATGATTATGGAAACAAGTTGCCCCAGGATACTTGCTTGAGGAACACCCAATGAGTTTGTTGTACAGATTTCAGTTATTTAGCTCTGCGCGAGTTATCAATGGATGTATCTTGGACGTTAATCCTTTTATTAAGAAGAGCTATAATTTTATTTAAATTGGTAGTTTTGATGGAGTGGAAAATATTGATGAATTTCATGTTTTACCTTCTGCAGAATTCATTAATTAAAAAATAATCTTTTTCACTGGATAATTTGAAAATTTGCACGATTCGAATTTGACAATTTAAAAAAAATGAAATTTAGTAAAAAAATTGGTTTTGAAAATTTGGAAAATGATTTGTAGATTTCTAAATTTAAAAGAATGGAATGGAATGAAAAAACTTTTCCAATGATTAACTTGAAAATTCGAATGGCCAATAATCTTGGAAAAAAATGGAAATTTAGGAAGAAAATTGGTTTTAAAAATTTGGAAAATAATTTGGAAATTTAAAAAACATTAGAAGTAATTTCATATCTATTGTCAAATATAAAATATACCAAAAATTGAAGTTCTTGATTATAAGTACTTTTGTTGTCGTTTTGAGACTAAAAATTTAGAAAATAAATTATATACTAAGTGACATATAAATCCGAACACCCAGTTTAAATGGTTTTATTTTAATAAAATTTTGTATAAGTACTAAATGAAGCATAATAAGTTAATGATAAACATTTCAAAATGATTGCACTGCTTTAAAGCCCTTTGACCTTTAATAATGTGTGGATGCACCCTGATGTGCTACGCATTCTCCAACGCGCCTAGGCATGCTTCTGATCAGGTGGTCAATGTCCTCCTGTGGTATCTCATTCCAGGCAACCACCAACTCCTCTCGAAGTGCTTCTAGAGTCTGAGGAGGACGTTGCAAATTGAGCAATCTCCTACCCATCATATCCCACACGTGCTCAGTTGGGGATAAGTCGGGAGATCTTGGTGGCCATGGTAACAATGCGACATCATTATGTTGAAAGAAGTCTATTGTGACTCTTGCAACATGTGGTCGGGCATTATCTTGTTGGAAAGTTGGATCTGCCAGGGTGTCAAGATAGGGTAAAAGATGGGGTTCTAGAACTTCGTGGATATAACGCTGCGCGTTCATGTTACCTCTGATGAAGATTAAAGGTGACCTGGAACCATAAGCTATAGCACCCCAAACCATAACTCCAATAGTGTGATGAACATGTCTTTCAACAAAAAACTGTGGATTCCTCCTTTCACCACGTCGCCTTCTAACCCTGGCACGACCATCGTGCATGCCTAAACAAAATCTACACTCGTCACTAAAGACAATACTGTTCCATTCCTGATCCCAGAGTGACCGTTGTCTGCACCACTCAAGGCGATTACGTCGGTGTTCTCGAGTTAAAGGGAGGACCCAGTGTGGCCGGTATGAAAACAAGCCAAAACTTCTCATTCGTCGGTAAACACTTCGCATGCCAATAGGTCTTCCGTGTTCTGCAAACCATTCATTTGCAATGGACCTGGTAGTGGAGAAACGGTCCCTTAAGACCAATAATCTTAGGCGGCGATCTTCACGGTCTGTTGTTCTACGGCGGCGTCCAGTGCCCCTTGCTCTTTGCGTACGGCCTTCTCGAAGCCATGCCTGACAACACCTAACCACAGTGTCTACACTTCTTTGCACTCTAACTGCAATTGCCCGAAAAGAAAGTCCAGCTTCCCGAAGTCCCACTATACGGCCCCTATCAAACTCACTAAGTTGACGAAATCGTACAGGTCTCCGTACTCTAGGCATCGTAACCGATCGTAAAGGATGTCAAGAACCAAAATCCGCCAACGTTGATTCTTTACTGCGGCTGAAATATTCATTTTTAGAGCGTTAGTGAATTAAAAAAAGCAGTATAAAAACCGGAATGTCCAACTGATAAGGGTGAAAATTTTTCACTTGTTATTTACAGTAAGATAAATACATTCACCAACTTTTATTAAAATAAAACCATTTAAACTGGGTGTTCGGATTTATATGTCACTTAGGATAGTATAGACACTTTAATAGCAAATCGAACTAAAAATTAGAGAATAAATTGCAAGTATAGGAGAATTTCTGTTGATGCAACAGAACATCCTACAATCAAGTATGATTTAGATTATTTAGAATAAGATCGATATAAAAATAAAAATTAAGATATTTACAAAAACATTTAAGTAAAAATAACTCCAAAGTTGTAAATAGCAACTAAAAAAATAAATCAAGCATCCCTTAGTTTTTTACCTTAATTGGATTTTTTTTTAATGTCTTAATTTTTGATTGATCTTATAATATTCTTCTATACTTTGAAATTATGTTTTACTTTTAAGTTCGATTTGCTATTAATCGTGTTTTATTTTATTTTTTGCAAACTACAGTTTATTATGTATTGTGTCACTATTTACATTATTGAATCCAAGAAGCATATAAAACTCTTGCATTTTGTCCTACATTAAAAAAAATAGTAATTGTTTTGTTTGTTGTTTATTTAGCATGATTGATACAATTACATTCTTTTAAAAAACTACAACAATTACGTAATGTACAAATATTCCAAGAAACAAAACTTGCATATCTAAGAATTTTCACTGTCTATGAAATGTTCCCTTAAATTTTCTTTTAAATACATTTAAATTACAAGTAGACTTTATACCATTATTTAGTTCATTAAAATTAAGTAATCCCTTCTAAAATATTGATTTGCTAGATACATTACTATTGCAGTTTTGTAAATGGAAATCTATGTTTCCTAGTATAGCATATACAGGGTGTTTCAGTTTATTGTTGCATAACTTTAAGATTCGATAGAACTTTTAAAATTAATGCATAAAGTCTATATAAACAAGGGTCAAAAAATGCGTAGCTTCCGAAATACAGGATGTTTAAATTTACTTTCTAAAATAGTTTTTTTTAAATATTCCGAACAATATTTGATGTATAATAGTGAAAATTGGTATACAAGGGTTTTTTGGTACGACAAAACGAACCATGGGCATAGTTTTACTGTAGCCGCTAGAGGGCGCTCTCTACTGTACCTGTAGTGTATTAAAATGACCGAAAAAATTTTCTTAGTGCAATGTTTAGCCTTTTGAATAAAAAAACTGATTATTCGCACGTTTCTGCATAAAAAAGCTCTCCTGTGAGTTTTCGTTATAGTTAGCCGTTTTTGAGATATTTCGATTTTTAAGGTTCGATGCATTTTTAATTATTTATGGGAAAATAATATTTTTTTTTTACATTTTGGATTGGGCATTACAAGTAATTAAGATGATCGTTTAGATTGTGTTTTTAAACACAGCAATAATTCCTAACTCCAAATAAACACAAACCGAATTTTTAAAGGCTGAACATGCAAATATGTGGGATGATGTTATGTTAGATTTAAGAAGATTGGCCTGGTTCCAGCTTGATGGTTGTCCGGCTCATTATTCGAGAATAGTTAGAAACTGGCTGGACGAAAATTATCCAGAAAGATGGATCGGCCGTGGAGGAGCAGTCGCCTGGCCTCCACGATCCCCTGTCCTAAATCCATTAGATTTCTTTGTGTGGGGATTTCTAAAATAAAAAGTGTACCAGACTCCCGTAACTACATGAGGTATGCTAATAGACAGAATCAGGAATGCATGTGATGAAATAAGGCCTTATTTGAATAATGCTATACCACGTTCGATCATTCGTAGATGTGAATTGTGTATTGAACAATTGGGTTTACATTTCGAGCAACTACTTTAGATTTTGTATATTGGTCCTAACTATCCAATAGCATTTTAGTTGTAAATAATTAATTTAATTTGTTAAAAATAATATTGGAAAATTAAACAAATTAATATTCTGTTTTTTGTGTTTATTTGGAGTTAGGAATTATTGCTGTGTTTAAAAACACAATCTAAACGATCATCTTACTTACTTGTAATGCCCAATCGAAAATGTAAAAAAAAAATATTATTTTCAGATAAATAATTAAAAATGCATCGAACCTTAAATATCGAAATATCTCAAAAATGGCTAACTATATCGAAAACTCACAGGAGAGCTTTTTTATGCAGAAAAGTGCGAAGAATCAGTTTTTTTATTCAAAAAGCAAAAAATTGCACTAAGAAAAATTTTTCGGTCATTTTAATACACTACAGGTACAGTAGAGAGCGCCCTCTAGCGGCTACAGTAAAACTATGCCCATGGTTCGTTTTGTCGTACCAAAAAAACCCTCGTATAGCAATTTTCACTGTTATACATCAAATATTGTTCGAAATATTTAAAAAAAAACTATTTTAGAATGTAAATATAAACACCCTTTATTTCGGAAGCCACGCATTTTTCGACCCGTGTTTATATAGACTTTATGCATTAATTTTAAAAGTTCTATCGAATCTTAAAGTTATGCAACAATAAACTGACACACCCTGTATAATAATATATACTATACTATAGTATATAATAGTATTTTCGTTTGAGTATATCCCTATTAGAATGCAGTCCCGATAAAAAATGTTTAAAGTCAATTTTATCCATCAAATGACTTCGTTACATGACACATTGATTTTCAAATATCAACAAACGATCGAATTTATTCAGCGCCATGGTCCGCATCCTGATCGAACACCGCATAGCAACGGTAGGCGTCGGTTATCCCGCCACCCCTTTGACCCAAGGCCGAATCAGGATTTGCCTTTCGGCGGCGCACACCAAAGAACAGCTGGACTACGCTTTAGACGTCATAGAAAAAGTCGCCGACGAACTAGGATTGAAATATTCCCGGCGACCGAGAGATCTCACACCCATAGATTATCACAAAATCAAAGTTTATACCGAAGAGTCATTGTAAGTTTACAGACAAAACGTCACTTTCGGACTCGTCACAAGAAGAAAGTGGTGTTATCGGTGTGATTCAACCAGTAGTATTGTCGACTTTGCTTTAGGCCAGCTGTTAGCACGTGGAGGTTGGGATATATGGAAGAAGAACGGCCCTCAAATATATTCACAAATAGCATGTTTTGGGGCGTTGGGCCAACTTCACTGAGACAGGCAATTAAAACGACTTTCAGCTCACCCTTGATAAAAATCTTCGTGCCTCCTTTTCCGATGTTAAACAAGCTACGTAAAGACGCGCACTGTCAATCATGGGCGGTGCGAAAATTTTGTCGAGAGGGAGCTTAAAATCATTTTGTTTCCCAAAATAGATGCGTCCACAAATACAGGGTGTTCGGAAAGTTGGGACTTTCCTTTTCAGAAACGACTACGTTTGTAGACAAAGCGAATATGTGAAGAAACAACAGCGAAAACAAAATCGAAAAGAAATTTAAAGTCAACTAGTTCGCGAACGAACTGTTTTACACAAGAATAATGTCAGTAAAAGTACCCACTTTGAGGACATCTTGTATATTTAATAAAAGTCAAAGGCTATCAGAATAACTCTCAAAGAGCAAAAATTCACAGTGATGGGTGTTAAAATTGTATATTTCTGGGCGTGATTAAAATGTCACACCCTTTATCACAGAAGCATCTAGACCTAGACGCTTTTTGGAGTCCATTTGCGTGAAGAAATCGTTACTCTATATAGAATCCCAACTTTCATGATAAGTAGGCTCGTGTTTACGTAGGGAAGAGCTTCGTGAATGTTCAAAATAGCAATTTTTTTTACTCAATATTTGTTATTAAATAATCTGAGCTTGATAAGCACGGCAATATTGCCTATTCGAGGTGAAATAGCGCGCGATTTGATTTTTGGGCTTCTGTTGACGTTTGGTTTATTGTTTTTGTACGAAAATTAAGTTTTTCACATCACGGAGCTCGACAGATTTGCGCATCTTTGACATGCCAGCAAAATACGGGTGAATGAAGGAGATATATTGCTTGCTTGATAGTTTGAAGGCTGTACATATCACTCAAAAACGCGCCGTCGCGTCGCGTTTTTCGCTACCTCTCTTTATATAATTACTATAATAGGTATATTTATTATACAGCTGCTATGCAGGGTGTCCGATTTTAATCTGTCCACGGGAATATTTCGGAAAACACTAGAAGAAAAAGTTTGCAACAAAAGCTTTATGCCTTCGAGGTGACCTTGAGCACGACCTTCATCGCAATTTTCAAGGATCGAGAAAGAAATTTGACATTCATCGTCAATTGTCATTGTGTCATGTTGTGGTTATGCGTTATCGTCGAATGTATTTCGTATTCCGTCTTGAGGAATAGAAATCATTAAAGTTTCATTCAAGCTCCTCTAGTATTTTTATTACCAGTACCCTTCACATGTAAACGTGTAAAATTTTGAGGGGACCTTGGAGGCGATAAAGGACATTGTCAAGGTCACCTTTAGGCGGCTCCCACATCACTGTCTTGATTTGACCTTGAAGGCCAGGTCATATTTTGGCGTAAAATCTCCTTTCCAATTTCTGTATAAAAGGGTGGGTCATTTTGAAAATATTCGCATGACCTTGAAGGTGATAAAGGTCATTGTCAAGGACATCTTTGCGCGGCTATAGCAAATTGTTTTCACTAACCTAGAAGGCCAGGTGATGCTCATATTTGAGCGTAAAATCTCCTCCTTTTTCCAATTTCTATATAAAAAGGTAGGTCATCTTGAAAATATTCGCATGACCTTGAAGGTGATAAAGGTCGTTGTCAAGGTCCTCTTTGCGCGGCTCGCACATATCTCACAACTGTGCTATCGAACATTTTTGCTATAGCAAATTGTTTTCACTAACCTTGAAGGCTAGGTGATGGTCATATTTGAGCGTAAAATCTCCTCCTTTTTCCAATTTCTATATAAAAAGGTAGGTCATCTTGAAAATATTCGCATGACCTTGTAGGTGATAAAGTTCGTTGTCAAGGTCCTCTTTGCGCGGCTCGCACATATCTCACAACTGTGCTATCGAACATTTTTGCTATAGCAAATTGTTTTCACTAACCTTGAAGGCTATGTGATGGTCATATTTGAGCGTAAAATCTCCTCCTTTTTCCAATTTCTATATAAAAAGGTAGGTCATTTTGAAAATATTCGCATGACCTTGAAGGTGATAAAGGTCATTGTCAAGGTCCTCTTTGCGCGGCTTGCACATATCTCACAACTGTGCTGTCGAACATTTTTGCTATAGCAAATTGTTTTCACTGATCTTGAAGGCCAGGTGATGGTCATATTTGAGCGTAAAATCTCCTCCTTTTTCCAATTTCTGTATAAAAGGGTGGGTCGTTTTGAAAATATTCGCATGACCTTGAAGGTGATAAAGGTCATTGTCAAGGCCCTCTTGTCGCGGCTCCCACATATCTCACAACTGTGCTATCGAACATTTTTGCTATAGCAAATTGTTTTCACTGATCTTGAAGGCTAGGTGATGGTCATATTTGAGCGTAAAATCTCCTCCTTTTTCCAATTTCTATATAAAAGGGTGGGTCATTTTGAAAATATTCGCATGATCTTGAAGGTGATAAAGGTCATTGTCAAGGTCCTCTTTGCGCGGCTCGCACATTCTCACAACTGTGCTATCGAACATTTTTGCTATAGCAAATTGTTTTCACTAACCTTGAAGGCTAGGTGATGGTCATATTTGAGCATAAAATCTCCTCCTTTTTCCAATTTCTATATAAAAGGGTAGGTCATTTTGAAAATATTCGCATGACCTTGAAGGTGATAAAGGTCATTGTCAAGGTCCTCTTTGCGCGGCTTGCACATATCTCACAACTGTGCTGTCGAACATTTTTGCGATAGCAAATTGTTTTCACTGATCCTGAAGGCCAGGGGATAGTCGTATTTGGGCACAAAATCTCCTCCTTTTTCCAATTTCTGTATAAAAGGGTGGGTCGTTTTGAAAATATTGGCATGACCTTGAAGGTGATAAAGGTCATTGTCAAGGCCCTCTTTGCGCAGCTCGCACATATTTCACAACTGTGCTATCGAACATTTTTGCTATAGCAAATTGTTTTCACTGATCTTGAAGGCCAGGTGATGGTCATATTTGGGCGTAAAATCTCCTCCTTTTTCCAATTTCTGTATAAAAGGGTGGGTCGTTTTGAAAATATTCGCATGACCTTGAAGGCGATAAAGGTCATTGTCAAGGCCACCATTCGGCGGCTTCCACAAATCTCACAACATTGCTTTCGAGCATTTTGAAATTATTTTCACCTTGGAAGACGAGCTCAAGGTCACCATCATTTTGTCCTTCGAGACCGTGCAACTTTTGTTTGAACTTTTTTTTGTAAGTTATGTAGTTTTCGAAATGTTTAGACCTAAAGATTAAAATAGGACACCCAGAATAAACAGACTAACCCAAAAATGTGTCTTTCTTTTGGATTCTGCAGAACACAAATATCCGAAAGTTTGCCCGCATATTATGGGATACTTTGGCTAAGCTATACAGGGTGTCCACATTGGCGCACCCTGCATACATTTACGCACTATAGAATAGACGTAAGATTCTGTCATAGATGCGCGAATCTTGCCCTACAAAGAAAACTTGAATACCGGTATTTATTTGTTTCGACAAAGAAAATGTTGTTGCATTTTATACATTTTGAAAGCATATACTGTATTTTTTAAATAGCTATTTATTGAAATCTGTAAGAGGTTTATGTTTTAGTTGTCCACTGCATAAAAAATCCTCTCTCTCAAATAAACTCGTTGAAAATACTTGTGTTTTATTCTATATATTATTTAGTCCCTTGCTTTTAACAATGATTCTACCTGAAAATAGGCATCCAAAAATATATCTCCAAAATACTCTCGCCATCTATGAAATAGTAGCAAAACACAAAAACGATTTAGGAATCTACTTCAAAAAGAGTAAGTGTTTGGTCCTGCTACTATCTCATAGATGGCGCAGGGATCTTCAATGCATTTTTGGTGTCTCTCGAATGCCTATTTGAATTGGGTACTTTTAGGTGGAATACTTCAGAACTCAGTATACAAGATGATGTACCATGGCTTACTAGATAAGATAAGTTGACCAATCGCCGAGATCGAAACATCGTTGCCATTTCCGTTTTCCAGTAAACCTACCTCTTTTACGTTGCCCTCCCAGGTACAGTATAGGGAACTCATGAAACGTTGAGACGTGGATGTTATGTTTCCCGGATATTTACTATGAATATTGGGCATCATGTGGTAATTTTGACTTCTGATTCGGAACTTTTGGGCAAGTTGTCTAATCGTATTAGCAAATTTCCCCGAAATATCTAATTGTAAAGTCTGGTTTTATTTATAAGTTGTTCAAGGGGGTATTTAAAACATGGACGCATAAAATTGGTACACCAAATTTTTGTCGGAAAACTTTTTATTTGACAACAAAGAATGAGAAAACGTGTTTTTTGGGATTCGATCGAAAGTGTTGACAGGAACGAAAAAACTGTTCATATAAGATTTTTTGATCGTCGTTGGTTTTTATTGAATGTTTGTTTTCAAAGACTGTGCGATGTTGCCAGATTTCATTGCTTTATAGGTTTTCGTCTTGATGGATATTCTCAATGATTAAAAAAATTTCGTGATTAAGAAGGTGCTTATACCTTGTAAAGCCCAGATAATATCAACAATAGTCTGCAGCTAACCCGTTTGCGGACATTTTTAATCTTATTTCGATCATTTACAACCCAAACCTAGTGCCTATTCGGACGGAGAATCAAAGAATGCTGGTGAATTATCCCTCCAACTATTTGGAATGTATCTCCATTAATATTAGTTCCATATTTTGTTCAAAGCATTTTTATGAGGTTTTAGCGAAATCGCAAAGGTAGCAAAAACACCCGACGAGCTGACAACACCGCAATCCAACTGACAAGAATGACAAGATTTGCTGTAAAGTTTGGTGTTAATTTTGCAATTTAAACTTTCATGTTTTAAAGTGTTTGCAACGATTTCGCTGTAGCTAGTCTTATTGCCTTATTGGGACTATATAGTAGAGTATATTTCAACACTAACTTGTCTTGCGTGGTCACGCCGGGTATTTTTGCCCATCCTTACTTTCCATGTCACTTGTCAATCATCTGTCAAAGAGTGACAATCTTGACGACACCTCAATGTTGAAAAAAGTTGTAAATTAATTTCGGAAGCTTATTAATTTATCCTCTTATTTCTGCAAAAATGTTACCTTAGACGTTATAAAATTGGTCTCTTCTTATCAAAAATCCAATAATCCAGGACGTATTATCATTATTCTAAGCAGAAGCGTACCTGCAGCGTAGTGGCTTTGCCTGGTTTGTGTATATACGGTGTGCGTTTAGAGGACTTGGGACTTAAAAGATGTCTGAAGAGAATTTTGAGGAGGACGTGCACTTCGATGATGATATTGATGCAGATGAACCGTTCAGAGACGGGCCCCCAAGGGGCGGAGGACGAGATTTTTTCAGGGGTAGAGGAGGCAGAGGGGGATTTGGGTAAGTATCAACACTCATTCAAGGACATCAATTTATTTGTTTCCGTTAGTATCGATAAAACTATGCTAGTAGATAGAAAAATCTATAAGGATATAATGGCCATGTTTTTTTTGCTAGCAGTGTATTAGAAATCTACTTTATAAAGGTTATTGTCTCATAGATAGTGCTGTATGTCTATACCCTAATATAGTTGGATACAGCGCCATCTATGAGGCAATAACCTTTACAAAGATTTCTAATTAGTGAGGATAGGAGAAACATAGCTGAGACTGATGCTAAGTTATCTCAGATAATTTTTTGGTTACGTGAATATAGTTTAGCTTGATCTATCTTCAGATAGAATACATTATTTACTGTTAAAAGTCTCAGCAGCCCCAAAGATGCATTAAATTCAACATTTAACAAGTTTTTGATGATTATATTCCAATTTAGCTCAGCAAACTACCCAAATGTACAAAGTTTCACTGATGTGTAACGACAGTCCACTTTTGCTCTAAAGCGGCAAAAAGTTCATCCTTGTTTGAATAATTTTTATCTCATATTTGCTTATCTAAGTATTCCCATAGATTTTCAATGGGGTTTATATCAGGAGAATGTGAAGGCCATTTGAGAACTGGTATTTTTTCATCCAGAAAGAATCTCTTTGTGAGATTTGAAGTGTGCTTCGGGTCATTATCTTGCTGGAAGATTGATCTTAAGGGCATATTGTCATCCATGACATGCTTTAGTATGTCTGTGTATACAAACTTATCCATAATCCCATCTATTCTATGTAAAGGTCCCATCCCAAACCCCGAAAAGCACCCCCAGACCATAACAGACCCGCTCCCATGTTTGACAGTGGGCAAAGTGTACGGGGTTCAATCTTTGTCCACTAGGACGTCTAACGTAATGAACACAATCTGATCCAAACATATTGAACTTGGATTCGTCACTGAAACATACCCTCTTTCAGTCACAGATGCTCCAATCAAGATGCAACCGAGCAAATTGTAATTGATCCTTACAGTTTTTCCTAGAGATTAGCGGCTTCTTACTCGGGAAATAACTTGCAAATCATTTAATCTTCTACTTGTAGTTTTCATAGAAACACTGACAAATCATTTTGTCTCGATTTCAGCTTCTATTTGTCTTGGGGTTTTAAACGGATCTTTGGACGAAATTACTTTTATTAATCTAACTGATCTAGCATTTAGTTTTCTATATATTAATAGCAAGCTAAAGTTTGAGGATTGCTATGAATACATTATTTCAACAATTGTCAAAATAAACAAATTACTTTTATAGGGCTTCTTCTAAGTTTAGTCCTACAAAATAAAGTTTTTGTTACAAGAATTACAATGGTGGAATATTGAAAATTTCATATCATATTTGGTTCTTATTTTATATTTAAAATAAAAAATCATCTTACTTTTCACAACGTTTATTGAATAATCATTACCACAATTATTTTACAAGAGGCAATATATATTTTCCATTTACAAACTTTTATCATAAACTCAAATAGCTTCACAAGATTGAAGATAGGTATAAACTTTATTATACAAAAGTTATTAAAAACTCCATGGAAAATCTAGAAATGAAAAAAAAAATGGGGGATTCTACTTGAAAATCTAAAGTGTAATGCAGTATCTTATTTTTTGATCATCCTGTATTGTACAGCTGTAGATAAAGAGACAGGAATCAACATTTACGTGTCAGAGCGTTTTTCCCAAAATATACCAGGAGAGTCACAAATAAGGGTGCAACCTTTTCATTGGGCCACCCTGTATATGTTACAAATCAAGGGATGATTGAATATAATAGATTAAATACAGAGATGAGAGACCAGAATTTACTAATTCTAAATTGTTGCGCTAAATAAATCTTTCGACTACTACTATTACATTTTCATCTAATACGATTTCTTTTTATGTAGCAAAGGGCCCGGTGGTCCCCGCAACTGGAACGGGCCCCCGGGTCCCCCGCGAGACATGAGATTTCGCGGCCGTGGTTACGGCCCTGGCGGACCTCCTCCTCCGCCGTTCGGCAGAGGTCGCGGCGGACCCCCCGGCCGACCCCCCATGTTCCGAGGCGGACCCCCACCGAGAAACGGGCCCCCGGGCGGCGGTTTTGGCGGACCTCCACCTGGATGGGGGGGACCGCCTAACGGGCCCCCGCCCTTCGGACCTCCTGGCATGATGGGACCCCCGCCTGGTATGGGCGGTAGAGGCGATAGGTCGCCAATAGACGATCGGCCAGGTAGGTTTTGCAAGTTTTTTTGGATAAATTAATAGTATCATCTAAATAAAATGTTTCAGGTGAAAGGGGACAGAACCAGAAGCCAGGCGCTGGTGGACAGGCACCGTCATTTCCTGGGGTAAGATATTTAGAAATTAAGTAAAAGTAATTAATGTCAGTGTTCTATAGAAAAATGTATTTTTCAGGATCATAATAGACCAATAAGAAGACGTCTTTCTAGTAATGAATCAAATATCTTCGGAAAGTTCGTCTATTTCAACTGGATTTTTATTTTCTTGGCCTGAATTTGGATCTTCAACATACAAACATTCATCTAGGTGCACAAAATCATAAAAGTTATCATTATCATTTTCAATAAATTCTTATTTTTGATGATATCTGAAAGTACATTAAGTAGTAAGTCATCTTCTGGGTCAGGTGTATTAGTCTCATTTAACGCGGCTCCGACGCAGCGAGTTTCAAGCCATTTACAAGGGTTCAGCTGCTTCAAAACTGTCACTCCATTTTTTAATGAAATTCATACAGTATGTTGAGAAGATAATTGCCCAGGGTGCTATAGGAGCACTTTTTGAAATTTTGTTTTTGCACAAGTTTTATGATAGGTTGAAGTGCGCACTTTTTCTGTGCAACTTCGCGATTTTTTTAAAAAGAACCTAGTGAACAAAATGGAAAAGTGGCTCTATAGCTCCCTGTGGGGTTTTGTTTTCAGCACTCTGTGAAAATTTCATCCAAAAATATCAAAAAATAAAGCGTCAATTTCGAAACGCGCAAACCTCTACAAATCGTATTTTGGACGAATTTTGTCTACTGTTTCGTGCTGCCAACCCAAGCGTTGCAATGTACGGACTAAGAAAGGAAGTATTCAGATAATTTGGTGGCCCTATTTCAGATAATATCGCTTAGATAAGTCGTTCTGCATTCTGGTAAGGCCAGCCCACCTTCGTTTCCTTTTCACCCCCCCGTTACCTCAGCAGATGATGCTCCTGATTCTAGGAGCCCTGTTAACTGGTCTTCACTTTGCATATTTTCATGCTTAAATGCTGCTTTGCGAATTCTGCACTGTTTCTTCGGTTACTTGGTCCCAAGCACTTTTTCACTGTACCTGAATTTGCATTACATTTATCTGCAGGGTGTCGACCAAGCCTCCGAAATCTGGGTAGAAACAAAAACCTCCGAAGGCAAGTCGTACTACTACAACGCCAGAACGCGCGAGACGACCTGGACGAAACCTGAAGGAGCGAGTGTGAAGGTGATCTCGCAGGATCAGGTGGAAGCGATGGCTGCTCAAGTAACCACTGGCGGTGCGCCAGGGCTCGGGATGCCGACGGGTCCCCCGATGAACACGTCAACGGCCGCTCAAGCGGCCTTGGCGCAGGCGAGCATCACTAACAAGCCAGAAACAAGTATGTATCTAAAGGTTGTATTTATTCGCAGTTTCTTCCGGTTCGTTGCACATTTTTTATTTCGAAAGCAACACCTTCAATTGTTTGTTAGGGATAACTAGAATAATAGGACTCGGTGCAAAGGTATTCGAGGGATGTCTTTTAAGTTTTGCATATGGAAATAAAACAACACGGTAGGTAGTTTTAAATGACTTTATTGTTTTTCGAAGCATTCTCCACGAAGATTAATACACATCTACATGCGCTCGAACCAATTTTCGAAGCACTTATTCCACTTGTTTGCTGGCAGATTCAAAACGGCATTTTTGAATGCGTCAACTGCTTCTTCTGGTGACTGGAACCTTTGACCACGCAGTCTGTTTTTAATTTTCGGGAAAGTAAAGAAATTGTCTCTGAAAGTTGTAATAAATTTTGGCGCGAAAATGTTCTCGGTTGAGTTCCATTTTTCTAATGACTTGGGCACTTAAAAATTCACTGTAGTGAGAACACTGCACGTATTGTTGTGAAACTTTGAATTGAAGCTTACTCTAGAGTGAGGTTAAGATTCAGTACTGACGTTCGATCCGCGCGGCCCTGTTTCTATATGCAAAACTTAAAAGACATCCCTCGTACCGAATGCAGATACGTATTATTTGTTGTTCGGTATGATCTTTTGTCAGAATTATTCAGAAAAATACTGAAAATAAAATTAGTGTGTAGTGTCAAATTATTCGTGGGAAACTGGTCTCTTACAAAAAGTCAACGAGCCACCCCCTTCCTATTTGAAAAAATCGTGTACACTGAAAAATATAGTGTTTGTAATTTTTAGGAAATCGTTAAAACGACTGGAAGGCCTTAGAATCTAAATTTTTCGGTAATTTTTGACAGGCTGTATTTCGGTGAAAAATGATCGTATCTAGACTTTAAAAAGGGCATTTTGAAGCTAGTTTTCAGCTTTTCCAGTCGAAAATTTAGGAGCAACGGTTTTCATGCCATTCTAACAGATGTTGTTTGTTGCTTAAAATTTATTTAGCATGATTGCTACAATTACATTCTTCTAAAAAACTAAACAATTACATAACATTCAGAAAAAAAAACAAAATTTGCATCTCTAAGAATTTTCATTGTCCATGAAATATTCCTTTAATTTTCTTTTAAATATCTTTAAATTACGTAAGTAAGTGGACTTTATATCATTATTTAGTTTATTAAATTCAAGTAATCCTTTCTGAAATATTGATTTGCTAGTTATATTACTATTGCAATTTTGTAAATGAAAATCTATATTTACTATCGTATAATAATTGTGGTAATGATTATTCAATTCTATGTAGTGTTAAAGATAAGAACCAAATATGATATGAAATTTTTTATATTCAACCACTGCAATTCTTGTAATATAGATTTTATTTTGGCGTACTTATTTTTATTCAATATTATTCTCATAGCTTTATTTTGCAAGACTTGTAATTTTGAGAATACAGCTTCATTGGCAGGGAACAAGATAGTTGAACAATATAGTAAATGCGGTAGAATAATAGTATTATAAACTATTTTCTTGGAATAGGTACCAAGACTATGAGAACAGTATAAAAGTAATTTGGTTTTTTGGCAATTTTTGAAATAATGTATTCATAGTGATCCTCAAACTTTAGTTTACTATCAATATATATACCTAAATATTTAATTGATTCAACATTTTCAATTATTTCTCCATTTATCCTAACTGTGATAGTATTTTCATTTAGGTATTTCTCTATTAGTCTACATTTTGTTTTAGAAGTATTCAATTTTAGTTTATTTACATTTAACCAATTTATGATTTTTGCCAAGTCTGAATTTAGCATTTTTAAAGCAGTGTCTATATTTTCATCTGATTTGTGTATTAATGTATCATCTGCAAAAATCTGAAGTTTACAATAATCTAAAATATTACAAATGTCATTAATGTATAAAATAAATAGTAGTGGACCTAGTTCACTACCTTGTGGTATACCAACAGACATATTTTTTGATCTTGATAATGTAGATCCAATTTTATTTTTTTGATTTCTGTCAATTAAATAGTTTTGTAGAATTTTGAATACAGATCCTTTAAATCCGTAGTGATGCAATTTTGTAAGTAATTTATCCCTGTCAATAGTCTCAAACACCCTTTTGAAGTCCAAAAACACTGTTACTGTCCATACATCTCCTCCAGATAGCGCAACAAATTTTTTTGCAGAATTTTTGACTACTTTGGTAAAAAATGTTTTTCCGTATTTAAAATCTCTATCCGATCATTTGATAATTTTGGTTACATGGCTAGGTAGATTTCTTTTCTAGTGTCCTCCTATTCTACGACCTGCTTCATGCTTGATATTTACTTTCAGTCCAAGCCAACGAGGAGGCGAAAAACAGCGGCAAAGAAGGCGGAATGCCGCCGCACATGGCCCCTCCAGCCGCCATGATGCCGCCTCCGGGCATGTTTCCGGGCGTTCCTCCGGGCCAATTTGCCCCGCCCTTCGGCCTACCGCCTCCCGGATTCCCCGCTGGGGGATGGCCCCCGGGGGCGCCGCCCCATCAGCCTCCAGGTTGGCCGGCTGGACCTCCCGGTAAGTACAAACATTCGAATTCAAATTTTGTTATTGGCGACTAAATCTTAATAACAAAGACAGAGCTAACAACGAAACATTTTTAAATTGCGATCTTAAGAACGTCTGTCACGATATGAAATTTTCTGCTAAATTTGGTACGCTATTTTTCGTACAGAATTAAGACTGGTATCAGACAGCATTTAGTACATAATTTTCCGTGAACAAATTGAGTGCTAACTTCTTTAGAACCTGTTCTAAATGATATCTTGATAGAAGTGATTAGACGCCTGCTGCTTATTTGGAAAAGTACAGGGTGTTTACCCATAGTGAATAGGCATTTAATGAAAAAATATGCCTTTTGTTAATAGGATTAATTATATACTTACCTTTCAGCGATATTTAGTAATACAGCAGACGCTCGATAATGTAAACTAATTTAATCCAAGTGTGGTTCACATTATCGAAATGTTTACATTAGCGAAAGTGATTTATATAATATTTGATTTATTAAAAGAAACGTTTAATACATACTATTTATAACAAAATAAACAAATATTCTAACAGCGATAAGTATTTTTTTAATTAGAAGAAAAATAATTAGAAATTTTTGTCTGCGTAAATTTGCGCTTAGCATTGTCTTCCAATGCCTACGCCCGTAATTTACGAAGAACTAAAATATCCGTGTATGAAACTTCTTTTCTTTCAGCCCAATCTAAAGCTTGGTTAAAAAGTTGTATAGCTTGCGCGTCAGTCACTACACTTCTGATTTCAATGGGATCGTTCTCATCATCCTCACTGTCCATATCCTCCTCCTTATCAGCATCATTCGTCTGCTTATCTTCGTTCCATAAATTAATATCAGCAGGAGTACAAACAATGTTGGGATTCACTGTTTTCAATAAATCAACAACATCCAATGACACACTAATAACATTATCATTATTGGATCGCAAACGTTCTCTAATTACGCTTAAGGGGACATCGTCTTCTTCATCATCTTCATTATTGGTACAAAAGAGATTGTTCCAACATTTTTGAATAGTTCGCTGGTTAAGTTCATTCCAGGCCATATGTAAATCTAAAACAGCTTCTCGTAATGTTACTTTTTTTAAAGCCTCAGATACGTTTTCAGGATTCTTTGATAAGACAGACGAAAGTAGAAACTTCCTGTAGTATAGTTTGGTGAGTCTTATTATATTCTGGTCCATCGGTTGAATTAACGGTGTTACGTTGGGCGGCATGTACATGACGAAAATTGACCGATCCCTGCTCCTCAGTTGTTGCTCGGGAGGATGACTTGACAACGCTTTTATTGGAAGCTTCTGTTGTTTTAGGAAACATTTTACCTACAAATTGAAAACACATCTTCAAATTATGAATAGAGCATTTGTGATTGTCATACCTGAGGGACAAAGCACCTGTGGAACCATTTCAGGAATATACTGCTAGTCATCCAAGCGGTTTTTGAACAGTCATAATCAACAGGGATATTAACATTTTTAAATGAGCGCGGATTTTTTGCTTTCCCAATTACCAGTGGCTTTATTTTGTGTGAACCATTAGCATTAGTGCAGGCTAGAAACGTTATTCGTTGTTTCTCCGGCTTTCTTCCCGGGGCAGATTTTTCAAATGATGCAGCATAGGTTTTCTCTGGTAACATTTTCCAATAAAGGCCACTTTCATCTGCGTTGTAAATTTGTTCCATTCTTAAATCTAGCTCGGTAATTGTTTTCATCAATTTTTCTTTGAATGGTTGCACTAATTGTAGTTGTGCTGACAATTTTTCACCAGATATAGACAGCAGTCGAATTCCATATCTTGTTTTGAATCGTTGTAGCCAGCCATCGCTAGCTACGAAATTTTCAGTTTATTTCAGTTTTTCATTTAACAGTCTCGCTCTCTGTTTAAGTACTTCGCCACTAACTGGGACATGATTTTCCCGTTGTTTTAAAAACCACTTATACAGGGAATTTTCCATTTTAGGTGCCTTCGCATTTTTTAAAGTTTTTTTTTTCCCGGACCTCCAAATGTATTGCACGTTCTTTGTAAAATTTGAGTTTTCATACGCTTAATTTTACAGATTGTTGCTTTCGATACTCCATATTTTTTTGCTAACTGTGTCACTCCCGCACCTAGTGCAACTTCGTCTATGATTTTCACTTTCTCACTCAACTTTAAACACTTTCTTTTATAGGATGTGGATGCCATGGTCGTAAAATATATTAGCGCGTGCAATGTATTCACTTAAGTTCAAAAATGAAATACATACGTACGTATAAACGTATCCTAAACGATCATACGACTGACCGAGTTTGTCGTACTTTATCGCAGAGGTGAATCCCCTACACTCTACATCATAAATCGGGGACTCCCCGACGCCCGACATAAATCATCGAGGCTTCAGCATTTTACCGTCGCACTGTTTCCGTGCGCCGAGAGTTGTTTACGTTATCGAGCGTACACATTGTTTACGTTATCGCGCGTTTCGTTTGATCCCATAGAACGAAGTTTGTGTTTACATTAGCGCAAGTTTTCATTATCCCGTGTTTACGTTATCGAGCGTCTGCTGTATTTTCAGAAAGGGTGATTTTATTCTGATGAATGGAAAAGGAATCCAAAAAAGCATTTGCTTAATTGGAGTATATTTATCTTTATTCAGTATTATTCTCATGCACTTATTTTGTAAAATTTGCAGTCTTTCAAAAATGGAATTATTTGATAAATATAGAATAGTCGAACAGTACAAGAAATTTGGAAGAATGATGGTATTATAGATAATTTTTCTGCTATATGAACTCAGACATCCAGAAACTCTCGATAAATATCCCACTTTACTACTAATCTTATTTATAACTTTTTCATAATGAATATCAAAAATTAATCGAGTCAACAAAAACCCCCAGGTATTTAAAATTTTCTACGAATTCAATATGTTCACCATCAATATTTAGTTGAACATTTGTACATTGTTTTTTTTCCGATTAACAAGGCTTTCGTTTTACTTGCATTTAATTTTAGTCTGTTAGATGCTAACCATTTTGAGACAAGCTTCAAGTCTTCATTTATATAAGAGATACCAGACTGAATATTTTTAGTATTTATATAAATCATAGTGTCATCGGCGAAAATCTGAATTTTGCATTTTTTGACTATGGCAGGTAAATCATTTATGTATAAAATAAAAAGAAGTGGTCCCAGGATACTGCCCTGTGGAACACCCAACGTATTTTCAATTTTTGATGAAATAGTGTCATTAACTTTTGTAACTTGCATCCTTTTAGACAAATAATTTCTAAACCAATCTAAAACACTTCCTGTTATACGATATGCCTTCAATTTACCTAACAAAATATCTCTATCAATCGTTTCAAATGCCCTCTTCAAATCCAAAAATACTGCTATGACAACTTCTTCTGAGTCTCCAATTCTCAGTTACCAACTGGAAAGCCGTTTCTGTGGAATATTTTTTTCGAAAGCCTGCTTGCGCCTCCACTAAAATTTTGTTTTCTTCTATAAACTGCATTAATTGGTCATGCACTATGGACTCTAATAATTTTTCAATGTCTGGTAACACATTTACTGTGTTATGTAATTGTTTAGTTTTTTAGAAAAATGTAATTGTAGCAATCATGCCAAATAAATCTTAAACAAACAAACAACCAAATTTCTCCGCGAATGCGGTTTAGGGTATCTATCGACCCATATGGCGCCTACGTGACTCGTGTCAATATTCATACATTTTAACTATTCTCTATGTTCGTTTCAGGTGCACCTTGGGCTCTACCACCGCTCTTGGCCCCAGGCGGAATCCCTGGAGGAGCCGCCGCGGCTCTCGATGAGGCGGCGGTCATGTCGAAAATTGATCCGGACATTGTCGCCAAAGCTGCCGAATGGACGGAGCACAAGGCGCCAGATGGAAGGCCGTATTACCACAACGCCAACCGCGGGGAAAGCGTATGGGAAAAGCCGCAAGCATTGAAGGATTTAGAAAGTAAGTACGGTGAAATACCCCTTCGCGGACACCTCCTTTAAATGGACAGACGCTCATACAATTTGCATCGCACAAACATATATCAAAGTATTTATTTATTTTTTTGTAGCCGCTAAGTTGGCCGCTGCCCAGGGAATCTCTACTCGTCCCAGTGGAGGTCCAGTTTCGCAATCGAACTCTGATCAAGATTCGGCTCGGCTGAACGGCACCGCGGCCAAAGAGGCCAAAGAATTGGCGAAGAAAGAGAGCATGGAGACGGAAGATGAGGAGGAACAGGCGAAGAGGATCGCGGACGCTAAAAGGAAAAAAGAAGAGGAGGAACAGAAGGCTAAGGAGCTGAAGGCCCAGGATAAGTCGAGGCCGGTTTCTAGCACGCCTGTACCGGGAACGCCGTGGTAAGAGAATGTTTTGTTCAAGCGCGCTTCAAAATGATCGTATTTAGTCAAATCAATTATAAATTTTGTTTGTTCGTTTCAGATTTATTTAGCATTAATGCTACATTGTCCATAATATCCATATTACACAGTATATCACAAAATATATTAGAGAAATTTCACTACTATGAATTCTGGTTTTCCATGAGATGTTTTTTCAATTTCCCTTTGAACATTTTCAAACTGTCACACGTCTTGATATCATTACTTAATTTATTAAATTCGTACAATCCCTTGAAATACTGACTTGTTCGTTATATTGCTACTGAAGTTTTGAAAACGAAAGTCTATACTTCCTCTAGTAGAATAATTATTGTGGCACTCATTGTTCAATACAATAAAATTTTCTAAGTGATTTGGTAGAAGATGATTTTTTAACTTGAATATGAAAATGAAAACCAAGTATGCTATGAAATTTTTGATATTTGACCATTGTAGTTCTGTCAGCATAAAATTTATTCTAGTACATTTATTTTTATTTAAGATGATTCTCATATCTTTATTTTGCAATATTTGTAATTTTGAAAATACAGTTTCATGTGCAGCGAACAAAATAGTCGAACAATGGTGTTGTACACCATTTTTTTAGAATATACGAAATTCTATAAAAGTAATTTATTTTCTTGGATATTTTTGAAATAATATATTCATAGTGCCCTGCAAATTTTAATTTACTGTCGTTGTATATGCCCAAATATTTAAATGATTCGATTGACACAATTTTTTCATGATAAATTGTAAGATTTATCGTATTTTAATCTAAAGATTTTCCTATTAGCATATATTTTGATTTGTTGGTGTTTAGTTTAAGTTTATTTACATTTAACCAATTTACTACGTTTTTCATATCATTATTTAACAGCTCTATTGCAGTTTCAATGTCTTTATTTCATCTATATATATATATATACAGGGTGTCCCAGAAGTCGACGTCAAGCCGAAACCGGGTGATAGGCAAAGTCATAACAGCTATCAGAAAAATATTTAAAAAAAATTTATGTATGTGTTTTGAAAATTATAGGTCTTTGAAAAAGATATATAAATTTCACACCCTACGGCAGTCTGTCAACTCCTGTTACTACAAATATTAACTTTTTTGGATTTTATTTTTACAATGTAATTATGAATAATGCATCTTCAAACTGGTGTCTCAACCTTACTGCCAACTTTTCTCGTTCAGGAAAAATTGCCACTTATTTCCCAACCAAGCATTCCAAAGTAAAACTTTGCTCAACTTTAACTGGCTGTACTGGAAAAAATGTACTACGAGAGTTTGGCAAGTAACCTTAAAAGTTGGCGTATTTAATAACGATTCCAAAATGGTATAACACTTAGAAGATTACTCGTTAACTTATGCACAATTTTTATTTGAAAAAAAACTGATGAAAATTTTTCAATATTTCCTAATTAAACAGCGATTATGAAAAGGCACAAGGACCCTTAAGGATAACTGTTTGCACAAGAATCTTGCAAAAAAACGTGCTCCATCCATACCACGTAGAGCGTGTTCAAGGTCTTCTGCCCCGGGATTATGAGCCCCGAGTTGCTTTTTGTCGCACAATGTTAGAAAGACACAGGGAAGATCCACGGTTCTTTGAAAAAATTTTATGGTCAGATGAGACCACATTTAAGAAAGATGGGTACATGAACCTGCATAACTTACACGAGTGGCAGGTAGCAAACCCACATTTGATGAGAGAAGATAAATCTCAATATCGCTTCAAGATAAACCATTGGACAGGAATTTTAAATGGTAAAATAATCGGTCCGTTTGAGTTCCCAGAGACTTTGACTGCTGAGGTTTATTCAGGTTTTTTACAAAATCATTTAGAAAATTTATTGGAGGACGTGCCACTGAGTATTTACAGGGACATGTGGTTTCAGCATGATGGCTGCCCAGCGCACTATGCACTCTCAGTGAGAGAGTATCTCGATCAAAACTTTCCAGGCAGATGGATAGGGCGGTCTGGTACAATACCGTGGCCAGCCCGATCACCTGATTTGAATCCTTTAGATTTTTTTACTGGGGAACTGTAAAAGAAAAAGTGTATTTCAAGCCGATTCAAAATGTAGTTGAGCTACGGCAAAGACTATTGGAAGCAGCTGAGTTTGTTAATAACCGTGGATTCGCTCGTTTAATAACCCGATCTTTTTTAAGAAGATGTCGAGCGTGTGTTGCGGCTGAAGGAAAACAGTTTGAGCATTTGCTGTAAAGGTAAATCATCATCAGCAGCATTTTGACGCCCACTGTTGTGCAAACAGTTATCCTTAAGGGTCCATGTGCGTTTTCATAATCGCTGTTTAATTAGGATATTTTGAAAAATTTTCATCAGTTTTTCTTCAAATAAAAATTGTGCATAAGTTAACGAGTAATCTTCTAAGTGTTATACCATTTTGGAATCGTTATTAAATGCGCCAACTTTTAAGGTTACTTGCCAAACTCTCGTAGTACATTTTTTTCCAGTACAGCCAGTTAAAGTTGAGCAAAGTTTTACTTTGGAATACTTGGTTAGGAAATAAGTGGCAATTTTTCCTGAACGAGAAAAGTTGGCAGTAAGGTTGAGACACCAGTTTGAAGATGCATTATTCATCATTACATTGTAAAAATAAAATCCAAAAAAGTTAATATTTGTAGTAACAGGAGTTGACAGACTGCCGTAGGGTGTGAAATTTCTATATTTTTTTCAAAGACCTATAATTTTCAAAACACATACATAAAATTTTTTTAAATATTTTTCTGATAGCTGTTATGACTTTGCCTATCACCCGGTTTCGGCTTGACGTCGACTTCTGGGACACCCTGTGTATATATATATATATATACGAGGCGTGTTTTTAAAGTAAGTACCGTTCTGACCTAAAAAAACAACAAGTAAATTTTGTCTAAAAATAATTTATTCACTTGAAAGACCATATTTTACTCTACTTTTTTACGCAATTCCCATTACGATTGAGGCATCTATCGTATCTTGAGACCAGCTTTTGTATGCCATCGTCAAAGAAGCTTGCCGCCTGAGTAAACAACCACTGCTTCACATTTTTGGCACCCAGCGTGAACACAATTTCCGATAATTTAAACGAACGGACACAATTTCGTAAAGAGCACTTCTTGAGACAGCAGGAAACTGTTCAGCTAAGGACGAAATCGTGAATCGTCTGTTCTCTTTCACTTTACAGTCCACTTTTTGAATCAGGTCATCGGTAATGACTGAAGGTCTCCCACTTCGTTCCTCACCATGAATGTTTGTGCGGCCATCTTCAAAGGCCCTAACCCATTTCTGCACCATTCCATCACTCATAATGTTTTCACCACTGACTTGGTGATGAATTTCAACTGATTTGAAGCCTTGAGCACAGAGAAACCGGATTACAGCACACACTTCGCAGTCGGATGGATTCTCAATCGGTGGAGGCATTTTAAAATCACGCAAACAGATGTAGACTCGATCGGACGGTTCAGTAATGGCATCTGCGGCTTCCCAGCAGATGTAGCTACACGACGCGCATGCGCTAAACGGCAACCGCAGCGCTGCGGCGGCGTAATTTAAAAACGGTACTTACTTTAAAAACACGCCTCGTATATATATATATATATATATATATATATATTAATGTATCATCAGCAAATAGTTGAATTTTGCAGAGTTGTAAAATATCGGGAATATCGTTAATATATAAAATAAATAGTAACAGACCTAATTTGCTACTCTGTGGCACACCTACCAAAATGTTTTTAATGTTTGATAATGTATCACCAATTTTTAGTTCTTTGACTTCTATTGATTAAATAATTTTGCAATAAGTTGAATACTGAACCTTGGAATCCATAGCAATGCAATTTCGTTAACAATTTCTCCCTGTCAATACTCTCAAATGCTCTCTTGAAATCTAAGAACAATGTTACTGTAAACTTTTTTTATGCCTCCATTCGTCTACTACCAGTTGAATTGCTGTTTCAGTAGAACACTTTTTTCTGAATCCTGCTTGAAATTTTGTCAATATCTTATTGAGTGCGTGAATACATTTTTTCTGCAATATCAATGGTTCATGCTCGTAATAAATTAAACCACTAAATTCCTAAATATTGTTTATATATACCAAGTGACATTTAAATCCGAACACCCAGTTTAAATGGTTTTATTTTAATAAGATTTTGTATAAGTACTTAATGAAGCATAATAAGTAAATGATAAAAATTTCAAAATGATTGCACTGCTTTAAAGCCCTTTGACCTTTAATAATGTGTGGATGCACCCTGATGTGCTACGCATTCTCCAACGCGCGTAGGCATGCTTCTGATCAGGTGGTCAATGTCCTCCTGTGGTATCTCATTCCAGGCAACCACCAACTCCTCTCGAAGTGCTTCTAGAGTCTGAGGAGGACGTTGCAAATTGAGCAATCTCCTACCCATCATATCCCACACGTGCTCAATTGGGGATAAGTCGGGAGATCTTGGTGGCCATGGTAACAATGTGACATCATTATGTTGAAAGAAGTCTATTGTGACTCTTGCAACATGTGGTCGGGCATTATCTTGTTGGAAAGTTGGATCTGCCAGGGTGGCAAGATAGGGTAAAAGATGGGGTTCTAGAACTTCGTGGATGTAACGCTGCACGTTCATGTTACCTCTGATGAAGATTAAAGGTGACCTGGAACCATAAGCTATAGCACCCCAAACCATAACTCCAACAGTGTGATGAACATGTCTTTCAACAAAAAACTGTGGATTCCTCCTTTCACCACGTCGCCTTCTAACCCTGGCACGACCATCGTGCATGCCTAAACAAAATCGAGACTCGTCACTAAAGACAATACTGTTCCATTCCTGATCCCAGAGTGACCGTTGTCTGCACCACTCAAGGCGATTACGTCGGTGTTCTCGAGTTAAAGGGAGGACCCAGTGTGGCCGGTATGAAAACAAGCCAAAACTTCTCATTCGTCGGTAAACACTTCGCATGCCAATAGGTCTTCCGTGTTCTGCAAACCATTCATTTGCAATGGACCTGGTAGTGGAGAAACGGTCCCTTAAGGCCAATAATCTTAGGCGGCGATCTTCACGGTTCTTTGTTCTCCCTCCTTCCTTCCTTCCTTTTTTCTTCCCTTCTTTCTCCATGACTTTGTTTGGTATCTGGGCATCTGACTTACAAGACTTCAACCAAGAGCAAACGTCCTACGGACCGCTCTGACAGACAATGACGAATAGTTCGACATTTTTCGCGGTTACAAGAGGTCTCTTAAGAGAAAACTTCCAAAAACTCGTATTCATCATGATCATGCGTTAAAAAAAAAATAGAAAGTAGCACCGTGTAAATTAAAATCGTTTTTGCAGGTGCGTGGTGTGGACCGGGGACAAACGCGTCTTCTTCTACAACCCGTCGTCGCGCACCTCGGTATGGGAACGTCCCGAGGAGCTGCTGAAACGCACCGACGTCGACAAAATGGTGGCCGGCCCGCCGCAAGACGCAGTTTCCGGCGGAAAAGCGGCGGAAATGTCGGCGGGAGATGCGAAAAGCCCGAGCGGAAAGAAGCGCAACACGGAGGACGAGAGCGGCGATAGCGACAGCGATGGCGGAGCAGCTGTGCCGCCTAAGAAGGTCAAGACGAACGAGCAGGACAATTTGCAACATAACAGTAAGTTATTTTTTTGATAAAAGTTGTGAATGGAACTTTGCTCAATGAGAAGAAATTACATTCAAACACAGGAGAACCTCAGCGATCATTACTGAGACCGATCATATTTTCAGTATATATCAACGATTTGTTTTTTTGTTTGTTGTAGATGTATTTAGCATCAATGTTACACAGTATATCACCTATTATATTATGTCTTCAAGACTCTATATATTATTTTTTAAAGTCTTTATCACGTGTGAATTTAGAGCAGAGTTCCCCAAACTTTTTTGTGTCGTAGACCCCTTGCCATGTTTTTCCGTGTTGGGTAGACCCCCTACTTACCTGATATTGATTTCCTGTAAATTTCTAACTGTAGAGAAGTTTAGTGTTAAAAACTTAAAGTAAAAACACATGTTAATTAATACATTTATTAATTGAATTTAAATTAAAACTACTCAAAATAAAATTTTGTATCTGTTATGTAAAATATACGTAACATTAAATAAACAGGTGTCTGACCAATAAGTGCCCGCATTGAAAAAAAAATAAGAGGGATAAAATAAAAAAAAGTGAAAATAATAAAAAAAAAGTTTTTTACTTAAAATAGTACAATAAGCGAGTTCGTTTATTAATTATAACATAAACGTATGTTCCACAATAATTTCACTGTTAGTTTGATTAAATTCCGCTTCTTATACGTTTAAGTTATCTAAAAATATTCAAAAAATTAACGAATTTTAGTGTGTACCTATGCTTGAATTTTCAGAATAATTTAAAAAAAATATTTTCTATAAAGGGGGGTTCTTTAAAAAAATCAATGCGGGTACTTATTCCCAATGCGGGCATTTATTGGTCAGACACCAATAAACGTAAAATAAACTATAAATAAAATAACATAAGCAATAAGTCCATATTTTTAGTGAGAAGGATGAACCTGATGCTTTAATAATAAATTATCGACATTTGGCGTCAATTTTGTAAGGGTTAATCTTGAATCTCCTCGGCTAATGATGTCCAGTCTGTTTCTTTTTTTCGTTAGGAGATTGGTAACAGCGCTGAACCTCCTTTCCACTAGGTATGACGATGGAAAGGAAATTAAAAATGTCCTCGCTATATTCCATAATACGAGATAAGTAACGGGTATGTTGTTTTGCAGCCAGAATTGCTTATATCCGTTTTTAAACTGAACCTTAAGTTCTTCGTTTGTACTTAGTTCAGTCAGTTCCTTTTGTATTATGACATTCGTTTCTTCTATGTCGCCATACGGATTAATTATCCACGGTGGTATTACCATAGTCAAAATATCCTCAAACCTAGATTCAAAATTTGAATAGAGGGCATTTAAATGTTGAACGTAAGTTGAAACGTCGTCTTCCTGGCAGCTTGTCAGTGACAAATTGAGGAACTGAGAAAATTCGCTCCGTCCAATATTTTGCTTCATTAGTTTGGCAAGAAACGCTGATAAGATGACTTTGTTTTAATCAAATTTAAACTGTCGCCTTGTAATTGCAAATTAATCATATTAAATTTTGTAAACAAATCTGTTAAATAGGCGATGTCTGTTTTCCTCTTCATTAAATTTTCTTTTAAAATTTTATCTTTAGTATCCAGAAATTCTAAAATAGTCTCAAAAAGTGCAAAAAATCTTGTCAAACATAAACCTTTCGACAGCCAGCGTACTTCAGTGTGAAGGAGTAATTGATGCAAGTGTTCGTGATTTTCTTCACACAACTGCGCAAATAACCGCGTATTCAACGCGTTGCTTCGGATTCGGTTTACTGCATCAATGACTAAATGAAGTGATTCATGCAATCTAACACTCAAATTTTTAGCAACTAAATGTTGTCGATGGATGACGCAATGTATTGCTAACACCCCTGACACATTTTGTTTTAAATAGCTTATAAATCCACGATAACGTCCAACCATGGCAGGTGCTCCATCTGTAGCTACTGATATTATATTTGATAAAGGAATTGATTTTTCAATGAAGTAATCCTTCAAAACAAGAAATATTGATTCACCTTTAGTGTCGGTTATCAAAGTTCTTGCGAAGAGCAGTTCTTCGTAGATTTCTTGATTCATAATAAAACGAACATATGCCAATAATAATGCTGCATTATCAGGTAAAGTTGACTCGTCCAGTTGTATAGAGAAATGGGTCGTTTGCAAATAATTACATAAGAAGCTTTCAATATCAGAACTCATTTCATCAATACGTCTTTCAACAGTATTGTTGCTTAAGGGAATTCATTTAATGATATCAGATGCAGGTTTAAGTAAAACAGTTTTTAAAACCTCTTCAGCGGCTGGCAAAATTAACTTCTCTCCGATAGTATGCGGTTTTCCGGATTTTGCTATAAGTAACGAGATATTGTAAGACGCCCGCAAACCATCATCATTTCTTTGTGACGTCGAAGCGAACATTCTATCCAGTGAATGTCTCTTCTGAAATTTATCTTTGAGTGTTTGAAAGTATTTCAAATCTTTCTCTGTTTTATCAGGGTGGCATCTTCTCAGATGATCTTGCAGTTTAGATGGTTTCATAGCGTCATTGCCCATAAAAGGCACATAGGCGACTGTTTGTCCGGCAATGATGGAATGAAGCCAAATTTCAAATAATCAACACTGTACTGTCTACATTTCTTTTTAGATTCGGACATGGCATCAGTCATCTGTGGGCAAAATTAAATTATTTAACTAAGACAGAAAATCCAGCAGCTGTATATTAAAAATATTTTTAGATTTTTCCGAAAACATTCCATAATTCGAACATCTTCTTGCAACAATTAGCTCGAATTACGGAGATTGCACTGTAATTATATTACCGATTGCTAAAACTTTCAAAAAGAAACTATTAAGGAGTACTCGTGTAATTTTGCATGATTGAATATTTAACTACTAATAACTAAGGTCATGATTGGCGTAATTTATCTATCTTTGCTAACTACGAGTACAAAACTAAAATTTAATAAAAAATAATGTACTTACTTTTCTCCAGCACTCTCAAACAAAATAACACTGACTCACTATAATTAGTGTGATATACTATCTGTTTATATTTTTTTAATATTTTCTTAATACTTTCCTATTCAAGATTCAGGAAACGAATAAACGTATTTGTCCCACATTCGTATTTATAGAGTGACGAATTGAACAAGTCAGTGCAAGGTAGCGAAGCTCTGAGACTGCGACTCTCAGGTTTTTACAAGTTCAAAATGTATTGCGACCACAAAGCGAATACCAACATCCCACAACTTACACAATTTTATAAACATATATAATACATTTTTTACTTCATAGGTACATTTATAAATAATGTATATGTTTTGATATTATAAGATAGTATGATGTAAGTAAATAGGTACTATCAGTGTATGTGTTGAGATCCACTATCGTGGACCCCCATATTCATTTCATGGACCCCCAAATTTTTTTTCGCTGACGTAGACACCTTGCAGGTTGTCATAGACCCCTAGGGGTCGATATAGACCACTTTGGGAATCAATGATTTAGAATATCGAAATATCTGTGAAAACCAAAGTGTTATAGTTTAGTTCTAATTTAGCTATAAACCATATTTATCTATCCAAATACAGGTCAAACCTAACTCAAATCACCCAAAAAAATCGACAATCCAAGTCTATGTCAATACGACTGCCTAGCTGTTGACTCGTAACACTTTTCTAAATTCTTTCTAGAATGATTGTTTCCGTTTCAGATACGAACGGGTTAAGCGCGCCACCCGGCGGTCCGGGCCAGAAGAAGATCGACATTGGCAAGGAGGCGGCGATCGAGGCGGAGGTGCGCGCCGCCAAGGAGCGGGCCGTCATCCCGTTGGACACCAGGATAAAACTGTTCAAAGAGATGCTCGCCGAGAAACAGGTGTCCGCGTTCAGCACGTGGGAAAAGGAATTGCACAAGATCGTGTTTGATTCTAGGTTAGTGTCATCATATAATAACGGAATCTGTTACAGTGGACCTACGGTAATCCGACAAACATTATGCAGGGCAGTGTCGGACTATCGAACTTGTCGGATTATAGAGCACTGCCTAAGACCCCCTATAGTCCGGAATGTTTTACAAAAGAGTACCCTGTAATCCGACAAATTACATATCCAATGGTAAGATTATATATGTTATGTATATGTATGTACTTTGAAGTACAAATCATACATAGTTTATGTATGTCGAATTTAGTAAATTAAATGGCAATAGAGAGCTTACGTTTTATTATAAAATTAAGCATAAATGCACATACATATGTACCAAAATAATCAAGAATTATTAATCAAAATCATTAATGAATTTATCAAATTATGAAGCCTGGAAATATTAATCAATCTTTTTTGTTTAAAGTTGTTATAACGCGAGATCAGAGCTTTGTCTCTCAGTCTTCTCAAAAGTAAAAGTTCGTTGTAGGATGTACCATTCTCTTCAGTCCATTGTAAACCTAGCTCAAAGGCGTTAATTGCGTCTTGTGCTGTGACTTGTGGAGCAGTTGCAATCACGTCGTCGTTATTTTCCTGATTGTTTGTTGTATAATTAGAAACCTCTTTTATGATCTCTTCATCAGACATTTCATGAAAAACATTTTCCTCTTTATCCATTCCACGGCACCAGATTTCCAAGTCTTCCGGACTTATCTGTGTTTCGGTAGCGACTTGTTCTATAACTTCCGAAGTAACACTGATTTGTAGAACGTTGCTAGGAGTGGTGACTATATCTGGCCCTAACTTTTTCCGAGACGATTTAATAGTTGATGACGGTAACGCATTCCACGACTGACAAAGAGCAAAAACCAAGTCTTTAATATTAAATTCTTTTAAAGTTTTTCTATTGGATGGTCTTTTGATACGGCTCTCAGAAGTAGGTTTTTCTTATAGTCTTGCTTGACAAACTGAATGATATTCTGGTCGCATCAGTGCAGTGCAATTTGGCGGAAGAAACATCGCAGTGATGAAGTACGCAAAAAATCTTACTTTACAAATCGCTTGATGAAATTCGAGCATAAATAGAAGCAGCATCAAGAACTGAACAAAAGAAAAACAAACTCGCAAAACGCTTTCAAATTTGGAACCAGTATAGAGAATAAAGATTACACTGGACAACAAATTTTAGTTTTTTAATTGTATCTTGTGGGAAAAGTGCACTTCTTTGTTAATTTTGGGGCGCTGAATCAAAAAATGACAATGAAATAAAAAAATTAGTTGCGGTTTAGAAAAAAAACTTTATTTTTAAGGATATATTAAAAAAAGTAACAAGATTCGTATACTTATAAGAATAACTATATGCGCTGTCTTTTTGCTGTTCTTTTATGGATCGTTTCTGGAGCATCTCTACCAAGAGTCCAACAGTAGTCTGCAAGCATGGAAGGATTCCACTTTCCCTGGTACCTTTTTTCCATTGTTGAAATATCCTGATGAAAACGTTCGCCGTGCTCATCACTTACGGCTCCGCAATTGTCAGGAAAAAAGTCCAGGTGTGAGTGTAGGAAATGTATCTTAAGAGACATATTACAGCCCATCTTTTGATACGATGACAGCATATTTTTGACAAGGGTTTTATAGTTGTCAGCTTTTCTATTTCCCAAGAAATTAGTGACCACCAGACGGAAATCATTCCAAGCAGTTTTTTCAACACCTGTTAAAAGTGTTTTCAAACTGTGTATCTTTCAAAATATTTCGAATCTGTGGTCCAACAAAAATACCTTCTTTAACCTTTGCCTCACTTAGTCTTGGAAATTTCTGACGCAGGTATTGAAAAGCTGACCCATCTCTATCTAATGCCTTGACAAAGTTTTTCATTAGGCCCAACTTGATATGCAGTGGTGGTAATAAATTTTTTTTCGAATCTGCTAATGGCATATGCTGTACATTTTTTTGACCTGGCTCTAGGAATTGACGAACAGGCCAGTTTTGTCTGGTGTAATGAAGTGCCTTTGCCCGACTGTCCCATTCACACAAAAAACAGCAAAACTTTGTGTAGCCTAGCTGCAGCCCAAGTAAAAGTGCAACAACTTTCAAATCGCCACAAATATGCCATTGGTGCTCATCGTATTTTATGCATGTCAATAGGTACTTCATATTGTCATATGATTCTTTCATGTGAACTGCATACCCTACAGGAAGAGATGGTAAAATATTTCCAATATGCAATAACACTGCCTTTAAACTCAGTGTTGAACTGTCTATAAACAATTTCCATTCTTCTGGGTTATAGTTTATATTTAAAGCCGCCAGTAAGCCGTTAATGTTACTGCAGAAAACCAAGTTATTCTCCATATTGAAAAATGGTTCTAAGTCTTTGTGGCGTTTACGAAAAACACATACCGAAACATCGTCTTCTAACAAGTTCTACTGCTGCAGTCTTGATCCAAGTAACTCTGCCTTACATTTTGGAAGTTCTGAATCTCTTACAAGATCATTTAATTCTGACTGTGTTATTTTGTGCGGTTGGTGGCATGACGTGCGCGGTATAAAATCAGGATCTATTGACGTTGATGGCATATCTTCTTCCTGACGAATTACTCGATCGCCATGATCTGATTCGTTTTCTGATTCGCAAGTGTGGGATTCTGGGGGTTTTGGGATAGGATTTTCGTCACTGTGAGGCACAGGTCTCATCGCAGATGGTATGTTTGGGTAGTTAATAACCGATTTTTTTTTCTTGGACATACCTGTGGCTTGTCCAACACAAGGTACCATGCAAAAGTAACAATCATTAATATGATTTGTAGGCTCTCTCCAAACCATTGGGACAGCAAAGCGCATAGACCGTTTTTTTGCCATTTAACCAGCTCCTCAGACTTGAAGCACATGTATTACAGCAGATGTGGGGTGCCCACTGTTTGTCTTGATCACCTAGTTTACAACCGAAATAAAGCTGATATGCCTTTGTTATTAGTGGAGTAATAGACCGTCTCTGAGACGCAAAAGTCACATCACCACACACGTAACAAAACTGATCCGGATTGTTTACACACTTTCGAGACATCTTGCATGAACGCTGTCAGCCAACTGAGGAAAAAATGGCTAATATAAAACAATATAATGTACACGTATGTATAACGTAACACAATCATGCCGATTACATCATCTTTCCTTGCCGAATATAAAAATGTAGCACGTGCATTCTTGTGAATTACAGTATATTAACACTGTCACAGCAGGAACACATATAATTACCGTATCTCTAAAACTTGAACTAATATTGAAAAAATAAGTTTCATTCCGGTTATAGCACATTAAAAATAGTAATATTTTGTTGATTTTATTTAGGATATTTTTTGGCTGTTGATCAGTGAATTGTTTTGCTTTGTCTATATATTTTTGTCCTTCATAGTTCCAGTTTTTTTCAATTAATTTTTTATTGAAGGGAGTCTAGTGAATTTATTTATGTATAAAGTGAATGTTATGCTATAACGAATTATGTATACAGGTTGGTGTATTAATAAAACAAGTTAAAAAAGAAATACAGCACAATATTGATTTGTCTATATACTTTTGTCCATTGCTGTAAATTTTTTCTCAAAACACTCTGCACTTTCAGGTACCTGCTGCTGACGTCCAAAGAGCGCAAACAGGTGTTCGAGAAATACGTAAAAGAACGAGCCGAGGAGGAGCGTAGAGAAAAGAGGAACAAGCTGCGAGAGAAGAAGGACGCTTTCAGGAAATTGCTCAGCGAGGCGCACCTGCATGGAAAGTAAGTCCATAGTTGTTTGTGCGTTTAAAACGCTACTTTACCGCTTGAGAAATACCTATTGTTTGTCGCTCGCGTTACGTGTGCATTCATGGACGGCTTCGTTTTCAGGTCGTCGTTCAGCGATTTCGCTCAAAAGTACGCAAAGGAAGAACGTTTCAAGGGGGTGGAAAAGATGCGGGAGCGAGAAAGCCTCTTCAACGAGTACCTGATCGAAGTGCGGAAGAGGGAGAAGGAAGAGAAAATCCAGAAGAGAGAAACGGTAAGTCGTGCTTACTTTGCTATAGGCGGACTGGATAGTTTTATCAGTCTGCCATGTTGTTTTTACAGGACAGATCGAGAGCGCAAAATACCATTTTGCCGCTCGACAAGTATATATTTTCATGGTATTACAATAGCGACAATATCAAAAAGTATTTTGCTTGATTAAAACTGAACATGTCAGTACGGTCTAAATACCCAGAAGTCGACGTCAAACCGGAAACGGTGATATACCAAGTCGTGTACTTTTCAAATTACAGCAGACGCTCGATAACGTAAACACAGGATAATGAAAACTTGCGCTAATGTAAACACAAACTTCGTTCTATGGGATCAAACGGAACGCGCGATAACGTAAACAATGTGCACGCTCGATAACGATAGAGTGTAGGGGATTCACCTCTGCGATAAAATACGACAAACTCGGTCAGTCGCATGATCGTTTAGGATACGTTTATACGTACGTATTTCATTTTTGAACTTAAGTGAATACATTGCACGCGTTAATATATTTTACGACTATGGCATCCACATCCTATAAAAGAAAGTGTTTAAAGTTGAGTGAGAAAGTGAAAATCATAGACGAAGTTGCACTAGGTGCGGGAGTGACACAGTTAGCAAAAAAATATGGAGTATCGAAAGCAACAATCTGTAAAATTAAGCGTATGAAAACTGAAATTTTGTAAAGAACGTGCAATACATTTGGAGGTCCGGGAAAAAGAAAAACTTAAAAAATGCGAAGGCACCTAAAATGGAAAATTCCGTGTATAAGTGGTTATTAAAACAACGGGAAAATCATGTCCCAGTTAGTGGCGAAGTACTTAAACAGAGAGCGAGACTGTTAAATGAAAAACTGAAAGAAACTGAAAATTTCGTAGCTAGTGATGGCTGGCTACAACGATTCAAAACAAGATATGGAATTCGACTGCTGTCTATATCTGGTGAAAAATTATCAGCACAACCACAATTAGTGCAACCATTCAAAGAAAAATTGAAGAAAGCAATTACCGAGCTAGATTTAAGCATGGAACAAATTTACAACTCAGATGAAAGAGGCCTTTATTGGAAAATGTTACCAGAGAAAACCTATGCTGCATCATTTGAAAAATCTGCCCCGGGAAGAAAGCCGGAGAAACAACGAATAACGTTTCTAGCCTGCACTAATGCTAATGGTTCACACAAAATAAAGCCACTGGTAATTGGGAAAGCAAAAAAAAAACGCGCTCATTTAAAAATGTTAATATCCCTGTTGATTATGACTGTTCAAAAACCGCTTGGATGACTAGCAGTATATTCCTGAAATGGTTCCACAGGTGCTTTGTCCCTCAGGTATCACTATCAATTATCACAAATGCTCTATTCATAATTTGAAGATGTGTTTTCAATTTGTAGGTAAAAGGTTTCCTAAAACAACAGAAGCTTCCAATAAAAGCGTTGTTACTATTGGATAATGCACCAAGTCATCCTCCCGAGCAACAACTGAGGAGCAGGGATGGGTAAATTTTCGTCATGTACAACGTAACACCGTTAATTCAACCGATGGACCAGAATATAATAAGACTCACCAAACATACTATAGCAAGTTTCTACTTTCGTCTGTCTTATCAAAGAATCCTGAAAACTTATCTGAGGCTTTAAAAAAAGTAACATTACGAGAAGCTGTTTTAGATTTTCATATGGCCTGGAATGAACTTAACCAGCAAACTATTCAAAAATGTTGGAACAATCTCTTTTGTACCAATAATGAAGATGATGAAGAAGACGATGTCCCCTTAAGCGTAATTAGAGAACGTTTGCGATCCAATAATGTTATTAGTGTGTCATTGGATGTTGTTGATTTATTGAATTGAAAACAGTGAATCCCAACATTGTTTGTACTCCTACTGATATTAATTTATGGAACGATGATAAGCAGACGAATGATGCTGATAAGGAGGAGGATATGGACAGTGAGGATGATAAGAACGATCCCATTGAAGTCAGAAGTGTAGTGACTGACGCGCAAGCTATACAAGTTTTTAACCAAGCTTTAGATTGGGCTGAAAGAAAAGAAGTTTCATACACGGATATTTTAGTTCTTCGTAAATTACGGGCGCAGGCATTGGAAGACAATGCTAAGCGCAAATTTACGCAGACAAAAATTGTTAATTATTTTTCTTCTAATTAAAAAAATACTTATCGCTGTTAGAATATTTGTTTATTTTGTTATAAATAGTATGTATTAAACGTTTCTTTTAATAAATCAAATATTATATAAATCACGTTCGCTAATGTAAACATTTCGTTAATGTGAACCACACTTGGATTAAATTAGTTTACATTATCGAGCGTCTGCTGTATATGTTTTATGTTTTTCTGATAACTGTTCTATTCTGGCCAATCCCTCGTTTCCGACTTGATGTCGACTTCTGGAACACCCTGTATAGTTTGAAAAGCCAGGAAAGTCATTAATATCAACAAAATAAAATGAAGTTCAACATTCGCACCAACCAAAAGACTTCAAAACTAATTTAGAATGTTGGTCAAAAGATACGAATGTGGTATTAAAAATATATCACTATTCGTAAACAGAACCGTTGAAGTCGTTTTGTTGGTTAAATCTTAACGCAAGTTTAAAACTTTTTAGGTAATTCATATGTTGGATGATCTTTTGCCGAAATGAAATATATTTTTCCATAAGAGGCATGGAAATTATTCTAATAGTCTTTCTTCTATAAACTGGTTCCAAATTTGAAAGCGTTTCGCGAGATGGTTTTTCTTTTGTTCAGTTCTCGATGCTGCTTCCACTTTTGCTCCAATTTCATCAAGCGATTTTTTTGCATATTTCATACTTGGAACCAGTGTTTTGCAGGTTTCTCTCAGGATTCATCAGTTAGTGGATTTATTAAAATGAAAACAAACGCTAACTGGTGCATCTATTTTTTTAATTTTCTTCACTTTATTTATATCTCTTTCGGGCAAGTAAATCACGTTAAATTATTTGAGAATCCGGAACGGAATAATAAATTTCACTCAAAATTTTCTCGTGGTTGCCATCGATTTACTTGTCATTTCAGCTATTTTAACCTTTCAGCAATTTTAGACTTAAGTTAGGGGTTTCAGCTTCCTCGGTATGTACTTTAACTTAACCAAAATTCTTTTATTTTTTCAGCAAAAACAAAGCACAAACGTGTTAGTCTCAATCCAGTATCATCAAGAATAAATGTTTTGCTCTTTAATATTACCATTTCAACATATCTGTTATAAAATTGAGACTAGCATGTTTTAATAATATACAAGTGTTTTTTCATTCCACTGTCGATTCTAGATCAATTGAACTTACATAAGAATATAAAAGTCTACAAATTCACACAAAAAACAAGTCATATTTTATAAATTATACGTATTTTTCAGGTTACAATTTGATTCTTTCAAAACACATTTTTGAAATTCGATAGAAACTTTGTTTGTTTGTTGAAGATTTATTTAGCATTAATGCTACAATTTCTTTTATACAATTTCTGTAATTTGACATGTCTATTAAAATTACATCACTATGTATTTTGAGTATTCATAAAGTGATTTTAAAACGTTGACATTGATGTCACAGCGTACTTCAAATATATATATCCTTATGTTGCCAAAAGAACAAGTTGAAAAAATGATTTTTTCTGGATGTAACACTTCTAATGTCACCGAGTATATTTCCGAAAAACCTTTTTTTATTATTTTAACACCCTGTATCTTGAGAACGAAGAATCTGCGGATCTATGCTTATATACTAAGTGACATATAAATCCGAACACCCAGTTTAAATGGTTTTATTTTAATAAAATTTTGTATAAGTACTCAATGAAGCATAATAAGTAAATGATAAAAATTTCAAAATGATTGCACTGCTTTAAAGCCCTTTGACCTTTAATAATGTGTGGATGCACCCTGATGTGCTACGCATTCTCCAACGCAGCTAGGCATGCTTCTGATCAGGTGGTCAATGTCCTCCTGTGGAATCTCATTCCAGGCAACCACCAACTCCTCTCGAAGTGCTTCTAGAGTCTGAGGAGGACGTTGCAAATTGAGCAATCTTCTACCCATCATATCCCACACGTGCTCAATTGGGGATAAGTCGGGAGAACTTGGTAGCCATGGTAACAATGTGACATCATTATGTTGAAAGAAGTCTATTGTGACTCTTGCAACATGTGGTCGGGCATTATCTTGTTGGAAAGTTGGATCTGCCAGGGTGTCAAGATGGGGTAAAAGATGGGGTTCTAGAACTTCGTGGATATAACGCTGCGCGTTCATGTTACCTCTGATGAAGATTAAAGGTGACCTGGAACCATAAGCTATAGCACCCCAAACCATAACTCCAACAGTGTGATGAGTATGTCTTTCAACAAAAAACTGTGGATTCCTCCTTTCACCACGTCGCCTTCTAACCCTGGCACGACCATCGTGCATGCCTAAACAAAATCGAGACTCGTCGCTAAAGACAATACTGTTCCATTCCTGATCCCAGAGTGACCGTTGTCTGCACCACTCAAGGCGATTACGTCGGTGTTCTCAAGTTAAAGGGAGGACCCAGTGTGGCCGGTATGAAAACAAGTCAAAACTTCTCATTCGTCGGTGAACACTTCGCATGCCAATAGGTCTTCCGTGTTCTGCAAACCATTCATTTGCAATGGACCTGGTAGTGGAGAAACGGTCCCTTAAGGCCAATAATCTTAGGCGGCGATCTTCACGGTCTGTTGTTCTACGGCGGCGTCCAGTGCCCCTTGCTCTTTGCGTACGGCCTTCTCGAAGCCATGCCTGACAACACCTAACCACAGTGTCTACACTTCTTTGCACTCTAAATGCAATTGCCCGAAAAGAAAGTCCAGCTTCCCGAAGTCCCATTATACGGCCCCTAACAAACTCACTAAGTTGACGAAATCGTACAGGTCTCCGTACTCTAGGCATCGTAACCGATCGTAAAGGATGTCAAGAACCAAAATCCGCCAACGTTGATTCTTTACTGCGGCTGAAATATTCATTTTTAGAGCGTTAGTGAATTAAAAAAAAACAGTATAAAAACCGGAATGTCCAACTGATAAGGCTGAACATTTTTTCACTTGTTATTTACAGTAAGATAAATACATTCACCAACTTTTATTAAAATAAAACCATTTAAACTGGGTGTTCGGATTTATATGTCACTTAGTATATGAACTTTTTATCTTAAAATTTGCCTGTTAAATTTTTGCTGCATACCAAATATTTGAGTCAATTGAGCATAAAATGAGAGTATGCCGTTTTTTATTGTTTATGACTTATTTTTTGTGTGATGTTTCCACTCCGAATAAATATGAACATCCGCATTCGTACATCACAAATACGTGTAAAATGAAACTTGCATATCCGATATTTTTATCACAGTATGAAACTACAAATTTTGTTAAATCTCCATCATTGCCAAGCGCTTGCAATAGTCAAATATCATCGTTCACTTACCTGATAGTAGGTTGAGCCCCTGAATATTTTCAACAGAAATTATGGATCATAATTGATTGTGTTAATGTGTGATAAATTACTTGTCTACCAAAGATAAATGAGCAGGAATAATCTACATAAAATATAGTAACATCTCAGAGTTTCATATGAGTTTTGACCAAAATGCATCTGAACGAAATAGCCAATATAAAATATAGTAATCGCTCAGTGTTTCGTTTAGCTTCAGTACTGTTTGAAGAGTTGGTTGCTAGATGGCGGGCTACGTCCGACTGTGGTTCCGGGATCGGCCGTCGACCGTAGGTGGCGCTGCCGGCGTGCTGGCCGTAAGAAGCTGCCTCTTCTACACTTCCCCCACTTCTTGCCTACTACGTGGGTCGCTTGTTTTTAGTTGACGGTACTAAATAATCTACAAGTTAGTTTACCATGTGAGAAAGAACGATTCTTCTTCTTCTACAAAAAAAAAAAAAATGTTACCTCAGCCATAGTGAAGTATTTGGTGTGACGTTGTTCAGGCAAAAGGCTCGTGGGCTTTCATCGCTCTATCTTTCAGTCGGTGAGGCATAAATAACACTGATCAACAGCCAAAAAATATCCTAAATAAAATCAACAAAATGTTACTATTTTTAATGTGCTAAAACCGGAATAAAACTTATTTTTTCAATAGTAGTTCAAGTTTTAGAGATACGGTAATTATATGTGTTCCTGCTGTGACAGTGTTAATATACTGTAATCCACAAGAATGCACGTGCTACATTTTTATATTCGGCAAGGAAAGATGATGTAATCGGCATGATTGTGTTACGTTATACATACGTGTACATTATATTGTTTTATATTAGCCATTTTTTCCTCAGTTGGCTGACAGCGTTCATGCAAGATGCCTCGAAAGTGTGTAAACAATCCAGATCAGTTTTGTTACGTGTGTGGTGATGTGACTTTTGCGTCTCAGAGACGGTCTATTACTCCACTAATAACAAAGGCATATCAGCTTTATTTCGGTTGTAAACTAGGTGATCAAGACAAACAGTGGGCACCCCACATCTGCTGTAATACATGTGCTTCAAGTCTGAGGAGCTGGTTAAATGGCAAAAAACGGTCTATGCGCTTTGCTGTCCCAATGGTTTGGAGAGAGCCTACAAATCATATTAATGATTGTTACTTTTGCATGGTACCTTGTGTTGGACAAGCCCAGAATCCTATACTTGCGAATCAGAAAACGAATCAGATCATGGCGATCGAGTGATTCGTCAGGAAGAAGATATGCCATCAACGTCAAGAGATCCTGATTTTATACCGAGCACGTCATGCCACCAACCGCACAAAATAACACAGTCAGAATTAAATGATCTTGTAAGAGATTTAGAACTTCCAAAATGTAAGGCAGAGTTACTTGGATCAAGACTGCAGCAGTGGAACTTGTTAGAAGACGATGTTTCGGTATGTGTTTTTCGTAAACGCCACAAAGGCTTAGAACCATTTTTCAATATGGAGAATAACTTGGTTTTCTGCAGTAACACTAACGGCTTACTGGCGGCTTTAAATATAAACTATAACCCAGAAGAATGGAGATTGTTTATAGACAGTTCAACATTGAGTTTAAAGGCAGTGTTATTGCATATTGGAAATATTTTACCATCTCTTTCTGTAGGGTATGCAGTTCACATGAAAGAATCATATGACAATATGAAGTACCAGTTAAGTTTGCTATATTAACTACTACACTTGCTCTTTTTATTCGCTCCAACACAGACACGAAATATTGGTAAAGACCACACATAAAAATATCAACCAAGGATCACCGGGAAGATTAACGAAATATATATCGCCACACCTGTTTGCAGCTGCAGATCCCACACGGAAGAGATTGCACAAAATTAATTCTGGAAATACTTTTTTGACTTCTAATGTCAAAAATTAGGTCAAGCTAAAGAAGGTTTTTAGGAGATTCCTGAATTTTTAGTGTGAATATGGAGGAAAACTCTAAAAAGGATGGAGCTAGTGAGGAAGTGGAGAGTGTGGTCTCACTGAGTGAAAAGGGATTTTGTACAGAGGAAGTTTTGAAACTAAAAGATTATACCATTTCGATTCAAGAGAAATTAATAAAAGAATTGTACGAAAAGATAGACCAATTAAACAAAAAAATTGGGAAAATGCAACAACCGTCACAACAAGCAATTACAACTTACGCTAATATGGTTAAAGTTTCAGGGCCTTCAACCGTTAATTCGCCTACACAAATGGTAGAATATAAGCAACAATGCGTACCATTACAAACATGTACAGCAAAAAAACAATCACCAGTATTAAAACCCACAAATACAGTCATTGTTAAGCCTAATAACCAACAAGAGTGTAATAACACAAAGAAAGACATCGCAAAATTTGTGAATCCTACCAGTTTGAAAATTGCTATTGAAAAAGTTTATGAATTGAAAGATGGTGGGGTGAAAATCCAATGTAAAACAAAAGATGATAACGCGAAGCTACATAATGAAATAAAATCAAAAATGCCAGAAACATATACAGTGAAAACTTCAGAGATAAGTAAAAAACCACAAATCAAAGTTATTGGATTTTGTCAAGAATATGCAGAAGACGAGCTAATAAATACTATAAAATCACAAAATGAATCTTTTCAAGAAAATTCACATATGAGAGTAATTACAGTCAAGAAAATGAAAACTAAATATCAAGCAATTTTAGAAGTGGATGCTGTGACTTTTAAGTGTGTTATGAATCAGGGTGTTATTTTTATCGACATGTCTGTTTGCTCTGTTTTCGAGTACATCAATGTTTTGCGATGCTATAAATGTACCGGATTTAACCACACAGCTAAATACTGCACAAAATCAGGAAGATGTCTTACTTGTGGATTAGAAGGACATTCAACAGAAAACTGTAGTACCAGTGAAATGTACAAATGCTGTCCAAATTGTAAAAGTGCAAACCAAGATTTTAATCTAGGATTACCTATTAATCATGGACCATTTGACAAAAATTGTGAAGTATATAAAAGGAAAATTGAACCTGAGAGGGAAAAAATTAATTATGCAAATGAATAGCAACTACTAAGCTCAGATTTGCAAGACGTGGCTAAATCTATAAGTGATGAATATAACTCAATATACCATTTAAACATACAAGGAGTCCTGAATAATATAGATGAAGTTCAACAGTTTTTAAGATGGAGAAAACCACTTGTATTATGTCTTACCGAAACACATGCTACAGAAGACATCACTGATGGTGAATTACAAATTACTAATTATAAAACCTACAGATGCAACTCCAACTCCAGACATACTGGAGGTGTAGTGATTTATGTTTACCACAAAATACAGATCACATTATTCGATTGTACCACTTTAGACTATGCATACTGGTATGCACATATACAGTTCAAATTATTTGGGAAACGTTATGATCTTTGTACTTTTTACCGTTCACCAAACAGTGATGCAGATACATTTTTAACGTTTTTTGAAGAAAAATGCGAAGAAATGTGGAATTTTAGAAACAATATAATACTTTTAGGTGATTTTAATTTAAATTATTATGGTAAAAGCATGAAAACAAGAAAATTGAAAGAAACCATAAACAACTATGGGTTCAAGCAAAAAATTGAAGAGAGTACCAGAATAACATCATTATCAGAGACTTTGTTAGATCTTGTTATTGTAAATTTCGAATGTGCAGGGATTAAAGCTGTACATACACCTAAAGTTAGCGATCACAGTTGGACAATGCTGCCCTTGGTAGGGCATTTTTCTGATACAAAAATTAAGAAAATCGTAAATACTATTAAGTACGAAAAACTTGAACGAGAACTTGCTGGCTGCTATTGGAATTTTGGTGAGAATATGGAAAAAATATATGACAACATAATAGGAAATATAAAAACTTGTTTAGATCTTGCAACTGATAAAAAACTGATTTGCTCGACAAAAAATACACCCTGGTATAACAAGAATATTAAGGTAGCTCAAAATTTGAGAGACAAACAATACAATAAATGTATATTCACAAAATCAAATGATGATTGGGAGGTATATAAAACTCTTAGGAATAAATGTGTATATGTAATTAGAGAAGAAAAAAGAAAATTCTACGATAAACAAATCGATAATAACAAGTGCGACAGTGTAAAGATGTGGAAGACTTTAAAAAGACTGATCAATTCGAAGCCGCATGATTGTGTAAATCAAGTTCAATTCGAAAACGGTACCGAAACAAATTCTTTGGTGATTGCAAACAAACTAAATGAATATTTTGTGGAAAGTATTGTTGATATTGTAGGTACTGCCAATGCTGCACCTGACTATATGAAAATCAGTTTCCAGGGGGAAATGTTGCATACACTTTCAAAATTTCACAGCGTATCATTGAATTATCTAAGAAAAAAAGTAAACAGTTTAAAATCAAATAACAACTGTGCCGAAATGATTACTAAAAACGTGCTGAAAAACTGTTTCGAAATTTTGGGATATCCTGTATTAAATTGGATCAATTGTTCACTGAGAAGCAGTTCTTTTCCTGAAAATTTGAAATGCTCTACAATAACACCAGTTCCCAAGATAAAAAATTCTAAAAGATGCAGCGATATGAGACCAGTAAATGTGTTACCAGACATTGAAAAATTATTAGAGTCCATAGTGCATGACCAATTAATGCAGTTTATAGAAGAAAACAAAATTTTAGTGGAGGCGCAAGCAGGCTTTCGAAAAAAATATTCCACAGAAACAGCTTTCCAGTTGGTAACTGAGAATTGGAGAAGAGCCATAGACTCAGAAGAAGTTGTCATAGCAGTATTTTTGGATTTGAAGAGGGCATTTGAAACGATTGATAGAGATATTTTGTTAGGTAAATTGAAGGCATATGGTATAACAGGAAGTGTTTTAGATTGGTTTGGAAATTATTTGTCTCAAAGGATGCAAGTTACAAAAGTTAATGACACTATTTCATCAAAAATTGAAAATACGTTGGGTGTTCCACAGGGCAGTATCCTGGGACCACTTCTTTTTATTTTATACATAAATGATTTACCTGCCATAGTCAAAAAATGCAAAATTCAAATTTTCGCCGATGACACTATGATTTATATAAGTACTAAAAATATTCAGTCTGGTATCTCTTATATAAATGAAGACTTGAAGCTTGTCTCAAAATGGTTAGCATCTAACAGACTAAAATTAAATGCAAGTAAAACGAAAGCCTTGTTAATCGGAAAAAAACAATGTACAAATGTTCAACTGAATATTGATGGTGAAGATATTGAATTCGTAGAAAATTTTAAATACCTGGGAGTTTTTGTTGACTCTCGATTAATTTTTGATATTCATTATGAAAAAGTTATAAATAAGATTAGTAGTAAAGTGGGATATTTATCGAGAGTTTCTGGATGTCTGAGTTCATATAGCAGAAAAATTATCTATAATACCATCATTCTTCCAAATTTCTTGTACTGTTCGACTATTCTATATTTAGCAAATAATTCCATTTTTGAAAGACTGCAAATTTTACAAAATAAGTGCATGAGAATAATACTAAATAAAGATAAATATACTCCAATTAGGCAAATGCTTAGCAAATTAAAATGGCTCAATGTAAAAAATTTTATCAAATATCTTGTAATGATATTCATTTATAAAGTAAAAAATAATATATTTCCATCAAGTCTAACTAATTTAACATCATCAAATGTCGACCATCATTTACATAATACCAGAAATAAAGATGACTTCCATTTAATGACCAAAAAGTATAACATATGCTACAAATCTGTATTCCATCAAGGGTTGATTGAATATAATAAATTATACTCGGAGATAAAAGACCAGAAAACTTTGACAAAATTTAAAGTAAAATTGAGAAATCACTTGTTAAATCTACAATTTTAGGTTGCCCAGCATTCACATCATACACCATATGGCTTGAATTTACTAGTTCTAAGTTGTTTACAATTGTTCTGTTTATGTAGCCAAATGTGCTAAATAAATCTTTCTACTACTACTACTACTACCTATTGACATGCATAAAATAGGATGAGCACCAATGGCATATTTGTGGCGATTTGAAAGTTGTTGCACTTTTACTTGGGCTGCAGCTAGGCTACACAAAGTTTTGCTGTTTTTTGTGTGAATGGGACAGTCGGGCAAAGGCACTTCATTACACCAGACAAAACTGGCCTGTTCGTCAATTCCTAGAGCCAGGTCAAAAAAATGTACAGCATATGCCATTAGTAGATTCGAAAAAAATTTTATTACCACCACCGCATATCAAGTTGGGCCTAATGAAAAACTTTGTCAAGGCATTAGATAGAGATGGGTCAGCTTTTCAATACCTGCATCAGAAATTTCCAAGACTAAGTGAGGCAAAGGTTAAAGAAGGTATTTTTGTTGGGCCACAGATTCGAAATATTTTGAAAGATACACCGTTTGAAAACACTTTAACAGGTATTGAAAAAACTGCTTGGAATGATTTCCGTCTGGTGGTCACTAATTTCTTGGGAAATAGAAAAGCTGACAACTATAAAACCCTTGTCAAAAATATGCTGTCATCGTATCAAAAGATGGGCTGTAATATGTCTCTTAAGATACATTTCCTGCACTCACACCTGGACTTTTTTCCTGACAATTGCGGAGCCGTAAGTGATGAGCACGGCGAACGTTTTCATCAGGATATTTCAACAATGGAAAAAAGGTACCAGAGAAAGTTGAATCCTTCCATGCTTGCAGACTACTGTTGGACTCTTGGTAAAGATGCTCCAGAAACGATCCATAAAAGAACAGCAAAAAGACAGCGCATATAGTGATTCTTATCTTGTTACTTTTTTTAATATATCCTTAAAAATAAAAAGATTTTTTTCTAAACCGCAACTAATTTTTTTATTTCATTGTCATTTTTGGATTCAGCGCCACAAAATTAACAAAGAAGTGCACTTTTCCCACAAGATAAAATTAAAAAACTAAAATTTGTTGTCCAGTGTAATAGGTTTGAACTCGATACTACAGAGTCAACTACGTTTGCAATGAAAATGCTAATTTGTGGCAAAACAACACCGAAAACGTAGAAAACAAATTGAAGAAAAATAGTATTCATTTGGTAATAAATGGCAAGTACTGACCCGTAACATATTTTGTTTGTAAACAATGCTTGAAGACATCGTTGTCTAGCTCTTCAACTGTGTTCATCCAGACGGCTTACGCACGATACAAACAGACATTTGCAGCTCTGACGGAAAGAAACATCGAGGACGACAGGGTGGCCATCTAAAAATGCGCGGTACTGTATCGTAAAGACTTGAGGCAAAAAATTTTACTAAATCGGTGAAGAGAAAAACCTCTAAAATATTTTCAAGTTTCTGAACTGGCCGCTAGAGGGCGCAACTGCAAGATTGAATCTAAGATCTTTGTTAGATTCACAGAAATGGTTAATTTTTTTGAAAAAATTAAATGCATTGATATGACTTTTTTATGAAAAAGTAGCTAAACGGTGTCTAAATAAACAATGTTGCTGGAATTTCTTTTTATTATTAATTTGTGGCCCTAAAAAGGACCGATTTAAAAAAGACAGATTTTTAATAAGAGGGATGTCTTTTAAGTTTTGCATATAGAAACATAGAACGTCAGTACTGAATCTTAACCTCATTCTTTAGTAAACTTAAATTGAAAGTTTCACAAGAATACGTGCAGTGTTCTCACTACAGTGAATTTTTAAGTTTCACCAAGTCATTAGTAAAATGGAACTCAACCGAGAACATTTTCGCGCCATAATTTATTGCAACTTTCAATTATCGCAACAAGAGTGCCTTTCTGAGTTACTATCTGTTTTCGGCAACGAAGCGCCACATCAGTCGACAATTTCACCTTAAACGCTTTTAAATTCGAACAGTGTTTAATATTATTATTCAATTGATTGAATTCAAATACTCCGTTTTGAAATACAGATTTGCTACAATCTATGCTGCCTCTACTTTCGTAGTTATGATAATCGTGCTAGCATCTTACGATTTCAGGGGCAGAGACAGACACGAAGTTTTAGCAGATATATTCAGTCCAAAATTCTGAGCCCATGAACCTTTTGTTTGTATAACGTTGTCAGTGAATGATTACTATTAAATTAAGTGTTTTTACAAGATTGGCAATACTTTCTTCAAAAGTTAAAGAAACTGTAACTATAAAATATATGAAAAATGTAAAGCTAATAACATTTCCTTTCAGGTCCAGTCTGTGTGTGTGTGAATGTGTGTATATCAGCCTATTTTTTGAGAATAAACTAACTGAAAATTCATTTCATATAGTCTTCATTTTACTGTTTCTTCTATATGAGAGTTCAAGTATAATCCATGTTTGCATTTCCAATGATAATATATAAAATGTCTTCAATTTGTAACAGTAGAATCTCACACTACCACTAAATGGTTAATAAAATACGGGCATACTCAAACTTGTAACATATATAATTTTAGAGTGGTAAATTTGACCGGTTTACAATGCAAAATTTTTTGATAATGAAGCACCATAAACTCAGTCGCAGTTATTGAACAAAGACAAAACAAGCGTGCCACAAAGTCTAAAATCCTTACCAATGCGCTTGTTGTGGATAGGAAATCAAGCTTACTGGTCAAATTCACAACTCTTACTTCGAGTCAAGAACAATTTGAAAAAAACTGCAGGCTGATTTCTAACTCTTTATTTTCAGGCGGAATTTTTCTCAACTCTCTTCCAGATCCTAATCACTGTTTGCCTTTCAGCTAGGCGTACCAACGTTGCAGCCAGTGAGACACATCGAATACTATTTTTAAATGTTTTAGATGTAGATCGGTGCCCGTCCTAACCTGAAAATAACCCTCGGATATGCTTACAGGTAAAACGGGACTTCTTGGCAATGTTGCGCGAACACTCCGACATAGACCGGCATTCTCATTGGTCGGATGTGAAGCGAAAAGTCGATTCTGATCCGCGTTATCGGGCCGTCGAGTCGCACGCGGCGAGAGAGGATTATTTCCGCGAGCATTGCAAGATGCTGAAGGAGGAGAAGAAGAGATCGAAGGACAAGGACAGGGAGCATAAAAGGGAGAAGGAAAAGCACAAGAAGAAGGATAAGGATCGCGACAGGGACAGAGAAGAGAAGAAGGAAAAGAAGGAGAGCAGGGATAGAGATAAGGACAAGGAGAAGGATAAAGACAAGGATAAGGAAAAGGACGAAGCTAAGGCGGATGGCGAAGACGTCGACGAAGATGGGGATGTTTCCATGAAAGAGGCGGAGGTGAGTGTTTCAAGAAATGTACTATGGAATATAAATTTTTTCAATGTGTAAAAGGTCGCACCGTCATTTGAGACTCGCCTGTTTTAAAGGGTTGTCCAATAGGGACGCAGGAAGGTAAACGTCAATTTGACATAGACGCCATCTTTGTTTTCTGTCACCGACATGTCATTTTGTTAGTTGAATGTTTACCATTGATCGCTATGGAGTCGTATTCGATTGAAGACCGCATTAAAGTTATTCAAGAGCAAAAATAAAAAACACGTTTCGCGCGCTTCGTGAACATTTCGGTCACAACAACCGACCAAACGGAACAACCGTCGGTCGTCTGGTGCGTAAATTCGAGGCAACAGGTTCTGTGGCAAATCTGCCAGGCTCTGGCCGGCCAAGGAGCGTTCGCACACCGGAAAATATTGCTGTTGTGAAGGAGAGTGTGAGAGACGATCCGAAACAATCAACAACGCGTCGATCAGAAGAATTGGGCATTTCGAGAACCAGTTTGCCCGCATTCTCCACAAGGATTTGAATGTACACGCCTACAAGATCCAATTGACGCAAGAGCTGCGTCGCGCCGACCTTTTTTCGCGCCGAACGTTCTCAGATTGGCTCCTTGAACACCGCCAAATTGATGCCAATTTTTCATCAAAAATCATGTTCAGCGACGAAGCGCATTTCACTTTGAATGGGACAGTAAACAAGCAAAACTGCCGCATCTGGGCGAACGAAAATCCCAGTGAGTATTAAGAGTAGCCGATGCATCCTCAAAAAGTGACATTGTGGTCAAAAGGCATCGTCGGACCTTACTTTTTCGAAAATGCGGCCGGGGACGCCGTTACCGTCAATTCTGAGCGATATCACGTGATGATAGAGGACTATTTTTTGCCGCAACTTGAAGGAATGGATATGGACGATGTTTATTTCCAACAAGACGGTGCAACATGCCACACAACCAACGTCAATATCCATCGATTGCAGTCCTTCTTCGGCGATCGCGTGATTTCGCGCAGAGGAAATGTGCCATGGCCACCAAGATCGTGCGATTTGACTCCCTTGGACTTCTTTTTATGGGGATATTTGAAAAGCAAAGTCTACGTCAACAAACCAGCCACCCTCCAACAACTCAAAAACAACATCATTGCCGAGATAAATGCCATAGAACCGACCATGTTGCAAAATGTCATTGAAAATTTCGACCGTCGCGTGGACGTCTGTAAATCCAGTCGTGGTGAACATTTGAGCGATATTATTTTTCATACATAAATGGTATAAATGAACCTTCAAAATAAAGTACCCAACTTGATTTGAATATCAATCTTTCTTGTTTTAATATGCGTTTACTTTCCTGCATCCGTTTTGGACGACCCCATATTTTGGGGAAAACTAGAAGCTTTCACGTTCTTAAAATTCTTTTGAAAACTACTCTAGTTCATCCCGATTCTAACGGTATGCCTTTGCACACGTTGCAGTTACAAAACAACCATCAAGTATCACTTACCTAGACATATGTTATATAAACATTCAGAGTCAGTAGGCAACTATAAATTCAGCATATGTATTCACTGCAATGCAAAATTTAAAACTAAAAATTTGCTAGATAATCATATACTCAAGCAGCATCCTGACCTTATTGCATCCGTTTCTTCTAGAATTCATGAATGTAAACCTTGTGAATATAAAACAACTATAAAGAATTGTTTGGCAAGCCACGCATTGAAACATCCAGAGTCAGTAGATAATTATAAATTCAGCATATGTATTCACTGTAAGGCAAAATTCAAATGTATTCCAATACTGAATGATCATTTAATCAAGAAACATGCTGACTTTATTCCATCATCCGTGTCTAGTAAAATACATGAATGTACACATTGTGCATATAAAAGTTTATTTAAAAGTAAAATTGATAGACATATGTCAAAACACTCAAAATTACCAGATAATCATAAATTCAGTATATGTATTCACTGTGATGTGAAACTCAAACACACACAGACACTGAATGATCATATAGTCAGGAGACATCCCGATTTTATTGCATCCATTTCTGCTAAAATACATGAATGTGCATATAAAACTGTGAAAAAATCTGACCTTGCTACACATATGAAGAAGAATGGTACGTGTAGCCCGCTTAAGCGGCCTATGCACTGGCTCCTTATGGTGGCCGGGATGCCTCTAAAATTCAAGATTCATTCATTCATTCATGGTACGTGTAGAATGATCATATAGTCGAGGAACATTCCTAGTTTATTGCATCCGTTTCTGCCAGAATTCATGAATGTACACATTGCTCATATAGAACAACCATCAAGGCCCAGTTTTCTGAACATATGTTAAAACATCTACGTAGACAGTAGATAAGTTTAAATCCGACATATGCATTCACTGTAAGGCAAAATTCCAAGGTAAAACAATCATTTAGTCAAGAAACACCCTGACTTTATCACATCCGTTTCTAGTAAAATACATGAATGTAAACGTTGTGCATATAAAAGTCATAAAAAACTAATTTTGTTGCACACATGAAGACGAAACATCGCAGGTATAGACGGTATAAATCTGTCACTAGAAGGTGTGGTTCAATATAAAAATGTGATGTATGGACGTGTTTATTTTTGTATACATTGTTTGAAGAAAAATAAAATAGAATTAATACTTGTTACACTTTATTGCCATAGTCCTCTAAAATGTGTTACTTGGTTTGATAGTTCAACATCAAAATTATTTTTTAATTTGTTGAAAGTTCTCGTTTTTCTATTTTTAGGGGATGAAAAATCACTACAAATCTATGGAAATTAACATTACTTTTTTCAATTCAAATTGTAAACAAATGAATTCAGAACTTACAAAACTCCAAGCAAGATTTGTCGTGTCTCCAAATGTATCCAATAGGTAACATAACATCACAAAATCACTGCAAATCGGCACACTACACGATGAAACAATCTAACATCACATTCAAAACCGCGAATGTTTCTTTGTTTGTACCCGACGCGCGCGACGTGTTGCCTCGGCGAGATCCAAAGATAGACTGAACAGCAGCAGTGCGCCGGCCGTCAGTACCGCAACGCTCTCGATTACGTCACAGCCACATGCTCGTTTCTTTCTGCCAATCGCATCTTAGGCGGAAAGTGGGGTGCGCGGTGGATCAACTTGAAGCTACTGCATTTGAAAGCGATAGGTGTAGCTCCGCCCACTTTGCACCCCACTTTCCGCCTAAGATGCGATTGGCAGAAAGAAACGAGCATGTGGCTGTGACGTAATCGAGAGCGTTCCGGTACGGCCGGCCGGCGCACAGCGCACTGCTGCTGTTCAGTCGATCTTTGGATCTCGCCGAGGCAACACGTCGCGCGCGTCGTGCACGAACAAAGGAACATCCGCGGTTTTGAATGTGATGTTAGATCGTTTCATCGTGTAGTGTGCCGATTTGCAGTGATTCTGTGGTGTTATGTTACCTATTGGATACATTTGGAGGCACGACAAGGCTTGCTATGGAGTTTGGTAAGTTCTGAATTTATTTGTTTACGCTTTGAATTGAAAAATAATGTGAATTTGCATAGATTTGTAGTGATTTTTCATCCCCTAAAAATGGAAAAACGAAAACTTTAACAAATTGAAAAACAATTTTGAGGTCGAACTATCAAACCAAGTACCACATTTTAGAGGACTATGGCAATAAAGTGTAACAAGTATTAATTCTATTTTATTTTTCTTCAAACAATGTATACAAAAATAAACAAATCAATACATCACATTCTAGTTTTTATATTCAACCATAACAGTGTCAGATTCATACCGTCTATACCTACGATGTTTTGTCGTATTTTACTAGAAACGGATGGATTATATGATCATTTAGTCCAAGTTTTCTTTTGAAGTTTGCACTACAGTGAAAACATGTCAAATTTCCTATAACCTTTTTTACCTCTGGATGTTGCATCATATGTCTAGCAAAAAAAAAAATGTTAACACTCATGGATTTTACTAGAAACGGATGTGATACGGATGTTTCTTGATTAAATGATTATCCAGTCTTGCTTTATCTACGGATTTTGCCTTACAGTGAATACATATGCTGGATTTACCTCCTGACTCTGAATGTTTCAATATGTGCTTTTCCAAATAATACTTGATAGTTGTTTTATATTCACAATGTTAACAATGTATATATATATAACTTGAGACGTGGTCATTGTCGTCTAGACCAGTTAGGTGAAAAATTAAAGCTTCCGCCTTTTGTTGGGTACTTCGACAAAATTTAAGCAAAGAGGACTCTTTATACTTTTTTAATTCTCTCTAGCTTTCAATGGACTTTGCCATGATCATCAGTAGCAACAAAAGTGTAAAATGAATTTAAATTGACTCAACTTACAGTAGTATGTGAGGATGTTGCTAATTGTTTACGTATAGGATGAGGGAAACGTCCAGTAACATGGTGAGAGCTGGATACATGGTACAATGTAAAATACAAAATTATATAAAATATGACAAGAACAAGTTAAAGACAGATTAAAAATTATTTGAAAAACATTAGAGCATTACATCGTGAAGCCACTTGATGATTGCACAAAATGGTGATCATGGAATAATGAGTGAGGTGAACCCTTTGACAGAAGGCCGAAGGTTGTCAATGTCTGTGTTGAAAGATGGAACGAATTGTAGGCGTGTGCTAAAACGTTGCCAAATCACTTAGATGATATGATTTTCAGAATGTTATTAAGAAATTGTTAAACCGACCAGAGGCAGTTGAATAAACTATATTTTAATTAATGGGAATTTAAATTAATAATTATTAATAAATCGTGAGAAGAGAATTATTAGATTTTGAGTGGAATGAAATTTACTGGTGGAATCGGCCAAAACACAGATTCTATTTATGGTTGTGAAGAGTCGAAATTTGGGGAGATATGTAAGTTCTCCAATTTTTCGCAGTTTAGCAAATATGAGTAAATGACACTCAGTTGTTTAACATCTGTCTTTTTGTTGATACAGTTGTTATTCATGAAAATGTGGGACATTTCCAGGAATAAACGTTTGGAAAGGTGTTTTTCTTTATCAAGAACTTTGATACTTGAGTAATTCATAGAATGCCCTGTTGTGTTAACATGAGATGCTAGAGCGCATCTTTCAGGATGAAGCCTAGCATCACTTTTGTGTGATGTAATCCTTCATTTAAGAGATCTGGTGGTCTGACCTATGTATATTGCAACAACTGCAACCAACGTTTCCCTCATCCTATACGTAAACAACAATTAGCAACATCCTCACATACTACTGTAAGTTGAGTCAATTTAAATTCATTTTACACTTTTGTTGCTACTGTTATCATTGTAATTACAGCTCCTGATGATGATGGCAAAGTCCATTGAAAGCTAGAGAGAATTAAAAAAGTATAAAGAGTCCTCTTTGCTTAAATTTTGTCCAAGTACCCAACAAAAGGCGGAAGCTTTAATTTTTCACCTATATATATATATATATATATAAAGGCCAAACCAGAATTATGGAATCCAAAACATGGGCACAAACTACATTCACTGAACTTCTTGTTTTTAAAAAATTAGACACCCAAAATTTGCGTTTTATTTTTTTGCGATCTATGAACTTATGCAGTATAACGAAAGATGCAGCACATACGGCAGATTTGTTTTTTATTTTAAAAGAAGGCGTTTTTGACGTAGTTTAATTTTTCGCGCGACACACCAACGTAACGTCTACAAACACGTTCAAATCGCGTGGGAAGCGAAGTTTGTTAACTGAGGACAACATGATTGTGGGCATTTATAAGGATGTACAAACATTTGATATCACCGTTTGCGAAAGATTTTTTGGTGAGTACACGCCTTTTAATGGGATAAATCCGCGATTCCGCTCGCGTGGAAGGAGTGTTAAGCGCAGGTGGTACGTCTTTCGTTAGATTGAAGGAGGTCAGTTTCGGAGAAAAGAAATGAAATAGTTTGCTCTTTTCAGAGAAGATTCAGTGTGAATGTTTGGACAGCAGTAATTGGCAATCATGTGATTGGGCCACATTATTTGCCAGATCGTCTTAACGGAGATAATTATCTACATTTTCTGCAAAATAAGTTGCCCGAATTGGCGAATGAGGTGCCAATTTGCAATAGCGACAGACGAATTGTGTTCCAACATGATGGCTGTCCTGCACACTAGAGGCTAATTGTGCGGGAACATCCAAATGATGTTTTTCCGAATGCGTGGATTGGACGAAATGGTCCTATTCCATGGCCTGCACGCTCCCCAGACCTAATTCCATTGGATTTTTACATCTGGGGACGTGCAAAAGCACTCGTCTACGCGACAGCAGTTGGAAGAAGAGAAGAGTTGATCCGAAGAATAGAAGAGGCGTTTGGTACGATTCAAATTCAATTCAAAATTGAGACTTACATTTTTTGTTCTTTTTTGTAACCCTTTGTGAGTTTATAAATAAAAAACTACATGGTGCTGGCAGGCAGTGTTGATTTGTAAGATTAGTACAACATCACCCATTAAGATAAATTAATCATTAGGTGGACACACTCTTTATTTTTTTTATTTCACTTTGTGTATTACATTTTGGAGTTTTTACTAAAAGAAATTAAAAAATCTACATAATTAATTCCGTTGGGCCAAAAACGGTTTGAGGGACCTGGGGTGATAGAAAAAGACCTCTTCTGTCTGCCATTTCAATTTCTCAAACGATGCACCAGGAGAGTCACAAACGGGTGTGCGACGTCTTCGTTGGGCCACCTTGTATATGACCTTTAGTTTCATAATGACGAGTCTTATGTCATGGAGCATGATCTAATAGGACAATAAACTATCTATGTGTGTAATTTTCATAGGATGAAAATGAAAAAGACGATTCTGACGAAGAGAAAGCGAAAGAAGAAAAGGAGAAGGACAGAAAAGCGAGGGCTGAAGCAAGTTTAAGGGAGAGAGAGAAAGAAGTCCAAAGGACGTTGGCGAATCATATGAGAGACAGAGATAAGGAGAGAGAACAGCATAAGAGAGATGAAGCTGTACAGGTAAATATTTTTTAATTCAGTTATTTTTGCTGTACTATAACTATCTAAAACTGTAATGACTCATCGATGTTCACGTGAACATCACTTAACTACCAGTAGTCGGCTGTTCATAGCCGGGGTATGAATGTTTAACATGGGTGAACTAGATTTGTCACATGCTTAATAAAGGGTGGATTGAAACATATTGTTAGTCAAAAATTTGGGAATTACCTTTATTCATCGTCGCTTCCACTTACATCTGACAGTAATAAACTGTCGCTATCGCTTTCCTCGTTGAAATTGACTGGCTCTATGATGGTGTCGATGTGGTGGTCAAGCTGCCACATTTTTGTTTCTTCCTTCACAACATGATAGGATAGCATTCTGCCAAGCTTCGGGCGTTACTAGCTGTATGGAAGTCTCAAGTAAAACCTTAACGTCAGGTAAATTGAAGGTTGTGTTATGGCGTGCAATATAACCCTTCACTTGAGCCCAGATGAGCTCTATTGGGTTCAGTTCACAGTGGTAGGGCGGTAACCGCAGCACAGTGACACCACATTGACGGGCCATCTCATCAGTCACGTAACTAATGGTCGCAGGTTTGTGCTGTTTAATTTTTTCATACAATTCCGCTTTCACACATGAATCGTCAAACGGGATTTCTTTTTCGCGCAACCATTGCTGCATGTCACTTTTTCGAGATCCCATAGTCGGTACACGTTCGGCTCGATGGTAGGAAGCATTATCCATGACGATCACAGAGTTGGGCTCAACTCGCTGAAGCACCCCTTGAAACCAGCTCTCGAAGCAGCTGGCATTTATTTCGTCATGGTAATCACCTCCTTTCTTAGAGACGAAAATCAAGTCACACTCTTCTAAAAAGCCACTATCGCTACCAATATGAGTTACGATCAATCTTTGACCTTTCCCTGTCGGTCCACGAAGACCTGTTGACAAACCTTCAATGCTTGCTTGTCGGTTACTCACTACGTTTTTGTCTATCCAGGTTTTTTTAACTGTGTGACCTGCATTTACCCATGTCTCGTCCAAATAATAGATTTTTCTGCTTTGTCGCCTATATTAAATCATTTCGCGTAGGTATTTTCGACGCCAGGCGACTATTTCAGGTCTCTCTCTATCAATACCGACTTCCGATTACGCGTTTCGTAACGAAAATTAATCTCGTGCAGGGATTTCCTCATTACCTCGACGCTCATTTGGGGTATAATTTCATTTTCCTTGATCGCTGCATGTACAGCCTTGAGGGTTGGTATCTCATTCCTAAAGAAGAATGAATGTACGGTTCGCCTTAACGCCATTTTGCTATCGTCATCCAATTTAACGGCCTTTCGTCCCTTCAAATTAAACTTTGGATCAGTAGTAGCTCCAGTTTTCTTCTTTTCATGCACCACCCTGCGAATGGTCCACTCTGGAACGCCTGTCATACTTTCACAACGCGTGAGTGCATCTCCCTGCGACATAGTTCTGTTCAGATAATTGAACACGTTGAGCACGATTTCTTTCGCGTCCCTCTTCAGTGCTTTACGAAGCCGTCTACTTGTTCCCTGGCTTTCAGTACTTCCACTCGTGCCATTTGTACTCTCTATGGTTAAGTATAACCAAAACAGTAACCACAAAACCACAACAATAACAATCACACAACAATTCTTATAAAAACACACAATATGCGATCGCTCAACGAAACACGTTCCAATGCGTTGCCGACGCCTATGAGTCTGCCGGTCGAGGCGCGTCTTTGATTTCATTGGTTCTACCGGCGGAGAACAATCAGCCATTATTTCCATCTCTGTCTTTGCTGTTGACCACCGCAAAGCCACAGAAACGACATATGTCGTACGCTATACGGCTGTACTGGAAGGAAGTCGGGATCGAGCTATGATCACGTGTTGATCACGCGTATGAGTCATTACAGTTTTAAATAGTTGTAGTATAGGATATTTGTTTTTGCTGTAAATTTATACACACTCACTATACACTGTGTGATACAGCTTAAATACAGGGTTAAATTAGCAAAAAAGCGTTTTTTGGGCGCATTTTCATGCTGTTGAGAAACTGAAATTTGGACAAATCGTTCTAATTTTTTTTACTTTATTTCAAGAAATATACTAAGTGACATATAAATCCGAACACCCAGTTTAAATGGTTTTATTTTAATAAAATTTTGTATAAGTACTTAATGAAGCATAATAAGTAAATGATAAAAATTTCAAAATGATTGCACTGCTTTAAAGCCCTTTGACCTTTAATAATGTGTGGATGCACCCTGATGTGCTACGCATTCTCCAACGCGCCTAGGCATGCTTCTGATCAGGTGGTCAATGTCCTCCTGTGGTATCTCATTCCAGGCAACCACCAACTCCTCTCGAAGTGCTTCTAGAGTCTGAGGAGGACGTTGCAAATTGAGCAATCTCCTACCCATCATATCCCACACGTGCTCAATTGGGGATAAGTCGGGAGATCTTGGTGGCCATGGTAACAATGTGACATCATTATGTTGAAAGAAGTCTATTGTGACTCTTGCAACATGTGGTCGGGCATTATCTTGTTGGAAAGTTGGATCTGCCAGGGTGGCAAGATAGGGTAAAAGATGGGGTTCTAGAACTTCGTGGATGTAACGCTGCGCGTTCATGTTACCTCTGATGAAGATTAAAGGTGACCTGGAACCATAAGCTATAGCACCCCAAACCATAACTCCAACAGTGTGATGAACTTGTCTTTCAACAAAAAACTGTGGATTCCTCCTTTCACCACGTCGCCTTCTAACCCTGGCACGACCATCGTGCATGCCTAAACAAAATCGAGACTCGTCACTAAAGACAATACTGTTCCATTCCTGATCCCAGAGTGACCGTTGTCTGCAACACTCAAGGCGATTACGTCGGTGTTCTCGAGTTAAAGGGAGGACCCAGTGTGGCCGGTATGAAAACAAGCCAAAACTTCTCATTCGTCGGTAAACACTTCGCATGCCAATAGGTCTTCCGTGTTCTGCAAACCATTCATTTGCAATGAACCTGGTAGTGGAGAAACGGTCCCTTAAGGCCAATAATCTTAGGCGGCGATCTTCACGGTCTGTTGTTCTACGGCGGCGTCCAGTGCTCCTTGCTCTTTGCGTACGGCCTTCTCGAAGCCATGCCTGACAACACCTAACCACAGTGTCTACACTTCTTTGCACTCTAACTGCAATTGCCCGAAAAGAAAGTCCAGCTTCCCGAAGTCCCACTATACGGCCCCTATCAAACTCACTAAGTTGACCAAATCGTACAGGTCTCCGTACTCTAGGCATCGTAACCGATCGTAAAGGATGTCAAGAACCAAAATCCGCTAACGTTGATACTTTACTGCGGCTGAAATATTCATTTTTAGAGCGTTAGTGAATTAAAAAAAAGCTGTATAAAAACCGGAATGTCCAACTGATAAGGCTGAAAATTTGTTCACTTGTTATTTACAGTAAGATAAATACATTCACCAACTTTTATTAAAATAAAACCATTTAAACTGGGTGTTCGGATTTATATGTCACTTAGTATAAATAAATATCACTAACATGATGGTATTTTTTTATATTTTTTGCCTGAGGGTTCATCTTTGAGAAACCATCAACTTTGTTTTTTTATATCACCTGAAAAAAGTACACCCTGTATCTAAGCCTTATTTTTTATCTCGTATAACATTTATTTTTCAACTACTCGTTCTAGTCACTATGCCTGTCTTTTTTTTTCTAGCATTTCAATGCTTTGCTGGCGGACTTGGTGCGAAACTCAGACTTGAGTTGGAGAGAAGTAAAAAGGATCCTGCGCAAAGACCACAGATGGGATTTGGCCGACACATTATCCAGGGAAGATAAGGAAAAACTGTTCAACGAGCACATCGAGCAGTTGATCAAGCGAAAAAGGCAGAACTTTAGAGAGCTGTTGGACGAAACGACAGAGGTGACTTTGGTCAGCACTTGGAAGGAAATTAAGAAGATCATCAAGGACGATCCGAGATACACCAAGTTTGCGTCCAGCGAGAGGGTAAGGCATTTTTGATTTGATTATAAAGGGTGTTATAGAATTTATTATATTCGTTTACAAATTTTATTGAATTCATTTTTTGTAATTTTACATTCTTGTCTATTAAAATAAAGTGATTTTTTAATTTCACCTTAAACATTTCTAAATTCGAACACTGATGTCATTTGATCAATTAATTAAACTGAAATACAGCAGACGCTCGATAATGTAAACTAATTTAATCCAAGTGTGGTTCACATTATCGAAATGTTTACATTAAAGAACGTGATTTATATAATATTTGATTTATTAAAACAAACGTTTAATACATACTATTTATAACAAAATAAACAAATATTCTAACAGCGATAAGTATTTTTTTAATTAGAAGAAAAATAATTAACAATTTTTGTCTGCGTAAATTTGCGCTTAGCATTGTCTTCCAATGCCTGCGCCCGTAATTTACGAAGAACTAAAATATCCGTGTATGAAACTTCTTTTCTTTCAGCCCAATCTAAAGCTTGGTTAAAAACTTGTATAGCTTGCGCGTCAGTCACTACACTTCTGACTTCAATGTAATCGTCCTCATCATCCTTACTGTCCATATCCTCCTCCTTATCAGCATCATTCGTCTGCTTATCTTCGTTCCATAAATTAATATCAGCAGGAGTACAAACAATGTTGGGATTCACTGTTTTCAATAAATCAACAACATCCAATGACACACTAATAACATTATCATTATTGGATCGCAAACGTTCTCTAATTACGCTTAAGGGGACATCGTCTTCTTCATCATCTTCATTATTGGTACAAAAGAGATTGTTCCAACATTTTTGAATAGTTTGCTGGTTAAGTTCATTCCAGGCCATATGTAAATCTAAAACAGCTTCTCGTAATGTTACTTTTTTTAAAGCCTCAGATAAGTTTTCAGGATTCTTTGATAAGACAGACGAAAGTAGAAACTTCCTATAGTATAGTTTGGTGAGTCTTATTATATTCTGGTCCATCGGTTGAATTAACGGTGTTACGTTGGGCGGCATATACATGACGAAAATTGACCCATCCCTTCTCCTCAGTTGTTGCTCGGGAGGATGACTTGGTGCATTATCCAATAGTAACAACGTTTTTATTGAAAGCTTTTGTTGTTTTAGGAAACCTTTTACCTATAAATTGAAAACACATCTTCAAATTATGAATAGAGCATTTGTGATAATTGATTGTCATACCTGAGGGACAAAGCACCTGTGGAACCATTTCAGGAATATACTGCTAGTCATCCAAGCGGTTTTTGAACAGTCATAATCAACAGGGATATTAACATTTTTAAATGAGCGCGGATTTTTTGCTTTCCCAATTACCAGTGGCTTTATTTTGTGTGAACCATTAGCATTAGTGCAGGCTAGAAACGTTATTCGTTGTTTCTCCGGCTTTCTTCCCGGGGCAGATTTTTCAAATGATGCAGCATAGGTTTTCTCTGGTAACATTTTCCAATAAAGGCCATTTTCATCTGCGTTGTAAATTTGTTCCATTCTTAAATCTAGCTCGGTAATTGCTTTCATCAATTTTTCTTTGAATGGTTGCACTAATTGTGGTTGTGCTGATAATTTTTCACCAGATATAGACAGCAGTCGAATTCCATATCTTGTTTTGAATCGTTGAGGCCAGCCATCACTAGCTACGAAATTTTCAGTTTCTTTCAGTTTTTCATTTAACAGTCTCGCTATCTGTTTAAGTACTTCGCCACTAACTGGGACATGATTTTCCCGTTGTGTTAAAATACAGGGAATTTTCCATTTTAGGTGCCTTCGCATTTTTTAAAGTTTTTCTTTTTCCCGAACCTCCACGTTCTTTGTAAAATTTGAGTTTTCATACGCTTAATTTTACAGATTGTTGCTTTCGATACTCCATATTTTTTTGCTAACTGTGTCACTCCCGCACCTAGTGCAACTTCGTCTATGATTTTCACTTTCTCACTCAACTTTAAACACTTTCTTTTATAGGATGTGGATGCCATAGTCGTTAACTATATTAACGCGTGCAATGTATTAACTTAAGTTCAAAAATGATATACATACGTACGTATAAACGTATCCTAAACGATCATACAACTGACCGAGTTTGTCGTATTTTATCGCAGAGGTGAATCCCCTACACTCTACATCATAAATCGGGGACTCCCCGACGCCCGACATAAATCATCGAGGCTTCAGCATTTTACCGTCGCGCTGTTTCCGTGCGCCGAGAGTTGTTCACGTTATCGAGCGTACACATTGTTTACGTTATCGCGCGTTCCGTTTGGTCCTATAGAACGAAGTTTGTGTTTACATTAGCGCAAGTTTTCATTATCCCGTGTTTACGTTATCGAGCGTCTGCTGTACTTCCTTTTGAAATACAGATTTACTAGTTATGATAATTACCATTTATTTTTTTTGTGTAAGGTTTTCTAAATGTGGTGGTAATAAAATTTGACTGCAATTCTTCTAACATAAGACTTAATCTTAACATATTTGCTTTCATTTTAAATGATTATCATATCTATATTTATAGAATTTGTAATTTTGAAAATATACTCAGCGACAGAAATGTTACATCCAGAAAAACATTTCTTCAACTGGTTTTTTTGACAACATAATGACTATATTTAAAGCATGCTCTGGGATCAAGGTCAACGTTTTATCTTTGTTTTTGTTTATCTTTTTTTAAATGCTACGAAGACGCCCAACACATTATTTTTTTTTCTTATTGTCAATAAAATTTCATGGGAACGTTGTTGTTTCATTCTTGATGAAAGACTATCCTCGTTGCCAAAAATCAAGTGGAAAAGTCATTTTTTCTGGGTGTAACACTTCTAATGTCACTGAGTATATAGTAGTAGTAGAAAGATTTATTTAGCACATTTGGCTATATAAACAGAATAATTGTAAACAACTTCAAACTAGTAAATTCAAGCCATATGGTGTATGATGTAAATGCTGGGCAACCTATAATTGTAGATTTAACAAGTGATTTCTCAATTTCACTTTAAATTTTGTCTGGTCTTTTATCTCTGAGTATAATTTATTATATTCAATCAACCCTTGATGGAATACAGATTTGTAGCAAATGTTATACTTTTTGGTCATTAAATGGAAGTCATCTTTACTTCTGGTATTATGTAAATGTTGGTCGACATTTGATTAGTTAGACTTGATGGAAATATATTATTTTTTACTTTATAAATGAATATCATTACAAGATATTTGATAAAATTTTTTACATTGAGCCATTTTAATTTGCTAAGCATTTGCCTAATTGGAGTATATTTATCTTTTATTCAGTATTATTCTCATGCACTTATTTTGTAAAATTTGCAGTCTTTCAAAAATGGAATTATTTGCTAAATGTAGAATAGTCGAACAGTACAAGAAATTTGGAAGAATGATGGTATTATAGATAATTTTTCTGCTATATGAACTCAGACATCCAGAAACCCTCGATAACTATCCCACTTTACTACTAATTTTATTTATAACTTTTTCATAATGAATATGAAAAATTAATCGACAGTCAACAAAAACCCCCAGGTATTTAAAATTTTCTACGAATTCAATATTTTCACCATCAATATTCAGTTGAACATTTGTACATTGTTTTTTCCGATTAACAAGGCTTTCGTTTTACTTGCATTTAATTTTAGTCTGTTAGATGCTAACCATTTTGAGACAAGCTTCAAGTCTTCATTTATATAAGAGATACCAGACTGAATATTTTTAGTACTTATATAAATCATAGTGTCATCGGCGAAAATCTGAATTTTGCATTTTTTTACTATGGCAGGTAAATCATTTATGTATAAAATAAAAAGAAGTGGTCCCAGGATACTGCCCTGCGGAACACCCAACGTATTTTCAATTTTTGATGAAATATTGTCATTAACTTTTGTAACTTGCATCCTTTTAGACAAATAATTTCTAAACCAATCTAAAACACTTCCTGTTATACCATATGCCTTCAATTCACCTGCCCTTCAAATGCCCTCTTCAAATCCAAAAATACTGCTATGACAACTTCTTCTGAGTCTATGGATCTTCTCCAATTCTCAGTTACCAACTGGAAATCCGTTTCTGTGGAATATTTTCTTCGAAAGCCTGCTTGCGCCTCCACTAAAATTTTGTTTTCTTCTATAAACTGCATTAATTGGTCATGCACTGTGGACTCTAATAATTTTTCAATGTCTGGTAACACATTTACTGGTCTCATATCGCTGCATCTTTTAGAATTTTTTATTTTGGGAACTGGTGTTATTGTAGAGCATTTCAAATTTTAAGGAAAGGAACTGCTTGTCAGTGAACAATTGATCCAATTTAATACAGGATATCCCAAAATTTCGAAACAGTTTTTCAGCACGTTTTTAGTAGTCATTTCGGCACAGTTGTTATTTGATTTTAAACTGTTTACTTTTTTTCTTAGATAATTCAATGATACGCTGTGAAATTTTGAAAGTGTATGCAACATTTCCCCCTCGATACTGATTTTCATATAATCAGGTGCAGCATTGGCAGTACCCACAATATCAACAATACTTTCCACAAAATATTCATTTAGTTTGTTTGCAATCACCAAAGAATTTGTTTCGGTACCGTTTTCGAATTGAACTTGATTTACACAATCATGCGGTTTCGAATTGATCAGTCTTTTTAAAGTCTTCCACATCTTTACACTGTCGCACATGTTATTATCGATTTGTTTATCGTAGAATTTCCTTTTTTCTTCTCTAATTACATACACACATTTATTCCTAAGTGTTTTATATACCTCCCAATCATCATTTGATTTTGTGAATATACATTTTTTGTATTGTTTGTCTCTCAAATTTTGAGCTGCCTTAATATTCTTGTTATAACAGGGTGTATTTTTTGTCGAGCAAATCACTTTTTTATCAGTTGCAAGATCTAAACAAGTTTTTATATTTATCATATATTTTTTCCATATTCTCACCAAAATTCCAATAGCAGCCAGCAAGTTCTCGTTCAAGTTTTTCGTACTTAATAGTATTTACGATTTTCTTAATTTTTGTATCAGAAAAATGCCCTACCAAGGGCAGCATTGTCCAACTGTGATCACTAACTTTAGGTGTATGTACAGCTTTAATCCCTGCACGTTCGAAATTTACAATAACAAGATTTAACAAAGTCTCTGATAATGATGTTATTCTGGTACTCTCTTCAATTTTTTGCTGTAAAAAAATAAAATATCGGAAGAATTATGCTGTTTATTATAATACTATAAATAGTATAACATTCTGTTTGTCAAACGTAGGTCTAGAGTATAATTTTTTGCCTTTTTCAGTGTGAACGCGAGTTCAAAGACTACCTGAAAGACAAGCTGATCATAGCTAAAGGTCAGTTCAAGGAACTTCTGCAAGAGACGAAATTGATTACCCACAAATCGCTGCAAACTCTGCGCGAAAACCAGGGCCACATGCAAGAGATCGAAGATATCCTGCGCAACGATAAGCGATACCTGGTGTTGGACCACATTCCCGATGAAAGAACGCAGCTGATCTTGAACTATTTGGAGGAATTGGACAGGCGAGGACCACCTCCTCCGCCCACGGCCAGCGAACCGAACAGGAGAAGCATTAAGTGATTTTTTTTGTTTCCTCATCCTTTTTATGTTGCTTCAGTTGTATATTTTATCTTTTTAGAGCACCTTTGATGTCTATCTGTGTCACAATAAAGTGCCCATTTGAATATGATTCGCGGTCTCATTTAAGGCTTTGGGTAAATCCCATTTACTTTAAGCAAGAAACATTCAGAACTAACGGGTGATTTTTTAAGAGGTATAAGATTTGATTTAAAAAAAACCCACAAAAAATTTGAAAAAACGATTAAATCTTTATTTGAGTCGATAGAACGGTCGATATAATTTAATGTTTAAAGATTATTTCATGTAAATGTTGGCCGCGGCTCCGCTTTAGATGGCCCATGCGCAAGGTCCAATTTTGGCACACTCTCTCCAACATATCGGCCGGTATCTCACGAATAAATGCTTCAATATTGGCTTCCAGTGCGTCAATCGTTGCTGGTTTATCCCTGTAGACATTAGCCTTAACATGGCCCCACAAGAAATAGTCCAACGGCGTTAAATCACACGATCTAGGCGGCCAATTGACGGGCCCCAAACGTGAGATAAACTGTTCACCGAACTCGCCTCTCAATAGGGCCATTGTTTCGTGTGCGGTGTGGCATGTGGCTCCGTCTTGTTGAAACCACATGTCAGCCAAGTCCAGCTCTTCGATTTTGGGCAAAAAAAGTTTGTCACCATCGCACGGTAGCGCTCGCCATTCACAGTTACGTTCCGGCCATTGTCGTCTTTGAAGAAGTACGGCCCGATGATGCCACCGGCCCATAATCCACACCAAACAGTGATTTTTTCGGGATGCATTGGTAGGTCTTGCAATGCTTCTGGCTGGTCTTCACTCCATGCGGCAATTTTGCTTGTTAACGTACCCATTCAACCAGAAATGAGCTTCGTCGCTGAACACAATTGTTCGATAAAAATGTGGATCTTCCTCCAACTTTGCCAGCGCCCATTCACCAAATTGGAAACGTTGTGGAGGTCGTGTGGCTTCAATTCTTGCACCAGCTGTATCTTATAAGGTTTTACACCCAAATCCTATCGCAAAATTTCCCACGTAGTGGAGTAACAGAGGCCCAATTGCTGCGAACGGCGGCGAATCGACATTTCACAGTCATCACTAACACTGGCGGATACAGCCGCAATATTTTCTTCAGTCCTCACTCTACGTCTGCGTGTTGGTGGTTTAATGTCCAATAATGTAAACTGGGTTCGAAATTTAGTCACAAGCTTCCGAATAGCTCCCTCAGTAGGCCGACCAAATTGCCCATAAATTGGAAGCAGTGCTCGATGTACTCTCTTAACCGAGCATGAATTTTGATAGTAAAATTCAATAATTTGCAAGCGTTGTTCGATTCGTGGTTAAATTATAGACCAAACTGAACAAGTTTAACAATGACACAAGACACGATTCACGCGTCATCTGTCAAAAACAGTGTTGGCAAAAAGATACTAGCAAAAAAATCACCCATTATAAAGAGGGAGTAAAACATATCACAAGGAATTCAAATTTAATAATGACTTCGGAGCTTACGCTCAATACTTGAGCCTTTAGGAAAAAATCTAAGCAGTTGATAAAGACAAACTTTTTGGTGTTGAAGATTCATTTAGCATTCATGCTACAACGTCAAATTTGTATAGTGATTTGGTTACATATTTTTCTTCAATCCATTTTCTGTAATTTTACATTCTTGTCTATTAAAATTAAAATTACGTAACTATGTATTTTGATTATTCATAAAGTGATTTTTTAATTTCACCTTAAACATTTTTAAATTCGAACTGTTTAATATCATTATTCAATTTATAAAATTCAAATACTCCCTTCTGAAATATATACTAAGTGACATATAAATCCGAACACCCAGTTTAAATGGTTTTATTTTAATAAAAGTTGGTGAATGTATTTATCTTACTGTAAATAACAAGTGAAAAAATTTTTAGCCTTATCAGTTGGACATTCCGGTTTTTATGCTGCTTTTTTTTGATTCACTAACGCTCTAAAAATGAATATTTCAGCCGCAGTAAAGAATCAACGTTGGCGGATCTTGGTTCTTGACATTCTTCACGATCGGTTACGATGTCTAGAGTACGGAGACCTGTACGATTTCGTCAACTTAGTGAGTTTGATAGGGGCCGTATAGTGGGACTTCGGGAAGCTGGACTTTCTTTTCGGGCAATTGCAGTTAGAGTGCAAAGAAGTGTAGACACTGTGGTTAGGTGTGGTCAGGCATGGCTTCGAGAAGGCCGTACGCAAAGAGCAAGAGGCACTGGACGCCGCCGTAGAACAACAGACCGTGAAGATCGCCGTCTAAGATTATTGGCCTTAAGGGACCGTTTCTCCACTACCAGGTCCATTGCAAATGAATGGTTTGCAGAACAAGGAAGACCTATTGGCATGCGAAGTGTTTACTGACGAATGAGAAGTTTTGGCTTGTTTTCATACCGGCCACACTGGGTCCTCCCTTTAACTCGAGAACACCGACGTAATCGCCTTGAGTGGTGCAGACAACGGTCACTCTGGGATCAGGAATGGAACAGTATTTAGTGACGAGTCCCGATTTTGTTTAGGCATGCACGATGGTCGTGCCAGGGTTAGAAGGCGACGTGGTGAAAGGAGGAATCCACAGTTTTTTGTTGAAAGACATGTTCATCACACTGTTGGAGTTATGGTTTGGGGTGCTACAGCTTATGGTTCCAGGTCACCTTTAATCTTCATCAGAGGTAACATGAACGCGCAGCGTTATAACCCACTCTTTTACCCTATCTTGACACCCTGGCAGATCCAACTTTCCAACAAGATAATGCCCGACCACATGTTGCAAGAGTCACAATAGACTTCTTTCAACATAATGATGTCACATTGTTACCATGGCCACCAAGATCTCCCGACTTATCCCCAATTGAGCACGTGTGGGATATGATGGGTAGGAGATTGCTCAATTTGCAACGTCCTCCTCAGACTCTAGAAGCACTTCGAGAGGAGTTGGTGGTTGCCTGGAATGAGATACCACAGGAGGGCATTGACTACCTGATCAGAAGCATGCCTAGGCGCGTTGGAGAATGCGTAGCACATCAGGGTGCATCCACACATTATTAAAGGTCAAAGGGCTTTAAAGCAGTGCACTCATTTTGAAATTTTTATCATTTACTTATTATGTTTCATTAAGTACTTATACAAAATTTTATTAAAATAAAACCGTTTAAACTGGGTGTTCGGATTTATATGTCACTTAGTATAGATTTACTAGTTAAGCTACTATTACAATTTTGCAGATGAAAATCTATACTGCCTCTAGTTTCGTAGTTATGATAACTATTTAATTTTGTGAAGTTATCTAAACGTGATGGTAATAAATTCAAATTCAAAATATTTATTTCGTCATGAATAATCATAAACAAAGGAAATTCTACATATAGAGCAATGACGAAAAAGGACAGTCTCTCGATTATGAAACCGATACATTGGACCCTTTAATACAAAGAGTCCATGCGAGAAAGCCCTGAACACCCTAAAAGTCCTTAAACAAAATAAAAAAAAACAATGAAGAGGCGGTGAAACACAGAAAGGCAAAAACGAAGAAAGAACCGCCGGGAGCTGGCAACGGACGCGAAGAACAAATCTATACAACTTGTCAGCCAGTAGGAATGTAAAAACGATATTTTTGCTCGCACAAACGCTGCTAAAGTAGCTGGTGATTCTGTAACAACGTTTTTGTCAGTTATGAGAATGTTTTTGACGATGAGCTTTTAACTGAAGTTCGTAAATTATTCCATAAGTGAACCGCCACATAGGTAAATGATCGTCGGAAGGAACGCGTTCTATGCCTAGGTACGATAAAATTGAGATTATTTCTGCTTTTCTGGGGACCAGGCAAAGGCACAAATCTTTCTCTTAAATAGGGCGGTTGACCTGTTTTTATAACCCTATAGATAAAAGAATACATGTGATATTTTCTGCGATTCGCCATGTTTAATATGTTGTAGTTATTCAGATAAGGAGTGATACGCCTAGGCATGCTTCTGATCAGGTGGTCAATGTCCTCCTGTGGTATCTCATTCAAGCAACCACCAACTCCTCTCGAAGTGCTTCTAGAGTCTGAGGAGGACGTTGCAAATTGAGCAATCTCCTACCCATCATATCCCACACGTGCTCAATTGGGGATAAGTCGGGAGATCTTGGTGGCCATGGTAACAATGTGACATCATTATGTTGAAAGAAGTCTATTGTGACTCTTGCAACATGTGGTCGGGCATTATCTTGTTGGAAAGTTGGATCTTACAGGGTATCAAGATAGGGTAAACGATGGGGTTCTAGAACTTCGTGGATATAACGCTGCCCGTTCATGTTACCTCTGATGAAGATTAAAGGTGACCTGGAACCATAAGCTATAGCACCCCAAACCATAACTCCAACAGTGTGATGAACATGTCTTTCAACAAAAAACTGTGGATTCCTCCTTTCACCACGTCGCCTTCTAACCCTGGCACGACCATCGTGCATGCCTAAACAAAATCGAGACTCGTCACTAAAGACAATACTGTTCCATTCCTGATCCCAGAGTGACCGTTGTCTGCACCACTCAAGGCGATTACGTCGGTGTTCTCGAGTTAAAGGGAGGACCCAGTGTGGCCGGTATGAAAACAAGCCAAAACTTCTCATTCGTCGGTAAACACTTCGCATGCCAATAGGTCTTCCGTGTTCTGCAAACCATTCATTTGCAATGGACCTGGTAGTGGAGAAACGGTCCCTTAAGGCCAATAATCTTAGGCGGCGATCATCACGGTCTGTTGTTCTACGGCGGCGTCCAGTGCCCCTTGCTCTTTGCGTACGGCCTTTTCGAAGCCATGCCTGACAACACCTAACCACAGTGTCTACACTTCTTTGCACTCTAACTGCAATTGCCCGAAAAGAAAGTCCAGCTTCCCGAAGTCCCACTATACGGCCCCTATCAAACTCACTAAGTTGACGAAATCGTACAGGTCTCCGTACTCTAGGCATCGTAACCGATCGTAAAGGATGTCAAGAACCAAAGTCCGCCTACGTTGATTCTTTACTGCGGCTGAAATATTCATTTTTAGAGCGTTAGTGAATTAAAAAAAAGCAGTAGAAAAACCGGAATGTCCAACTGATAAGGCTGAAAATTTTTTCACTTGTTATTTACAGTAAGATAAATACATTCACCAACTTTTATTAAAATAAAACCATTTAAACTGGGTGTTCGGATTTATATGTCACTTAGTATATGAACGAGGTCGAATTCCATACACAAAAGTTTTGACTATACTTCAATCCAATAATAAAATTTTCGAGATATCTCAAATGCTTTGCGTTTTATTTCAAAAGAAAGTTGTCGAGTTCTTAATGGAAAACCCTTTATACAGGGTGACTTGTAATGTCACGTATTCCTGTTAAGTGGTGATAGATTAGGTCAAAAGCAACCGATTTTGTCCTATAATGTCCTATCCAGAAGTTAACCGTTTTTGAGTTATTTGAATTTTATTTATTTTATTCCGATTTCAGACGGTTAAATCTGAAATACAAAAAAACTACATGTTTGATTTTGAGTTTTTTGTTATCGTCGCATAGCGGACATTCCAATAGTTCATAATAAGTGATAAAATGTTGAAAACGACAAAAGTTTTAAAATTACGCTTTTTAAATGTATGATTTTCTTATTTTTTTACTAACTTATTCGATAAAAAATGCAATTTTCTGTAAAAAATCTCCTAGTAATGAAATGTGCAAATTAGGTAAATAATATCTCTATCTAACAAGCTTTCATTTGAGGTATAAAAGTTACAACTAACTCAAGTACAAAGACATAAAATTAAAAATAAAAATAAGTAAATTTGTACGAACGATAATGACGTAGGATAAATAAAAGGCTTTTATTTTTATTACAGTTTTATTTAATTAGATTTCCTTTAGTATTCTACAGATTCTGCTCAAATTGTAATCCCCTGTTACGAATACACGCCCGCATTCTCTTACGTAATTCACTTTTGGTAACTCTAGTTGTTAAGCGGCTTTTTATTTGGTCAGCTGCACTGGTTATCCTTGTCATTAATTCATCGCGCGTTGGTACGGGAGAAACATCGTACACCAGGCTTTTCATATGTCCCCACACATACTAATCCATCGGTGTGAGATCTGGGCTTCTTGCTGGCCAGGCAATGGGCCCGTCTCTGCCAATCCATTGATTTGGAAATTTAGAGTCTAAATACGCCCGTACTAATCTACTGTAGTGTGCGGGACAGCCGTCGTGCTGGAACCGCATATTTTGTCTCGTCGCCATTAATGGAAACAAGTGATTTTTCAAGAACTCTTCATACACTTCTCCATTTAAATTGGCGGGCAGAAAATGAGGTCCAATTAAATATCCATCAACGATACCCATCCACACATTGACTGAAAACCAGCTCTGAGACCCCGTCGGTCTTATTTTTCGGGGGTTTAAAGCTTATCAAACTTCGATTCATCGGTCCACAGAATTTTCTCAAAATAGTCTGGATCTTCTGTATCTGCATGTAACATGTACCTGCAGAAATCTAATCGTCTTGCAGGATCGCCCTCTTCAATCACATGCAGAGGCGTGTATTGATAAGGGTATAATCTTGCAGTATGCACAGTAAACTATACTTTGTATTGTGATATAATCAACTGAGCAGCCACAATGAGCGTAGACGTAGTAGGGTCTTCCTGAAACACACGAAGGATTTCCTCTTCATCTTCAGGAGGCTAGACACGGGGTCGACCAGCATCACTATGTTGCCTTTGAACACGTCCGGTTTGGCGGATGCGCCGATACACAGAGTCAAACACAGTAACATGAGGTGTTCGGCGATTCGGGAAACGTTGTCGATATTCACGGCGGGCAGCTGCAGAATCGCCGTTACAAAGTCCATAACAGAACATTATGTCTGCGTATTCTTCATTCGTAAAAGTTTGCCCGTGATCGCTATGGCGAGGTCCTGGCGGATCTTCTGCGTCTGCCATGACGATAAAGAAACCACTCGAAATGAACAGGGAAACTGGACCCCTTAACAGAAATACGTGACATTACAAGTATGGTACATGAACAAAGTTGTACTATTTCTCTAACCTCGCGACTGAACACAAAAACAATCTTTAGGAAATGATAGACAAATTTTAACAAAGCATCTTTATTATCTTAAATAATGGGACATATAAAATAAAACACTATTCAACACCTATATTGAGTCTTAGTATAGTGCAATATTAGCTGAAATGCCAGCAATGACAAAGCAAACAAAACAAACCACTTTTTACGGATTATTCAACTTTAGAAGTTTAATAGGCAGTAAAGAAACCATTTCTTTACAAATGCTGTATTCCATAGGAATTATATCCTTCGTGCTTGCATGTTTCTCGCAATATTCGGCGACGTAGCTATAGTTTTTCAAGCTGGCTTCGCTGTGTTGCAACTGCAAATTTTTGTCTAGATCGATGTACCTGCCATGAAGAGCCGCTAGATGAAAATAGGCTTGCAATATAGGCCCCTCTTCCTGCGTCAATATGTCAGTAACATAGGTAGGTTCCTTGTAAGACTCTATAAAAGCGGTGAAATTTTTAATACTCTTATCGACCAACTGATTTATTTTCGAAATCGCCGAGCTAGGGGGTCGGCCTTTTATTTCTCTCATTTTTTCCGATTTAATATCGAGCATATCCGAATATGTCCTGCCTAACTCAAACCATATCTGTCTACAATGCTGCAAATAGTATTGGGTGCTAACTTTGCTCAAAATATTTTCCAACAGATCGGCTCTTCTTTTGTGATACTTGGCTTGATTGGCTGGATCATCGTCAAAAAACAAAAGGCTCAAATATAATTGAGAGTGATCCAAAACGGTCTCTATATAATCCGAAGCTAAAGTATCCAAGGTGTAATATTCTTGAGCCAGCTCAATCCAGTGCTGCGCGTTCAGAAATATCTTTTTAGCATCTTCCAGGGTCAAAGCAAAACGATCGGAGACTTGCAACTCGTATGTAGCGATTTCTAATATGTCGAAGTCCAAGTTTTGCAGGTCCTCTTTAGAGACTGTCGAGTCTGGAGGCAGTTCCATCTGAGTCAAGTCAGTGGCGGTACTGCAATTTTTATCTATATCGTCTGTATGGTTCAAAAGACGTTCTTTGGATTTTGCTAGCAGGTTTAACCCGTATTTTGCCCAGCATCTGAAACAATTAACATATACTAAGTGACATATAAATCCGAACAGCCAGTTTAAATGGTTTTATTTTAATAAAAGTTGGTGAATGTATTTATCTTACTGTAAATAACAAGTGAAAAAATTTTCAGCCTTATCAGTTGGACATTCCGGTTTTTATACTGCTTTTTTTTTAATTCACTAACGCTCTAAAAATGAATATTTCAGCCGCAGTAAAGAATCAACGTTGGCGGATTTTGGTTCTTGCCATCCTTTACGATCGGTTGCGATGCCTAGAGTACGGAGACCTGTACGATTTCTTCAACTTAGTGAGTTTGATAGGGGCCGTATAGTGGGACTTCGGGAAGCTGGACTTTCTTTTTGGGCAATTGCAGTTAGAGTGCAAAGAAGTGTAGACACTGTGGTTAGGTGTTGTCAGGCATGGCTTCGAGAAGGCCGTACGCAAAGAGCAAGGGGCACTGGACGCCGCCGTAGAACAACAGACCGTGAAGATCGCCGCCTAAGATTATTGGCCTTAAGAGACCGTTTCTTCACTACCAAATCCATTGCAAATGAATGGTTTGCAGAACACGGAAGACCTATTGGCATGCGAAGTGTTTACCGACGAATGAGAAGTTTTGGCTTGTTTTCATACCGGCCACACTGGGTCCTCCCTTTAACTCGAGAACACCGACGTAATCGCCTTGAGTGGTGCAGACAACGGACACTCTGCGATCAGGAATGGAACAGTATTGTCTTTAGTGACGAGTCTCGATTTTGTTTAGGCATGCACGATGGTCGTGCCAGGGTTAGAAGGCGACGTGGTGAAAGGAGGAATCCACAGTTTTTTGTTGAAAGACATGTTCATCACACTGTTGGAGTTATGGTTTGGGGTGCTATAGCTTATGGTTCCAGGTCACCTTTAATCTTCATCAGAGGTATCATGAACGCGCAGCGTTATATCCACGAAGTTCTAGAACCCCATCTTTTACCCTATCTTGACACCCTGGCAGATCCAACTTTCCAACAAGATAATGCCCGACCACATGTTGCAAGAGTCACAATAGACTTCTTTCAACATAATGATGTCACATTGTTACCATGGCCACCAAGTTTCCCGACTTATCCCCAATTGAGCACGTGTGGGATATGATGGGTAGGAGATTGCTCAATTTGCAACGTTCTCCTCAGACTCTAAAAGCACTTCGAGAGGAGTTGGTGGTTACCTGGAATGAGATACCACAGGAGGACATTGACCACCTGATCAGAAGCATGCCTAGGCGCGTTGGAGAATGCGTAGCACATCAGGGTGCATCCACACATTATTAAAGGTCAAAGGGCTTTAAAGCAGTGCAATCATTTTGAAATTTTTATCATTTACTTATTATGCTTCATTAAGTACTTATACAAAATTTTATTAAAATAAAACCATTTAAACTGGGTGTTCGGATTTATATGTCACTTAGTATATTAAGGTTACTCATTACCACCATATACTCAGACAACATAATAGAAACAAGGAGAACCTTGATGTACTTTATCCTCAAACATAAGAATTTATTGAAATTGACTGATAATGAAAACCTTTATGATTTTTCGGACCTAGATGAAGGTTTGTATGTTGAAGATTCAGGCCAAGAAATTGAAAATCCAGTTGAAATACAAGAACTTTCAGAAGATTCTGATGTTGATGAGGTTCCAATAACAACAGAAGCTATTCGAAATTATGGTAAAGCTATTACCCTAACAAAGCAGCTCAAAAGTTTTGTGAAAATACAGAGTCTTGGGAACTTCTTTCTAAATTAGAAATAATTTCGAGACGCCATTTTAAAGAAAAAGAGGAGATAAACGACAATATATGAATTGCGTCCTTAAAGTGACTTTTTATTTCATTGTTTTGTGTTACTACATATACAGGGTGGCGCACCGAAAACGAAACAGATGCATTTACTGGCAGCTCACTTTTTTTTAAAAAACACTCGTCGATTTTGTTTTCGAGGGGGACACAAGTTTGGCAAAAAATCACGTTAGCACGTGCAGCCCCCTAAGCGCCCCCAAGATCGCCAGATTTATCACCTTTGGATTTCTTTATGTGGGGTCATTTAAAAAGAAAAATCTATGCAACTCAGCCAACATCATTAGAAGACCTGCGACAAAGAATTGTAAATGAGTGCCTTCAAATTACTACTCAAATATTGCAAAATGCGCGGCAACGTTTTGAGCAAAATCTTTATTATTGCATGGAGAGTCATGGTGTCCATTTTCAACATTTCTTTGCCTAACGGGTCAGTTCATTCTTCATTTTTAAATTACTTTGCTGCCAAATTTATTGATGTCCACTGAAGATGATGTATTAGTTTTATTTAAGCTTTAGATCAATAAATCTTCAAAACTGCTGAACTGAGGTACATTAATTTTATACCATTGTAAAAGGAATTGAAAGACCTTTAAAATAAGGTATCACTCGATCCCCCTTTCCATTTAAGATTTTAGGGTTGGTGTCACCCCCGCCCAGGGGGCTGCACCTGTTAACGTGATTTTTTTCCAAACTTGTGTCCCCCTCGAAAACAAAATCGACGGGTCTGAGCGTTTTTAAAAAAAAAAACTGAGCTGCCAGTAAATGCGTCTGTTTTGTTTTCGATGCGCCACCCTGTATGTGTGTACATACATATTATATATACATATGTATGTACGAGTAGTGTATTATTATACACATGTATGTAGAATCACACCCTTAAATATTCGCACATCATTAAGGATATATCTACAGATAACAAAGTTTATTTTCTCAAGTTAAAGTTTTTGGTTTTAAGTGTTCCAGTTTCTTTAATACATCCAGTTTTCATTAAAAACACGATTTTAGTAGTATTTCTTGTACAGGGTGGCCCATAAGTCGTTTGAGCTGGAAAAAAAGGAATAAAACCAAACTAGTTACATTATGAAGAATTATTATATTTTGTTATCATCTTTATTGAATGGGAATTATGTTTTAAAAATCACATCGTCTAAATGCAATCCATTACGATCACGGCACTCATATAAACGACGTCTAAAATTGTCGATGACTGCGCGGCAAGTCAACACTGTAATGCTTGCCATTTCTCTTCGGATATTTTCTTTCAGGACATCAACTGATCGCGGTGTGGTGTCGTACACTTTACTCTTGAGGTAGCCCCATTGGGGTCAAATCTGGACTATGTGGTGGCCAGGAAATGTCTCCTCTTCGAGAAATTACTTTGCTGGGAAAAAGTTGACAGACGACGGGCATAGAAGTGTTGGAGGTGTGTGCAGTTGCTCCGTCCTGTTGAAACCAGGTCTGCGTATTATAGCCTGGAAAATTCTGCAACGCTGGTGTCAAAAACTCTTCTATCATTGCTACATACCGCTCCGAAGTAACAGTTAATGCGCGACCTCTGTCGTCCTCAAAAAAATAAGGGCCTACGATGCCATGCGCTGACATAGCAGCCCAAACTGTAACTTTAGGGCTGTGTAAGGGCTTCAATAACGGCAATTTTGTTTATTTACATGCCCGTTTAAATGGAAGTGAGCCTCGTCCGAGAACAACACATTATTGAGTGAAGAAAATCGATTCAACATTTCATTCGCAAAGTTTAGTCTCTGAATAGCGTCATTATCTTTTAATTCCTGCACTAACTGAATTTTGTAAGCGTGCAGACGTAAATATTTCCTTAAAATCAGCTGTAAAGATGTTCTGGGTACGTTTAGTGCACTGGAACGCTTACGAGTAGACTGGGTAGGATTTTGACGAACAGACTGTGCCACAATGTTGATGTTTTCTTCAATACGAGTTGTCCTTGGTCGACCCCACCGCTGTTTATCTAACGTCGAACCCAGTTCTTAATCGTTTGAGCTGTTGGACACTTTGTAAAATTGTGTAAATCGTGGTATTCTCGATATTTACGCCGCGCAATGGTTGCCGAATCATTATTTTGATAAAACGCGCGCACACAAAAAGCACGATCCGCTCCAGTGAAACATTCCATGGCGACTGAATTCCCAGACACTGAAGATACTGCCCCCACCTCGCCCGCGCCGCTCACGCTCACCCGTTAAATTTTATTCAAATTTGAAATTTCAAAGGACTTATGGACCACCCTGTATAAGGACACCCCTCGTGATCAGACACTTTCAGTCGGTCCCGTTGGTGTCCGCCCACTGCAATTAAATTAGCATACCTTGCCACATCAGCCTTTCTAAACCTCAACGTCTCCATTTTCGCCTCATGCACCTCGAGTTCCTGCACTTCACTTCTCAACTTATCCTCATACTGTTGCAAAATATACAAACTAGCAGCCAGATGATGTCTCGCCTGTTTGAACCCGTTCTTCTCCATGAAAAACTGCGATAACGCTGCAGCATTCAAAGCCCAATCGATGCAATCACGGTCATCCGTATCCAACTGTCTTTGCAACGTTTTGTGGCAATATGCCGCACTTTTCAACGGGTCTTTCAGCGAACCAGCTCCGTAGATCTGTGCTAGAAAGTATAGGGTGAGCGTATGTAGCTTCTCTAGGTTTTTTAGTGCGAGTGCGGTGTTGTATTCTTCTATGTTGGCTTGAAATAAGTCCGTTATGTCGACAGGTATCAGAGATTGATCCTTTGCCGTTTTGTACAATGTTTCTGCTTTCTCCAAGTGTACCTGAAAGAAATGTAGAAAAAAGTTACCCCGATGAGTGGCACATTTGCAACGAAAAGGTTCAAATTATCACGTAGTCAAGTATCTGGAAGCTCAGTTGGACAATTTTTTTGCTTTTCATAAATATTTAGAATATGTCTGTAAAAAGATATCAAGGATAAGCAAGCACTTCTTTTTCTATTTATAGGTACATAAACTTCTCATAGATTCAAGAAAGAGCTACCTAAATTTGTTAATATGTACTTGTTTTTGTAAAGTGTGCATTTTGCTGATAGATGTTCTTTTCTTTCTATCTTAAGGTATCCGATGTTTTTGCTACATGATTACTATTTTTATGGTGTGTATTTTTATTGATTGAATTTCAACATTTAACTGAAACTGTAATGTACCAAAACCATGTCAAGATAAATCGATATGAAAAAAATTCTTGACTTCTAATAAACATACGTAGGTGTTTACCTTTTTTGTCAATCAGTATATTTTAACATTTACCTCTTGTCTTTTGTTATCCAATAATTAGCAAACTCAGTAAAACGCATTCATAAACAGCAATTTTTGGATTTGAAGAGGGCATTTGAAACGATTGATAGAGATATTTTGTTAGGTAAATTGAAGGCATATGGTATAACAGGAAGTGTTTTAGATTGGTTTAGAAATTATTTATCTAAAAGGATGCAAGTTACAAAAGTTAATGACACTATTTCATCAAAAATTGAAAATACGTTGGGTGTTCCACAGGGCAGTATCCTGGGACCACTTCTTTTTATTTTATACATAAATGATTTACCTGCCATAGTCAAAAAATGCAAAATTCAGATTTTCGCCGATGACACTATGATTTATATACGTACTAAAAATATTCAGTCCGGTATCTCTTATATAAATGAAGACTTGAAGCTTGTCTCAAAATGGTTAGCATCTAACAGACTAAAATTAAATGCAAGTAAAACGAAAGCCTTGTTAATCGGAAAAAAACAATGTACAAATGTTCAACTGAATATTGATGGTGAAGATATTGAATTCGTAGAAAATTTTAAATACCTAGGGATTTTTGTTGACTCTCGATTAATTTTTGATATTCATTATGAAAAAGTTATAAATAACATTAGTAGTAAAGTGGGATATTTATCGATAGTTTCTGGATGTCTGAGTTCATATAGCAAAAAAATTATCTATAATACCATCATTCTTCCAAATTTCTTGTACTGTTCGCCTATTCTATATTTAGCAAATAATTCCATTTTTGAAAGACTGCAAATTTTACAAAATAAGTGCATGAGAATAATACTGAATAAAGATAAATATACTCCAATTAGGCAAATGCTTAGCAAATTAAAATGGCTCAATGTAAAAAATATTATCAAATATATTGTAATGATATTCATTTATAACGTAAAAAATAATATATTTCCATCAAGTCTAACTAATTTAACATCATCAAATGTCGACCATCATTTACATAATACCAGAAATAAAGATGAATTCCATTTAATGACCAAAAAGTATAACATATGCTACAAATCTGTATTCCATCAAGGGTTGATTGAATATAATAAATTATACTCGTAGATAAAAGACCAGAAAACTTTGACAAAATTTAAAGTAAAATTGAGAAATCACTTGTTAAATCTACAATTATAGCTAGCCCAGCATTTACATCATACACCATATGGCTTGAATTTACTAGTTCTAAGTTGTTTATAATTATTCTGTTTATGTAGCCAAATGTGCTAAATAAATCTTTCTACTACTACTAATTCACCATTGGTAAATTTTCTTCATTAATTCAGTGATAATAGCGGATTTTCTCTTTAAAAGTTTGTTTTACTTGAAACAGAAAAATGCATTCAAACCTTTATCAGTCTAGTTTGTTTCTTGATACAAAAAACATTTTATTTGTCACTCTACTTTATGTTAAATAAGGACCATTGACTGTCTAACTTTACAAGACCTAGATTGGAGATGGCTGAAGAAAAAAGAAACATTTTGTTATTTTTAGACAATGCGGGATCTCATCCAAAAGACATTTGCTTAAATCTTACTTTTTCTTGATAATTGCACTTCAGCTTGTCAACCACTTGACCAAGTGATTTTAAAGAGTTTTAAAACTGACTACCAAAGTCTAAGGAAAAAAAAAGGAAAATTATGTCACAGAATGCAGATTATTTGGCAAAACCACTTGGGACGGAAGTAACCCAAGAAACAGTGCAAAATTGCTTCTGCAAAGAAGAAGAACAATGTGGGATGCTTAAAAAGGTAATTTTTGTCGCTGAAGAACTGAAAATAAATATATGCTGTATCATTGCTCAAAAATGAAATTTTAATTAACATATAATTTTTTTAATATTTTTCAAATCAGATGTATGTAAGGTTTTTGGAAATTACTTATTTCGATACAGTGGACCCCCGAGAATCCGGCCCCTGTCTAATCCGGCGCCCCCTGTAATCCGACATGTCTTTGAATATGTATTACATACATACGTACATATTTGACAATCTTCGCTAATGTAGATCACACAGGTTTGAACAGGTTACAACTTGTACGCGCCACCGCTATCGTGCTCGACGCGTAAGCATTGTTTTACTTAGTTTGAATTTGACTACTGGTGATAGCAGTACGGCCTACGGTGCGTTCATTGTTTACTATTTATTCATTGTGTATTAAGTATAGTACCTAGTAATGTCAGAAGCGAAAGCACAAAGCATTGGCAATTAAAGAAAAATGTGATATTTTAGACTCAAGAAAGCTGAACATCCAGAAGTGGAAGAAGCTTTGTACATGTGGTTTCTTCAGGAAAGAAATAGGCATACACCAATTTCAGGACCCATGTTGGCCATGAAAGCTAAGCTTATAAGGAAATAACAAAAAAGATGATTTTGTGGCCAGCAAAGGATGGCTAGAACGTTTTAAAAGTCGTCATGGCATACGTTTAATGACTGTTACAGTAGAGAATCTTTCTAACGATGCCACCTGCATAGAGCCCTTTAAATTAAGATTTTTGCAAAAGGTGAACGATTTAAATCTTGACCAGTCACAGGTGTACAATGCAGACGAATCAGGGCTTTTTTCGCGTGTGATGCCTAACAAAACTATAGTTTCTTGTAACGAAAAATCCGTACCTGGACAAAAAGTAAGTAAAGAGCGTGTAACCATACTACCATGTGCTAACCCTGCGGGCACACACGCGCTTAAGACGATGGTCATTGGGAAATCTAATAAACCACGGGCAAAAAAAAAAAAAAAAACACGGGCATTCAAAAACATTGATTTACCTGTACACTATTACAGACAAAAAAGTGCATGGATGACAAAAGACCTTTTAAAAAAGTGGTTTGATGAATGCTTCGTTACTGAAGTTACAAAATGGTTAAAAGATCATAATTTTCCTCAAAAAGCGTTGTTGTTTCTTATCATCACTGCGATGTTTCTTCCGCCAAATTGCACTGCACTGATTCAACCAATGGACCAGAATATAATTCAGTTAGTCAAGCAAGACTACATATAAGAAAAACCTACTTCTGAGAGCCGTATCAAAAGACCAACCAATAGAAAAAACTTTAAACGAATTTAATATGAAAGACTTGGATTTTGCTCTTTGTCAGTCGTGGAATGCGTTACCGACATCAACTACTAAATCGTCTTGGAAAAAGTTATGGCCAGATATAGTCACCACTCCTAGCAACGTTCCACAAATCAGTGTTACTTTGGAAGTTATAGAACAAGTCGCTACTGAAACACAGATAAGTCTGGAAGATTTGGAAATCTGGTGCCGTCGAATGGATAATGAGGAACATGTTTTTCATGAAATGTCTGTCGAAGAGATTATAAGAGAGGTTTCTAGTTATACAACAAACAATCAGGAAAATAACGGCGACGTGATTGCAACTGCTCCACAAGTCACAGCACAAGACGCAATTAACGCGTTTGAGCTAGGTTTACAATGGGCTGAAGAGAATGGTACATCCTACAACAAACTTTTACTTTTGAGAAGACTGAGGGACAAAGCTTTGATCTCGCGTTATAACAACCTTAAACAAAAAAAAATTGATGAATATTTCCAAGCTTCATAATTTGATAAATTCATTAATGATTTTGATTAATAATTCTTGATTATTTTGGTACAATATGTGGTATGTGCATTTATGCTTAATTTTATAATAAAATGTAAGCTCTCTATTGTTATTTAATTTAGTAAATTCGACATACATAAACTATGTTTGATTTGTACTTCAAAGTACATACATATACATAACATATACAGGGTGTCCGCAAAGTTGGGGTTTTCCTTTTCAGAAACAACTACCCTTGAAATAACAAAGGTAATGTGTAGTGAAACGAGGGGGACCAAGAAAAATAAAATAAAGGAAAAAGTACTCACTCTCCAGTTGACGAGAAGGGCTAAGTACGTCTCTGCCCGAAATCATACCGCTCCAACAGAAAATGAAATCAGCTGAAGCGCTACCGAGCAGACGCAGAAACCACATTGAATGTCTTACACTTAATGGCACATCTTCTAACAAGGAAGGCAAAAAGTTGCGTGAAAAGTCTGGGTATTGCATCCCGTCCAATCGATTTGGGAGAATAAATGGTCCAATGAGCATACCGTTCACCATGCCAGCCCAAACATTCACCGAAAATGTTTGTTGAAAATGTGCCCGACGGACAGCGTGCGGATTTTCTACTGACCAAACATGAGTGTTGCGAAAGTTATTCACCCCATTACGCGTGAACGTAGATTCATCTGTCACCAATATGCACTTCAAAAAGTCCGGATTATTGTCATGTTGATGCAACAACCACTCACAAAACCGCACTCTTGCTGGAAAATCGTCATGTTGAAGGGCTTGTACACGTTGAACGTGAAACGGATACAGCCCCTCTTCACGCAGCGTTTGCCACACTTTAGTTTTTGATACTTGCACTTCTCTAGCCACGTCTCTAGTGCTTGTTGAGGGATTCTCGTCTACGCGATTACCTCACACGCGTGACCGTAACCGTCGGTTGAAGGTTGCATACTGACCTGACCCAGTTCTGCCGTCAGGTTGAGACCTTGTACCAATCGGTGATGTCCCGGGTCGCGGCTACAGGACGGTATTCAGATATTTTTGATGTTGCAGAGCCCTTTATCTCAGTTCCCTTAAGACATTGGTGTATATGGTACTATGAAAAATTGCTTATGTTTTCAAGATCTACACGCCGTGTAAAGGAAAACCCCAACTTTGCGGACACCCTGTATAATCTTACCATTGGATATGTAATTTGTCAGATTACAAGGTACTCTTTTGTAAAAAATTCCGGAAAACGCTCTATAATCTGACAAATTCAATAGTCCGACACTGCCCTGCATAATGTTTGTCGGATTACTGGAGGTCCACTGTACTTATTTTCAGCTACAATTTATAAGTGGATAAGGTAAATGATGCTTAACATTACAAAGTAAATCCTGTGTGCTTTTAAAACATGCATTTTACAACATTTTAGATTTTTTTGGATGAATAACAGATATACAAAAAGCAGTAACTGAAAAGAATGAATAATTAATTGTGCACCAGCTATTATCTTAATGGTACATATACCTTTTGATGCTCACCATGAACAGGGGCACCTGTCTGTTTAGATTGCTTCAAAATTATTTTTACAGTGTTTTATTACCTTGGCTACTTCTGGTTCTCTCGGTGCCCATATAATACCAAGATGATTGTACATATTTAAAGTAATGAGTATAACTTGAGGTGTAGCTTCGTATTTTGAAATAATCTCTTTGCATTTTTCTAGGTGTTTCTCGCCTGTTGATATCTCTTCTGTATCTACTGCAATTGTACCCAAATAGAGATACGTTGTGCCCAGCATAGCTGTAATAATTAGATGTTGATAAACCTATTGTACTTATTTTTTCAAAAATCGCTAGAGCTACTACAGGTGAAAAATTCATGATGTTACAATCTTTCAGACGCAGTGCTTACCAGTTAATTTTATAAAGTGTTCATCATTATCATCACTTGGCGAGTATTGTCTTAGCAATTTTTCAATGCTCGCCTTCATACCGATCAAAATTTGTCTAGCAGAATATTTAGATAAGTAGGGCTCATCTTCTGGATCTAGCTTACTGTCTTCGTCGACTAACTTTTTTACTTTAGTATATTTTTCTTGCAGATCGGAAAATGTCTCTTTTGCGATAGTCATTTTGTTAATCTTACTCTTTATTTCTTTAGAACGGTGTAATAATCTTCGAAAAATGCAATCCGTATTTTGTACAAAGTTTAAACACACTTTTACACTATTTACAAGGAAAACGTATCGTATGGAATGACCATATTTATTTTTGACAGTTAAAATACTTCTCTTCATCCATCGATTCTTCACCCGCGTAAATGACAAACAGTCCAGTTCTATACAGGGTGACTTCGAAGTTGAGTCATTTATTTTAACAGTGAGTAGATCTGATCAAAAGAAATTTTCTTTTCCTTTACCATTTTTCTGGTAAAATTAAAGTAGCAAAGTTATAGCCCTTTGGAAGTTTGAGTACCGCCCTGTCTCAATAATAATATTATGTGCTCGTGTTTGGCAACAACGGATATAATCCGCCTTATCGGTTCATCGCATCGGAAACAAAAAAGCGAAAGAATTTGGAACGATGTTTTTACAATTATTTCATTCAGTTGTATACAGTCAGTGTCAGTCGGTAGTGAATAGTGGTGTCTGTTGCGTGGCTCAAACGAAATAAAAAATGGCACATGTTTATGCGGATCGGTTTCCCAATCGAGTGCAACCAACCCCTCGTGCCTTTGTTAATGTAGTACAACGGGTTCGTGAATCAGGTGACTTAAGACCTCACATATGGAAGGTGCTCAAATAGATAATGTCGGGAGGATACTTTATAAAACAAGGTAAAAATTTTTTTATTTATTTTTTTATTTTTACACACATATTTTGGTTTATCTTCCTTCTACAATCATTATCTGAAAATTAATGACTCAACTTCAAAGTCACCCTGTATATCAGCGAACCGAATCAAAAATGAATCGCTTCTCCCATCTCGAATGCAAATGTCAAACATGACATTTGACATGTTTGTGCTGACTTTTATGTTTTTGTAATCCGATTTGCTCTGTATCAGCTGATGATTAATAATTTTGTGTTGTACTGATAATTTGTGATTCATACGCAAAATAAAATAGCAAACATTAACATTTTTGTTTGTAATCCAACGCTGCTCTGCTAACGTGCGAAGACTGGATGTAAATTTTTTACAGGGTAACATAAACTACTTTCACCCCTCAGAGGTTTATTTTTTTGTGTCGTAATAGTTTTTCTTTGTTCGAAATTATAAATTTACATACTTTATTTTGTAACTAAATACCCAGGAGGAACCAAGGCTTCGGTTACTGCGAATGAGCTTTTATCTTGGGTTCTTGGCAATTGAATAGTGGAATCATATTTTGATATTTCAGATGCCTATCCTGTATAGTGTTGTCAGCAGAGGCAGCACTATTTTGGCAAAGTATGCAACTTGTGCAGGGAATTTTACAGAAGTTACCGAGCAGATAATATCGAAAATACCACCGCACAATGACAAACTTACATATTCACATGGCAATTACTTGTTTCACTATGTGTCAGAAAATGGGATCATCTATATGTGTATCACAGATGATGTAAGTTTCACATTCATAATTTAGTAATAAAACTCAATCGGCAAACTATATGAACAAACAATTTCCTAAAAATTTTACTGCATTTTTATTCAATCATTCAGGAAGTGAGTCTTGTCCTATTTACCAAGAAGACAAATTATTGTAGAAATGATTAATAAGTTGGGTTTTTGAATATTTTCTTATTTTCACTTAATCCAGTTACAATCTTAACAGCACTTTCTCTGAACCAGGAATTTGAGCGCAGCAGAGCTTTTCTATTTCTCAATGAAATCAAAAGAAGATTCCAGGCCTCCTATGGAGCCAGCGTCGACACAGCCATTGCATACGCGATGAATTCTGAATTTGCTAAAGTTCTGGCCAATGAAATGAAACATTACTCCGAGTCACACGATGTTGACACCATTTCGAAAGTACATAGTGAGTTGGATGAATTGAAAAATATCATGGTAAAAAATATTGGTAAGTTCATTGTATGTTTTACAATGAATATGGTGAGTCAGAAAACAGTACAGCCTAGGGCGTAAAGTACATAGAAAATGAAATGTATATGAAAAAGTTTCTGTGTTGAAAATATGCCGAAGTTGAGGCCTATTTGGTATAAATAATTGCATGTGGTGTATGAGAGTAACCATACCTCACTATAGTATTATTTGAAAAATATTCGTGTTTTGCACTTATTCGGTCACATCCATGGCATATAAATTTACAACACTGTGGATCTTGGTAATGGGAGATTTTACTACATGGTCTATTTGAACTATTACACAGTGTACAATTGACCTACTAAAGATTACATTTGAACTACTACACGTTAGTTACATTTGAACTACTACACGTTAGTTACATTTGAACTACTACAAGTTACATTTCAACTAATATGAGTTACTTTCTAACTACTATGAGTTACATTCTAACTACTATTATTTAAATTTGAACTACTACATGTTACATTTGAACTTCTACACGTTAGTTACATTTGAGCTACTATGAGTTACATTTGAACTACCAGTGCAATTTAACTATTATATGGTACATTTGAACCACTATGGAGGAGATATGTGTATAGGACCTTTTAGTTATTTCTGCACTAAAAATATTGTTTTCTGAATCACTGTTACTATAAAAAATTACTACATAATCTTAATGATGAAAAAGCTATGGTTAATTTTGAGTATGCGATTTTTATTTTGTTTCCAGATAATGTGGCAATGAGAGGTGAAAGATTAGAACTATTAGTGAATAAAGCAGAAAATTTAAATTCTGGGGTAAGTTCTTAAAAACAGTCTTTGTAGCATATAACCAATTTTTCGCAGCTGGGGATGGAAACATCCATGAAAATGATCTGAATATATGTATATAATAGATTAAAGAAACTGGGACCTTTAAAACATATGTATACAGGGTGTCCGCAAAGTTGGGGTTTTCCTTTACACGACGTGTAGATTTTGAAAACATAAGCAATTTTTCTTAGTACCATATACACCAATGTCTTAAGGGAACCGAGATAAAGGGCTCTGCAACATCAAAAATATCTGAATACCGTCCTGTAGCCGCGACATCCCCGAGTGGTACTAGGACACTAGCTCAACCCGACGACAGAACTGGGTCAGGGTCAGTGTGTCAGGTCAGTATGCAACCTTCAACCGACGGTTACGGTCACGCGTGTAGAGGTAATCGCGTAGACGAGAATCCCTCAACAAGCACTAGAGACGTGGCTAGAGAAGTGCAAGTATCAAAAACTAAAGTGTGGCAAACGCTGCGTGAAGAGGGGCTGTATCCGTTTCACGTCCAACGTGTACAAGCCCTTCAACATGACGATTTTCCAGCAAGAGTGCGATTTTGTGAGTGGTTGTTGCATCAACATGACAATAATCCGGACTTTTTGAAGTGCATATTGGTGACAGACGAATCTACGTTCACGCGTAATGGGGTGAATAACTTTCGCAACACTCATGTTTGGTCAGTAGAAAATCGGCACGCTGTCCGTAGGGCACATTTTCGGTGAATATTTGGGCTGGCATGGTGAACGGTATGCTCATTGGACCATTTATCCTCCCAAATCGATTGGACGGGATGCAATACCTAGACTTTTTAAGAAAAAAAGTATATGGAGCAGTATTATGCCTAGGGATCAATGCCGCGCAGAAAGAATTTGGTTTCAGGATCCTAGCAGTATCTAACTTATATTTTTGTTTCTTTTCAGTCTGTAACTTTCCGAACAACGAGTAGAAACTTAGCCCGCTCCCTATTCTGGAAAAACGTGAAGCTGTATGTGATTATTGGCATTGTCGTAACTGTGATTGTCTATTTTATCATTTCCATGGCTTGTGGGGGACTACTTTGGAAAGGCTGCATAGCCAAATGAACGAATAGTATATTGTTCTGTTATCATATTCTTATTACTGTTAAACTTTACACTGTAGCCCAGGATCGCATCGTTGAAATATCGAATTTTTGTGTCCAGGCATATATGAATATGATTTGATCTTAATATAGAAAACAATACCTGAAATGTGACCAGCGAAGTACTCGATGCATGAGGAAAATTACGGTGTTTTAGGTTTTAGGCTAATTCATACTTATTTCTATTGTGGATTAAAGTGTATTCCATTATTGTATTACATATTTTATTTGTTCAATATAGACTGTTTTTACACTGTGTTCTTGCATCTATTACTACACCTTTTTTGATAAACTATTGTTGTGCTCAATGTTTCAAATGCTTGTTCCGGAAGTTGTTGTATCCAGTATACAACTTCTTCCCGTCCAAGTGATTGTGCACGCGTTAAGGAATACATCAGTACCGATTGCCGGGTGGCGGTACAAGTCCACCAACGGGCCACTTTAGGTCTATTTAATATCACTAACGCGTAAAAAGAAGGTGGTAGACAAGGACCAGTCGACCGAGGCGGTACCACCCGCTAGCTTTTCCCAGGGTGTCTTATAAATGTCCGCATGTTTCCACACCTAAGCTATGCAGTCGGTTACCTTCCAAAACAAAGAAATTAATGATGATGGATCCTCACTAAGAACTCCGGACGTAAACTCACTCCACTCTCGGAATGTCCGGGTGGAGGGTGGGCTCGAGGGAACAACATCGAAGATAAAATTTGTTTGTCGAACATCTGCGGAATCAACAGCAACACTGATGCTGTTCATCACTACCTGCAATCCAATCGTCCCGCCGTGCTTTTCTTGGCGGAGACAAAAATCTCCGAGACTGTACCGATTAACCATCTCAACTTCCCAAACTACGAGGTGCACTCCAATCTGAGAAAGAACGGGGGAGTTGTGGCTTTTGTCCGCAGCAGTCTTTCCTGCTCCAGGGATCTTTCTTTGGAATCGGACAGGAAGGACATTCTGTGGCTTCGCCTCAACTCCAAAACATCACCCAAATTTATTTGCTGCCTTTATCGCTCTCCCTCGAACCATAACTGGGATGACTCACTCGAATACCTCGCCGTCCAGATCGACTTCCTGAACATCAATCACCCCGCTTCAGAGGTAGTTCTTCTCGGTGATCTCAATGCCCATAATGAGCTTTGGTTGGGCTCACATAAGACCGATGCAGCAGGTCGTGCAGTCGAAGCGTTCGCTCTGACTCAAGGGCTGACCCAGCTGGTGACGAGCCCTACTTGTTTCCCCCGCGTCTCGTCACACGCCAGTAGCCTGCTGGATCTCTTTCTGACCACTCATCCTGTCCCTTACAGCACTGCTGTCCTGTCCCCCCTGGGTAACTCAAATCACGGTGTTGTGGAGGTTAGGTTTCGGTCAGAAGCCGCTGTGGCCGCAGAAACTTGCACAGGCCGCAAAACGTGGCATTACGGACATGCCGACTGGGAGGGGCTCAGAGACTTCTCTAGCTTTCCTTGGAGAAGATGTCTGTTTCACTGACGCGGATGCGTCGACTGTCTGTTCTTCGATAACCGAAATTATCCACGTCGGAATGGAGGAATATATCCTTCACTCAGTGAAAGTTCCTAAACCAGGGTCCAATGGCTGGTTCAACAAATCGTGTGACACTGCTCGCCAGCAGAAGATCAAGGCACACCGAACCTACCTCCAAAACCCCACTGTAGAGAACAGACAAGCCGGCGTCGAGTTCAGAAACACATATAACGAAGCGGTTCGCAATGCCAAATACCAACACGATATAAAAGTTAGGCACAGGGTAATGTCGCAGCGCAATGGCAGTCGGTCTTTCTGGACGCTGGCCAAGCAGATTGAAAAGAACTTCTCACACAGTAGCCTTCCACCACTTACGTGTCAGGATGGAACTATTGTATTCGACTCAAAGGCCAAGGCGGAAGTGCTAGCCAAGATCTTTGCTGCCAACTCCACCATGGACGTCCCCACCAACGCCCAAGTGCCGTCAATTCAAAGGGTTCCCCACACTATGCGGGAGGTAACATTCAGGCATAAGACCGTAAGACGAGTGCTCTTGTCGCTCGACATCAACAAAGCTTCTGGTCCGGACTTGATTCCTGCCATTGTACCGAAGAGATGTGCAGCGGAGCTTGCTCCAGTTCTTTCGCGTCCCTTCCAGATATCTTATGAATCCTGCACCTTCCCAGAAAACTGGAAATTTGCTCATGTACAGCCCATCCCAAAAAAAGGATCTAAAACCGACCCTTACAACTACAGGCCTATAGCTCTACTTTCTGTTATAAGTAAAGTGATGGAGAGGTGCATAAATCGCGAGCTTCTGGACTACTTCGAACGTCACAGCTTGATTAGCGACAGGCAGTACGGTTTCCGGCACCAACGATCCACAGGGGACCTCCTAGCTTACGTCACTCATCTGTGGAGTAAACTCGTCCACTCTCATGGTGAGGCTCATGTCGTTGCTCTTGACATCACGAAAGCGTTCGATCAGCTGTGGCACGCTGCCCTCTTAAGCAAACTTCCATCCTACGGCCTCCCAGAAAAGCTTTGCAGATGGGTGGCTGACTTTATCTCTGGCCGCAAGATATCCGTCGTAATTGACGGATTCTCCTCTTCATCCCACAACGTCAACGCGGGTGTTCCCCAGGGATCGGTCTTGGCTCCAACACTGTTTCTCTTACATATCAACGACCTCCTTTCCTGCACGATCAACCCAATCCACAGCTTCGCCGGTGACAGCACTCTACATGCAGGAATTCAGAGTGACAAGCCGATCTCTGCCGCTGAGCTGGAAAAAAGAAAACTAGCGACGACTTCTCTGACAAGAGACCTGGAGGCTATCACTGCTTGGGGACGCAACAATCTTGTACAGTTCAATGCTTGCAAAACACAGTACTGTACTTTGACGAACAAAAAGCGTCCTAACGCTCATACAGTTTCGATGGACGGCCGAGTTCTACCAAAGAGCCATTCGTTTCGGCTGTCCAGAGGAGGGCGATCCGACTGATCGATGACTCTTCTCTAACAGACAGTCTCGGGATTGTTTCGCACCGGCGGCGATCTAGCTCTTTTCTATCGCTACACCAACAGCCTTTGCTCCTCAGAGCTCTCTTCCATGATGCCGCCGCGCGATGTGCCTGCCAGACAGACCCGCCTGACTTCGGCGTCCCATCCTAACCGTGTCGAACTTCGTACATCCAGAACTGGCTGATACGACCGTTCCTTTGTCCCGAGGGTGTCTAGATTGTGGAACAATCTACAAGAGGAAGCTTTTCCCAGTTCTACTAACCTTAGGCAGTTCAAAAATCGTATTAACAAAATTTCTTTGGGATCATCATAGCAGCCGCGGTGTTCCGGCATTTAGGCTTCTGCCTGCGCGGCTGCTTCGATATAAAAAAAAGGGTAGGCCATTAAGTTAAACGATTTTAAAAAATCATAGAAAAAAGCTACAAAGCGTAGGGAAGATAAAAATCAAGTTTTTGAAATTGTTTTCTGGGTTTTAATGTCATTGAGTATACAAATATAATTCAACAAACGTCGGCAGGGTCACATTTGGAATAAAAAACCAGAGTAATGTAAAATTTAAAAGTTTTTTATTGTTGTAATAATGATAAATTATAATACAAACAAATATAAGCTTAGATTTAAGCAATAATTTATAAGCTAAATAAAACACATTTGAAACAAAAATACACTTTCATAATAAGTTTACAATGACCCTCCAAATCTAAACTACAAAATACACAACATAAATATAGTGGAGGGTAAACAATTAATTTTGCAATTTGTTTACTTTTTATAAACAGTCGTAATAATTATATTAATAAATAATCGTATGTACCACGTACAAGATGTCCCGGTATAAATTCATTTCTTCGCGTGACCATTTATGATAAAAAGTTCTATACTTTTAGAGTATATAACGTTCGTATAGAATTTTATTTCTAGACGATCATTCAAAAAAGTTAGGAGAGGGTCAATTTATAGGAGGATACCCTGTACACAGAAATATTATAGAACACTGACCATTTATCGTGTTCAAATCTAGCACTAGTCATAACAAAATTTAACAAATTAAAAAAGGCTAATTTCAAGAATATAGAAAAAATGATATATATGTACACAACTTCGAATCAACAATATTAGCGATAAAAAAATAATTGACAAAGATCAAGAATTTATCATAAATATATACAATATGGTGAAAAATATGGGTAATAATACAAATAAAGGCGGGTTAAATTCGGTTATGACCTTTCTGTTGAAAGAAATATATTACAAAGAAAAGTATCACAAAATTGATGAAATGAACATCAAAACGAATTTCCTTGTTTTTACCTACGTATTTACATGGTGGTTTTTCAATTTTTTAGTTCATAATCGATGAGACAAAAACTGGAGGTCTACAAATCTAAAAGCACTTTTTCTGTATAATGTAAGTGTAGGTTATTTCGACAAGCTTCCTTCTTTCACAAAACAACAATAAAAATGAAACAAATGTTATATTTACACATATCCTTGCAGCGACACATTTCATATTCGACAGCTTCAAAAATAGCCCAGTCATTTAGCAACACTATGGGACATATCAGTCATGGTTCATAAGGGAGTTTCCGGCCCTTTTGTAACTTTAATTTTTTTTGCAACAACTTTCTTTTTATTAACGAAATTGTTAATTAAAAGTTAAGTTAACAGACGACTCTTTGAGCAATTTTAGGTCAAAATGTTAAATCCAGTAGCGTCTCTGAATATTTTAAACTTCAGATAATGTTTAAAATATCGTAGATGCGATCAGGAAATTATTCCCGGCCGGAAAAACCCCTAAGTGATTCTGATCTTTCGTAAACCAAAAAGAGCCCACGTTTGTTGAATAGAATCTTCCTTAAAACAATCACGTTCAACTGGATTACAATCACGTTATATTGCGCGAAATGTCTCGCTCGAAAATGCACCGCAACTGTTGAAGAATCGTTATAAAAATTATTAAGAAAAAAATGCGCTCGCGTTGTATCTAAGATAAGAAGTTACGTACTCATCATTAGTATATACATAGATAACTTAATGATAGATAATATTATCACATGTCCTGTCGAAGAGAGAAAGAGCATTGCAGTTGGATACCTCGCAAATCTAAAAAACAATATTCTGTAGTTCTTCGGAATTAGAACTTTTGCCAAATTCTATGGTGCCAACCTTCTTTTCCATTATATTGAATCCCGTCATGTGAACCGTCCAGGGACCCTACAAGATTTGGAAACCAATATAACACTTGCTAAGGTGGCAAGAGTCATCTCAGTGTATGGAGAATCGGGGTTCTGCCCTATCCGATTTGATCTTAAAAACTATGTAAAATGAAACCTTTGACATGCGTCTATATCATAAAAAACAAAAACGTTCTGATTCATACGATGGCTTTTATTTAGTTTAGAAAAAAGAATGCTGCTTGCAGGATTGTACTTGAAGATGATCACCGTTGGAAGGAATTCTAAACGTATGTGTCCAGGTAAGCAAGGAGGATTATGAACACGAAACCAACAGGATACGTTTCAGATGTTACATTTACATGTATCTTCAAAGACGAACAAACACGAAACGGCGACTCTTCCTCCTTCGAGTGTGCTGTAAGTTTACAAAGTTACGGGGCGCCAAACTTGAACAAACCGTGCGTTTGTCGGTTTGTATGTCCCGTAACCGCTTCGGCGAGAGTTAGTAAAACTGGCTATGCGGCAGCGGCGCAACGCGGTCTTTTTTTCGCATCTCCTGTCTTATATTTAAGTGTTCGGCGGGTGGTTGGTGTCACGGGTGGGCGTTATGTCGGGTAGATCGGAAACTGGATCCTGCAAAATAGAAAAAATATATACAGGGTGTTTCAGTTTATTGTTGCATAACTTTAAGATTCGATAGAACTTTTAAAATCAATGCATAAAGTCTATATGGGTCGAAAAATGCGTGGCTTCCGAAATACAGTTGTTTAAATTTACTTTCTAAAATAGTTTTTTTTAAATATTTCGAACAATATTTGATGTATAACAGTGAAAATTGGTATACAAGGGTTCTTTGGTACGACAAAACGAACCATGGGCATAGTTTTACTGTATCCGCTAGAGGGCGCTCTCTACTGTACCTGTAGTTTATTAAAATTACCGAAAATTTTTTCTTAGTGCAATTTTTTGCTTTTTGAATAAAAAAACTGATTCTTCGCACTTTTCAACATAAAAAAGCTCTCCTGTGAGTTTTCGTTATAGTTAGCCGTTTTTGAGATATTTCGATTTTTAAGGTTCGATGCATTTTCAATTATTTATGGGAAAATAATATTTTTTTTACATTTTCGATTTGGGCATTACAAGTAATTAAGATGATCGTTTAGATTGTGTTTTTAAACACAGCATTAATTCCTAACTCCAAATAAACACAAAAAAACAGAATATTAATTTGTTTAATTTTCCATTATTATTTTTAACAAATTAAATTAATTATTTACAACTAAAATGCTATTGGATAGTTAGGACAAACATACAAAATCTAAAGTAGTTGCTCGAAATGTAAACCCAATTGTTCAATACACAATTCACATCTACGAATGATCGAACGTGGTATAGCATTATTCAAATAAGGCCTTATTTCATCACATGCATTCCTGATTCTGTCTATTAGCATATCTCTTGTGGTTACGGGAGTCTGGTACACTTTTTCTTTTAGAAATCCCCACACAAAGAAATCTAATGGATTTAGGTCAGGGGATCGTGGAGGCCAGACGACTGGTCCTCCACGGCCGATCCATCTTTCTGGATAATTTTCGTCCAGCCAGTTTCTAACTATTCTCGAATAATGAGCTGGACAACCATCAAGCTGGAACCAGGCCAATCTTCTTAAATCTAACATAACGTCATCCCACATATTTGCATGTTCAGCCTGTAAAAATTCCAAGAAGGTTGCAGCATTTAACCTTGCAGGCAAAAGGTAGGGTCCAAATAGTCGATTACGGTAGATACCAATCCACACGTTCACACTACATTCATGCTGAAAATTTCTTTCCCGAACTGCATGCGGATTTTCATGCGACCAAATATGTTGATTATGAAAATTTACCACTCCACGTCTAGTGAAGCATGACTCATCGGTCCATAAAACGTTACTTAAAAACTCCCTATTATTATCAGTTCTATCAAGAATCCACTGACAAAATGTGATTCTTCGTTCTCCGTTCGATGGCTGTAGTCCTTGCACAGGTTGCAAATGGTAAGGACGTCTATGGTCATTTCTAAGAACACGGTGAACATGGCTTGCTGAAATTCCCAAGGCACCAGAAACTCTCCTAACACTTGTGGTCGGATCTCTATCAAACTCACGCAGAATCATACGGGTAAATCTGCGCTGACGAACATTTATGTTTTGATCCCTTTGGAGATTTCCAAAACCATTTTCAATTATTTGGCGATGAACTCTTACAAATACTGAGCGAGTTGGATGTCGTCTGTTTGGAAATCTTCGTGCGTATTCTCTGGCTGCTTCTGCTGCGTTTCCATTTACAAAGCCATACACAAAATGAATATCCGCTAACTCTTGATTGGAGAATAAAAATGGCAATAAAAAAAACAGGTAAAAGAAACTAAATTTCGTGCATTCACAATTGCAAAAAAACGTTTCAGGTTTCAACAGACAACAAAACTAACTGTCAACTAATTGACGTTTAACCTTATTCTGCTTTCAATTTCAAAAATATTTGCAGGCACAGCCTACTTCTAAAAATTATCTTTTTAACGTTATTTTATCGTAAATAATTAAAAATGCATCGAACCTTGAAAATCGAAATATCTCGAAAACGGCTAACTATAACGAAAATTCACAAGAAAGCCTTTTTATGTTGAAAAGTGCGAAGAATCAGTTTTTTTATTCAAAAAGCAAAAAATTGCACTAAGAAAAATTTTTCGGTCATTTTAATACACTGCAGGTACAGTAGAGATCGCCCTCTAGCGGATACAGTAAAACTATGCCCATGGTTCGTTTTGTCGTACCAAAAAACCCTTGTATAACAATTTTCACTCTTATACATCAAATATTGTTAGAAATATTTAAAAAAAACTATTTTAGAAAGTAAATTTAAACACCCTGTATTTCGGAAGCCACGCATTTTTCGACCCATGTTTATATAGACTTTATGTATTAATTTTAAAAGTTCTATCGAATCTTAAAGTTATGCAACAATAAACTGAAACACCCTGAATAAGGTGATTCAGAAAATAGTGGCAATATTTCTGCATCAAAAAAAGTCCTCATAAACATGGGTGTTAAAATCACGTTTATCTGTATCGATATATCATTTGATATTTACTAAAAAAAAGAAAAAAAACCGTTCCAGAACGATGTCAAAACAGGTTGGAACTAAATAGACAACCCTGCTACGATAACGAGTAGTGTTGGTACACATTTTCCTAAATGCATCAAGTACAAGTAATAATCTCACCTGTGTATTCGTCCGTGACGTGGCCTCCTTAACAGGTTCCATTTCGGTCGCTGTCGTGTTATCACTAGCCGTCACGGAAGAGTTACTCCTCAGCACTGCCTCCCCCGGCACCACCGATGTAGTCGCGCTGGTCTCTTCTTGAGATTCCTGTTCTTCGCTGGTCGTCGTCGCCACAGTCTGTTCCTCCTCTTCCCCTCTATCCGTATCAGGCATCAGTTCTAAAGCGCGTTCTAGCGTTTTGCGAGCGCTGTTCGATCGTTCCAAAAAGTACCCGTTGGAACTCTCGTTGCTCTGGGCGGGCGGAGACCACGTGCTAAAATAAAACAAAAATTCACATTTTTGTCTCAGGTCTGTTATTTGTTCTGTATTGGAGCTAGAAAAAATCAAAACATAGGCAAAAAAATAAAAACCGCCCAAACGACTCGCTCTTATACAAGTAGCTATGGCCGACATTGGAGGATAGAACATAGAAAGTACTAACCTCTAAACGCAGTAGTGCGCAGCTAAACCCCACGACCTTCTGAGGTCGGCGTTCTTATGAAATCATACACGCTAGTCTGATCAACAATGATGAAAGGAACCCCAAAACTACTAACCTGTAATGTAAGCGCCGCACTGTGTCTTACTTCATCCTGCAACATGACCTCCTGAGGTCGGCGTGTCTCATGAGGTCATACAAGCTATTCTGACCGACAATGACGAATATAAGCCAAAAACTACTATTCTGTAAGCGCCGTTTTGTGGCTTAATTCATCCTGTAACCACGCTAAATTACCACCTGAGGTCGGCGTGCCTCATGAGGTCATTCAAGCTACTCTGACCGATAATGACTAACAGAAGCAAAAAATTACAAATCTGTAAGCGCCGTACTACATCATAGTTCACCCTATAACCACGTTAAATGAGCTCCTGAGGTCGGCGTGCCTCATGAGGTCATACAAGCTATTCTGACCGACAATGACGAATATAAGCCAAAATCTACTATTCTGTAAGCGCCGTTCTGCGTCTTAGTTCATCCTGCAACCACGCTAAATGACCTCCTGAGGTCGACGTGCCTCATGAGGTCATACAAGCTGCTCTGACCGACAAGGACATAGAAACCAAAAAACTACTAACGTGTAAGCGCCGTTCTGCGTAATAATTCATCCTGTAACCACGCTAAATGACCTCCTGAGGTCGACGTGCCTCATAAGGTCATACAAGCTGCTCTGACCGACAAGGACAAATAGAAACCAAAAACTACTAACCTGTAAGCACCGTACTACATTTTAGTTCATCTTGTAACCACGTTAAATGACCTCCTGAGGTCAGCGTGCCTCATAAAATCATACAAGCTACTCTGTCCGACAACGACGAATTAAAACTAAACAACTACTAACGTGTAAGCGCCGTTCTGCGTCTTAATTCATCCTGTAACCACGCTAAATTACCTCCTGAGGTCGACGTGCCTCATGAGGTCATACAAGCTGCTCTGACCGACAAGGACATAGAAACAAAAAAACTACTAACGTGTAACCGCCGTTCTGCGTCATAATTCATCCTGTAACCACGCTAAATGACCTCCTGAGGTCGACGTGCCTCATGAGGTCATACAAGCTGCTCTGACCGACAAGGACAAATAGAAACCAAAAACTACTAACCTGTAAGCGCCGTACTACATTTTAGTTCATCTTGTAACCACGTTAAATGACCTCCTGAGGTCGGCGTGCCTCATAAAATCATACAAGCTACTCTGTCCGACAACGACGAATAAAAACTAAACAACTACTAACGTGTAAGCGCAGTTCTGCGTCTTAATTCATCCTGTAACCACGCTAAATTACCTCCCGAGGTCGACGTGCCTCATGAGGTCATACAAGCTGCTCCGACCGACAAGGACAAATAGAAACCAAAAACTACCAACCTGTAAGCGCCGTACTATATCTTAGTTCATCCTGTAACCACGTTAAATGACCTCCTGAGGTCGGCGTGCCTCATAAGGTCATACAAGCTACTCTGTCCGACAACGACGAATAAAAACAAAAAAAACTACTAACGTGTAAGTGCCGTTCTGCGTCTTAATTCATCCTGTAACCATGCTAATGACCTCCTGAGGTCGGCGTTCCCCATGACGTCATACAAGCTACTCTGTCCGACAACGACGAATAAAAATAAAAAACCACTAATCTGTAAGCGCCGTACTGCGTGTTAGTTCATCCTGCAACATGGCCTCCTGAGGTCGGCGTGCCTCATAAGGTCATACAAGCTACTCTGTCCAACAACGACGAATAAAAACAAAAAAACTACTAACTTGTAAGAGCCGTTCTGCGTCTTAGTTCATCCTTCAACCATGCTAAATGACCTCCTGAGGTCGACGTGCCTCATGAGGTCATACAAGCTACTCTGACCGACAATGACAAATAGAAACCTAAAACTACTAACCTTTAAGCGCCGTACTACATGTTGGTTAATCCCCTAACCACGCTAAATGACCTCCTGAGGTCGGCGTTCCTCACGAGGTCATAGAAGCTGCCCTGTCCGACAACGACTAATAAGAACAAAAAACTACCAATCTGTAAGCGCCGTACTGCGTGTTACTTCAACCTGCAACCACACTACACGACCTCTTGAGGTCGGAGTGTCTCAAGAGGTCATACAAGCTACTCTGACCGACAATGTCAAATAGAAACCTAAAACTACTAACCTTTAAGCGCCGTACTACATCTTAGCTAATCCCCTAACCAGGCTAAATGACCTCCTGAGGTCGGCGTTCTTCATGAGGTCATACAGGCTACTCTGTTCGACAACGACGATTAAAAACAAAAAAACTAATCTGTAAGCGCCGTACTGCGTGTTAGTTCATCCTGCAACCACGCTACACGACCTTTTGAGGTCGGAGCGCCTCATGATGTCACACAAGCTACTCTGATCAACAATGACGAATAGAACAAACCCAAAACACTAACCTGTAAGCGCCGTATTGCGTGTTAGGCGGGTACTTCCTCTCCAGTTCGTCCTGCAACCATGCTACGGCCGAGCCCCACGACCTCCTGAGGTCGGCGTGCTTCATGAGCATCCCGTGCGCTGCCGGGCATTTGCTGAACAGCGCAACCATGCATTTGATGCATTGGTACGCTCGCTTTTGGTAGTGGTTTTTCGCGCGCATTATCGTCTCTAAAAGGCCTTCTCTTTCCTCGGGGACGCCCTTTATCGCATTGTGGATTCTGCAAAAATATTATATAACTTGATTTATTGACAACTTGGCAAATAAACTTTAAATAACTCGATCAAGGATAAGTAGATTTTTGCTTTTTTATATATCTAATCGTTTTTATATAATAAGCGCTTTTTTAAACTATTCTGGAAACAGACATACAATTGCTATATTTCAAGACACTTTCAAATAATGCTTGAAACTAAATGTTCTCTTGCCGATGAAGTAATCAATTGCTGTACATGATTGGTAAAATCTAATTTGTGATAAATACATAAAACAATGCTGGCTGCTTCCTGTATCAACTCACTATTTAAATTTATTAAATCAATGGGTTTGATTTTGGACCTGTACATTTTTGTATTGCCTACCTGTGCGTTTGCCACGAGTCCTCGATGAGTAATATCGATAAAAGTATTTCGATGTGATGTCGCAATTCCTGACAATACGCGAATGCGATCTGCCACAGTAATTCGGACAAAACCGTCCTGGAGAAATGAGGGTTCTCCCACGAGCAGAACTGCAGCAGCTTGATGGCCTCGTCGGTCAAATTCGTGTCTTCTATCACCTTTTTTACATAACTGAAACAAAACAACAACGCTTAATTTTACAGTTTGTTGCTTTCGATACTCCATATTTTTTGCTAACTGTGTCACTCGCGCACCTAGTGCAACTTCGTCTATGATTTTCACTTTCTCACTCAACTTTAAACACTTTCTTTTATAGGATGTGGATGCCATAGTCGTAAAATATATTAACGCGTGCAATGTATTCACTTAAGTTCAAAAATGAAATACATACGTACGTATAAACGTATCCTAAACGATCATACGACTGACCGAGTTTGTCGTATTTTATCGCACACTCTACATCATAAATCGGGGACTCCCCGACGCCCGACATAAATCATCGAGGCTTCAGCATTTTACCGTCGCGCTGTTTCCGTGCGCCGAGAGTTGTTTACGTTATCGAGCGTACACATTGTTTACGTTATCGCGCGTTCCGTTTGATCCTATAGAACGAAGTTTGTGTTTACATTAGCACAAGTTTTCATTATCCCGTGTTTACGTTATCGAGCGTCTGCTGTATATGCTGAGATAAATATAATTCATGAAAAATTTAACATATCTATAATATTCGATAATATTCGATTGCTGAATTGGTTAAAAAAATAAAAAATAAAAAGCTAAAGAAACGAAAACTTATAACACGCATAACAACAAATAGATATGCCAGGCAAAAGAATCGCCAACAAGAGGTGCAAGAGTATGAAATAAGGGCATTTATTGGAACACTAATATTGAGTGGTTATGTCGATGTACGACGTAGAAGAATGTTCTGGGAACGTGAAAGAGATGCTAATAATCAACTCGTCACAGAAGCGCTTACTCGAGATAAATTTGAGTATATTATGTCAAATTTCCATTTAGTAGGTAACTACAATTTACAGCAAGGAGATAAGTTTGCAAAAGTTAGACCTTTATTTGCGAGACTGAATCAAAAATTTATGGAACATGGAATTTTGACAGAAATGCATAGTGTAGACGAGGCAATGGGTCCTTGTTTTGGGAGACACTCATGCAAACAGTTCATTCACGGAAAACCTATACGATACGGCTATAAATTATGGGTTGGCGCATCAAGACTAGGCTACGTTTACTGGCTTTAACCTTACCAAGGGTCGTCAACTAACATTAGTAAGAATTATGCAGATTTGGGGGTTGGTGCTGGTGTGGTATTAGAGTATTCTGATGCACTGAGGAGAAAATAGCCAAATGAAAAATTTCATTTAGTTTTTGACATTTTTTTCACTTCTCTCTTCACTTTTATGGTAAAATTGACAGAATTTTTTTTTGCGACTGGTACTGCTAGAGAAAATCGTTTCCAAGGTCCAATTCAGAGATTCTAAAATTATGAAAAGGGAAAAAAGAGGTAGTTACGATTACAACAAAATTTCCGATACAAACATAATTGCAGTAAAATGGCATGACAATAATTTAGTAACACTCTGTTCAAATGCCGCAAGATTGCAACCAATTCGCTTTGTAAAGCGATACTCTCAAAAGGATAAAAAAGTATTCAGGTAAGAAACACAATCAATGTTTTCAAAAATGCTTTTGATTTTAGGTAGAACAGCCTCATCTTGTAAATGTATACAACGCAAATATTACTATTATTACTATTACTATGATAATTGAGATGAGCAGAGTACACAGTACTATAAGCTCATGCAGTAAATATAGTGTACGGACACGTAACACAAATACATCAGATAGAAAAAAATAAAAAAAGACAGTTCATAGCTATAAAGTTTGTACACTCCTCCAGCTATCATACTGCACTTTGAAGCTATTAACTGAAGTAGCACCAACCACACTTTCAGGTAAACTATTCCAGGTGTTGAATGTGCGGTTGGGAAGAAACCACTGTCGGACTGTTGTTTTAAATGGCTCCTTATGCAGTTTGAAGCTGTGTCCGCGTAGATTACTGCGCGACAGACGGTATAGATGCATGAGGTTGGTGCCCATCAAACCATGAAGTATCCTGAACGTAACTATAAGATCGCCACGAAGTCTTCGCTCAGAGAATGAGGTCAGGTTGAATAATTCAAGGCGATCTTCATAGCTTGGTCTTCGTGCTCCAAAAGGGATACGAGTAGTCCGACGCTGTACTGATTCGACGAGATTTCTATCGCGCAGAAGCACAGTGTCCCATACCGGGCCAGCGAAATCAAGAATTGGCCTCACGAATGCCTTGTAAATGTAGGCGCAAGTGTTGACATCGGATCCTTTGAAAGACCTCTCCAGCTTTTATAGAAGTTTCTTGACTTTTGATGTAACGTGGTGAATATGCTCTGACCAGGAAAGACGATCGTTGACTACAACGCCCAGATCAGTGTGGCTGGAAACTGCTTCGATGTTGTGGTCAGAGATCTTGTATGTAAATCGCGGATTTGTCTTCCCGAGGTGACATTGACAAACAATATCAAGATCTCGTTGAAGCATAGCAGAATTAACGACAGTATTGTAAATCTTGGTGTCGTCGGCATAAGCTGAACATGTGGAGGAAATCAATGCGGGCAGGTCACTTGTATACAGAAGGAACAGCACTGGCCCCAAGACAGAGCCTTGAGGAACTCCACTTGCTACATGATGAAGGTGAGACTGGCTATCACTGACGCGCACAGAGAAAGTCCTCCCGGTGAGAAAAGCCTTAATCCACAGTAACCACTCGCCTCTTATTTCCATACATTCCAACTTAAACAGAAGCCTTCTATGTGGTACGCGATCGAAAGCCCTAGAAAAATCTAAGTAGATTATATCAACAGGAGTCTTTGTGTCCAGATACTGAGTCCAATCGTTGAGAGAGTGGAGAAGGTTGGTCATTATTGATCGACCAGGGAGAAATCCATGCTGATTCTTAGGGATAAGGTCATTTTCGAAAGCAAATGACAGAAGCTTATCTAATATGATTCTTTCAGCTATTTTGGCGGCGATAGGAACGAGACTTATTGGTCGATAATTTTTAGCGGAGGATTTGTCGCCCTTTTTGAATACAGGGGTAACAGAAGCACTAAGCCAGCATGAGGGTAGGGTATGAGATCTAAAAGACGATGTGAATATCAAGCTTAATGGTAGGGCCAGTGCTGAAGCGCAGTTTTTAAGTACAGCAGCCGTCATCCCATCTTTACCAGGGGAGGAAGAGGTCTTCAGATTTCGCAGGTGCATTAATACATCTTCAGGCAGGAACTCAACTTCGCAAAGGCTGTTGGGACACCTATGGCAGATAGTGGTCGGTAGAAGGTCTCCATTAGGGCGGCGTTGATCGTTGTGATCAAAATATTGGTCTGTATCGCATTTCCATCCGGGGTAAAAAGTGGTATTTTTCATTGAACAGCCACTGTATTGATATGGCTGTTCATAATTCCTGGCAACTTTATAGATCGCACGGAGGACATATGGATCAATTATTATTCAGACGGCGGCTTGCCACAGCCTTGTTACAACAAAACAAGAAACCGCCATCTTTTTCTAGAGGACTTCCTTCGGCTAATGAATATATAGATATTCGTTTAGATCATTTTGTGATACCACAAGAAAAGCCAACTAGATGTGGCTTATGTCATGATAGAGCACAAGTCTGAGGAGCTGGTTGAATGGCAAAAAACGGTCTATGCGCTTTGCTGTCCCAATGGTTTGGAGAGAGCCTACAAATCATATCAATGATTGTTACTTTTGCATGGTACCTTGTGTTGGACAAGCCACAGGTATGTCCAAGAAAAAAAAAATCGGTTATTATCTACCCAAACATACCATCTGCGATGAGACCTGTGCCTCACAGTGACGAAAATCCTATTCCAAAACCCCCAGAGTCCTACACTTGCGAATCAGATCATGGCGATCGAGTGATTCGTCAGGAAGAAGATATGCCATCAACGTCAAGAGATCCTGATTTTATACCGAGCACGGCATGCCACCAACCGCACAAAATAACACAGTCAGAATTAAATGATCTTGTAAGAGATTTAGAACTTCCAAAATGAAAGGCAGAGTTACTTGGATCAAGACTGTAGCAGTGGAACTTGTCAGAAGACGATGTTTCGGTATGTGTTTTTCGTAAACGCCACAAAGACTTAGAACCATTTTTCAATATGGAGAATAACTTGGTTTTCTGCAGTAACATTAACGGCTTACTGGCGGCTTTAAATATAAACTATAACCCAGAAGAATGGAGATTGTTTATAGACAGTTACAACATTGAGTTTAAAGGCAGTGTTATTGCGTATTGGAAATATTTTACCATCTCTTCCTGTAGAGTATGCAGTTCACATGAAAGAATCATATGACAATATGAAGTACCTATTGACATGCATAAAATACGATGAGCACCAATGGCGTATTTGTGGCGATTTGAAAGTTGTTGCACTTTTACTTGGGCTGCAGCTAGGCTACATAGTTTTGCTGTTTTTTGTGTGAATGGGACAGTCGGGCAAAGGCACTCCATTACACCAGACAAAACTGGCCTGTTTGTCAATTCCTAGAGCCAGGTCAAAAAAATGTACAGCATATACCATTAGTAGATTCGAAAAAATTTTTATTACCACCACTGCCTATCAAGTTGGGCCTAATGAAAAATTTTGTCAAGGCATTAGATAGAGATGGGTCAGCTTTTCAATACCTGCGTCAGAAATTTCCAAGACTAAGTGAGGCAAAGGTTAAAGAAGGTATTTTTGTTGGGCCACAGATTCGAAATATTTTGAAAGATACACAGTTTGAAAACACTTTAACAGGTATTGAAAAAACTGCTTGGAATGATTTCCGTCTGGTGGTCACTAATTTCTTGGGAAATAGAAAAGCTGACAACTATAAAACCCTTGTCAAAAATATGCTGTCATCGTATCAAAAGATACATTTCCTACACTCACACCTGGACTTTTTTTCTGACAATTGCGGAGCCGCAAGTGATGAGCACGGCGAACGTTTTCATCAGGATATTTCAACAATGGAAAAAAGGTACCAGGGAAAGTGGAATCCTTCCATGCTTGCAGACTACTGTTGGACTCTTGGTAGAGATGCTCCAGAAACGATCCATAAAAGAACAGCAAAAAGACAGCGCATATAGTGATTCTTATAAGTATATGAATCTTGTTACTTTTTTTAATATATCCTTGAAAATAAAAAGTTTTTTTTCTAAACCGCAACTAATTTTTTTATTTCATTGTCATTTTTGGATTCAGCGCCCCAAGATTAACAAAGAAGTGCACTTTTGCCACAAGATACAATTAAAAAACTAAAATTTGTTGTCCAGTGTAATTATTAGTGTTTGAATAAATGTCTTCATAAAAAAATCAGATAAATATTTTGTGCAAACATTTTTAGGATATACGTTTTGAAATATTATCTCCAAAAATTTGGAGAAATTTGACAATTTTGCCACCACTCTATAGTTTTTAATATCCGTATGTATTTACGCCAATACCAAGAAATGTAATGGTTGCTATAGTGAGATTGGTTCAACAAAGACATGAATGCAATCTTTGACTATGGCCTAGGCATCGTTGTCTATCTCTGTATTCTTCGGTTCTTACCTAGTCCTATTGAAGAGAATCTCTGCGGCTTGCGGCGATATCGGCATGATGTACTCGGGGCAAGTGGGTTCCCTGTAAGGATTCGGCGCCACCGGGCCCCCGTTACTAGACTGACACCTGTTGCTAACATCGCAACACCGTATCAAGCATGACACCAGCTGGTTCAGTTTACCGAGCTCCGTGTACTGGTATTTAATAGCCGGACCTGGGCCTTCGTCCAGGGCCACTAGCATAAACGTCGCCGGGACGTTCATGCGCAGCAGTTGGGCCTTCTCCTGGATACCTAAACATACAAAAAAGAAATGTATAATAATAGTACTTCAACACCACCCCGTATCGGTTTAATGAAGCCCTTGAGGAAAAATGTTACATAGAAGACTGTGTATGATGTTTCATTTTTGGTCACGCTATTGGAATTTTGGTGAGAATATGGAAAAAATATATGACAACATAATAGGAAATATAAAAACTTGTTTAGATCTTGCAACTGATAAAAAAGTGATTTGCTCGACATAAAATACACCCTGGTATAACAAGAATATTAAGGCAGCTCAAAATTTGAGAGACAAATATAAATATATGTATATTCACAAAATCAAATGATGATTGGGAGGTATATAAAACTCTTAGGAATAAATGTGTGTATGTAATTAGAGAAGAAAAAAGGAAATTCTACGATAAACAAATCGATAATAACAAGTACGACAGTGTAAAGATGTGGAAGACTTTAAAAATACTGATCAATTCGAAGCCGCATGATTGTGTAAATCAAGTTCAATTCGAAAACGGTACCGAAACAAATTCTTTGGTGATTGCAAACAAACTAAATGAATATTTTGTGGAAAGTATTGTTGATATTGTGGGTACTGCCAATGCTGCACCTGACTATATGAAAATCAGTTTCCAGTGGGAAATGTTGCAGACACTTTCAAAATTTTACGGCGTATCATTGAATTATCTAAGAAAAAAAGTAAACAGTTTAAAATCAAATAACAACTGTGCCGAAATCACTACTAAAAACGTGCAGAAAAACTGTTTCGAAATTTTGGGATATCCTGTATTAAATTGGATCAATTGTTCACTGAGAAGCAGTTCTTTCCCTGAAAATTTTAAATGCTCTACAATAACACCAGTTCCCAAAATAAAAAATTCTAAAAGACGCAGCGATATGAGACCAGTAAATGTGTTACCAGACATTGAAAAATTATTAAGAGTCCATAGCGCATGACCAATTAATGCAGTTTATAGAAGAAAACAAAATTTTAGTGGAGGCGCAAGCAGACTTTCGAAAAAAATATTCCACAGAAACGGCTTTCCAGTTGGTAACTGAGAATTGGAGAAGAGCCATAGACTCAGAAGAAGTTGTCATAGCAGTATTTTTAGATTTGAAGAGGGCATTTGAAACGATTGAGAGAGATATTTTGTTAGGTAAATTAAAGGCATATGGTATAACAGGAAGTGTTTTAGATTGGTTTAGAAATTATTTGTCGAAAAGGATGCAAGTTACAAAAGTTAATGACACTATTTCATCAAAAATTGAAAATACGTTGGGTGTTCCACAGGGCAGTATCCGGGGACCACTCCTTTTTATTTTATACATAAATGATTTACCTGCCATAGTCAAAAAATGCAAAATTCAGATTTTCGCCGATGACACTATGATTTATATAAATACTAAAAATATTCAGTCTGGTATCTCTTATATAAATGAAGACTTGAAGCTTGTCTCAAAATGGTTAGCATCTAACAGACTAAAATTAAATGCAAGTAAAACGAAAGCCTTGTTAATCGGAAAAAACAATGTATAAATGTTCAACTGAATATTGATGGTGAAGATATTGAATTCGTAGAAAATTTTAAATACCTGGGGGTTTTTGCTGACTCTCGATTAATTTTTGATATTCATTATGAAAAAGTTATAAATAAGATTAGTAGTAAAGTGGGATATTTATCGAGAGTTTCTGGATGTCTGAGTTCATATAGCAGAAACATTATCTATAATACCATCATTCTTCCAAATTTCGTGTACTGTTCGACTATTCTATATTTAGCAAATAATTCCATTTTTGAAAGACTGCAAATTTTACAAAATAAGTGCATGAGAATAATACTAAATAAAGATAAATATACTCCAATTAGGCAAATGCTTAGCAAATTAAAATGGCTCAATGTAAAAAAAATTATCAAATATCTTGTAATGATATTAATTTATAAAGTAAAAAATAATATATTTCCATCAAGTCTAACTAATTTAACATCATCAAATGTCGACCATCATTTACATAATAGCAGAAATAAAGATGACTTCCATTTAATGACCAAAAAGTATAACATATGCTACAAATCTGTATTCCATCAAGGGTTGATTGAATATAATAAATTATACTCAGTCATAAAAGGCCAGAAAACTTCGACAAAATTTAAAGTAAAATTGAGAAATCACTTGTTAAATCTACAATTATAGGTTGCCCAGCATTTACATCATACACCATATGGCTTGAATTTACTAGTTCTAAGTTGTTTACAATTATTCTGTTTATGTAGCCAAATGTGCTAAATAAATCTTCCTACTACTACTACGACTTGTACATTCCCCGGTATATCTAAAGGTAAACGCTTTTTCTCTCGAACGGTGGAGATTTCATTGTATATACTCACCCTGGTTAGCGTACATATGAAACACGCTGCAATAATGCGGCAGGTGCCTGCCGTGTTCGCTGACCTCCCTCTGCAACAACCCGAGCAACGCCCACAGGATGTGATCGCTGAGCGAGGCGACGTCGAGCGCCGTCGCCGCGCCGTCCGCGATCATGACCACGCCCCCTCGTTGCGCGTTAGCCAGTAGCGGCGGCAACGGGGCGGGGCCGTCGTTGATGCTGAAATGGGCCAATAGCACGACGATCTTGATGAAAGCGTTGCGCACTTCGGCAGACGGACAGCTTAGGAGGTACTCGCAAAAGCGAGATGGGTGCGCGAAGAGCACGTTGTGGGCGAACCATTGCCGGATCACAGGAGAGGCGCGCAGGTGGAGGCACAACACGTCGCACCTAAAATTAGGACGGGTCTGATCAAAAATCGATGATAGACCTAAAGTTTACTTGATAGATCAATGATAATAGACGTTTTTATTGAGAGAATTACAGCGACCATTCGAGGTCGAAAATATGTTTAATGAGAGAGAATCAAGAGAAATCACAATTATTGACTTTGTAACGTTACGAGAGTCACTGTTACAAGCCAATATCACTGAAATTTTTAATGATGCTGACACTGCTCAAAAATTATAGATTGTATGGAGAACTGCATGAGAGTCGCACAAATAGGAAAGTGGTATATCAAAGGAAAAGCCAAAACTTTGGTTATAACAAAAATATCACACATATACAACAAATATTTATAGACTCTAAATTGACCCGTGATAATGACTATAAAAAGTTTATGATCACTCAAACTGAGGAAGATTGGATACAATATAATGAATGAAGAAAAAAGTGTTTTAGGAATGAAAAGAATAAATATTATGAAAACAAAATCGATAGCAATTAATGTACTCCCAGATGTCGAGAAGCTCTTAGAATGAATCATATATGAACTATTGAACTAACGAAATTGCATTGTTATGGATTTCAAGATTCAGTATTCAACTTATTGCAAAATTATTTAATCAATAGAAGTCAAAGAACTAAAATTGGCAATACATTATCAAATATTAAAAACATTTCGGTAGGTGTGCCACAGGGTAGCAAATTAGGTCCATTACTATTTATTTTATATATTAACGATATTCCTGAAATTTCACATTGCAAAATTCAACTATTTGCTGATGATACATTAATATATATATATATATATAGGTGAAAAATTAAAACCTCCGCCTTTTGTTGGGTACTTCGACAAAATTTAAGCAAAGAGGACTCTTTATACTTTTTTTAATTCTCTCTAGCTTTCAATGGACTTTGCCATCATCATCAGGAGCTGCAATTACAATGATAACAGTAGCAACAAAAGTGTAAAATGAATTTAAATTGAATCAACTTACAGTAGTATGTGAGGATGTTGCTAATTGTTGTTTTCGTATAGGATGAGGGAAACGTCCAGTAACATGGTGAGAGCTGGATACATGGTACAATGGTTAAAATTATATAAAATATGACAAGACAAGTTAAAGACAGATTAAAAATTATTTAGAAAACATTAGAGCATTACGTCGTGAAGCCACTTGATGATTGCACAAAATGGTGGTCATGGAATAATGAGTGAGATGAACCTTTGACAGAAGGCCGAAGGTTGTCAATGTCTGTGTTGAAAGATGGAACGAATTGTGGGTGTGTGCCAAAACGTTGCCAAATCACTTCAGATTATGTGATTTTCAGAATGTAATGTAAGAAATTGTTAAACCGACCAGAGGCAGTTGAATAAACTATATTTTAATTAATGGGAATTTTAAATTAACAATTATTAATAAATCGTGAGAAGAGAATTATTAGATTTTGAGTGGAATGAAATTTGAAAACAACAATTAGCAACATCCTCACATACTACTGTAAGTTGATTCAATTTAAATTCATTTTACACTTTTGTTGCTACTGTTATCATTGTAATTGTAGCTCCTGATGATGATGGCAAAGTCCATTGAAAGCTAGAGAGAATTAAAAAAAGTATAAAGAGTCCTCTTTGCTTAAATTTTGTCGAAGTACCCAACAAAAGGTGGAAGCTTTAATTTTTCACATAACTGGTTTAGACGACAATGACCACGTCTCAAGTTATATATATATATAATAAAGACGCTGGAACTGCAATAGAGCTGTTAAATAATGATATGAAAAACGTAATGAATTGGTTAAATGTAAATAAACTTAAACCAAAACACAAACAAACCAAAATATATGCTAATAGGAAAATATTTAGATCAAAATACGATAAATCTTACAATTAATCATGAAAAAATTGTGTCAATCGAATCATATAAATATTTGGGCATATATACGTAGACAGTAAATTAAAATTTGAATATGTTATTTCTAAAATATCCAAGAAAATAAATTACTTTTATAGAATTTCGCATAGCTTAAGCGTTTATTCTAAAAAATTGTGTACAACACTATCATTCTTCCTCATTTGTTATATTGTTCGACTATTTTGTTCACTGCAAATGAAACTGTATTTTCAAAATTACAAATATTACAAAATAAAGCTATAGAATCATCTTAAATAAAAATAAATATACTAGAATAAATTTTATGCTGAAAGAACTACAATGGTTAAATATCAAAAATTTGATAGCCTACTTGGTTGTCATTTTCGTATTCAAGTTAAAAAATCATCTACCAAATCACTTAGAAAATTTTATTGTATTGAACAATGAGTGCTACAATTATTCTACTAGAGGAAGAATAGACTTTCAGTTACAAAATTGCAGTAGCAATATAACGAGCAAGTCAGTATTTCAAAAGGGATTGTACGAATTTAATAAATTAAGTAATGATATCAAGATGTGTGTCAGTTTGTTAAAATGTTCAAAGGGAAATTGAAAAAATATCTCATGGAAAACCAGAATTGTGAAATTTTGTATAAAAATATGTAGTCTTGAAGACATAATATATTTTGTGATATACTGTATAATATGGATATTATGGACATTGTAGCATTAACGCTAAATAAATCTGAAACAAACAAACAAGTTTAGCATTGCTAACTTTTCACTTAATCAACCAGTCCGCAACATAAGTTAAGAGGCGCATAACAAAAATAAAGTAGAAAAATCACGAACTAATAGTTATTAAAAAAAGATAGAGGGCTGCAATGATATACTAAGTGACATATAAATCCGAACACCCAGTTTAAACGGTTTTATTTTAATAAAAATTGGTGAATGTATTTATCTTACTGTAAATAACAAGTGAAAAAATGTTCAGCCTTATCAGTTGGACATTCCGGTTTTTATACTGCTTTTTTTTAATTCACTAACGCTCTAAAAATGAATATTTCAGCCGCAGTAAAGAATCAACGTTGGCGGATTTTGGTTCTTGACATCCTTTACGATCGGTTACGATGCCTAGAGTACGGAGACCTGTACGATTTCGTCAACTTAGTGAGTTTGATAGGGGCCGTATAGTGGGACTTCGGGAAGCTAGACTTTCTTTTCGGGCAATTGCAGTTAGAGTGCAAAGAAGTGTAGACACTGTGGTTAGGTGTTGTCAGGCATGGCTGCGAGAAGGCCGTACGCAAAGAGCAAGGGGCACTGGACGCCGCCGTAGAACAACAGACCGTGAAGATCGCCGCCTAAGATTATTGGCCTTAAGGGACCGTTTCTCCACTACCAGGTCCATTGCAAATGAATGGTTTGCAGAACACGGAAGACCTATTGGCATGCGAAGTGTTTACCGACGAATGAGAAGTTTTGGCTTGTTTTCATACCGGCCACACTGGGTCCTCCCTTTAACTCGAGAACACCGACGTAATCGCCTTGAGTGTTGCAGACAACGGTCACTCTGGGATCAGGAATGGAACATTATTGTCTTTAGTGACGAGTCTCGATTTTGTTTAGGCATGCACGATGGTCGTGCCAGGGTTAGAAGGCGACATGGTGAAAGGAAGAATCCACAGTTTTTTGTTGAAAGACATGTTCATCACACTGTTGGAGTTATGGTTTGGGGTGCTATAGCTTATGGTTCCAGGTCACCTTTAATCTTCATCAGAGGTAACATGAACGCGCAGCGTTATATCCACGAAGTTCTAGAAGCCCATCTTTTATCCTATCTTGACACCCTGGCAGATCCAACTTTCCAACAAGATAATGCCCGACCACATGTTGCAAGAGTCACAATAGACTTCTTTCAACATAATGATGTCACATTGTTACCATGGCCAGCAAGATCTCCCGACTTATCCCCAATTGAGCACGTGTGGGATATGATGGGTAGGAGATTGCTCAATTTGCAACGTCCTCCTCAGACTCTAGAAGCACTTCGAGAGGAGTTGGTGGTTGCCTGGAATGAGATACCACAGTAGGACATTGACCACCTGATCAGAAGCATGCCTAGACGCGTTGGAGAATGCGTAGCACATCAGGGTGCATCCACACATTATTAAAGGTCAAAGGGCTTTAAAGCAGTGCAATCATTTTGAAATTTTTATCATTTACTTATTATGCTTCATTAAGTACTTATACAAAATTTTATTAAAATAAAACCATTTAAACTGGGTGTTCGATTTATATGTCACTTAGTATATATGTATATGGAGATAATTCATGCGATATTCGTGAAAAACGGTTGATGGAATTAACAGAAGTTTAACTCAACACGGGAAGCAAATGGTTTTTATTTTTTTCGCGAAAACGGTGCATCGGACGGAAAAAAATGAAGAGGTACCATCTTTTCTTGAAAAATCTCCCGTATACATCCCGTACGTACGCAATTGGTAGAAACATTGAAAAACACATTCTACATCAAAAATCCCTATTGGTGCATGTCAAATTTCAAGAAAATGTCTAATTTTTTTTATTAAAGTTTTAAGAAAACGAATTTTTTCTTAAAATTTCAACACCCCGTAGCTCAAAAGTCAAGAGGTTTAGGACATATGTTCATATAAGCTTTTCTTCCTAAAATAAGCTAAGGAATCATATCCTGTATGTTTAGCGATGAATTCAATCAGAACTACTACTATGTATATTTGAACTACTTCGTGTATTTGAACCACTAACCATTCCATGGCTGATCCCCTGAGGTTCTTTTTGGTATGCCATCCCGTATGAAAGAGGAAATTGCTGACCAGCTGTACGCTGAGCAGGTATTGCTGTTCGACGAGGTCGTTCGTGAGAAGAGCCGTCTGAGATTGGGGCGGCGGCTGCCCGCCGCCTGCCCTGACTAGGTTGTTCTGTTGCTGCTGCTGTTGCTGCGCTGCGCAGCTGGTAGCCAGCTTGCGTACGAACGAGAAATACTCGGGCGAGAATTGGCTGCGATGATGGAGGAATTTGATGTTCTGCTTTCTGATGCTGTTCTCGATCGCGACTGGCATTTTTAATGTCGTTTCTTTACGCGTACCGGCTGGAAAGACAGATGAATAATAATTGGTTAGTCCAGAGATACACCTGTGCATATATATACAGGGTGTCCCAGAAGTCGACGTCAAGCCGAAACCAGGTGATAGGCAAAGTCATAACAGCTATCAGAAAAATATTTAAAAAATTTATTTTTGTATGTGTTTTGAAAATTATAGGTCTTTGAAAAAAATATAGAAATTTCACACCCTACAGCAGTCTGTCAACTCCTGTTACTACAAATATTAATTTTTTTTTGGATTTTATTTTTACAATGTAATGACGAATAATGCATCTTCAAACTGGTGTCTCAACCTTACTGCCAACTTTTCTCGTTCAGGAAAAATTGCCACTTATTTCCCAACCAAGTATTCCAAAGTAAAACTTTGCTCAACTTTAACTGGCTGTACTGGAAAAAATGTACTACGAGAGTTTGGCAAGTAACCTTAAAAGTTGGCGCATTTAATAACGATTCCAAAATGGTATAACACTTAGAAGATTACTCGTTAACTTATGCACAATTTTTATTTGAAGAAAAACTGATGAAAATTTTTCAAAATTTCCTAATTAAACAGCGATTATGAAAACGCACAAGGACCCTTAAGCATAACTGTTTGCACAACAGTGGGCGTCAAAATGCTGCTGATGATGATTTACCTTTACAGCAAATGCTCAATTTGTTTTCCTTCAGCCGCAATACACGCTCGACATCTTCTTAAAAAAGATCAGGTTATTGAACAATCGAATACACGGTTATTAACAAACTCAGCTGCTTCCAATAGTCTTTGCCGTAGCTCAGCTACATTTTGAATCGGCTTGAAACACACTTTTTCTTTTACAGTTCCCCAGTAAAAAAACCCGAGTTGCTTTTTGTCGCACAATGTTAGAAAGACACAAGGAAGATCCACGGTTCTTTGAAAAAATTTTATGGTCAGATGAGACCACATTTAAGAAAGATGGGTACATGAACCTGCACGTAGCAAACCCACATTTGATAAGAGAAGGTAAATCTCAATATCGCTTCAAGATAAACCATTGGACAGGAATTTTAAATGGTAAAATAATCGGTCCGTTTGAGTTCCCAGAGACTTTGACTGCTGAGGTTTATTTAGGTTTTTTGCAAAATCATTTAGAAAATTTATTGGAGGACGTGCCACTGAGTATTTACAGGGACATGTGGTTTCAGCATGATGGCTGCCCAGCGCACTATGCACTCTCAGTGAGAGAGTATCTCGATCAAAACTTTCCAGGCAGATGGATAAGGCGGTCTGGTACAATACCGTGGCCACCCCGATCACCTGATTTGAATCCATTAGATTTTTTTACTGGGGAACTGTAAAAGAAAAAGTGTATTTCAAGCCGATTCAAAATGTAGCTGAGCTACGGCAAAGACTATTGGAAGCAGCTGAGTTTGTTAATAACCGTGGATTCGCTCGTTTAATAACCCGATCTTTTTTAAGAAGATGTCGAGCGTGTATTGCGGCTGAAGGAAAACAGTTTGAGCATTTGCTGTAAAGGTAAATCATCATCAGCAGCATTTTGACGCCCACTGTTGTGCAAACAGTTATCCTTAAGGGTCCTTGTGCGTTTTCATAATCGCTGTTTAATTAGGAAATTTTGAAAAATTTTCATCAGTTTTTTTTCAAATAAAAATTTTGCATAAGTTAATAAGTAATCTTCTAAGTGTTGTACCATTTTGGAATAGTTATGAAATGCGCCAACTTTTAAGGTTACTTGTCAAACTCTCGTAGTACATTTTTTTCCAGTACAGCCACTTAAAGTTGAACAAAGTTTTACTTTGGAATACTTGGTTGGGAAATAAGTGGCAATTTTTCCTGAACGAGAAAAGTTGGCAGTAAGGTTGAGACACCAGTTTGAAGATGCATTATTCATCATTACATTGTAAAAATAAAATCCAAAAAAAGTTAATATTTGTAGTAACAGGAGTTGACAGACTGCCGTAGGGTGTGAAATTTCTATATCTTTTTCAAAGACCTATAATTTTCAAAACACATACATACAGTTTTTTTAAATATTTTTATGATAGCTGTTATGACTTTGCCTATCACCCGGTTTCGGCTTGACGTCGACTTCTGGGACACCCTGTATATATATAGATATACATACATATATATATATACGTAGTCATGCCATAAGTTCTGTCCCTCGTTTTCAAACAAGTGTAGACCTGTTAATACTTGTCCGATTGTTTACATTGTGGTGTCAGTTGATTAAGCGCTTTTCGGGTAATTACATATACCTCAGTTTGTATTGATCTCTCGAAGCATAACGATGGAGTGGGGCAAGGCAGAGAACCGTATTGCAGTGATAGCTTTACATAAGTGTAATCACAGTGCTAGTCAGATTTTTGAACTCTTACGCGGCCTTCAAATATCGCGTAAATTTGTGTCTAGGACCATTCAGCGGTACAATGAGACGTCCTCTGTTGATGACAGGCCAAGAAGCGGAAGACCTCGTCAAGTAAGGACTCCAGCAGCCATCAAAGCCGTAAAAGCCAGGATTCAAAGGAATCCACTCCGGAAGCAGAAGATCCCTATCCAGGGAAATGAAGATTCCTGTCCGGACGATGTCGCGCATCATTAAACAAGACCTAGGGCTAGGGGCTTACCGGAGACGTACGGGCCAGCGACTTACGGCTACCTTGCGACACATCAGGGCGACAAGATCCAAGAAGCTCTTGGAGAGGTACGCAGCTGGGGGATTCCGAAAGATTTTGTTCACGGATGAGAAAATCTTCACCATAGAAGAAAAATTCAACCGACAAAATGACAAAGTGTATGCAAGGAGTTCACAGGAAGCTTCGGAGATCATTCCGAGAGTTGAGAGAGGCCACCACCCTGCGTCAGTCATGGTTTGGTGGGGGGTGTCCTACGAAGGGGTCACTCAGCTCCATTTCTGTAAACAGGGCGTGAAAACAAAAGCGGCAAACTATCAGAGCGACATACTGGATCCTATCGTCAAGCCTTTAGGTGGTACATTGTTTGCCAACCAACACTGGGTCTACCAGCAGGATTCCGCCCCCGCTCACAAGGCTAAGAGTACGCAGCGCTGGCTGGAAAGCAATGTGCCAGAGTTCATTGCTGCGGAAGATTGGCCCTCAGGGAGTCCGGACCTCAATCCTTTAGACTACAAGTTGTGGGACCTGCTAGAGCAGTTGGCCTGCTCCAAAGCCCACCGTAATATCGAGTCCCTGAAAGCGGATTTGATCCGATCAGCGGCAGCTATTCCTTTGGAAGCTGTGCGTGCAGTGATAGATGAGTGGCCCGCGAGATTGAAGCAGTGTGTGAAGGCCAAGGGGGGACATTTTGAATAAAACTGTTTGATTATGAATTCTAAAAATGTTGTCGAATAAATAATATCTTTCATATAAATATATCTTATCTTGTTTCATTTTTATCATGAGATTATCATGGGACAGAACTTATGGCACGACTACGTATATATATGCGAAGAGGCCAAGTAGTTTAGTTTTAATCGATCCACGGTCCGTTAAAAAGCACGAAAGATGGCCCAGTTTCAGGCTACACTTCCAAATAATGTAATGTACTCACATAAGGTCAACCTTTCCATCGCCTTGAGCGCACTTTCCTCTTCGACGTCTAACCTCGTATAAAAAAGCATGTACGCGTTCCACCATCGCTTCTGTCTCCTGTACGTCGTCCGTTTCAGCATAGGATCAAACACTTCGCCCATGTAATCGCCCCCGAAACAGTGCGCCTTCATTTCTTCGTCCTCGCCCATTCGACATTCGCTCACATCGCCGTCATCAAATTTGTACCATTTCATTTCTCCTCCGGTTTCGCCGCTGTACGTGCGAATGTACGAATAGTAATGGCCACCTAAATAAAATAAAAAATAGAGCATTACTAATGCTATAGTAGAAAGATTTATTTAGCACATTTGGCTACATAAACAGAATAATTGTAAACCACTTAGAATTAGTAAATTCAAGCAATACGATGTATTCTGGGCAACCTATAACTGTAGATTTAACAAGTGATTCCTCAATTTTACTTTAAATTTTATCAAAGTTTTCTGGTCTTTTATCTCTCTGTATAATTTATTATATTCAATCAACCCTTGATAGAACACAGATTTGATCAATACAAGATATTTGATAAAATTTTTTACGTTGAGCCATTTTAATTTGCTAAGCATTTGTCTAATTGGAGTATATTTATCTGTATTCAGTATTATTCTCATGCACTTATTTTGTAAAATTTGCAGTCTTTCAAAAATGGAATTATTTGCTAAATATAGAATAGTCGAACAGTACAAGAAATTTGGAAGAATGATGGTATTATAGATAATTTTTCTGCTATATGAACTCAGACATCCAGAAACTCTTGAAATATATCCCACTGTACCACTAATCTTATTTATAACTTTTTCATAATGAATATCAAAAATTAATCGAGAGTCAACAAAAACTCCCAGGTATTTAAAATTTTCTATGAATTCAATATCTTCAGCATCAATATTCAGTTGAACATTTGTAAATTGTTTTTTTTCCGATTAACATAGCTTTTAACCATTTTTTAACCATTTTGAGACAAGTTTCAAGTCTTTATTTATGTAAGAGATACCAGTCTGAATATGTTTAGTACTTATATAAATCATAGTGTCATCGGCGAAAATCTGATTTTGGCATTTTTTGACTATGGCAGGTAAATCATTTATGTATAAAATAAAAAGAAGTGGTCCCAGGATACTGCCCTGTGGAGCACCCAACGTATTTTCAATTTTTGATGAAATAGTGTCAACTTTTTGTAATCTGCATCCTTTTAGACAAATATCAATCGTTTCAAATGCCCTTTTCTTATTTAAAAATACTGCTATGACAACTTCTTCAGAGTCTATGACTCTTCTCCAATTCTCAGTTACCAACTGGAAAGCCGTTTCTGTGGAATATTTTTTTTTTAAAGCCTGCTTGCGCCTCCACTAAAATTTTGTTTTCTTCTATAAACTGCATTAATTGGTCATGCACTATGGACTCTAATGATTTTTCAATGTCTGGTAACACATTTACTGGTCTCATCGCTGCATCTTTTAGAATTGTTTATTTTGGGAACTGGTGTTATTGTAGAGCATTACAAATTTTGAGGAAAAGTGGTGTGTCTTTTAGTATAAATCTAATACAACAATGCTTTCTGATTCTCCTGATATATTCTGGGAAAATTTCACAAATTTCTTTTATAGGGATTCTCATAGTCTTAGAACATATTAAAAAAAAATAGTTTATAATACAATTAATCTATCGCATTTACTGTATTACTCAACTATCTTGTTCACTGTCAATGAAGCTTTTTTCTCAAAATTATAAGTTCTGCAAAATAAGGCTATGAGAATAAAAATAGGTACATCAAAATAAAATCTATGTAATAAAAATTGAAGTAGTTGAATATAAAAAATCATATATTTGGTTCTTATTTTCATATTTAAAATAAAAAATCATTATTTGCCACAACATTTAACATGGAAAATTCATTGCCACAATTATTATATGGGGTTGTCCAAAATGGACGCAGGAAAGTAAACGCATATTAAAACAAGAAAGATTGATATTCAAATCAAGTTGGATACTTTATTTTGAAGGTTCATTTATACCATTTATGTATGAAAAATAATATCGCTCAAATGTTCACCACGACTGGATTTACAGACGTCCACGCGATGGTCGAAATTTTCAATGACATTTTGCAACATGGTCGGTTCTATGGCATTTATCTCGGCAATGATGTTCTTTTTGAGTTCTTGGAGGGTGGCTGGTTTGTTGACGTAGACTTTGCTTTTCAAATATCCCCATAAAAAGAAGTCCAAGGGAGTCAAATCGCACGATCTTGGTGGCCATGGCACATTTCCTCTGCGCGAAATCACGCGATCACCGAAGAAGGACTGCAATCGATGGATATTGACGTTGGTTGTGTGGCATGTTGCACCGTCTTGTTGGAAATAAACATCGTCCATATCCATTCCTTCAAGTTGCGGCAAAAAATAGTCCTCTATCATCACGTGATATCGCTCAGAATTGACGGTACCGGCGTCCCCGGCCGCATTTTCGAAAAAGTAAGGTCCGATGATGCCTTTTGACCACAATGCACACCACACAGTCACTTTTTGAGGATGCATCGGCTGCTCTTGATACTCTCGGGGATTTTCGTCCGCCCAGATGCGGCAGTTTTGCTTGTTTACGGTCCCATTCAAAGTGAAATGCGCTTCGTCGCTGAACATGATTTTTGATGAAAAATTGGCATCAATTTGGCGGTGTTCAAGGAGCCAATCTGAGAACGTTCGGCGCGAAAAATGGTCGGCCCGACGCAGCTCTTGCGTCAATTGGATCTTGTAGGCGTGTACATTCAAATCCTTGTGGAGAATGCGGAGCAAACTGGTTCTCGAAATGCCCAATTCTTGGGATCGACGCGTTGTTGATTGTTTCGGATCGTCTCTCACACTCTCCTTCACAACAGCAATATTTTCCGGTGTGCGAACGCTCCTTGGCCGGCCAGAGCCTGGCAAATTTGCCACAGAACCTGTTGCCTCGATTTTACGCACCAGATGACCGACGGTTGTTTCGTTTGGGCGGTTGTTGCGACCGAAATGTTCACGAAGCGCGCGAAACGTGTTTTTTATTTTTGCACCATTTTTGTAGTGCTCTTGAATAACTTTAATGCGGTCTTCAATCGAATACGACTCCATAGCGATCAATGGTAAACATTCAACTAACAAAATGACATGTCGGTGACAGAAAACAAAGATGGCGTCTATGTCAAATTGACGTTTACTTTCCTGCGTCCCTATTGGACAACCTTTTACAAGAGGAAATTTAGATTTTCATTTACAAAATTGCAATAGTAATATAACTAGAAAGGGTTACTTGAATTTAATAAACTAAATAATGATATAAAATCTACTTGTAATTTAAAGATATACAAAAGAAAATGGCCATGGTCAGTGAAAATTCTTAGAGTTGCAAATTTTGTTTTTCTAAATATCTGTATGTTATGTAATTGTTAGCCTACTTACCAGATGCTTGTCCAGAATGTACCACAATGCCCGTCAACCTGTACTTGGTGCAAGTATCCCCAGGCGGATTCGGATCCTCGTCGCAATCGATGATCTCGCCTTCGATTTCGGCCAATCCGCGCACCGTGTACGGACTCATGTCCAACTCCCTGGGGAACTCAAAATAATCGTTGAACTTGATGGCGCACACGCGCTCGAAATCGTACTCGAACCGCTTCAGTTGGATCGTTAGCACGGGTGGCAGTTTTTTCACGCATAGTCGTTTCACCGTCACGACTTTCTTGCTGCATTTTTCGCAATGGTATGCATCTGCGCCCTCTAGCAGCTCGCCTGGAAATTAAACTCTTAGGTACTGTTCTCACAAAAAACTCCAACTTCAACAGGCACGCTTGTTTTGAGGTCGTTTTAAAGAGAACGTGGAATATAAATCAGACATTTTGGTTCTTTAAAGCCCTGACTGAAAGAAAAATCGCGAATAAAATCCAGCCAGATCAGTCAATGAATATATAAAATTAGCAACACTAACCTTTAACATACTGTTCTAAAGAATCCGTTAAATTGCTATGGTTCCTAATATCTACACTAATCACACTAAAAGGTTCTTCTTTGGAATATCTATGCGGACAGCCTTTGCAGATCTTCTGGTCGGAGTAAGAGCCACCTAGGATCTTGGACATGATCTGCTCGTGTCCCAACGTTTTCAACGCCTCGTCCAGACTTTCTACCAACGACATGAAGAATTCTACAGCGTCCTGCTGCTCCCTCAAATTCACGGGTTCCCCTGCAAAAATCATAAAATTATAAACCACTTTTTTCAAACGACAGTGAAAAAACTACGGTTGCGCCTAGTGTCATGTGCCAGAAGCAAAAACGTTCTATACTAGCGATGTTTTACAAAAAGTAGTTCAAACGAACAGTAGTTCAAATGAACAGTAGTTCAAATGAACAGCAGTTCAAATGAACAGCAGTTCAAATGAACAGCAGTTCAAATGAACAGTAGTTCAAATGAACAGTAGTTCAAATGAACAGTAGTTCAAATGAACAGTAGTTCAAATGAACAGTAGTTCAAATGAACAGTAGTTCAAATGAACAGTAGTTCAAATGAACAGTAGTTCAAATGAACAGTAGTTCAAATGAACAGTAGTTCAAATGAACAGTAGTTCAAATGAACAGTAGTTCAAATGAACAGTAGTTCAAATGAACAGTAGTTCAAATGAACAGTAGTTCAAATGAACAGTAGTTCAAATGAACAGTAGTTCAAATGAACAGTAGTTCAAATGAACAGTAGTTCAAATGAACAGTAGTTCAAATGAACAGCAGTTCAAATGAACAGTAGTTCAAACGAACAGTAGTTCAAATGAACAGTAGTTCAAATGAACAGTAGTTCAAACGAACAGTAGTTCAAATGAACAGTAGCGCGGCGTAACCAGCAAAATTATGGAATGTTCAGTGTGTAACAGCATAGAACTTGTTTTTTTCGATTGGCATTACCTTGTAATTTGAAATGCCTCCATAGGCCCCTAGGTATATAGTACTGTAGTCTGGAACACGCCAGATGTCCGAAAATCGCTTGTACCTGCTTCAGTATGCCTACATTGTAGTCTTTTCTGCCATCTTCGTTGCCAGTTCGGTCCGTATCTGCACAGTCCGTCGTGTCCAGATCCAAACGTTCCTCTCCGGAGAAGTCCTCGTCGGGATCAGTGGCCGCGCCTTCAGCGGCCAACAATCCTTCCTGAAAGACAACAAAACCATGTTAGCGCTAAAAAAAAATCAAGTACTTCTATTCTTCATTGACAGCCAGATAAGTCAATAGGATCTTTACTCTTTACAATTTATATTGTTTATGTTGCCAAGTATGATCAAGTAAAATTGTTTATTATTAAGCATGACATCAATGTTCAAAGGAATTTTGAGAGAGAATATTAGGTTAGACCTTACCTTAACACTATCAACCATATACAACTGCTGCAACACTGAGTTCATATAACAAGTGGCACCAGCGTTTTTTAAACCTACAAAGCCTCCAAATGGTCTGGGTCCTACTGCTGGTAGATAGTCCCATTCCGTTATAGCTGTTTCAGGATCTGAAAAAAGACAAAACTGGGCATGAAAAACTATGAACAATTACAATAAGACTGATCAACAGCCAAAAAATATCCTAAATAAAATCAACAAAATATTACTATTTTTAATGTGCTAAAACCGGAATGAAACTTATTTTTTCAATATTAGTTCAAGTTTTAGAGGTACGGTAATTATATGTGTTCCTGCTGTGGCAGTGTTAATATACTGTAATTCACAAGAATGCACGTGCTACATTTTTATATATGGCAAGGAAAGATGATGTAATCGGCATGATTGTGTTACGTTATACATACGTGTACATTATATTGTTTTACGTAGTCATGCCATAAGTTCTGTCCCTCGTTTTCAAACAAGTGTAGACCTGTTAATACTTGTCCGATTGTTTACATTGTGGTGTCAGTTGTTTAAGCGCTTTTCGGGTAATTACATATACCTCAGTTTGTATTGATCTCTCGAAGCATAACGATGGAGTGGGGCAAGGCAGAGAACCGTATTGCAGTGATAGCTTTACATAAGTGTAATCACAGTGCTAGTCAGATTTTTGAACTCTTACGCGGCCTTCAAATATCGCGTAAATTTGTGTCTAGGACCATTCAGCGGTACAATGAGACGTCCTCTGTTGATGACAGGCCAAGAAGCGGAAGACCTCGTCGAGTAAGGACTCCAGCAGCCATCAAAGCCGTAAAAGCCAGGATTCAAAGGAATCCACTCCGGAAGCAGAAGATCCTATCCAGGGAAATGAAGATTCCTGTCCGGACGATGTCGCGCATCATTAAACAAGACCTAGGGCTAGGGGCTTACCGGAGACGTACGGGCCAGCGACTTACGGCCACCTTGCGACACATCAGGGCGACAAGATCCAAGAAGCTCTTGGAGAGGTACGCAGCTGGGGGATTCCGAAAGATTTTGTTCACGGATGAGAAAATCTTCACCATAGAAGAAAAATTCAACCGACAAAATGACAAAGTGTATGCAAGGAGTTCACAGGAAGCTTCGGAGATCATTCCGAGAGTTGAGAGAGGCCACCACCCTGCGTCAGTCATGGTTTGGTGGGGGGTGTCCTACGAAGGGGTCACTCAGCTCCATTTCTGTAAACAGGGCGTGAAAACAAAAGCGGCAAACTATCAGAGCGACATACTGGATCCTATCGTCAAGCCTTTAAGTGGTACATTGTTTGCCAACCAACACTGGGTCTACCAGCAGGATTCCGCCCCCGCTCACAAGGCTAAGAGTACGCAGCGCTGGCTGGAAAGCAATGTGCCAGAGTTCATTGCTGCGGAAGATTGGCCCTCAGGGAGTCCGGACCTCAATCCTTTAGACTACAAGTTGTGGGACCTGCTAGAGCAGTTGGCCTGCTCCAAAGCCCACCGTAATATCGAGTCCCTGAAAGCGGATTTGATCCGATCAGCGGCAGCTATTCCTTTGGAAGCTGTGCGTGCAGTGATAGCTGAGTGGCCGGCGAGATTGAAGCAGTGTGTGAAGGCCAAGGGGGGACATTTTGAATAAAACTGTTTGATTATGAATTCTAAAAATGTTGTCGAATAAATAATATCTTTCATATAAATATATCTTATCTTGTTTCATTTTTATCATGAGATTATCATGGGACAGAACTTATGGCACGACTACGTATATTAGCCATTTTTTTCTCAGTTGGCTGACAGCGTTCATGCAAGATGTCTCGAAAGTGTGCAAACAATCCAGATCAGTTTTGTTACGTGTGTGGTGATGTGACTTTTGCGTCTCAGAGACGGTCTATTACTTCACTAATAACAAAGGCATATCAGCTTTATTTCGGTTTTAAACTAGGTGATCAAGACAAACAGTGGGCACCCCACATCTGCTGTAATACATGTGCTTCAAGTCTGAGGAGCTGGTTAAATGGCAAAAAACGGTCTATGTGCTTTGCTGTCCCAATGGTTTGGAGAGAGCCTACAAATCATATTAATGATTGTTACTTTTGCATGGTACCTTGTGTTGGACAAGCCACAGGTATGTCCAAGAAAAAAAAATCTGTTATTAACTACCCAAACATACCATCTGCGATGAGACCTGTGCCTCACAGTGACGAAATTCCTATTCCAAAACCCCCAGAATCCTACACTTGCGAATCAGAAAACGAATCAGATCATGGCGATCGAGTGATTCGTCAGGAAGAAGATATGCCATCAACGTCAAGAGATCCTGATTTTATACCGAGCACGCCATGCCACCAACCACATAAAATAACACAGTCAGAATTAAATGATCTTGTAAGAGATTTAGAACTTCCAAAATGTAAGGCAGAGTTACTTGGATCAAGACTGCAGCAATGGAACTTGTTAAAAGATGTTTCGGTATGTGTTTTTCGTAAACGCCACAAAGACTTAGAACCATTTTTCAATATGGAGAATAACTTGGTTTTCTGCAGTAACATTAACGGCTTACTGGCGGCTTTAAATATAAACTATAACCCAGAAGAATGGAAATTGTTTATAGACAGTTCAACATTGAGTTTAAAGGCAGTGTTATTGTATATTGGAAATATTTTACCATCTCTTCCTGTAGGGTATGCAGTTCACATGAAAGAATCATATGATAATATGAAGTACCTATTGACATGCATAAAATACGATGAGCACCAATGGCATATTTGTGGCGATTTGAAAGTTGTTGCACTTTTACTTGGGCTGCAGCTAGGCTACACAAAGTTTTGCTGTTTTTTGTGTGAATGGGACAGTCGGGCAAAGGCACTTCATTACACCAGACAAAACTGGCCTGTTCGTCAATTCCTAGACTCATTTCAAAAAAATGTAGATTAGTAGGTTTAGTAGATTTAGTAGATTCGAAAAAAAATTTATTACCACAACTGCATATCAGGTAAGGCCTAATGAAAAACTTTGTCAAGGCATTAGATAGAGATGGGTCAGCTTTTCAATACCTGCGTCAGAAATTTCCAAAGGTTAAAGAAGGTATTTTGTTGGGCCACAGATTCGAAATATTTTGAAAGATACACAGTTTGAAAACACTTTAACAGGTATTGAAAAAACTGCTTGGAATGATTTCCGTCTGGTGGTCACTAATTTCTTGGGAAATAAAAAGCTGACAACTATAAAAACCTTGTCAAAAATATGCAGTCATCGTATCAAAAGATGGGCTGTAACATGTCTCTTAAAAAAGGTACCAGGGAAAGTGGAATCCTTCCATGCTTGCAGACTACAGTTGGACTCTTGGTAGAGATGCTCCAGAAACGATCCATAAAAGAATCGCAAAAAGACAGCGCATATAGTGATTCTTATAAGTATATGAATCTTGTTACTTTTTTTAATATATCCTTAAAAATAAAAAGTTTTTATTCTAAACCGCAACTAATTTTTTTATTTCATTGTCATTTTTGGATTCAGCGCCCCAAAATTAACAAAGAAGTGCACTTTTCCCACAAGATACAATTAAAAAACTAAAATTTGTTGTCCAGTGTAATTATAAAGGTATGCGTTGTAGAGAAATTCTTAAATATCATCCCCATTGTACTACAATTTTTTCTTAAAATTATAACACCCTTTTCCTCAAAAGTTAAGATGTTTAGGACATAATCATATAAACTTTTCTTCCTAAAATGAGCTAACGAATCATATCCTGTATTTTTAGTCATCAATTGAATTACACCTTCTATGGACTTCAAACCAAATTTTCCTTGAAAAGGATGGTGTGACAATTTGATGCTTCTAAAGAATTAGTAGAAGTAGTATCAGTTTTCTCCTATCGGGGGACAAGAGCGACTAAAATTTGTATATAGACTGGTTCTGCTATTTGCACAAAGTTCCAACTCGATGACTTTATTCGTTACACGACTTCGAAATTGCAACCTCAACGCTGCATCTTAATAGCAATAACACAATTAATTGCTTCGTGAATCACCCTGCACACTAACCTGAATAGAACATATCGTTGAGCATGTTGACCAGCTGCTTGTAATTCTGCACGCAGTTCAGGCACAACGCGATGAGCAGATCGAACGCTGCCGCTTGCGTTTGGGGCGTATCACAAATCGGGACGGCGGGGTCTTCGCCCAGCTGGCCCGTTTTGTTCAGTTGCAGCATCAGTTTGCTGGCGGGGAAGAGAAAGTCCTCGAGCAGCTCCTTGATCAGGCTGCCCGATTCGCAACTGCCTAGCTCGCACTTTTGCTCGGGTGTCATGAAGCAGAGGAGTTCTTTGGCCAGGCTCAGGTGACCCTCTATCAGAACCTGCAATGAAACATACAATACTGACACAAAGAAAGGCAAAGCAAAAGACCTCGCTTGTCATATTTCTTGTATCAACTGTAATGTTATTGAGAGTCAACAAAAACTCCCATCAATATTTAGTTGAACATTAGTACATTGTTTTTTCTTCAGTTAACTTAGCTTTCGTTTTACTTGTATCTTGTATTTAATGTGTGTAGTGACAATCTATTGCTTTATGAATTATAGTGGAATTGTGAGAGAAATTAAAGGAATATTCGTTACAGTATTGAATGATGAAAAAAGTGAGAGCAAACCTCATGTTTATCTCTGGCTTTCCTCAACCAGGCGACTTCGTTGGCTAACAGTTGGTCAACTGCCGACAAAGGACATCCGGTAAGGTATGCGACGTTCACAAGTCGGCAGAGCAACTGAAAAAACTCGTGCGAATTGTTCGCGTGTTCGATCACCAACGTGTCCAGCAGGGAGAACAGCAATGGCACTGAAAAATAGAGAAAATCATTCGTTTGTGCCCATGTTTTGGATTCCATAATTCTGGTTTGGCCTTATATATATATATACATTGTTAACATTGTGAATATAAAACAACTATCAAGTATTATTTGGAAAAGCACACATTGAAACATTCAGAGTCAGGAGGTAAATCCAGCATATGTATTCACTGTAAGGCAAAATACTTTTCTCGGGTCGGTGGATCAATTGTTGAAAATTTGGAAGTAGAGATTCGGCAGTTGAATGAGTTTATTTCTGTTGGTGAGGTTCACAACGAAGATTCTATTTCGATAACATTGACTAATAAAGAGTTGTTGGAAGTTGTGAAAGAACTAAAAATAAACTCAGCACCTGGATATGACGGTATCACGGTTAAGGATGTAAATAATCTTGGAGAATACTTAATACCTGTTTTAGTACGATTAATCAATGAAACTATACAAAAAGGAATATTTCCATCAGAATTGAAAATAATTAAAATAACCCCACTTTTTATGTCGGGAGATATTAAATGTATGAACAAATACAGGCCTGTTTCAGTAGTGTGTGTATTCTCTAAGATTATAGAAAAATTAATAAAAAAAAGAATGTTATCTTTCATTGTTACTCACAATATATTGATTGATGAATTTCAATATGGTTTTATAACGAACAGTAGCACACTTAGTGCGGTTGTTGATTTTGTGGACTACATTTCAATGGCTCTAGATAAATAACAAATAGTTGTAGCTGTTTTCATTGACCTAAAAAAAGCTTTTGACGTAGTAAGCGTAGACATTCTTTTAGATAAATTGTTTAAAATGGGATTTAGAGGTGTTTCGTACAGCTTGATTAAGTCTTATTTATATGACAGAAAACAGTACATAAAGCTTGGAAACATTGATAGTGAATGGTTATCTAGCACCTACAGGGGTCAGTTCTTGGACCTCTGTTATACAGTCTTTATGTACTGAATCTCAAGTTGGCCATTCTGAGGGGAAGATATTTTACCTTTGCAGATGACACTGTACTGGTATATACTGGAACAGACGAAATTGCTTTAACGAATCTTATTAATGATGACCTGACTAGTTATCTTAAATGGCTGTTTTCGAATAGATTAAAAATTAACATTGAAAAAACAAAATACATTATATTTAAACAAAAAAATAAGATAGCAATAATCTAAATATTAACATAAATAATATAGCGCTAGAAAAAGTGTCAAGTATTAAATATTTGGGATTACTGATAGATGAAAGTTTAAATTGGTCACTTCACGTAAATGGAATTTGTGATAAAATAGTTTCAATGCTATCTGCCTTATATAAGAGTCGAGATTATTTGTCTAACAAAAGCAAATTTCAAATTTATAATGCCTTCTTTCTTACACATTTTAGGTACCTCTTGCCAGTATGGGGTATGTGCGGTGAAGTTAATTTTAATAAAGCTCAAGTTTTACAAAATAAAGTTCTGAAAATATTGTTTAATTTTGATTGGCTTACAAGTTCTAATACACTTTATTTAAATTTAAACAAATTAAGAGTGTTATTGGAGGTGGAACAATGTAAACTTGTTTATAAAATTATAAATAATCTACTAAAAAGTAACATAAATATTAGGTTCTACCATAACGTGCATGATCACCAAACAAGATCACTAAATAATGTTTATCAAATTTCCACAAGTACTAACATAGGTTTAAAAAATCCGATCACAGACGCAATTAATAAATTTAATAATTTACCTCATTGTATAAAAGATTCAAATAACTATAGAAGTTTTGTTAGAGAATTGAAAGATTGTAAAAATGTTAATGAATTTATTTGGTGAAATTATGAGCAACATTGCAGTGTACCTGTAGTTCATAGATATTGATTATTGTCTTGTTATTCTCGGGGCCAGTGTTTGCAAACACTGATTAGGGAATTATTGTTAAAACTGGTTATACTTTTTGTATTATTGTGTTTAAATAAATTATTTCAAAAAAAAAATATGTATTCACTGTAAGGCAAAATTCGTAGATAAAGCAAGACTGGATAATCATTTAATCAAGAAACATCCGTATCACATCCGTTTCTAGTAAAATCCATGAATGTAAACATTTTTTTTTTTTGGCTAGACATATGATGCAACATTCAGAGGCAAAAGGTTATAGTAAACTTGACATGTTTTCACTGTAGTGCAAAATTCAAAAGAAAACTTGGACTAAACGATCATATAATCCATCCGTTTCTAGTAAAATACGACAAAACAGTCATACAAACTAATTTTGTTGCACATATGAAGACGAAACATCGTAGGTATAGACGGTATGAATCTGTCACTGTTATGGTTGAATATAAAAACTAGAATGTGATGTATTGACTTGTTTATTTTTGTATACATTGTTTGAAGAAAAATAAAATAGAATTAATACTTGTTACACTTTATTGCCATAGTCCTCTAAAATGTGTTACTTGGTTTGATAGTTTAACATCAAAATTATTTTTTAATTTGTTAATGTTTTCGTTTTTCTATTTTTAGGGGATGAAAAATCACTACAAATCTATGGAAATTGACATTATTTTTTCAATTCAAAGTGTAAACAAATGAATTCAGAAGTTACCAAACTCCAAGCAAGTCTTGTCGTGCCTCCAAATGTATCCAATAGGTGTAAACATAACACCACAGAATCACTGCAAATCGGCACACTACACGATGAAACGATCTAACATCACATTCAAAACCGCGGATGTTCCTTTGTTTGTGCACGACGCGCGCGACCTGTTGCCTCGAAGAGATCCAAAGATCGACTGAACAGCAGCAGTGCGCCGTGCGCCGGCCGTCCGTACCGGAACGCTCTCGATTACGTCACAGCCACATGCCCGTTTCTTTCTGCCAATCGCATCTTAGGCGGAAAGTGGGGTGCAAAGTGGATCGCCGTCAACTTGAAGCTACTCCATTTGAAAGCGATAGGTGTAGCTCCGCCCACTTTGCACCCCACTTTCCGCCTAAGATGCGATTGGCAGAAAGAAACGAGCATGTGGCTGTGACGTAATCGAGAGCGTTCCGGTACTGACGGCCGGCGCACAGCGCACTGCTGCTGTTCAGTCGATCTTTGGATCTCGCCGAGGCAACACGTCGCGCGCGTCGTGCACAAACAAAGGTACATCCGCGGTTTTAAATGTGATGTTAGATCGTTTCATCGTGTAGTGTGCCGATTTGCAGTGATTCTGTGGTGTTATGTTATCTATTGGATACATTTGGAGACACGACAAGGTTTGCTTGGAGTTTGGTAAGTTCTGAATTCATTTGTTTACACGTTGAATTGAAAAAATAATGTCAATTTCCATAGATTTGTCATCCCCTACAAAAAGAAAAACGAAAATGATTGTTTTATCTTGGAATTTTGCCTTACAGTGAATGCATATGCCGGATTTAGACTTATCTACTGTCTACGTAGATGTTTTAACATATGTTCAGAAAACTGGGCCTTGATGGTTGTTCTATATGAGCAATGTGTACATTCATGAATTCTGGCAGAAACGGATGCAATAAACTAGGAATGTTCCTCGACTATATGATCATTCTACACGTACCATGTTTCTTCTTCATATGTGTAGCAAGATCAGATTTTTTCACTGTTTTATATGCACATTCATGTATTTTAGCAGAAATGGATGCAATAAAATCAGGATGTCTCCTGACTATATGATCATTCAATGTCTGTGTGCTTTTGAGTTTCACATCACAGTGAATACATATACTGAATTTATGATTATCTGGTAATTTTGAGTGTTTTGACATATGTCTATCAAGTTTACTTTTAAATAAACTTTTATATGCACAATGTGTACATTCATTTACTAGAAACGGATGATGGAATAAAGTCAGGGTGTTTCTTGATTAAATGATCATTCAGTGCTGGAATACATTTGAATTTTGCCTTACAGTGAATACATATGCTGAATTTATAATTATCTACTGACTCTGGATGTTTCAATGCGTGGCTTGCCAAACAATTCTTTATAGTTGTTTTATATTCACAATGTTTACATTCTTGAATTCTAGAAGAAACGGATGCAATAAAGTCAGGATGCTGCTTGAGTATATGATTATCTAGCAAATTTTTAGTTTTAAATTTTGCATTTCAGTGAATACATATGCTGAATTTATAGTTAACTACTGACTCTGAATGTTTATATAACATATGTCTAGATAAGTGATACTTGTTGGATGTTTTGTAACTGCAACGTGTGCAATGATATAATTTACAAGACAAGGATTTAATAAAGTCAGGGTGTTCCCTAATTATATGTTATATATATATCACCCCAGGTCCCTCAAACAGTTTTTAGCCCAATGGAATTAACTATGCAGATTTTTTAATTGTTTTTAGTAAATACTCCAAAGTGAAATAAAAATTAAATAAAGAGTGTGTCCACCTAATGATTAATTTATCTTAATGGATGATGTTGTACCAATCTTACAAAATCAACATTACTTGCCAACAGCATGCAGTTTTTTATTTATAAACTCACAAAGGGTTACAAAGAAGAACAAAAAAATGTGAGTTTCAATTTTGAATTTCTGTGAAAAAAAGCTAAAAGCGTTCACGTTCTTAGAATTATTTTAAAAACTACTCTAGTTTATCCCGATTCTAAAGGTATGCCACAAGTCACAAAAAAGTTGATTAATGTTGATTTTGTAAGATTGGTACAACATCACCCATTAAGATAAATTAATCATTAGGTGGACATACTCTTTATTTTTTTTATGTCACTTTGTGTATGACATTTTGGAGTTTTTACTAAATAAAAATAAATCGCTCAACTATCACTTAAAAAATTGGACCTGTCCATATGTACAGAACCCGACACAATAATAATTATAATAATAATATATTCACATCAATTGCAAATTGTGAACAAATGTATATCCAGGGTGTCAGAAGTCCACGTCAAGCCGAAACCGGGTAATTGGCAAAGTCATAACAGCTATCAGAAAAATATTTAAAAAAAAATTTATGTATGTGTTTTGAAAATTATAGGTCTTTGAAAAAGCATAGTGCGCTGGGCAGCCATCATGCTGAAACCACATGTCCCTGTAAATACTCAGTGGCACGTCCACCAATAAATTTTGTACATGATTTTTCAAAAAATCCAAATAAACTTCAGCAGTCAAAGTCTCTGGGAACTCAAACGGACCGATTATTTTACCATTTAAAATTCCTGTCCAATGGTTTATCTTGAAGCTATATTGAGATTTATCTTCTCTCATCAAATGTGGGTTTGCTACGTGCCACTCGTGTAAGTTATGCAGGTTCATGTACCCATCTTTCTTAAATGTAATCTCATCCGACCATAAAATTTTTTCAAAGAACTGTGGATCTTTCCTGTGTCTTTCTGACATGCGCGACAGAAAGCAACTCGGGGCTCATAATCCCGGGGCAGGAGAGGTTGAACACGCTGTATGTGGTATGGATGAAGCACATCACTTACTTGCTATTGCACACTTTGATACCGATCAGTACTTCTTCGTTTACTGCGCATCTTTACATGTTCATGCTTGTTGATTTCGTACTGTTACTAATTTTGGATTCGTGAACTGGACTGTTGATCGCTTGTGATTTGGATTTGGACTGTTTAATTGCTCTTCAAAACAACATTTGCTTTCCTTAGACTATCTTTGATAGTGTGATTGTGCAGTGCCGCTATGTCCGTGTACACCGTACAAGAATATGCTAACATGCACCTCATTTATGGGAAATGCAGATGCAACGCTAGTGCTGCAGCGAGACTTTACTGTGAGAGGTACCCGAATGCAGCTCGTCATCCAGATCATCGAGTGTTCACAAATGTGCACCGCTTACTGTTCTCAGAGGGCCAACTACCAAACCAATCACACGGTGAGGGAAGATCTTTCCTTCCTTACGAAGACGTGGTGCTAGGAGCTGTCGAAGAAGACCCGAGTACTTCAGTGCGTGCAAAAGAACTAAAAACAGGTGTGCCCAAAAGTACAGCCCATAGAATCTTGCAAAGAAACGTGCTCCATCCATACTACGTACAGCGTGTTCAAGCTCTTCTGCCCCGGGATTATGAGCCCCGAGTTGCTTTTTGTGGCACAATGTTAGAAAGACACAGGGAAGATCCACGGTTCTTTGAAAACATTTTATGGTCAGATGAGACCACATTTAAGAAAGATGGGTACATGAACCTGCATAACTTACACGAGTGGCACGTAGCAAACCCACATTTGATGAGAGAAGATAAATCTCAATATCGCTTCAAGATAAACCATTGGACAGGAATTTTAAATGGTAAAATAATCGGTCCGTTTGAGTTCCCAGAGACTGACTGCTGAGGTTTATTTAGGTTTTTTGCAAAATCATTTAGAAAATTTATTGGAGGACGTGCCACTGAGTATTTACAGGGACATGTGGTTGCAGCATGATGGCTGCCCAGCGCACTATGCATTCTCAGTGAGAGAGAGTATCTCGATCAAAACTTTCCAGGCAGATGGATAGGGCGGTCTGGTACAATACCGTGGCCAGCCCGGTCACCAGATTTGAATCCGTTAGATTTTTTTTTTACTGGGGAACTGTAAAAGAAAAAGTGTATGTCAAGCCGATTCAAAATGTAGCTTTGCTACGGCAAAGACTATTGGAAGCAGCTGAGTTTGTTAATAACCGTGGATTCGCTCGTTTAATAACCCGATCTTTTTTAAGAAGTCGTCGAGCGTGTATTGCGGCTGAAGGAAAACAGTTTGAGCATTTGCTGTAAAGGTAAATCATCATCAGCAGCATTTTGACGCCCACTGTTGTGCAAACAGTTATCCTTAAGGGTCCTTGTGCGTTTTCATAATCGCTGTTTAATTAGGAAATTTTGGAAAATCAGTTTTTTTTCAAATAAAAATTGTGCATAACTTAACGAATAATCTTCTAAGTGTTATACCATTTTGGAATCGTTATTAAATGCGCCAACTTTTAAGGTTACTTGCCAAACTCTCGTAGTACATTTTTTTCCAGTACAGCCAGTTAAAGTTGAGCAAAGTTTTACTTTGGAATGCTTGGTTGGGAAATAAGTGGCAATTTTTCCTGAACGAGAAAAGTTGGCAGTAAGGTTGAGACACCAGTTTGAATTTGCATTATTCATCCTTACATTGTAAAAATAAAATCAAAAAAAAGTTAATATTTGTAGTAACAGGAGTTGACAGACTGCCGTAGGGTGTGAAATTTCTATATTTTTTTTTCAAAGACCTATAATTTTCAAAACACATACATACATTTTTTTTTAAATATTTTTCTGATAGCTGTTATGACTTTGCCTATCACCCGGTTTCGGCTTGACGTCGACTTCTGGGACACCTTGTATATTTCATCATAAAACGTTCTGGATTTCGACTAGCTGCAGCAAATTTAACTATACAATAGATTTAAAATAAATGAAACACAACATACCAAAATGAAATTAAAAGAATATTTAATGAATCTGTAATATCTCGCTTATGACGATGTAAAAGTTTCATTGTCCCTCTATAAATTTGTAAAAGTTGGGTTTAGAATATTTCAGCTATTGAAAATGCAAAGCTCAATTATATGGCTTTCAAGCAATTTCTCCAAGTTGTTTTCTTTACCTATGAGCTGTAACGCTAGTCGACTAGCTGCTCCGCAGGTACATATCACAATAAGCTGTTCGGCTGCGGCGACTCTTATCGCCGGGCACGGATTGATCAGCACCAGGTCAGTCACAAAGTATGGCCACCAATTGTCTTGGTATAGATGCTCCAAGCTGCTCGAATTCAGAATCACAGCCGTACTTAACAGTTCCAAGGCTTCCTGAAGAAAAAAAAAACTAATTAGTACAAATAATGTCATTTGTTTGTTCAAGATTTATTTAGTATTAATGCTGCAATTTCGTATAATTATTCGTTTACACATTTTTTTGAATCCATTTTCTATAATTTTACATTCTTGTCTATTAAAATTACCACTGTGCATTTTGAGTATTCATAAAATGATTTGTTAAGCATTTTTAAATTCGAACACTGTTTAATATCATCAATCAATTTGTTAGATTCAAATACTCTCTTTTGAAATACAGATATGCTAGCTTCATGCTACTACTACAATTTTGCAGATGAAAATCTATACTGCCTCTAGTTTCGTAGTTATGATAATGACTATTTAATTTTGTGAAGTTTTCTAAATTTAAATGATTTTTTAATTTGAATATGTAAAACTAGGGTGTTGTGGGTTCACTCTTTCATATACTATTTTATTGACGATAGCTTCTCTAATATACAGGGTGTTTCAGTTTATTGTTGCATAACTTTAAGATTCGATAGAACTTTTAAAATTAATGCATAAAGTCTATATAAACATGGGTCGAAAAATGCGTGGCTTCCGAAATACGGGGTGTTTAAATTTACTTTCTAAAATAGTTTTTTTTAAATATTTCGAACAATATTTGATGTACAACAGTGAAAATTGGTATACAAGGGGTTTTTGGTACGACAAAACGAACCATGGGCATAGTTTTACTGTAGCCGCTAGAGGGCGCTCTCTACTGTACCTGTAGTGTATTAAAATGACCGAACATTTTGTCTTAGTGCAATTTTTTGCTTTTTGAATAAAAAAACATTCTTCGCACTTTTCAACATAAAAAAGCTCTCTTGTGAATTTTCGTTATAGTTAGCCGTTCTTGAGATATTTCGATTTTTAAGGTTCGATGCATTTTTAACTATTTATGATAAAATAACGTTAAAAAGTCAGTATCTCGATAATTTTTAGAAGTAGGGTGTGCCTGCAAATATTTTTGAAATTGAAAGCAGAATAAGGTTAAACGTCAATTAGTTGACAGTTAGTTTTGTTGTCTGTTGAAACCTGAAACGTTTTTTTGCAATTGTGAATGCACGAAATTTAGTTTCTTTTACCTGTTTTTTTTGTAAGTTTTATAAAAATGCCATTTTTATTCTCCAATCAAGAGTTAGCGGATATTCATTTTATGTATGGCTTTGTAAATGGAAACGCAGCAGAAACAGCCAGAGAATACGCACGAACAGACGACATCCAACTCGCTCAGTATTTGTAAGAGTGCATCGCCAAATAATTGAAAATGGTTTTGGAAATCTCCAAAGGGATCAAAACATAAATGTTCGTCAGCGCAGATTTACCCGTATGATTCGGCGTGAGTTTGATAGAGATCCGACCACAAGTATTAGGAGAGTTTCTGGTGTCTTGGGAATTTCAGCAAGCCATGTTCACCGTGTTCTTAGAAATGACCATAGACGTCCTTACCATTTGCAACCTGTGCAACGACTACAGCCAGGGGACGGAGAACGTAGAATCACATTTTGTCAGTGGATTCTTGATAGAACTGATAATAATAGGGAGTTTTTAAGTAACGTTTTATGGACCGATGAGTCATGCTTCACTAGACGTGGAGTGGTAAATTTTCATAATCAACATATTTGGTCGCATGAAAATCCGCATGCAGTTCGGGAAAGAAATTTTCAGCATGAATTTAGTATGAACGTGTGGATTGGTCTCTACCGTAATCGACTATTTGGACCCTACCTTTTGCCTGCAAGGTTAAATGCTGCGACCTTCTTGGAATTTTTAAAGGCTGAACATGCAAATATGTGGGATGATGTTATGTTAGATTTAAGAAGATTGGCCTGGTTCCAGCTTGATGGTTGTGCAGCTCATTATTCGAGAATAGTTAGAAACTGGCTGGACGAAAATTATCCAGAAAGATGGATCGCCTGCTCTCCACGATCCCCTGACCTAAATCCATTAGATTTCTTTGTGTGGGGATTTCTAAAAGAAAAAGTGTACCAGACTCCCGTAACCACAAGAGATATGCTAATAGACAGAATCAGGAATGCATGTGATGAAATAAGGCCTTATTTAAATAATGCTATACCACGTTCGATCATTCGTAGATGTGAATTGTGCATTGAACAATTGGGTTTACATTTCGAGCAACTACTTTAGATTTTGTATGTTTGTCCTAAATATCCAATAGCATTTTAGTTGTAAATAATTAATTTAATTTGTTAAAAATAATTTCGGAAAATTAAACATATAATATTCTGTTTTTTGTATTTGGAGTTAGGAATTATTGGTGTGTTTAAAAACACAATCTAAACGATCATCTTAATTACTTGTAATGCCCAAATCGAAAATGTAAAAAAATATATTTTCCCATAAATAATTAAAAATGCATCGAACCTTAAAAATCGAAATATCTCAAAAACGGCTAACTATAACGAAAACTCACAAGAGAGCTTTTTTATGTTGAAAAGTGCGAAGAATCATTTTAATCATTCAAAAAGCAAAAAATTGCACTAAGAAAAAATTTTCGGTCATTTTAATACACTACAGGTACAGTAGAGAGCGCCCTCTAGCGGCTACAGTAAAACTATGCTCATGGTTCATTTTGTCGTACCAAAAAACCCATGTATACCAATTTTCACTGTTATACATCAAATATTGTTCGAAATATTTAAAAAAAACTATTTTAGAAAGTATTTCGGAAGCCACGCATTTTTCGACCCATGTTTATATAGACTTTATGCATTAATTTTAAACGTTATATCGAATCTTAAAGTTATGCAACAATAAACTGAAACACTCTGTATTTATCCATATCATCAATTCCAAGAAGTTGTCGGCATTATTGATAATCTCAGGTATAATGTGTTGTAAAAATGTTTCTCCTAACTTTGTGAAATCAAAGACTGTAATTTCTTTAGTTCTATTTTCAGAAATATATCCATGAGCGAACATTATTTTTTGCGCCAGCAAATTATTTAATTACGAAAAACTCACCTTGCACAGCATGACGTCCTCGCTGACCAACTCCCTGCCGCCTCCGTCCTCCTTCAGTCGATTCTTCGCTTCGGGGGCGGCCAGCGAATGCAACGTATCCGGCGACGCGTTGAGGGCGGCCAGATTATCGCTGCTCGCCGCCCAAACGAGCCTGACCAGCGCCAACGCGGTCGCCAAATCGGGCAGCTCCCAGTTCAGCGCTTGACTGAAGAGCGCGTGCGCGTTGTTGCCGCTTCCGGCCACCGCGCCGCCGCCTCCGGGTCGGTTGTTGGTCGGCGGCGGACACGTTTCGGACACCATCAATTGCGCCAGGCCGTGCGACAGCTTTATAGAGACCTGCCGCAGCAGCTGGAATGAGGAAATGTATATCAGTTTTCTTTTCAACATTAGCTTAGTACGGTTTCGTGTCAGAAGAGGATTAGTTTGTGTTCATCAAGTATTGTGACCAAGCCGCGTGGTCCACAAATTTCTTTCGATGTGAAAACTAAGATCATTGAGTTATAAAGGGTTGTCCAATAGGGACGCAGAAAAGTAAACGTCAATTTGACATAGACGCCATTTTTGTTTTCTGTCACCGACATGTCATTCTGTTAGTTGAATGTTTACCATTGATCGCTATGGAGTCGTATTCGATTGAAGACCGCATTAAAGTTATTCGAGAGCACTACAAAAATGGTGCAAAAATAAAAAACACGTTTCGCGCGCTTCGTGAACATTTCGGTCGCAACAACCGCCCAAACGAAACAACCATCGGTCGTCTGGTGCGTAAATTCGAGGCAACAGGTTCTGTGGCAAATCTGCCAGGCTCTGGCCGACCAAGGAGCGTTCGCACACCGGAAAACATTGCTGTTGTGAAGGAGAGTGTGAGAGACGATCCGAAACAATCAACAACGCGTCGATCCCAAGAATTGGACATTTCGAGAACCAGTTTGCTCCGTATTCTCCACAAGGATTTGAATGTACACGCCTACAAGATCCAATTGACGCAAGAGCTGCGACGGGCCGACCATTTTTCGCGCCGAACGTTCTCAGATTGGTTCCTTGAACACCGCCAAATTGATGCCAATTTTTCATCAAAAATCATGTTCAGCGACGAAGCGCATTTCACTTTGAATGGGACGGTAAACAAGCAAAACTGCCGCATCTGGGCGAACGAAAATCTCCGTGAGTATCAAGAGCAATCGATGCATCCTCAAAAAGTGACTGTGTGGTGTGCATTGTGGTCAAAAGGCATCATCGGACCTTACTTTTTCGAAAATGCGGCCGGGGACGCCGTTACCGTCAATTCTGAGCGATATCACGTGATGATAGAGGACTATTTTTTGCCGCAACTTGAAGGAATGGATATGGACGATGTTTATTTCCAACAAGACGGTGCAACATGCCACACAACCAACGTCAATATCCATCGATTGCAGTCCTTCTTCGGTGATCGCGTGAGTTCGCGCAGAGGAAATGTGCCATGGCCACCAAGATCGTGCGATTTGACTCCCTTGGACTTCTTTTTATGGGGATATTTGAAAAGCAAAGTCTACGTCAACAAACCAGCCACCCTCCAAGAACTCAAAAACAACATCATTGCCGAGATAAATGCCATAGAACCGACCATGTTGCAAAATGTCGTTGAAAATTTCGAGCATCGCATGGACGTCTGTAAATCCAGTCGTGGTGAACATTTGAGCGATATTATTTTTCATACATAAATGGTATAAATGAACCTTCAAAATAAAGTACCCAACTTGATTTGAATATCAATCTTTCTTGTTTTAATATGCGTTTACTTTCCTGCGTCCGTTTTGGACAAAGATGGTCAACGTCAAGTCGACCTTGCCAAAAATTTTAAGCTGAAGCGTAAAGCAGTTGGAGCAATATTGAACAAATATAAACAAAAAGGTATCTTGGAAGCCTCTAAGAGAAGTGGTCGGTAATGGAAAACGTAGTAAAACGGGCACATTTTGTTTTGGCCAACAAAGGTGGCCACTTGATAGATGTTTTGTTCAAAAACTAGTCCCAATAAATTGTAAAGGACTATATTTAATAAAAATACCCGATATAGAAATCGGTTTTTCGTTTTCAAAGTTATTTCATGTTTACATACCGACATAAAAGATGGCGCACCCTGTACATAATTGCCCAACAGACTAATCAATTACAGCGAAACATAATGGGAACTTTACTAGTGCGCATACAGGAACCACATAAAATGAATATTAAAAATTTTCTATGTAATAGGCAGACAAAATTAATGTCAGAACCGTCTGCTATGGAATTATAATTATTGCATAGCGGGGAATAAAATAATACGTTGATACGGGAGGCACTGCAGTTGAAAGTTAAGAGCCCTCGAATTTGGTGAATCCATTCCGTCGTGCAAAAGTTTATGGAGGAATGCCAGGCCTGCAATGGAACATCTTTTTGTTTACATACTCCGTTCATGTTGTTGTTGATCCCGCAGATGTTCGTGAAATATACTAAGTAACATATAAATCCGAACACCCAGTTTAAATGGTTTTATTTTAATAAAATTTTGCATAAGTACTTAATGAAGCATAATAGGAAAAATGATAAAAATTTCAAAATGATTGCACTGCTTTAAAGCCTTTTGACCTTTAATAATGTGTGGATGCACCCTGATGTGCTACGCATTCTCCAACGCTCCTAGGCATGCTTCTGATCAGGTGGTCAATGTCCTCCTGTGGTATCTCATTCCAGGCAACCACCAACTCCTCTCGAAGTGCTTCTAGAGTCTGAGGAGGACGTTGCAAATTGAGCAATCTCCTACCCATCATATCCCACACGTGCTCAATTGGGGATAAGTTGGGAGATCTTGGTGGCCATGGTAACAATGTGACATCATTATGTTGAAAGAAGTCTATTGTGACTCTTGCAACATGTGGTCGGGCATTATCTTGTTGGAAAGTTGGATCTGCCAGGGTGTCAAGATAGGGTAAAAGATGGGGTTCTAGAACTTCGTGGATATAACGCTGCGCGTTCATGTTACCTCTGATGAAGATTAAAGGTGACCTGGAACCATAAGCTATAGCACCCCAAACCATAACTCCAACAGTGTGATGAACATGTCTTTCAACAAAAAACTGTGGATTCCTCCTTTCACCACGTCGCCTTCTAACCCTGGCACGACCATCGTGCATGCCTAAACAAAATCGAGACTCGTAACTAAAGACAATACTGTTCCATTCCTGATCCCAGAGTGACCGTTGTCTGCACCACTCAAGGCGACTACGTCGGTGTTCTCGAGTTAAAGGGAGGACCCAGTGTGGCCGGTATGAAAACAAGCCCTAAACTTCTCATTCGTCGGTAAACACTTTGCATGCCAATAGGTCTTCCGTGTTCTGCAAACCATTCATTTGCAATGGACCTGGTAGTGGAGAAACGGTCCCTTAAGGTCAATAATCTTAGGCGGCGATCTTCACGGTCTGTTGTTCTACGGCGGCGTCCAGTGCCCCTTGCTCTTTGCGAACGGCCTTCTCGAAGCCATGCCTGACAACACCTAACCACAGTGTCTACACTTCTTTGCACTCTAACTGCAATTGCCCGAAAAGAAAGTCCAGCTTCCCGAAGTCCCACTATACGGCCCCTATAAAACTCACTAAGTTGACGAAATCGTACAGGTCTCCGTACTCTAGGCATCGTAACCGATCGTAAAGGATGTCAAGAACTAAAATCCGCCAACGTTGATTCTTTACTGCGGCTGAAATATTCATTTTTAGAGCGTTAGTGAATTAAAAAAAAAGCAGTATAAAAACCGGAATGTCCAACTGATAAGGCTGAAAATTTGTTCACTTGTTATTTACAGTAAGATAAATACATTCACCAACTTTTATTAAAATAAAACCATTTAAACTGGGTGTTCGGATTTATATGTCACTTAGTATAGATTTTATCAACGATATTGTTCCCTTGAGTCCACCCTCCACCCGGACATTCCGAGAGTGGAGTGACTTTACGTCCGGAATTCTTAATAATCAAGGGATCCATCATCATTAATTTCTTTGTTCGGTAAAACCGACCGCGTAGCCTAGGTGTGGGAACATGCGGACATTTACAAGTTACCCTGGGAAAAGCTAGCGGGTGGTACCGCCTCGGTCGACTAGTCCTTGTCTACCGCCTTCTTTTTGCCTGTTAATGATGTTAATTATGCATAAAGTGGCCCGTTGGCGGACCTGTACCGCCACCCGGCAATCGGCACTCAACGCGTGCACAATCACTTGAACGGGAAGAAGTTGTATACTGGATACAACAACTTCCAGAACAAGCATTTTTCACGGCCTTGCTCAGTATGGGTTAAGATGTTCGTGAACCAAATTTTATCTTCGATGCTGTTTCCTCGAGGACACGGACATCTTAATTGTATAGAGTCTAGAAACCCCCTTTCTGGACATGCGCCATCAATTTAAGTACAATATTCAAGAAATTTTCTCCACGCCTCAAACTCAGTTCGTACATTTCGTATCCGTTGTCAATTTGACATTAGAAACCTTTAGTTTCGATTGGTCTTTCGCAAACGATACATATTTTCTAGCGACCACAATTATTTTTTACTTATATCTTATATAAAGTACACTCACATGATCTGAATGACCAGGTACGTTTCTTAGCGCCTGCCTGAGGTACATTCCAGGCGTCGTCGTGTTCTCGTGTACTCCTGTACCAGAATCGTTTTCGGTAGGCTGGGGCGTGTGGTCCTCGCTTAACCTGACTAGGACGTGTGCCACCGACGTTAATATAAGCTTGCAAATCTTCAGTACCTGAAAAAAATGCACCTTTGTTTACCCTAATTCATTTGTAGATATTTCCTCTTCTAAAAATAACACTGGACAACAAATTTTAGTTTTTTAATTGTATCTTGTGGGAAAAGTGCACTTCTTTGTTAATTTTGGGGCGCTGAATCCAAAAATGACAATGAAATAAAAAAATTAGTTGCGGTTTAGAAAAAAAAACTTTTTATTTTTAAGGATATATTAAAAAAAGTAACAAGATAAGAATCACTATATGCGCTGTCTTTTTGCTGTTCTTTTATGGATCGTTTCTGGAGCATCTCCACCAAGAGTCCAACAGTAGTCTGCAAGCATGGAAGGATTCCACTTTCCCTTTTTTCCATTGTTGAAATATCCTGATGAAAACGTTCACCGTGCTCATCACTTACGGCTCCGCAATTGCCAGGAAAAAAGTCCAGGTGTGAGTGTAGGAAATGTATCTTAAGAGACATATTACAGCCCATCTTTTGATACGATGACAGCATATTTTTGACAAGGGTTTTATAGTTGTCAGCTTTTCTATTTCCCAAGAAATTAGTGACCACCAGACGGAAATCATTCCAAGCAGTTTTTTCAATACCTGTTAAAGTGTTTTCAAACTGTGTATCTTTCAAAATATTTCGAATCTGTGGCCCAACAAAAATACCTTCTTTAACCTTTACCTCACTTAGTCTTTGAAATTTCTGACGCAGGTATTGAAAAGCTGACCCATCTCTATCTAATGCCTTGACAAAGTTTTTCATTAGGCCCAACTTGATATGCAGTGGTGGTAATAAAAATTTTTTCGAATCTACTAATGGCATATGCTGTACATTTTTTTGACCTGGCTCTAGGAATTGACGAACAGGCCAGTTTTGTCTGGTGTAATGAAGTGCCTTTGCCCGACTGTCCCATTCACACAAAATACAGCAAAACTTTGTGTAGCCTAGCTGCAGCCCAAGTAAAAGTGCAACAACTTTCAAATCGCCACAAATATGCCATTGGTGCTCATCGTATTTTATGCATGTCAATAGGTACTTCATATTGTCATATGATTCTTTCATGTGAACTGCATACCCTACAGGAAGAGATGGTAAAATATTTCCAATATGCAATAACACTGCCTTTAAACTCAATGTTGAACTGTCTATAAACAATCTCCATTCTTCTGGGTTATAGTTTATATTTAAAGCCGCCAGTAAGCCGCTAATGTTACTGCAGAAAACCAAGTTATTCTCCATATTGAAAATGGATCTAAGTCTTTGTGGCGTTTACGAAAAACACATACCGAAACATCGTCTTCTAACAAGTTCCACTGCTGCAGTCTTGATCCAAGTAACTCTGCCTTACATTTTGGAAATTGTAAATCTCTTACAAGATCATTTAATTCTGACTGTGTTATTTTGTGCTGTTGGTGGCATGACGTGCTCGGTATAAAATCAGGATCTCTTGACGTTGATGGCATATCTTCTTCCTGACGAATCACTCGATCGCCATGATCTGATTCGTTTTCTGATTCGCAAGTGTAGGATTCTGGGAGTTTTGGAATAGGATTTTCGTCACTGTGAGGCACAGGTCTCATCGCAGATGGTATGTTTGGGTAGTTAATAACCGATTTTTTTTTCTTGGACATACCTGTGGCTTGTCCAACACAAGGTACCATGCAAAAGTAACAATCATTAATATGATTTGTATGCTCTCTCCAAACCATTGGGACAGCAAAGCGCATAAACCGTTTTTTGCCATTTAACCAGCTCCTCAGACTTGAAGCACATGTATTACAGCAGATGTGGGGTGCCCACTGTTTGTCTTGATCACCTAGTTTATAACCGAAATAAAGCTGATATGCCTTTGTTATTAGTGGAGTAATAGACCGTCTCTGAGACGCAAAAGTCACATCACCACACACGTAACAAAACTGATCTGGATTGTTTACACACTTTCGAGACATCTTGCATGAACGCTGTCAGCCAACTGAGGAAAAAATGGCTAATATAAAACAATATAATGTACACGTATGTATAACGTAACACAATCATGCCGATTACATCATCTTTCCTTGCCGAATATAAAAATGTAGCACGTGCATTCTTGTGAATTATAGTATATTAACACTTTCACAGCAGGAACACATATAATTACCGTATCTCTAAAACTTGAACTAATATTGAAAAAATAAGTTTCATTCTGGTTTTAGCACATTAAAAATAGTGATATTTTGTTGATTTTATTTAGGATATTTTTTGGCTGTTGATCAGTGAATTAACAAACAATTAAATTAGAGGTACGGGTACGAATTTCATTTGGCTCCGATATCTTCTGCTGGAAAATGTTAATTGTATATGTTATTTCGAATAAATTAAACCAACGATTTAGTATGTCTCATAAGTCGACGTCTATTCATAATAGTTATCAGAAAAATATAAAGTCGAAAAGTACACGACTTTTTTATATTCTTCTGATAACCATTATGACTTGGTCTGAATTGACGTCGACTTATTGGACATACTGTAATTAGCACTAAGATTGTTCCTTACCACAAGATAGGCGGCCCGTTTGGTAACATTATCCGCTGACGACATGAAATTGTTTTTGGTGAGCATCTCTAAGAAAACGTGCGCCTGTCCGCTGGTCATGAAAATGTACTGAAAGTCGTACGTCTTCTCGCTGAGCGTGTCCATCGCAGGCATCAAATTCGCGTATATCACCTCTAGATTGTATAACACCTAAAACGTTAAAAAAAATTACGCAAACAATCGACAACGTCTAGATATTTCTTCTTCAACGTATTCTTCATACAACATATCATTCGGGTATATATGATGATAGAAAATTAAAATTTGAAGGGAACTAGCAATATATACTAAGTGACATATAAATCTGAACACCCAGTTTAAATGATTTTATTTTAATAAAATTTTGTATAAGTACTTAATGAAGCATAGTAAGTAAATGATAAAAATTTCAAAATAATTGCACTGCTTTAAAGCCCTTTGACCTTTAATAATGTATGGATGCACCCTGATGTGCTACGCATTCTCCAACGCGCCTAGGCATGCTTCTGATCAGGTGGTCAATGTCCTCCTGTGGTATCTCACTCCAGGCAACCACCAACTCCTCTCGAAGTGCTTCTAGAGTCTGAGGAGGACGTTGCAAATTGAGCAATCTCCTACCCATCATATCCCACACGTGCTCAATTGGGGATAAGTCGGGAGATCTTGGTGGCCATGGTAACAATTTGATATCATTATGTTGAAAGAAGTCTATTGTGACTCTTGCAACATGTGGTCGGGCATTATCTTGTTGGAAAGTTGGATCTGCCAGGGTGTCAAGATAGGGTAAAAGATGGGGTTCTAGAACTTCGTGGATATAACGCTGCGCGTTCATGTTACCTCTGATGAAGATTAAAGGTGACCTGGAACTATAAGCTAAAGCACCCCAAACCATAACTCCAACAGTGTGATGAACATGTCTTTCAACAAAAAACTGTGGATTCCTCCTTTCACCACGTCGCCTTCTAACCCTGGCACGACCATCGTGCATGCCTAAACAAAATCGAGACTCGTCACTAAAGACAATACTGTTCCATTCCTGATCCCAGAGTGACCGTTATCTGCACCACTCAAGGCGATACGTCGGTGTTCTCGAGTTAAAGGGAGGACCCAGTGTGGCCGGTATGAAAACAAGCCAAAACTTCTCATTCGTCGCTAAACACTTCGCATACCTATAGGTCTTCCGTGTTCTGCAAACCATTCATTTGCAATGGACCTGGTGGTGGAGAAACGGTCCGTTAAGGCCAATAATCTTAGGCGGCGATCTTCACGGTCTGTTGTTCTACGGCGGCGTCCAGTGCCCCTTGCTCTTTGCGTACGGCCTTCTCGAAGCCATGCCTGACAACACCTAACCACAGTGTCTACACTTCTTTGCACTCTAACTGCAATTGCCCGAAAAGAAAGTCCCACTATACGGCCCCTATCAAACTCACTAAGTTGACGAAATCGTACAGGTCTCCGTACTCTAGGCATCGTAACCGATCGTAAAGGATGTCAAGAACCAAAATCCGCCAACGTTGATTCTTTACTGCGGCTGAAATATTCATTTTTAGAGCGTTAGTGAATTAAAAAAAAGCAGTATAAAAACCGGAATGTCCAACTGATAAGGCTAAAAATTTTTTCACTTGTTATTTACAGTAAGATAAATACATTCACCAACTTTTATTAAAATAAAACCATTTAAACTGGGTGTTCGGATTTATATATATGTATATATACTGTGTAACATTGATATTGTGCATTAACGATAACAAATCTACAACAAATACGCACCTCGGCCGGATTGGCGCTGAAAAACATCGTATCCATGGTAACGTTGTTCTGTTCGGCAGGCGACGTAAATAATACTCTCAACTTTTCCATGGTCATCAGATCGCAGGGCATCAATTGGAGCAACGCATGACCGGCGTCCCTCAATAAAGGGAACTGCAGAGCACTACCTACCTGTTGAACACAACGCACATTTTTTTATGACATTCAAATGCTCGCTTGATTGTACAAATTTAAATGATGATTCGATACACAAAACAAATACCGTCAACGTTTCTTTTTGATCACAAATTAGATTCTACTAATCATGTAGATACATTGCTTACTCAACTAGCAAAGATTTTGTTTATTGTAAGAACAATCAGTCACAACATACGGAAAACACAGCATCAAGCAGTAACTTTGCTTTATTTGAAAGTAGATTGAGATATAGCGTTCCCTTCTGGGGTGTCTGTTATCAAAATTGTTCAAAATTGCCCGCCAGTTCAAAATTGTTTAAAAAAGTGCTTATTCTACAAATACGAATTACAGCAGACGCTCGATAACGTAAACACGGGATAATGAAAACTTGCGCTAATGTAAACACAAACTTCGTTCTATAGGATCAAACGAACGCGCGATAACGTAAACAATGTGTACGCTCGATAACGTAAACAACTCTCGGCGCACGGAAACAGCGCGACGGTAAAATGCTGAAGCCTCGATGATTTATGTCGGGCGTCGGGGAGTCCCCGATTTATGATGTAGAGTGTAGGGGATTCACCTCTGCGATAAAATACGACAAACTCGGTCAGTCGTATGATCGTTTAGGATACGTTTATACGTACGTATGTATTTCATTTTTGAACTTAAGTGAATACATTGCACGCGTTAATCTATTTTACGACTATGGCATCCACATCCTATAAAAGAAAGTGTTTAAAGTTGAGTGAGAAAGTGAAAATCATAGACGAAGTTGCACTAGGTGCGGGAGTGACACAGTTAGCAAAAAATATGGAGTATCGAAAGCAACAATCTGTAGAATTAAGCGTATGAAAACTCAAATTTTACAAAGAACGTGCAATACATTTGGAGGTCCGGGAAAAAGAAAAACTTAAAAAAATGCGAAGGCACCTAAAATGGAAAACTCCCTGTATAAGTGGTTTTTAAAACAACGGGAAAATCATGTCCCAGTTAGTGGCGAAGTACTTAAACAGAGAGCGAGACTGTTAAATGAAAAACTGAAAGAAATTGAAAATTTCGTAGCTAGTGATGGCTGGCCACAACGATTCAAAACAAGATATGGAATTCGACTGCTGTCTATATCTGGTGAAAAATTATCAGCACAACCACAATTAGTGCAACCATTCAAAGAAAAATTGATGAAAACAATTACCGAGCTAGATTTAAGAATGGAACAAATTTACAACGCAGATGAAAGTGGCCTTTATTGGAAAATGTTACCAGAGAAAACCTATGCTGCATCATTTGAAAAATCTGCCCCGGGAAGAAAGCCGGAGAAACAACGAATAACGTTTCTAGCCTGCACTAATGCTAATGGTTCACACAAAATAAAGCCACTGGTAATTGGGAAAGCAAAAAATCGGAGCTCATTTAAAAATGTTAATATCCCTGTTGATTATGACTGTTCAAAAACCGCTTGGATGACTGGCAGTATATTCCTAAAATGGTTCCACAGGTGCTTTGTCCCTCAGGTATGACAATCAATTATCACAAATGCTCTATTCATAATTTGAAGTTTTCAATGTGTAGGTAAAAGGTTTCCTAAAACAACAGAAGCTTCCAATAAAAGCGTTGTTACTATTGGATAATGCACCAAGTCATCCTCCGGAGCAACAACTGAGGAGCAGGGATGGCTCAATTTTCGTCATGTACATGCCACCCAACGTAACACCGTTAATTCAACCGATGGACCAGAATATAATAAGACTCACCAAACTATACTATAGGAAGTTTCTACTTTCGTCTGTCTTATCAAAGAATCCTGAAAACTTATGAGGCTTTAAAAAAGTAACATTACGAGAAGCTGTTTTAGATTTACATATGGCCTGGAATGAACTTAACCAGCAAGCTATTCAAAAATGTTGGAACAATCTCTTTTGTACCAATAATGAAGATGATGAAGAAGACGATGTCCCCTTAAGCGTAATTAGAGAACGTTTTCGATCCAATAATGATAATGTTATTAGTGTGTCATTGGATGTTGTTGATTTATTGAAAACAGTGAATCCCAACATTGTTTGTACTCCTGCTGATATTAATTTATGGAACGAAGATAAGCAGACGAATGATGCTGATAAGGAGGAGGATATGGACAGTGAGGATGATGAGAACGATCCCATTGAAGTCAGAAGTGTAGTGACTGACGCGCAAGCTATACAAGTTTTTAACCAAGCTTTAGATTGGGCTGAAAGAAAAGAAGTTTCATACACGGATATTTTAGTTCTTCGTAAATTACGGGCGCAGGCATTGGAAGACAATGCTAAGCGCAAATTTACGCAGACAAAAATTGTTATTTATTTTTCTTCTAATTAAAAAAATACTTATATATATTAAAAATCGTTATTTTGAATATTAAGCAGTAATACTGCATGCCTGTATTGTGGGCGACTTTCACGGTCACTAGGCTGACGAATACCCAGTTCTTGAAAACGATGTCTGGTAGACGTCACAGGGCGCCCCAATACACTTTCACGAACTCTCTCGATATTTTCCGGACTACGAACAGTTCGAACACGGCCCGACCTTGGCAAGACTTTAACTTCACCTGTTTGTTCAAATTTCCGCGCCAACTGACGAACGGTGTTGACACTGGGCACATTATTTCGACCGAAATCTTGCCGTAGCTTCCGAATCGTTGCAACAATCGATTCATTATTCAAGTAGAACGTGCTATAACTTACCGCCATTAATTGACAAAAAAACTGAGCGTAAACCGGCTGCCGTGCCATCAGGACGCCGGGCAGCAAGTTTTCCGCTTCGACGTTCGGCCCGTCGTACGGATGCTGAGGCGAAGACGTCGAGCTGTCCGAACTGCTGTCCTGCGACGAGGCCATGTTCGAGTTGACCTGGATCACCTTCGCCGATATCAACTGGAATAAAAGAAAATCGCGTTTGTTTAGCTCATTGACTCCCAAAGTGGTCTATATCGACCGCTAGGGGTTTATGACAACCTGCAAGGGGTCTACGTCAGCGAAAAATTTGGGGGTCAATGAAATGAATATGGGGGTCCACGATAGTACCTATTTACTTACATCATACTATCTTATAATATCAAAACATATACATTATTTATAAAAGTACCTATGAAGTAAAAAAATTATTAACGTATATATGTTTATAAAATTGTGTAAGTTGTAGGATGTTGGTATTCGCTTTGTGGTCGCAATACATTTTGAACTTGTAAAAACCTGAGAGTCGCAGTCTCAGAGCTGCGCTAGCTTGCACTGACTTGTTCAATTCGTCACTCTATAAATACGAATGTGGGACAAATACGTTTATTCGTTTCCTGAATCTTGAAAAGGAAAGTGCTAAGAAAATATTTAAAAAAATATAAACAGATAGTATATCACACAAATTATAGTGAGTCAGTGTCATTTTGTTTGAGTGTGCTGGAGAAAAGTAAGTACATTATTTTTTATTAAATTTTAGTTTTGTTTTCGTAGTTAGCAAAGATAGATAAATTACGCCAATCATGACTTTAGTTATTAGTAGTTAAATATTCAATCATGCAAAATTACACGAGTACTCCTCAATAGTTTCTTTTTGAAAGTTTTAGCAATCGGTAATATAATTACAGTGCAATCTCCGTAATTCGAGCTAATTGTTGCAAGAAGATGTTCGAATTATGGAATGTTTTCGGAAAAATCAAAAAATATTTTTAATATACAGCTGCTGGATTTTCTGTCTTATTTAAATAATTTAATTTTGCCCACAGATGACTGATGCCATGTCCGAATCTAAAAAGAAATGTAGACAGTACAGTGTTGATTATTTGAAATTTGGCTTCATTCCATCATTGCCGGACAATCAATCGCCTATGTGCCTTTTATGCAACAAAGTTTTGGGCAATGACGCTATGAAACCATCTAAACTGCAAGATCATCTGAGAAGATGCCACCCTGATAAAACAAAGAAAGATTTGAAATACTTTCAAACACTCAAACATAAATTTCAAAAGAGACCTACACCGGACAGAATGTTCGCTTCGACGTCACAAAGAAATGCGGGCGTCTTACAATATCTCGTTACTTATAGCAAAATCCGGAAAACCGCATACTATCGGAGAGAAGTTAATTTTGCTAGCCGTTGAAGAGGTTTTAAAAACTGTTTTACACAAACCTGCATCTGATATCATTAAAGGAATTCCCTTAAGCAACAATACTGTTGAAAGACGTATTGATGAAATGAGTTCTGATATTGAAAGCTTCTTATGTAATTATTTGCAAACGACCCATTTCTCTATACAACTGGACGAGTCAACTTTACCTGATAATGCAGCATTATTATTGGCATATGTTCGTTTTATTATGAATCAAGAAATCTACGAAGAACTGCTCTTCGCAAGAACTTTGATAACCGACACTAAAGGTGAATCAATATTTCATGTTTTTTGAAGGGTTACTTCATTGAAAAAGCAATTCCTTTATCAAATATAATATCAGTAGCTACAGATGGAGCACCTGCCATGGTTGGACGTTATCGTGGATTTATAAGCTATTTAAAACAAAATGTGTCAGGGGTGTTAGCAATACATTGCGTCATCAATCGACAACATTTAGTTGCTAAAAATTTGAGTGTTAGATTGTATGAATCACTTCATTTAGTCATTGATGCAGTAAACCGAATCAGAAGCAACGCGTTGAATACGCGGTTATTTGCGCAGTTGTGTGAAGAAAATGACGAACACTTTCATCAATTACTCCTTCACACTGAAGTACGCTGGCTGTCGAAAGGCTTATGTTTGACAAGAATTTTTGCACTTTTTGAGGCTATTTTAGAATTTCTGGATACTAAAGATAACATTTTAAAAGAAAATTTAATGAAGAGGAAAACAGACATCGCCTATTTAACAGATTTGTTTACAAAATTTAATATGGTTAATTTGCAATTACAAGACGACAGTTTAAATTTGATTAAAACAAAGTCCATCTTATCAGCGTTTCTTGCCAGAGTTAAACTAATGAAGCAAAATATTGGACGGGGCGAATTTTCTCAGTTCCCCAATTTGTCACAGTCAAGCTGCCAGGAAGACGACGTTTCAACTTACGTTCAACATTTAAATGCCCTCTATTCAGATTTTGAATCTAGGTTTGAGGATATTTTGACTATGGTAATACCACCGTGGATAATTAATCCATATGGTGACATAGAAGAAACGAATGTCATAATACAAGAGGAACTGACTGAACTAAGTACAAACGAAGAACTTAAGGTTCAGTTTAAAAACGGATATCAGCAATTCTGGCTGCAAAACAACATACCCGTTACTTATCCCGTATTATGGAATATAGCGAGGAAATTTTTAATTTCCTTTCCATCGTCATACCTAGTGGAAAGGGGGTCAGCGCTGTTACAACTCTCCTAATGAAAAAAAGAAACAGACTGGACATCATTAGCCACGGAGATTTAAGATTAACCCTTACAAAATTGACGCCAAATGTTGATAATTTATTATTAAAGCATCAGGTTCATCCTTCTCACTAAAAATATTGACTTATTGCTTATGTTATTTTATTTATAGTTTATTTTATGTTTATTGGTGTCTGACCAATAAATGCCCGCATTGGGAATAAGTGCCCGTATTGATTTTTTTAAAGAACCCCCCTTTATAGAAAATATTTTTTTTTAAATTATTCTGAAAATTCAACGATAGGTACACACTAAAATTCGTTAATTTTTTGCCTATTTTTAGATAACTTAAACGTATAAGAAGCGGAATTTAATCAAACTAACAGTGAAATTATTGTAGAACATACGTTTATGTTATAATTAATAAACGAACTCGCTTATTGTACTATTTTAAGTAAAAAACTTTTTTTTTATTATTTTCACTTTTTCTTATTTTATCCCTCTTATTTTTTTTTTCAATGCGGGCACTTATTCCCAATGCGGGCATTTATTGGTCAGACACCTGTTTATTTAATGATACGTATATTTTACATAACAGACACAAAATTTTATTTTGAGTAGTTTTAATTTAAATTCAATTAACAAATGTATAAATTAACATGTGTTTTTACTTTAAGTTTTTAACACTAAACTTCTCTACAGTTAGAAATTTACAGGAAATCAATATCAGGTAAGTAGGGGGTCTATCCAACACGGAAAAACATGGCAAGGGGTCTACGACACAAAAAAGTTTGGGGAACTTCGAGGCACCGTACTCACTAAAAATCGACTTCAACCACTTCAGTTGCGATCTCACCGAAAGCAGTCGCTGAGCAACCGGCTGCCTCGTTTTCGGATTGCGGAAAAAGGCACAAAGTTGGTGCTTGTTACGAGGGTTGTCTCAAAAATAAGGTTACCACAAGGATTTTATTATTTGAAAAAACGAATTCACCATTGGAAACGCTGTCAAGGCTGTAAGGGGGATCGGCAAAGACTTCCCAGCCAAATCGCTCGATCAAGTCCTTCGTTTGTTGTGAGACATGAGGATTCATCTTACCATGTGTTCTCGTATACACTTTATAAAATCAAATTTTAGCACCAATCTCGCCGACGCAGTAAGTAAAAAAAGTTTTAATCAATTGAGAATGGTTGCTATTTGTTTGTTTGTTTAAGATTTATTTAACATGATTGCTACAATTACATTCCTTTAAAAAAACTAAATAATTACGTGACATACAGATATTTAGAAAAAACAAAATTTGCATCTCTAAGAATTTTCACTGTCCATGAAATAATATTTATTTATTTTTTCATTAAATTTGTTCGTAGCTCCTGATGATGACAGCATGGACTGTCGAAAGCTTGAGTTGTAAGTCAAAAGAGCACAATTTATCGATTTCCCTAAAAGGTTTGGACGTAAAATACGTATAAAATAACTTTATTTTACAATAACTGTTCGGGTATTTCAATATGGGCTCCTTCAAAGTACTCCCCCTGAGACAAGATGCACTTCTGTCAACGGCGTTTCTACTGTGGATGCGATCGCTGAAAGTCTTCAATTGTGAGGCTTGTCATTTGCCGTGTCGTTTCTGCCTCGATGGCTTCCACATCCTCCATGCGCCGCCCGCGAAGTACCATTTTGCATTTTGAGAACAGGAAGAAGTCGCCAGGGACTAAATCGTGTGAACGAGTCGGGTGTTATGTCACAGTGATTGAGCTTCGGGTAAAAAACTCACGCACGAGAGACGTGTGAGCGGGAGAGGTGTCGTGATGAAGAATCCACCTGCCTCCTTGTGCCAAATCCGGTCGAACTCAGGCTACACGAGCTCTGAGGCGACGCCAGACTTCAATGTAGAAATTTCCGTTTACTGTCTGACCGAGAGGGACAAGCTCGTGGTCAACAATGCCCCGAGAATCAAAGAAAACAATCAACATTGTTTTCACATTGGACCTTGATTTCGTAGAACCAAGACTCGTCTTTAGTGATGACCCGGTTGAGAAAGTCCTCCCTTTCCTCTGCTTTCAACCAATCGTCACAGCAAGCAACCCTCCTTCTTGCTTTCTGTTCCGGAGTCAAGAGCTTCGTAATTATTATTATTATTATGATAATTGAGATGAGCAGAGTACACAGTACTATAAGCTCATGGAGTAAATATAGTGTACGGACACGTAACACAAATACATCAAATAGAAAAAATAAAAAAAGACAGTTCATAGCTATAAAGTTTGTACACTCCTCCAGCTATCATACTGCACTTTGAAGCTATTAACTGAAGTAGCACCAACCACACTTTCAGGTAAACTATTCCAAGTGTTGAATATGCGGTTGGGAAGAAACCACTGTCGGACTGTTGTTTTAAATGGCTCCTTATGCAGTTTGAAGCTGTGTCCGCGTAGATTGCTGCGCGACCGACGGTATAGATGCATGAGGTTGGTGCCCATCAAACCATGAAGTATCCTGAACGTAACTATAAGATCGCCACGAAGTCTTCGCTCAGAGAATGAGGTCAGGTTGAATAATTCAACGCGATCTTCATAGCTTGGTCTTCGTGCTCCAAAAGGGATACGAGTAGCCCGACGCTGTACTGATTCGACGAGATTTCTATCGCGCAGAAGCACAGTGTCCCATACCGGGCCAGCGAATTCAAGAATTGGCCTCACGAATGCCTTGTAAATGTAGGCGCAACTGTTGACATCGGATCCTTTGAAAGACCTCTCCAGCATGTATAGAAGTTTCTTGGCTTTTGATGTAACGTGGTGAATATGCTCTGACCAGGAAAGACGATCGTTGACTACAACGCCCAGATCAGTGTGGCTGGAAACTGCTTCGATGTTGTGCTCAGAGATCTTGTATGTAAATCGCGGATTTGTCTTCCCGAGGTGAAGGACACAACACTTAGTTAGATTTAAGGGTAAAAGCCAACTGACTGACCATTGACAAACAATATCAAGATCTCGTTGAAGCATAGCAGAATTTACGACAGTATTGTAAATCTTGGTGTCGTCGGCATAAGCTGGACATGTGGAGGAAATCAATGCGGGCAGGTCACTTGTATACAGAAGGAACAGCACTGGCCCCAAGACAGAGCCTTGAGGAACTCCACTTGATACATGATGAAGGTGAGACTGGCTATCACTGACGCGCACAGAGAAAGTCCTCCCGGTGAGAAAAGCCTTAATCCACAGTAACAACTCGCCTCTTATTCCCATACATTCCAACTTAAACAGAAGCGATCGAAAGCCCTAGAAAAATCTAAGTAGATTATATCAACAGGAGTCTTTGTGTCCAGATACTGAGTCCAATCGTTGAGAGAGTGGAGAAGGTTGGTCATTATTGATCGACCAGGGAGAAATCCATGCTGATTCTTAGGGATAAGGTCATTTTCGAAAGCAAATGACAGGAGCTTATCTAATATGATTCTTTCAGCTATTTTGGCGGCGATAGGAACGAGACTTATTGGTCGATAATTTTTAGCGGATGATTTGTCGCCCTTTTTGAATACAGGGGTAACAGAAGCACTAAGCCAGCATGAGGGTAGGGTATGAGATCTAAAAGACGATGTGAATATCAAGCATAATGGTAGGGCCAGTGCTGAAGCGCAGTTTTTAAGTACAGCAGCCGTCATCCCATCTCTACCAGGGGAGGAAGAGGACTTCAGATTTCGCAGGTGCATTAATACATCTTCAGGCAGGAACTCAACTTCGCAAAGGCTGTTGGGACACCTATGGCAGATAGTGGTCGGTAGAAGGTCTCCATTAGGCTCATCGACGAAGTCATCACTAAAGGACTCTGCCAGTAAGTTGGCAGATTCGGTGGCATCCATGTGGAGATGACCGTCAGCGTCGCGGATCTGAGGTGATGAAACTTTGGAATTCAGGTTTGTTCTTAGATACCGAAACAGCTTCTTCTTATTTTTGGAGGTAACGAGTTTTCGTTCATAAGCATGTTTGGCATTATGTAACGTTCTAGATAGGAGGTTAGAAAAGGATCGATGAGACACGTAATCTTGTGAATGGCCACTCCTCCTAAACCGTTGCCACAAAGACGAAGCATCCTCTATATGTTAGAGTTGATCCAGGGCTTTGAGGGGTCACAGTATACATTCTTTTCAACAGTATTGTCAGCCGTTTCGCTTAGGAATCGTTGAGCGAAAGTGTCCCACATATCTTGGATTGGTTAGTTGACGGTTGGTTACTCTAGAGAATTGTTTCCGTAAATTTGATCCAAACACTCAAAAATCTCACGACCGTTCTTGCCTAGCTTTGCAAGAAACTTGATGTTGATCAGGCAAAAAAAAGGTTACTTTAAACAAGCACTCAGACATCCTACTTACTCGCAGAGCGCTCCGGCTCGAACTGAGCATAGTGAGAGGGAACCACACGACGCCCCGAATTTTTTATACGTATTTATAACTATGATAAAGGCATAATATCTTACACGTACCATTTTATCCCTGATGGGTATCTGCGAAAGCAACTTCCGATCATCTGCCGGATCGAGCGGTTCGCCATTGATGAACAGCTCCAATTTGCAGTGGTTACCCGATTTGATCCGTCTCGAAATGTATTTCCTCAGCGAGGCTAGCGTATCGTTGGAATGCGTGTACAGTTCTAGGTCTTCGACTTGCCGGCTCGGACTAGAGAATCTCACTATCAACGTCAGGTGTTTGCCGTGACAAGCACGGTGCAATGGCAGTACTCGACGTTCACCTGAAATTATTCGTAACGTTATTGGAAAGAAAGTACACAAATGGGGAAAAATAGGAATTGAGAGGTCCACCGCATAAACTGGCTTAGTTGAATGGAAACTTTACTTTTCAAATAATAATAATAATAATATGTATTCACTCAATGTACAAAGATAACAAAAAATATGAGTAAATAAATATAAAATCAAAACAGGCCCAATAGAAGGCATCGCCTGTACATGGACCAATAATTTAAGTTGAAACTGTAGAATGCAAATGACAAAAAAGGACAAAAATTAGCTACAGTAGATTATGTATTTAGTTGATGTTCGTATTTATGAGTTTATGAATTTCAGTTCTAGATATAGAATGTAGCCACTTTTTTAAATTTCTTTTGAAACAATTTCCGAAACGTAAATCTTTTAAGTCTTTAGGTATAATTTCATAAAATTTAGGCGCTAAATAGAGATATGATCGCTGCATTATAGATTTATGCGGTTGAGGAACTACTGTGCCACGAATTTTGTACCTGGTATAATGATTATGTTTAATTTTTTGGTCGGTGTTTACAAATTTATGGTAGTGAGTGATACTGTGTTAGAAATAAAGCTGTCTTATATCATACATTCGAACATCTGCATATAATTTTTCAGTGGGATAAAGTTTCGGTTTTTTAAATATTATTTTTAGAATACTTTTTTGAAAGACATCTAAATTATAGATATGTGAGGAACATGCAGCTCCCCATGCTAATATACCATATGTGAGATGAGGCTCAATCAGTGCATGGTATAATGTTCGAAGATATTTTTCTGTCAATATATTCCCAAGGTATTTAATTTTGTAGGATACAAATCTAACTTTCTTTAAAATATAATTGACATGGATGTCCCATCGTAAGTGAGGATCCAAGACCACTCCAAGGTATTTTATGTTGGGCACTCTATTAATTTGCATTTTTTGATCATTAATATTGAAGGAGAAATTTGTGTAATTTGGCAGATGTCTAGCATAAGATCAAAATGGTAAAAAATGTGTTTTAGAGTAGTTAATGCTTAATTTTCTACTGTTAAACCACCGAATAATTTTGATAAAATCATTTTCAATTATATTTTTCAAATCAGACCAGTCAGTGCCTTCATATAATATTGCAGTATCATCTGCAAAACTAGTTATTTTGCCAACACAATTAATTTGGAAAATAAAGGGTGTCTCAGAAATATTTTCGTTTTTAGATCAGTACTCTGGCGGAATACGCATGCTCCGGAGAAACGAGACAGTTGACAAACGTTTGGCAACATTGTTAAATTTTAGTTGCAATGGAGCGTTTTACAGGGCCGCAACGTGCTTTTGTGTTCGCGAGTTCTATAAAAACAAGGATTCTTATGTGCTTGTACGTCGTTTGTACAGAAATCATTATAACATAGCAAGAATGAGAGATGTTCCAAGCGCAAATTTAATTAAATATTGGGCAAGAAAGTTCGAGCGCACTGGAAACACGTGTATTAGTAAACCGCCTGGACGGCCAAGGTCAGCAAGATCGAACGAAAATATTGAACGTGTGCGCCAGTCCGTTAACGAGGATCCCCGGCAATCATTAAGACTGCGTGGAGCGTCTCTAACTTTGCATAAGTCAACTGTTCATCGCATTATTCGCAAGGATTTGCATTTTCACCCATACAAGATTGTTGTTACACAACAATTAAAACCACAAGATCCCGCTAATCGATTAGAGTTCTGTAGAACAATGAGAGAGCATTTTAACGGTTACAACAACATATGGTTTTCTGATGAATCGAATTTTCACATTAACGGGCATGTTAATAAACAAAACTGCCGATATTGGGCCGAGCAGAACCCTCAAAATCTTCATGAGACGCCATTACACTCGCCTAAAGTTATCGTCTGGGCTGCTATGTCAGGGCAAGGAATCATTGGCCCGTATTTTTTTGAAGACAATCGTGGCCAAGCTCAAACTGTAACATCTGAGCGCTACTGCCACATGATTAGGACTTTTTTAACTCCAGCTATACAGAACCATGGTGGCTACAATAGAAACACGTTTTTCCAGCAAGATGGAGCGACTTCTCATGTCACGAATGAATCCTTGGATGCTCTTCATCAGTTATTCCCAGAGAGGGTCATCAGTCGCAGAGGAGACATTAACTGGCCAACGAGAAGTCCCGATTTGACACCAGCAGATTTTTTCTTATGGGGATACCTGAAGAGTAAGGTATACACCCCACCGCCACAAGATTTGAGAGAGTTGAAACAAAAAATAACAGATGAAATAAACGCCATTCCTCGAGCAATGCTTCGGAGAGTGATCGAAAACTTCAGTTCGAGATTAAGAGAGTGTGAAAACATGAACGGTGCTCATTTATCCGATACTCTTTTCCATAAATAAAATTAATGTTTAGGCTTTCGTTTGGTAATAAATTTATCTTTGTAAAAATATTCTAAGTATTTTTATTTATGGCATAAAATAAGAAAATATTTATGAGACACCCTTTATCATTTAAATATATATTGAATAACAGCGGACCTAAGACAGTTCCTTGTGGGACACCACACTTAATATACATTTCTTTACTAAATGATCCTGATATCTGCACAGATTGTGGGCGATTTGACAAATAACTTTCGATCAGCGACTACGCGTTTCCTCTGAAACCAATTCTCTCCAATGCTTCTAATAATAATTTGTGATTAACTGTGTCGAAAGCTTTCTTTAAATCAACAAAAATGCAGATTGAAGGGATTCTGTTATCAATGCTCCCAAAGAAAGTAATGGAAAGGTCTTAGGTCCGGTTATCTCAGCAACACAACTTTGAAAATAAGTTTTTCGAAATTTCTCACCTTTGTTCAAGATTAAAGCGATCAATCGCTCACAGCGGAAGTTTGACACAATATACCTGACAATATGTTGAGCAAGGAAGTGTTACCAACTGTCAGAATAATACCAACTTAAAAAAACCAATTGATGGCCCACCCTTTAAAACATTTCATTTCTTATTTTAAAATGAAAGATTAGGATGTAACTTTTACGAAAATATTATTTCTTTAAGGGACCCCCTGCTTGCTATTTTATAGAACTTCAAAGTTGCATTTTGAGTGCTAATACTGTGGCATAGAATACTGCTTTATAAGCTGTTTTCTTCCTGTTTATACAAAAGATTGTTCAAAATTATAATATGAATATAACATACACTGTAAGTTACTGTGATACTGTTCATCGCAATAATTCAATTTTGCATTATTTTAATTATGAAGCTGGTTCATTGTTAAGTAGTCATTTCTTTTATTTCGGATAATTATTCCCATCACTACACCACCGTCACTGTCATATTCTCTCCATCTACGAGCCCCTTTCCACTTCAGTTGGCCCACTTCAAGATTTGTACCAAAATATGCCTTTATAAACTAAACATGACGAAACTATTTACTTCTAAAACAATTTATTTTCTCAAAAACATTTTAGATACACTCTAGTCGTAAAAAATACATACAGCAGACGCTCGATAACGTAAACATGGGATAATGAAAACTTGCGCTAATGTAAACACAAACTTCGTTCTATAGGATCAAACGGAACGCGCGATAACGTAAACAATGTGTACGCTCGATAACGTAAACAACTCTCGGCGCACGGAAACAGCGCGACGGTAAAATGCTGAAGCCTCGATGATTTATGTCGGGCGTCGGGGAGTCCCCGATTTATGATGTAGAGTGTGCGATAAAATACGACAAACTCGGTCAGTCGTATGATCGTTTAGGATACGTTTATACGTACGTATGTATTTCATTTTTGAACTTAAGTGAATACATTGCACGCGTTAATTTATTTTATGACTATGGCATCCACATCCTATAAAAGAATGTGTTTAAAGTTGAGTGAGAAAGTGAAAATCATAGACGAAGTTGCACTAGGTGCGGGAGTGACACAGTTAGCAAAAAAATATGGAGTATCGAAAGCAACAATCTGTAAAATTAAGCGTATGAAAACTCAAATTTTACAAAGAACGTGCAATACATTTGGAGGTCCGGGAAAAAGAAAAACTTTAAAAAATGCGAAGGCACCTAAAATGGAAAATTCCCTGTATAAGTGGTTTTTAAAACAACGGGAAAATCATGTCCCAGTTAGTGGCGAAGTACTTAAACAGAGAGCGAGACTGTTAAATGAAAAACTGAAAGAAACTGAAAATTTCGTAGCTAGTGATGGCTGGCTACAACGATTCAAAACAACATATGGAATTCGACTGCTGTCTATATCTGGTGAAAAATTATCAGCACAACCACAATTAGTGCAACCATTCAAAGAAAAATTGATGAAAACAATTACCGAGCTAGATTTAAGAATGGAACAAATTTACAACGCAGATGAAAGTGACCTTTATTGGAAAATGTTACCAAAGAAAACCTATGCTGCATCATTTGAAAAATCTGCCCCGGGAAGAAAGCCGGAGAAACAACGAATAACGTTTCTACCCTGCACTAATGCTAATGGTTCACACAAAATAAAGCGACTGGTAATTGGGAAAGCAAAAAATCCGCGCTCATTTAAAAATGTTAATATCCCTGTTGATTATGACTGTTCAAAAACCGCTTGGATGACTAGCAGTATATTCCTGCAATGGTTCCACAGGTGCTTTGTCCCTCAGGTATGACAATCAATTATCACAAATGCTCTATTCATAATTTGAAGATGTGTTTTCAATTTGTAGGTAAAAGGTTTCCTAAAACAGAAGCTTCCAATAAAAGCGTTGTTACTATTGGATAATGCACCAAGTCATCCTCCCGAGCAACACCTGAGGAGCAGTGATGGGTCAGTTTTCGTCATGTACATGCCGCCCAACGTAACACCGTTAATTCAACCGATGGACCAGAATATAATAAGACTCACCAAACTATACTATAGGAAGTTTCTACTTTCGTCTGTCTTATCAAAGAATCCTGAAAACTTATCTGAGGCTTTAAAAAAAGTAACATTACGAGAAGCTGTTTTAGATTTACATATGGCCTGGAATGAACTTAACCAGCAAACTATTCAAAAATGTTGGAACAATCTCGTTTGTACCAATAATGAAGATGATGAAGAAGACGATGTCCCCTTAAGTGTAATTAGAGAACGTTTGCGATCCAATAATGATAATGTTATTAGTGTGTCATTGGATGTTGTTGATTTATTGAAAACAGTGAATCCCAACATTGTTTGTACTCCTGCTGATATTAATTTATGGAACGAAGATAAGCAGACGAATGATGCTGATAAGGAGGAGGATATGGACAGTGAGGATGATGAGAACGATCCCATTGAAGTCAGAAGTGTAGTGACTGACGCGCAAGCTATACGAGTTTTTAACCAAGCTTTAGATTGGGCTGAAAGAAAAGAAGTTTCATACACGGATATTTTAGTTCTTCGTAAATTACGGGCGCAGGCATTGGAAGACAATGCTAAGCGCAAATTTACGCAGACAAAAATTAATAATTATTTTTCTTCTAATTAAAAAAATAATTATCGCTGTTAGAATATTTGTTTATTTTGTTATAAATAGTATGTATTAAACGTTTCTTTTAATAAATCAAATATTATATAAATCACGTTCGCTAATGTAAACATTTCGATAATGTGAACCACACTTGGATTAAATTAGTTTACATTATCGAGCGTCTGCTGTATTTGAAATCACTTACCTATAACTAATAGAACATCTGAACAAATAAAGAATATGCAAATAAACGCGCGAAGTTAACAAAGCAACAATTGAAAGATTTCCATTGGGCAACATCACCTTTATTTTTTATTACAGCTGAAATTCTTTGGGGCATAGTGTTAACCAAGTTTTGGCAAACATTTGGTGTAAAACAATCCCATATTTCTTGAAGCTTTTGTCACAGTTCGGTGATTGTACGAGCAGGATGTTGTCGTAGAACCTTTTTCATCTCGTGCCACAAAGTTTCAATAGGTGACAGATCTGGACTGTTAGAAACCCATTTCAAAAGTGGTACATTATTTTCTTCCAGCCATTTTATAGCCTATTTTGAGGTATGGCACGCTGCAAATCTTGGCCGGATGTCATTCTTCCATCACTGGTAAAAGCGATTCTTCTTGCCAAATATTTGTTTGTATCCACATTTCCATCAATAAAATGAAGTTTTCCTATTCCTTTTGCTGACATACTGCCCCAGACCATAATGGATGCTGGAAATTTCACTTTTCTCTTCAGACAGTCAACATGGAATGCTTCATTTTTTTTGCGAATAACTCTACTGCGACTGTCACCAACACAAACTTCGAATCGGGCCTCATCACTCCATTGTATTGCACACCATTGTTGTGTTGTCCAATAGTGGCTTTTCTTTGGTCTATAAACAAGTTGTGCAACTTTAGGGTTTTTACTTCACTTTTTTTTTTATAAGAAAACTTACCTTGCAAGTGCTAAATCAAAGTTTGTGGGCCTCTCTATGAGTTGTGGACCTCAAAATTCTCCTTCCAACAGCGGCACTCCACTGATCACTTAATTGTAAATAATAGGCACGCGTGTTTTTCACGATTATTCTTCTAAATGCTCCTCGGTCGGCATTTGTGATATTACTTTTTTTCACATATCGTGGCTTAATATTAATTGAACCAGTTACGTTATATCTTCTAACAATATTTCTCACACTGTACCGCGATAAGTCTAACAAAGTTGCAATTTCTGAGTTTGATTTCCCAGAATTAAAAAATTTAATTATCAGTAACCGAATTTTCTCACTAATAACCTTTCCTCTACCCATTTTAACCTTAACTACCCAAAACTATTTTAAACGTATTCGGACAGCTGTGATTAATAAAAACAATTGTCATGGCTTTTATTTTTCACAGTCACCTGTGCGTTACAAACTTATTTTGTATTGAAATGAAAATAGGTTGATATGCTGTAATTGCAACATGTGTTATTTTTATGCTGCAAGTTTGATTAGGGAGTGATAAAGTTGGTTTTTTCTACTATATATTATCAAAATATTCATTGTTAATATTTTAAACCTATAACACCTTGCTACATTTTTATCATTTGTGTTTGCTAAGAAAAAACTTAAAATTTCAATAGTTGGGCCAACTGAAGTTGGGAAGGGGCTCGTGATGAAAAGACTTCCCCCGTAGAAATCAAAATTGACGTGTCCGAGCGTTTTTCCCAAAACATACCAGGCGACTCACAAACGGGGGACGTTTTCGTTCGGCCACACTTTTTTCGAACAGTATACAAAAATTATTAAAAACCTCTCGTACTCACCAACGAAATTATTATCACACTCGCTGATGTATTCGTGCAACACTTTCAGCACCCGGCACATCTTGACGGCTTCCGCTTGAATGCGATGTTGCATCTGTCCGGGGGCGTCGAGCGTCGTCGCCAGCGTTCCGTCGACGGCCGCCGTCGCCAGCTGCGTCGTCGACTTTTGCAGCACGCTCAACGTGTCGAAATGGGCGCGCAATCGGTCGTAGCATTCAGTCACGAACGTTTCGTGAAAATCCAGCCGCGAGGCTTGCAATCGCGGACCTAGATTCGTGCTCACCTAGAATGTAAATCAACACCGTTAAAAATCATCTAGGATCCGAGCGAAATAGTACACCTTCGGCAGAATATTTGACGTTTCAAGTTCTCTATCTAGTTCTAAATGGATGATGTACCGGGTGTGCCATCTTTTACGTCGGTATTGAAACATCGATTGACTTTGATATTTACCAACCGAGTGATTTGGTTATAGTAGAAAGAAAGATTTATTTAGCACATTTGGCTACATAAACAGAACAATTGTAAACAACTTAGAACTAGTAAATTCAAGCCATATGGTGTATGATGTAAATGCTGGGCAACCTATAATTGTAGATTTAACAAGTGATTTCTCAATTTTACTTTAAATTTTGTCAAAGTTTTCTGGTATTTTATCTCCGAGTATAATTTATTATATTCAATCAACCCTTAATGGAATACAGATTTGTAGCATATGTTATACTTTTTGGTTAAATGGAAGTCATCTTTATTTCTGGTATTATGTAAATGATGGTCGACATTTGATGATGTTAAATTAGTTAGACTTGATGGAAATATATTATTTTTTACTTTATGAATGAATATCATTACAAGATATGTGATAAAAATTTTTACATTGAGCCATTTTAATTTGCTAAGCATTTGCCTAATTGGAGTATATTTATCTTTATTTAGTATTATTCTCATGCACTTATTTTGTAAAATTTGCAGTCTTTCAAAAATGGAATTATTTGCTAAATATAGAATAGTCGAACAGTACAAGAAATTTGGAAGAATGATGGTATTATAGATAATTTTTCTGCTATATGAACTCAGACATCCAGAAACTCTCGATAAATATCCCACTTTACTACTAATCTTATTTATAACTTTTTCATAATGAATATCAAAAATTAATCGAGAGTCAACAAAAACCCCCAGGTATTTAAAATTTTCTACGAATTCAATATTTTCACCATCAATATTCAGTTGAAGATTTGTACATTGTTTTTTTCCGATTAACAAGGCTTTCGTTTTACTTGCATTTAATTTTAGTCTGTTAGATGCTAATCATTTTGAGACAAGCTTCAAGTCTTCATTTATATAAGAGATACCAGACTGAATATTTTTAGTACTTATATAAATCATAGTGTCATCGGAAAAATCTGAATTTTGCATTTTTTGACTATGGCAGGTAAATCATATATGTATAAAATAAAAAGAAGTGGTTCCAGGATACTGCCCTGTGGAACACCCAACGTATTTTCAATTTTTGATGAAATAGTGTCATTAACTTTTGTGTTTTCTTCGTTGGGTCGGGTATTTCTGGGACCTCCCCCGTATACAAATCAGTTTTTCGTTTTCAAAGTTATTTCATGTTTACATACCGACATAAAAGATGGCGCACCCTGTAGCAGTTCTTCGAGATGGAAAGAAAAAATATTATAATTCCAAAATTGATGACAGTAAAAATAATAGCAAACCCATGTGGAAAACATTTAAAAATATGGTTTCTCTTATTAGAAGAAACACATTATCTAAAATGAAGAATGAAAAAATAATGGCAGATCGAATTAATACCTAGTTCATAAAAAGTGTCAACGATATTGTAAGATCAGTTATTGACGGGGATCCCAAAAAATGTCCCATTAGATCAGTTTATAAATGCATCATTCAGTGAGTTTAGAACAATAAACAATCGTCTCAAGAAGATTATATAAAAATTGAAGTCAAATCAAAATAAGAGTGAAATTTTGTCCAAAAGTGTGCTTGATGAATGTTTTGATATTATTGGAGCAACAATATTAATCCTGATAAATTACTGTTTAAAACATGGCGAATTTCCATAAACTCCTGTTTCTAAAGTTAAAAATTCTGAGTTGCGCACCAACATCCGGTCAATAAATGTTCTGCCAGATGTTAAAAAAGTCTTTGAATAAATTATTTACTAACAAATCATCGAATTTATCAAGGGAAATACAATTTTAACCAAATTTCAAGCTAGATTCAGGAAGAAACACTCAACTGAAACTGCAATACAAATGGTTTTAGAGGACTGGAGGAGATGTATGGACAGTAGGAAACGTACAGTAAAAGTGTTTTTGGACTTCAAAAGGGCGTTTGAATCTAGTGACAGGGATAAATTACTTACAAAATTGCATCACTATGGATTTGGAGGATATGTATTCAAAATTCTACAAAACTACTTAATTGACAAGTCGAAAAACCAAAATAACAGGTTCAAAAATATTTCTGTTAGTGTACCGCAAGTTAGTAAACTAGGTCAACTACTATTTATTTTATACAAAAATGGCATTTGTAATATTCTAGATTTTTGCAAAATTCAGACATTTGCAGATAATACATTAATATACATATCAGTTGAAAATATAGACACTGCTTTAAAAGTGCTAAATTCTAACTTGGCAAAAATCGTAAATTGGTTAAATGTAAATAAACTAAAATTGAATGCTGCTAAAACACAATGCATGCTAATAGGGAAATACCTAAATGGTGAAATCTTAGGAAGGTGATGTTATTTCTGACCTATCCACCTCCTTGTTGCTTTACATGTAGTTTTAGTCTCATATAAACATTTTTTTGTTTTTGTTTAAATATAAATATCGTAAGCTGAATATATAAAGCTCACCTCCTTCAACAGTTCTATCGCCCTAGCTGCAATATCGTTCGGACACAACGTAACCACTTTCCACAAGTAATCTAAACCTATCAGATCCGGATCTTCGGTGAGCAGTGTCCGTCGTTTAAATTTTATCTTGCCTTCTTTCGCGTTCACCGCCTTAAAAAACCTACAAAGAAATACCCGATGTAAATAAATAAAAATGTGCTCGTGAAACTTGTTAAACTCGAATAGCCTGCAAGATATCTGCGCTGAAACGGATTCAAAGCTAGCTAATGCAATCACAGATAACATATATGATACTCAATTCATTTGGAATAGAATAGCTTAGAATTGATGTTTATTTGGCTATAAGCTACAATATTATATTGAGATGAACACAATAAAATCACATAACATCTAAAATATAAGGTCTCGTCTTGTAGACATAGAAAGCAAATAAGCGGATATGAGTCTAAATAGTAACGTCACCTCACCTTTCGAAACATTTGATGCCGCTTTCCGTTAACAGGATGGGATCGATCTGAAGAATGTTATTTTCGAAAAAGTCCTTGTTTATTCCGGGGTCCAGATCCGGTTCCTCGCCCATCAATTTCGAAAACCACTTAAAGCAAGCCTCTCTGTCCGATTGAAAGACGGCGTTCTCGGCCAACGACTGCCATATCTGTTTCGCCTGTTCGGCACACAGCCACAGTTGCCCGTCTTTTAACAGGAATCTAGAATAATATTTTTTTTATATTGTATCGAAGCGGAAAGAGTGTAGTTCAAGATCCCGGGACTGCCAGATATTATTTGCTGAAAAACTCAACGGGGCCCGATTTACTGGTACTAGATGAGAAAGGTTGTTGTTTGTTGTCAGGAAATAAGATCTATCGATAGACATGCGTCGTATTTACCTGAGGAAATTCAGTCTTTCTTGCACCTGCAAGGTGTGGTTGTACCTGCCGTCCGGCACGTAAGTTTCCGCCGTCAATTCGGGCTGTTCTTTGTACAATTGCCGCAATCTATCCATGTACCCCGTCAGACTATTCGTAACTAGTATCACAAGAGAGTGCTGGTTCTGCAACCTCTCTATTACGTCTTGCCTATAAAAAAGGATAAAAAAATATAAATATAAACAATCACAGCACAGGTATTCAGCAATTCTTGAAAGCAGAATAACCTATAGGAAGTTCCTGTATCTTGCCAAAGTATTGTGGTATCGTCATCAAAAACTATGTGGCAGGTTTCGGTCAGGCAATGTACTATTTGACGTTTCTTTGGCAGAAAAGTCGCTAATTGATAAATAGAAAAAGAGTCTTAAAAAGTAATAGAATTATGCCCATTTCCTATTGATTAGTGTACTTCCTCTTCCTCCAGATTGTTGTCAATATTACCGGCGCTTAGACTATTAAAAGCTGCATTAGTCACCGGAAAATCACATCATAGCTACCCTAAGAAATTCCAAGTATCGAAGTATACTTTATCTGAAGTCACTTGAAATAGCATAAAAACCTATGGTCGGCGCGTCCTTTGTAATTTCATGACGTATCATAGGCGTGCGGTCATTTATTTAGAACGATAATAATAATGTTTTTAAATCACAATAAATGGATTTTACTATCTTCTTATTTTTTTGATTTGGGATAAAAAATACTTATATTGGCAGTTTAATTTATGTTGACTGAAAGTTAAGAAATGGAAAAATTACAGAATTCCAACGTTTGACATAGGCAAATATTTACATAGCAGGTACGTATATAAAAAGGTATATAAAGACTTACATTATAGGTATTTATATATCATCCTCGCCTTCGGAGCTGTCGCTAGAATCATCTTGTAGAGGAGTTACAACGGGATTTACAGGAGGCAAAACACAATATTCATTTTCTTTTTCAATAATATGCCTAGAACACTGCTTCCATAGGTCTGTGGCAGCAATATGAGATACTGCATCTATTATTGTGGCCAATAGCGATTCACTTAATTGAGGGGTCTGATTATGTTTTCTTACTTTTTTTTTAAAGCAGCCCAGACCAACTCAATCGGGTTAAAAATGCAATAATAGGGAGGTAGACGTAATACTTCATGGCCATTTTGCTGAAGCAGATTGTCAACAACATACTCTTTTTCAAATATTTGTCTTTTAATAAGATCCAGTAATATGGCTTTGGTTGATTTTTGTGGTATTTCCATTCCCTTATCCTTCATAAAATCAATAATGTCTTGTTTTTTTGTGCCTGTATTCGGAATTTTGTTTTTCTGTCGGGAATGGTATGGCGCATTGTCCATAATAATCACTGAATTTGGGGAATGTTTGGTATTAACTGCTGCTCTATCCACTTTTCAAATAAGTCGGAGGTCATGTCCTCATGATAGTCGGCACATGATTCTTTGATATTTTTGGCAGATAACAGCAAGGCATTAGGTATAAATGCATTTTCACTGCCAGCATGGAGAATAATGATTCGTTTTCCACGGTTGCATGGTGCATTTAAAATGCACTTGTTGCTGTCGTCAACCCAGCCGTACTGCACAACATCATGGGTATCATACCACGTTTCATCCAGGTAAATCAGATTTCTTTTCTGCTCTCTATAGATTTTAACTTTGTGCAAAAATTCTTGGCGCAATTCAACGATTCGAGACGACTCCATAATCACCATTCTTTTATCTAATTTTTTGTATTGAAAACCACACAGTTTTACAATACAGTGCAGTGAGTCTAAGCATTTGTAATTATAAAAATCTTCAGGATAATCTTTTAATTTATCCCGTATCATTTCCAACGTGGGCACCAAATTTTCTTTATAAAATCCGTATATTATACGACGAATATCTTCCTGAAAACCCACGTCTATTCTTTTTAATTTTTGCCCTATGCGCTTTCTGTGGAAGGAATGGTTGACTACATCTCCCCTTTTTATAACCCGATAAATGGTAGACCGACTGATTTTTGTCAGGATACAAATTCTGTTTAAAATTTGATTTTGCGAGGAATCTGGATTTTCGTTTTTCAGACAATCATACATATTTAGGATTACTCTTTGGGTCTGTTCCTCTAAATCTTTATGAAAGAACTCTGCCTGCACAGGTTCATCAACCATCTCCTCGTGGCTTGGAGCATTTTCCCAAGGTCGAGCCATATTTAGGACACACAAGAACAATCATTACAACAATTAAATCAACAAGTAAACTGAGTATTCAAAAGTCAAAAACACACAAACTAATAAAATCTATGAAAAAACACGGACAGACTAAAGAAAACACGTTTATTCACCGCTACACGGCACTGGCTAAACTGTTTCAATTTTCAGTAGCTACCTGCACTTGTTCGGAGCTCTGAAATACACGCTTTCTCATTGGCTATGTCCACGCATAGGCGTGCTTTACTCCACGTGGACCGGTGAAACTGCCTTTGATCTTATACGGGGGATATTTGCTGCGAAATTTGGCGATTTTTGCAGCAACAGAGCGTGTTAAATATAGATATATAAAACGCACCCGGTATTTCACAGTGTTTCAAGTGACTTCAGATAAAGTATACAATAATCGACATCTTTACCTATAGTATATGTGATGGGACCTCTGCGTAGGTCCCCCGTTAGTATTTTGCTCGTATAACGTGCAAATATCTTTGATTTGCTTCAGTGCCGGCAACACCCATTTCCCGTCGCCACTTTTCAATTCTTCCACGCATTTATCCAGCCATATCGTTTTCTGCGCGTCCCGTTCTTGCGAACAACTGTAATCTAGAATTTTGACGTGCGCCGTCAACGCCTGGTCCATTATCTCTAAAACAAAATAGAGAAGATTTTCATTCGGCTGGAATCTAAACCGTACCATTTAACGAACACATTAAATAAAACAAAAATCCGTTATCAATACTCGAGAGCAGGTCATTGATATACAGGGTGTTTCAGTTTATTGTTGCATAACTTTAAGGTTCGATAGAACTTTTAAAATTAATGCATAAAGTGTATATACACATGGGTCGAAAAATGCGTGGCTTCCGAAATTCAGGGTGTTTAAATTTACTTTCTAAAATAGTTTTTTTTTTTAAATATTTCGAACAATACTTGATGTATAACAGTGAAAATTGGTATACAAGGGTTTTTTGGTACGACAAAACGCACCATGGGCATAGTTTTACTGTAGCCGCTAGAGGGCGCTCTCTACTGTACCTGTAGTGTATTAAAATCGACCGAAAAAATTTTCTTAGTGCAATTTTTTGCTTTTTGAATAAAAACTGATTCTTCGCATTTTTCAACATAAAAAAGCTCTCTTGTGAATGTTCGTTATAGTTAGCCGTTTTTGAGATATTTCGATTTTTAAGGTTCGATGCATTTTTAATTATTTATGATAAAATAACGATAAAAAGTCAGTATCTCGATAATTTTTAGAAGGAGGCTGTGCCTGCAAATATTTTTGAAATTGAAAGCAGAATAAGGTTAAACGTCAATTAGTTGACAGTTAGTTTTGTTGTCTGTTGAAACCTGAAACGTTTTTTTGCAATTGTGAATGCACGAAATTTAGTTTCTTTTACCTGTTTTTTTTTGTAAGTTTTATAAAAATGCCATTTTTATTCTCCAATCAAGAGTTAGCGGATATTCATTTTGTGTATGGCTTTATAAATGGTTTTGGTCGCATGAAAATCCGCATGCAGTTCGGGAAAGAAATTTTCAGCATGAATTTAGTGTGAACGTGTGGATTGGTATCTACCGTAATCGACTATTTGGACCGTACCTTTTGCCTGCAAGGTTAAATGCTGCGACCTTCTTGGAATTTTGAAAGGCTGAACATGCAAATATGTGGGATGATGTTATGTTAGATTTAGGAAGATTGGCCTGGTTCCAGCTTGATGGTTGTGCAGCTCATTATTCGAGAATAGTTAGAAACTGGCTGGACGAAAATTATCCAGAAAGATGGATCGGCCGTGGAGGACCAGTCGCCTGGCCTCCTCGATCCCCTGACCTAAATCCATTAGATTTCTTTGTGTGGGGATTTCTAAAAGAAAAAGTGTACCATACTCCCGTAACCACAAGAGATATGCTAATAGACAGAATCGGAATGCATGTGATGAAATAAGGCCTTATTTGAATAATGCTATACCACGTTCGATCATTCGTAGATGTGAATTGTGCATTGAACAATTGGGTTTACATTTCGAACTACTTCAGATTTTGTATGTAAATTAAACAAATTAACATTGTTTTTTTGTGTTTATTTGGAGTTAAGAATTATTGCTGTTTTAAAAACACAACCTAAACGGTCATCTTAATTACTTTTAATGCCCAAATCGAAAATGTAAAAAAAATATTTTCCCATAAATAATTAAAAATGCATCGAACCTTAAAAATCGAAATATGTCAAAAACGGCTAACTATAACGAAAACACACGAGAGCTTTTTTATGTTGGAAAGTGCGAGGAATCAGCTTTTTTATTCAAAAAGCAAAAAATTGCTCTAACAAAAATTTTTCGGTCATTTTAATACACTACAGGTACAGTAGAGAGCGCCCTCTAGCGGCTACAGTAAAACTATGCCCATGGTTCGTTTTGTCGTACCAAAAAACCCTTGTATACCAATGTTCACTGTTATACATCAAATATTGTTCGAAATATTTAAAAAAAACTATTTTAGAAAATAAATTTAAACACCCTGTATTTCGGAAGCCACGCATTTTTCGACCCATGTTTATATAGACTTTATGCATTAATTTTAAAAGTTCTATCGAATCTTAAAGTTATGCAACAATAAACTGAAACACCCTGTATATTGCGGATAGCAGGGGTCCAAGTACCGATCCCTGCGGTACCCCGTTGCCAATAGGCAACAGGTCGGACGCGACGCCCTCGGAGCTACTTGTCAGATATTTGAACTCAAAATAATATCACAAAGTAAATACGAATTATTCGAAATATCTTTTCGTCATGGTCTGTCCGAGTAGTTCAAATGACCTTTGTTCTTAAAGTTGTAGAAGAAGGAAAGGGAATAACAAAAAACGAGGGAATGAATCGGCTGTAGGATTGCCTTGGCCTTGTTATTTAGGATTTGATTATTAAGAAGTAGGTTTTTGAATTGTTTACGCGATAAGTACCTGTAGGCACGTCTTCGGCGTGAGCCAGATTCCAGAAGAGCGTCAGAACTTTGTGAGCCATCACCCCGTCCTTGTCATCTTCTGCTAACCGTCGTATCAACTCCAGCAGTCTTTCCCTAGGCACAAGTAAAAAAGTTTTTCAGTTAGAAAACCACAGAAAGTGTACTGGGCTAGCTCCGCTAGCGGAGAAAAAAAAACTAGTGTTGTAAAGTGTTCGCACTCCTCGGTAGTCGATCAGTTCGGCGAAACGCTAAATGTTTACCTATAGACATACATTTTATTTTATTAGTGAATGCTCCTCCAGTGGATTATTGGAATACACTTTTGACTTTAGATAACTCGACAAAAAATAATCGAATGACGTGAGGTCGTGTGACCTTGGAGGCCAGTGAATGTCTCCAAACTTCGATATAACTTTTTGAGGAAAAAGTGCTTTCACCGTGTCCAGCGATTCTATGGACGTATGGGCAGTGGCCCCATCCTGTTAAAACCTGTTGTTTCTGTTAAATCGACGTTCTGTTCTTATAATAGGAGCAATTAATCATGTCCCTGTAGCGCTCGGAATTGACTGTCAATGCACGACAGTTTTCATCTTCAAAGAAATACGGCCCCAACTAACAAAAGCTGGTTAATAACAATAACCTTACCTCTGTCTTTTCGACGCCGACGTCCAACTGTTCTGAAAACACTCGAACAGGTGGTCCAACTGCTCGGCGCTGAAGTCCCACGCTAGCTTGGCCAGCAGATCGTGGACGTTCTTCACGATCGCCTCGTGCTTGCCGGCTTGAGCCGCCCAAACGGCGTCCAGGTCGCTCAAGCTCAAAGCGCGTTCTTTTATCACGAATCGGAGGATCTTTTCCAGTTTCTCCACGTACTGGGGCTGATGCAGCGAGTCACGAAGCACTATCTCCAGCACTTTGTTCTCGTTGATCCATTTCTGCAAAGAAAAAACTTATGATAGATTCGAAAAATGTTGTCACCTAAGTAATGTAAAGGGTTGTCCAATAGGGACGCAGGAAAGTAAAAGTCAATTTGACATAGACGCCATCTTTGTTTTCTGTCACCGACATGTCATTTTGTTAGTTGAATGTTTACCATTGATCGCTATGGAGTCGTATTCGGTTGAAGACCGGATTAAAGTTATTCAAGAAAACTACAAAAATGGTGCAAAAATAAAAAACACGTTTCGCGCGCTTCGTGAACATTTCGGTCGCAACAACCGCCCAAACGAAATAACCGTCGGTCGAGGCAACAGGTTCTGTGGCAAATCTGCCAGGCTCTGGCCGGCCAAGGAGCGTTCGCACACCGGAAAATATTGCTGTTGTGAAGGAGAGTGTGAGAGACGATCCGAAACAATCAACAACGCGTCGATCCCCAGAATTGGGCATTTCGAGAACCAGTTTGCTCCGGATTCTCCACAAGGATCTGAATGTACACGCCTACAAGATCCAATTGACGCAAGAGCTGCGTCGGGCCGACCATTTTTCGCGCCGAACGTTCTCAGATTGGCTCCTTGAACACCGCCAAATTGATGCCAATTTCTTATCAAAAATCATGTTCAGCGACGAAGCGCATTTTACTTTGAATGGGATGGTAAACAAGCAAAACTGCCGCATCTGGGCGAACGAAAATCCCCGTGAGTATCAAGAGCAGCCGATGCATCCTCAAAAAGTGACTGTGTGGTGTGCATTGTGGTCAAAAGGCATCATCGGACCTTACTTTTTCGAAAATGCGGCCGGGGACGCCGTTACCGTCAATTCTGAGCGATATCACGTGATGATAGAGGACTATTTTTTGCCGCAACTTGAAGGAATGGATATGGGCGATGTTTATCTCCAACAAGACGGTGCAACATGCCACACAACCAACGGCAATATCCATCGATTGCAATCCTTCTTCGGTGATCGCGTGATTTCGCGCAGAGGAAATGTGCCATGGCCAAGAAGATCGTGCGATTTGACTCCCTTGGACTTCTTTTTATGGGGATATTTGAAAAGCAAAGTCTACGTCAACAAACCAGCCACCCTCCGAGAACTCAAAAACAACATCATTGCCGAGATAAATGCCATAGAACCGACCATGTTGCAAAATGTCATTGAAAATTTCGACCATCGCGTGAACGTCTGTAAATCCAGTCGTGGTGAACATTTGAGCGATATTATTTTTCATACATAAATGGTATAAATTAACCTTCAAAATAAAGTACCCAACTTGATTTGAATATCGATCTTTCTTGTTTTAATATGCGTTTACTTTCCTGCGTCCGGTTTGGACAACCCCACATTTACAACGCTCTAAAACGGAGACATCTTGACTTCGCAAGCTTTCAATAGACGCCTCAAACTTGAATCCGAGGCGTTGTATATGTACTTTTTTTGAGCGCAGAGGTCGCGATATGTTGTCATTTACTTCTCATATGTGCCAAAAGTTCAAAATTCTCAGCTGTATACAAATATGCGACCGATTAATGTCTTGCCCGATGTCGAGAAGACGTTCGAAGGGATAATATACGAACAAATCATAGAATTCATTGAAGAAACCAAAATTTTGATAAAAAATCAAGCTGGATTTAGAAAAAAATGTTCCACGGAAACGGCAATCCAAGAAACCGAGAGCTCCGAAAACCCGGGAATATTTCGTGGACTGATTAATTTTTCTGCTGGGCCTGAAACAACCTTAAGCGAACACATAAAAAATGCTTCAATATTTAAAGGAACTTCGAATGCAATACAAAACGATCTACTTTATTGTATTCTTGAAGTTTGTCATGAAGAAATAATAAAACAAATTAACAGAGCGTCGTATTTGGCGATAATAGCAGATGAAACAACGGACATTTTGGGGAAAATCCAACTGGTAACAATTTTCAGATACGTATTTAACGGCGAACCAGTAGAACGTTTTTGGAATTATATGAATCCCGAAAAATGTGACGCTGATACTATCACAAGACATTTTGAGCGTCTTGGATCCATTAATAGGAAATTTCCCTAACAAACTGATTCCACAAAGCTATGATGGAGCCGCGGTAATGAGCGGACATAATGCTGGAGTAAAGGCAAAAATTAAACAAAGATATCCATTTGTTCACTATGTGCATTGCTATGCGCATCACTTAAACCTGATTATGTCCCAAGCTGCTACCGCAAATGCTCAAGTTCGGGTGTTCTTTGGGGATTTGAAAGATATTCCGGGATTTTTTAATAATTCTCCTCAACGCGTAGAGGCACTGAACAGAATTGTGGGGAAAAAAATTCCCCAAGGAGCAACAACTCGTTGGAATTTTCATATTCGAACAATAAATGTAGTGTTTGAGAACAGAGAATCACTCATTGAATGCATGGAAAATAGAAGAAAATTTCACTAATGAAACAGTTTGCAAGGCAGCTTGCGGTATTCGTCGTATGTTAAACTATTCTGTTTTCGTGTTTTGGTTGACATTTTTTCATCATGTCATGCCTCACGTCGACATCTTGTTCAACCAGTTGCAGAAGAGACAAACCGAGCCAGCGCAAGTTAAAACGGCTATCGATAATTTTGAAAAAAGTATTGTCGATGTGAGAAATAAAATTGATGACATAATAAATGAAGCCAAAAGTATTTGCACTGAACCCCAAGGCAACAAAAGGAGACGACGTAATAATAGCAGCCACGCTCACCGAGTTGCCGCATTAGAAGTATGCGACAATATAGTGAATTCTGCAAATGATAGATTTCAATTCAAAGATCATTTGGTAGCTGCATTCCTTTTTTTCCCCGAAGACTTTGGAGAATACAGTGGTAAGTTTCCCGATGACAAGTTGGAAATTACCTGCTTGGCTTATCCCGAATTAAAAAAAATTCGTTCAAAGACAGAGTTGTCTGTTATTTATGCACGGAATGATCGCCGAGATTTACATGGAAGTCTCTTTTGAAATTTTTGGTACAAAATAGTTTGGACGCAATACTAAAAGAAACAAAAAAGCTATTAGAAATTATTGTTACTACTCCTATGTCAACATCAGAGGCTGAGCGAAATTTCTCAACATTGAAAAGAATCAAGACCTTTCTTCGAAATACTATGACCCAGGATCGCCTTACAGCGTTATCGATGCTGTCCATTGAAAAGGAATTTATTTCGACCATGGAAAATTTCACCGAGAATGTGATCGACAAATTTGCTGCCAAGAAGGAGCGCAGGATCGAACTGACATATAAAAAATAGGTAAGTTCGGATTTGCAGAACACCTGTTTTATTTTGCCACGAGCCGCCACTGCTGGTAGTCTTACTTTGACCCGCCAAGAACGGTGACTATACTACAACTATTTAAAACTGTAATGACTCATACGCGTGATCAACACGTTATCAGAGCTCGATCCCGGCTTCCTTCTAGTACAGCCGTATAGCGTACGACGCATGTCGTTTCTGTGGCTTTGCGGTGGTCAACAGCACAGACAGAGATGGAAATAATGGCTGATTGTTCTCCGCAGGTAGAACCAATGAAATCAAAGACGCGCCTCGACCGGCAGACTCATAGGCGTCGGCAACGCATTGGAACGTGTTTCGTTGAGCGATCGCATGTTGTGTGTTTTTATAAGAATTGTTGTGTGATTGTTATTGCTGTGGTTTCTGTGGTTACTGTTTTGGTTATACTTAACCATGGAGAGTACAAATGGCACGAGTGGAAGTACTGAAAGCCAGGGAACAAGTAGACGGCTTCGTAAAGCACTGAAGAGGGACGCGAAAGAAATCGTGCTCAACGTGTTCAATTATCTGAACAGAACTATGTCGCAGGGAGATGGACTCGCGCGTTGTGAAAGTATGACAGGTGTTCCAGAGTGGACCATTCGCAGGGTGGTGCATGAAAAGAAGAAAACTGGAGCTACTACTGATCCAAAGTTTAATTTGAAGGGACGAAAGGCCGTTAAATTGGATGACGATAGCAAAATGGCGTTAAGGCGAACCGTACATTCATTCTTCTTTAGGAATGAGATACCAACCCTCAAGGCTGTACATGCAGCGATCAAGGAAAATGAAATTATACCCCAAATGAGCGTCGAGGTAATGAGGAAATCCCTGCACGAAATTAATTTTCGTTACGAAACGCGTAATCGGAAGTCAGTATTGATAGAGAGACCTGAAATAGTCGCCTGGCGTCGAAAATACCTACGCGAAATGATTGAATATAGGCGACAAAGCAGAAAAATCTATTATTTGGACGAGACATGGGTAAATGCAGGTCACACAGTTAAAAAAACCTGGATAGACAAAAACGTAGTGAGTAACCGACAAGCAAGCATTGAAGGTTTGTCAACAGGTCTTCGTGGACCGTCAGGGAAGGGTCAAAGATTGATCGTAACTCATATTGGTAGCGATAGTGGCTTTTTAGCAGAGTGTGACTTGATTTTCGTCTCTAAGAAAGGAGGTGATTACCGTGACGAAATGAATGCCAGCTGCTTCGAGAGCTGGTTTCAAGGGCTGCTTCAGCGAGTTGAGCCCAACTCTGTGATCGTCATGGATAATGCTTCCTACCATAGTCGTCGAGCCAAACGTGTACCGACTATGGGATCCCGAAAAAGTGACATGCAGCAATGGTTGCGCGAAAAAGGAATCCCGTTTGACGATTCATGTGTGAAAGCGGAATTGTATGAAAAAATTAAACAGCACAAACCTGCGAACATTAGTTACGTGACTGATGAGATGGCCCGTCAATGTGGTGTCACTGTGCTGCGGTTACCGCCCTACCACTGTGAACTGAACCCAATAGAGCTCATCTGGGCTCAAGTGAAGGGTTATATTGCGCGCCATATCACAACCTTCAAATTACCAGACGTTAAGGTTTTACTTTAGACTTACATACAGCTAGTAACGCCCGAAGCTTGGCAGAATGCTATCCGTCATGTTGTGAAGGAACAAACAAAAATGTAGCAGCTTGACCACCACATCGACACCATCATAGAGCCAGTTATAGTCAATTTCAACGAGGAAAGCGATAGCGACAGTTTATTACTGTCAGATGTAAGTGGAAGCGACGATGAATAAAGGTAATTCCCAAATTTTTGACTTACAATATGTTTCAAACCACTCTTTATTAAGCATGTGACAAATCTAGTTCACCCATGTTAAACATTCATACCCCGCCTATGAACAGCCGACTACTGGTAGTTAAGTGATGTTCACGTGAACATCGATGAGTCATTACAGTTTTAGATAGCTATAGTATACATCTATACATTCTAGTAACCCCCTGTAAGAAATTATACAAGAAACACCCTGTACGTCGGCGTCCTGTCACATCCAACTCATTCCCGTGACAATTCAAAATTCCGTTGAAAATGTCCAAAAAATCAAATGCAGTCCTAACAGCAAACCAAAATTCGAACGATCACACCGGCAGCCTGACTGTGAAGCAGCAGTCGCCAGGGGCGGCCAAAGGGGGCCGGTTCAAGGGGGCCTCGGCGTCGGAGAACAGCATCAAGGGCACCTCGGGGAAAAGTGATCGTAAAGGGGGCATCAGGCAGAAGATCGTCAGCAAAGTGAAGTCGTGGAGCAGCAGGGAAAAATACGCTTTGGACGATAGCATCGAGTTGGAAACGAACCTAGCGCATACTTTTCGTGAAATAGGAGCCGGTGGTACAGGACAAGATAACGACGACGGTGAGTACCGTTGTAAAAATAATAATCTTTATTCCAAGGAGGAACAACCACTCATAAACATCAAGTTCTAGATTCTCGTCTATAGTTGCAGTCACCTTTCTTGGCGGTTACGGTCATCAAATTCCACAGCGTATCATTGAATTATCTAAGAAAAAAAGTAAACAGTTTGAAATCAAATAACAACTGTGCCGAAATCACTAATAAAAACGTGCTGACAAACTGTTTCGAAATTTTGGGATATCCTGTATTAAATTGGATCAATTGTTCACTGAGAAGCAGTTCTTTTCCTGAACATTTGAAATGCTCTACAATAACACCAGTTCCCAAAATAAAAAATTCTAAAAGATGCAGCGATATGAGACCAGTAAATGTGTTACCAGACATTGAAAAATTATTAGAGTCCATAGTGCATGACCAATTAATGCAGTTTATAGAAAAAAACAAAATTTAGTGGAGGCGCAAGCAGGCTTTCGAAAAAAATATTCCACAGAAACAGCTTTCCAGTTGGTAACTAAGAATTGGAGAAGAGCCATAGACTCAGAAGAAGTTGTCATAGCAGTACTGTTTGAATTTGAAGAGGGCATTTGAAACGATTGATAGAGATATTTTGTTAGGTAAATTGAAGGCATATGGTACATCAGGAAGTGTTTTAGATTGGTTTAGAAATTATTTATCTAAAAGGATGCAGGTTACAAAAGTTAATGACACTATTTCATCAAAAATTTAAAATACGTTGGGTGTTCCACAGGGCAGTATCCTGGGACCACTTCTTTTTATTTTATACATAAATGATTTACCTGCCATAGTCAAAAAATGCAAAATTCAGATTTTCGACGATGACACTATGATTTATATAAGTACTAAAAATATTCAGTCTGGTATCTCTTATATAAATGAAGACTTGAAGCTTGTCTCAAAATGGTTAGCATCTAACAGACTAAAATTAAATGCAAGTAAAACGAAAGCTTTGTTAATCGAAAAAAAAAACAATGAACAAATGTTCAACTGAATATTGATGGTGAAGATATTGAATTCGTAGAAAATTTTAAATACCTGGGGGTTTTTGTTGACTCTCGATTAATTTTTTATATTCATTATGAAAAAGTTATAATTAAGATTAGTAGTAAAGTGGGATATTTATCGAGAGTTTCTGGATGTCTGAGTTCATATAGCAGAAAAATTATCTATAATACCATCATTCTTCCAAATTTCTTGTACTGTTCGACTATTCTATATTTAGCAAATAATTCCATTTTTGAAAGACTGCAAATTTTACAAAATAAGTGCATGAGAATAATACTAAATAAAGATAAATATACTCCAATTAGGCAAATGGCTCAATGTAAAAATTTTTATCAAACATCTTGTAATAATATTAATTTATAAAGTAAAAAATAATATATTTCCATCAAGTCTAACTAATTTAACATCATCAAATGTCGACCATCATTTACATAATACCAAAAATAAAGATGACTTCCATTTAATGACCAAAAAGTATAACATATGCTACAAATCTGTATTCCATCAAGGGTTGATTGAATATAATAAATTATACTCGGAGATAAAAGACCAGAAAACTTGAGAAATCACTTGTTAAATCTACAATTTAGCATTTACATCATACACCATATGGCTTGAATTTACTAGTTCTAAGTTGTTTACAATTGTTCTGTTTATGTAGCCAAATGTGCTAAATAAATCTTTCTACTACTACTACTAACGCCATATGAAATAAGTAAACATATCGAGTCTCCGTACCTAGAAATACTCTAATAAATTAAGCACGAGCTGTCGGTCTTCTCCATTGATCGTACTTCCGGGCATTGTACAATTTTATATTGCATGCCGACGTCAAATAAGTTGTCACTCTGACAAATATGATAAAGACAAAGTTTTCGAGACGGAGAAACACAACTAAAAAATGTATGTCTGAACTTACCGAACAAACGTTAACACACAGGGGTAGGTTGCATGTGTATGTATGAGGGAGATGGAGATATATAAAGGGATACTGGTAGTCTTACTTTGAACGGTGACTACAACTATACCAAAGAATTTCTTTTCAGGAGAAACGGTGGCCGATTCGAACCTATCCAGAGCGAAAGACAGCCTAGAAAACCTGAAAGATGAACGAAACGTACCGAACGATGAATGGCGTTCCAAATCCTGCCCTTCGACATCAAAAAATTCCCCCGAATCGCCGAAATCATCGCCCGTTCTTCACTCCGGCGGCGCTAAGCCCGGAGGGCGATCCCTATTCTGGGACCCGTTCGAGAAGAAAACGCGCAAAAACTGGGACACGAATCGCAAAAAGAAAAAATACTTGGAACCGCCAAAAAAAGAGATCGCTTCGATGCCGATTGAGGGTAAATCGTGTCTAATAAAAAAGGAGAAACCTGAAACGACTGCAACATCGAACGAAAACGATACCGTTGAAGAAGAGTGTCCGTACAAGTACAAATATTTTCCGAAAAACAGCAAATCAGTAGAGTTTACTCAGGAAGTGTTCGTGGTGTATTTCAACGGCGAGGAGGTCGTGCACGAGTCTAAGGAACCCTTGAAGAAGGACGAGGAACAACAGGAGAGGAACAAGGAGATGAGGCAAGGACACATCTTCAAAGCGAGGGATACCAAGTACAATCTGTGCCTTTATTGAGTAAAAAAGTGTGGCGATGTATGTGCAGTCCTCCAACGTGAATATGTATTATCGTGTTGTTTATTTATATAATATAATGCAAATATATGCGATCCAATTATTTCTCTATTTTAAGCACTTTTCATACGAAAAGTAGCTAGCTGCGTCGTTTTGAGGTTATGGAAAATGTAGTAATTTACTCCACTGTGGCGTCCCTTACTGATATATTTTGACATGATATTTCCATCTTGAGATTTTTTACTTCTATTTATTAAATAATTTTATAAAATGATTAATACTGATCCTTTAAAGCCATAGTGATGCAATTTCATTAACAATTTTGCCCTACCTGTAGTCTCAAATGCACTTATGAAGGGTAAAAATACTGTTACAATACATTATTTCTCATCTACGAGCCCCTTCCCACTTCAGTTGGCCCAACTATTGGAATTTTAGTTTTTTCTTATCAAACACCAATAATAAAAATGTAGCACGGTGTTATAGGTTTAAAATATTAACAATGAATATTTTGATAATATATAGTAGAAAACACCAAGTTCCTCGCTCCCTAATCAAATTTGCAGCATAAAAATAACACATGTTGCAATTACAGCATATCAACCTATTTTCATTTCAATGCAAAATAAGTCTATAACGCATAGGTGGCTGTTAAAAATAAAAGCCATGACAATTGTTTTTATTAATCACAGCTGTCAGAATACGTTTAAAATAGTTTTGGGTAGTTAAGGTTTTCAAAATGGGTAGAGGAAAGGTTATTAGTGAGAAAATTCGGTTACTGATAATTAAATTTTTTAATTCTGGGAAATCAAACTCAGAAATTGCAACTTTGTTAGACTTATCGCGGTACAGTGTGAGAAATATTGTTAGAAGATATAACGTGACTAGTTCAGTTAATATTAAGCCACGATATGTGAAAAAAAGTAATATCACAAATGCCGACCGAAGAGCATTAAGAAGAATAATCGTGAAAAACAGGCGTGCCAATTATTTACAATTAAGTGCTCTGTGGAGTGACGCTGTTGGAAGGAGAATTTCGAGGTCCACAACTCATAGAGAGGCCCACAAACTGGGATTTAGCACTTGCAAGGTAAGTTTTCTTATAAAAAAAAGTGAAGTAAAAACCCTAAAATTGCACAACTTGTTTATAGGCCAAAGAAAAGCCACTATTAACTCCACTGCAAAAGAAAAATCGGCTTAGAAGGGCTAAAGAACATAGACAACGGACACCTCAACAATGGTGTGCAATACAGTGGAGTGATGAGGCCCGATTCGAAGTTTGTGTAGGTGACAGTCACAGTAGTTATTCGCAAAAAAATGAAGCATTCCATGTTGACTCTCTGAAGAGAAAAGTGAAATTTCCAGCATCCATTATGGTCTGGGGCAGTATGTCATCAAAAGGAGTAGAAAAACTTCATTTTATTGATGGAAATGTGGATACAAACAAATATTTGGCAATTTTAGAAGAATCGCTTTGACCAGTGATGGAAGAATGTTTGACATCCGGCCAAGATTTTGTGTTTCAGCAAGATGGTGCAGCGTGCCATACCTCAAAAAAGGCTATAAAATGGATGGAAGAAAATAATGTACCACTTTTGAAATGGGTTTCTAGCAGTCCAGATCTGTCACCTATTGAAAGTTTGTGGCACGAGATGAAAAAGGTTCTACGACAACATCCTGCTCGTACAATCACCGAACTGAGACAAAAGCTTCAAGAAATATGGGATTATTTTACACCAAATTTTTGCCAAAACTTGGAAAACACTATGCCCTAAAGAATTTCAGCCGTAATAAAAAATAAAGGTGATGTTACCCAATGGTAATCTTTCTATTGTTTATTTGTTCAGATGTTCTATTAGTTATAGGTCTAAGTGATTTCAAATAAGTATTTTTTTAGACTAGAGTGTATCTAAAATGTTTTTGAGAAAATAAATTGTTTTAGAAGTAAATACAGGGTGGCCCATAAGTCCTTTGAGCTGGAAAAAAAGGAATAAAACCAAACTAGCTACATTATGAAGAATTATTATATTTTGTTATCATCTTTATTGAATGGGAATTATGTTTTAAAAATCACATCGTCTAAATGCAATCCATTACGATCACGGCACTCATATAAACGACGTCTAAAATTGTCGATGACTGCGCGGCAAGTCAACACTGTAATGCTTGCCATTTCTCTTCGGATATTTTCTTTCAGGACATCAACTGATCGCGGAGTGGTGTCGTACACTTTACTCTTGAGGTAGCCCCATAAAAAGAAGTCAATTGGGGTCAAATCTGGACTACGTGGTGGCCAGGAAATGTCTCCTCTTCGAGAAATTACTTTGCTGGGAAAAAGTTGACAGACGACGGGCATAGAAGTGTTGGAGGTGTGGGCAGTTGCTCCGTCCTGTTGAAACCAGGTCTGCGTATTATAGCCTGGAAAATTCTGCAACGCTGGTGTCAAAAACTCTTCTATCATTGCTACATACCGCTCCGAAGTAACAGTTAATGCGCGACCTCTGTCGACCTCAAAAAAATAAGGGCCTACGATGCCATGCGCTGACATAGCAGCCCAAACTGTAACTTTAGGGCTGTGTAAGGGCTTCTGATGCTTATGCATTGGATTTTCGGGGATCCAATAATGGCAATTTTGTTTATTTACATGCCCGTTTAAATGGAAGTGAGCCTCGTCCGAGAACAACACATTATTGAGCGAAGAAAATCGATTCAACATTTCATTCGCAAAGTTTAGTCTCTGAATAGCGTCATTATCTTTTAATTCCTGCACTAACTGAATTTTGTAAGCGTGCAGACGTAAATCTTTCCTTAAAATCCGCTGTAAAGATGTTCTGGGTACGTTTAGTGCACTGGAACGCTTACGAGTAGACTGGGTAGGATTTTGACGAACAGACTGTGCCACAATGTTGATGTTTTCTTCAATACGAGTTGTCCTTGGTCGACCCCACCGCTGATTATCTAACGTCGAACCAGTCTCTTCGAACTTAGCAACCCAGTTCTTAATCGTTTGAGCTGTTGGACACTTTGTAAAATTGTGTAAATTGTAGTATTCTCGATATTTACGCCGCGCAATGGTTGCCGAATCATTATTTTGATAAAACGCGCGCACACAAAAAGCACGATCCGCTCCAGTGAAACACTCCATGGCGACTGAATTCCCAGACACTGAAGATACTGCCCCCACCTCGCCCGCGCCGCTCACGCTCACCCGTTAAATTTTATTCAAATTTGAAATTTCAAAGGACTTATGGACCACCCTGTAGTTTCGTCTTGTTTAGTTTATAAAGGCATATTTTGGTACAAATCTTGAAGTGGGAAGGGGCTCGTATGTACTTTGGTCCATTACTGTAGATTGAGATTTATCTCAAAGCCCTAATTCCTATCCATATTTTCTAACCTCCGATTTTAAATATTTAAAAAATATAAACATCACTCACCGCCATCCTTTCCGGCGTAAGGTACTCGTCTTCCTCCACGCCATGATGCCTGTTCGGGTAATACGTCACGCTGGATATAACCTTGTTGATTTCGTTCAGCGCGTTCATTTTTCCGTTGAAGCTGCTGATCTGCAACTGCCTCAGGATCATCGTCAATCTGAACCCCTCCAACGTTCTGATCAGCTCCTCCTGATCGGGGACGCGCGACGCGAGGTTTTTCGACGCTTTTATGATTGCGGACACGATGTCGCTCTTCTGTTCGCTTTTCGCTTCGCGTTTCAGCTCGTCGTCGGTCAGTTTGTCCAGGATGCCCGGGATCATTTCCTACAAAAAGAAAATAGAAGAAATAGAAGATGCGAAAAGTCAAAGTAGGGGGTGGAGGATGCAACCCGTATACTTGATGAGGCTGAAATATATTTCCTCCTCGCTATGTTCTTCCGGTTCGGCAATGGCTAGACGAATTTGAAGATAAGTGGATAGGGCGAAGAGAGCCTATAGTATGTAGTAGTAGTAGTAGTAGAAAGATTTATTTAGCACATTTGGCAGAACAATTTATTGTAAACAATTTAGAACTAGTAAATTCAAGCCATATGGTGTATGATGTAAATGCTGGGCAACCTATAATTGTAGATTCAACAAGTGATTTCTCAATTTTACTTTAAATTTTGTCAAAGTTTTCTGGTCTTTTATCTCCGAGTATAATTTATTATATTCAATCAACCCTTGATGGAATACAGATTTGTAGCATATGTTATAATTTTTGGTCATTAAATGGAAGTCATCTTTATTTCTGGTATTATGTAAATGATGGTCGACATTTGATGATGTTAAATTAGTTAGACTTGATCGGAATATATTATTTTTTACTTTATAAATGAATATCATTACAAGATACAGTGAAAGCTCTCCTTGCGGACAGCTCCTATAAGCGGACATCTCTTTTAACCGGACAAAGTTCCTGGAACCGGATTTCAGCCATCAATTTTCAATGTTAAATGCATTCCGATAAACGGACGCTCTTATAAACGGACGCGGACACTAAATTTTCCTGTATGTGATCAAAAAATCTCCCATAAGCGGACGCGAAACTCTAATACCCGGACGATTTTTTAGTTCCGCTTATTGCAATGCACATATCTACATACATAAAATTCGGTAATTCCCCGATTTATATTAGGTGATTCCCCATTTACGCATTTCGTTGGGTAGCCTGTATGTAATCTTGTGGCTTGTCTTCAGTTCAGGCAAATTCGTAGTTGATTGAGTTACGTATTTTATTATTGTAACTGTAAAATGGCACCAAAAAAAAAGGATGCTCCCGTTAAAGGAAAAGATGGAAGTTGTTAACGTATTAGACAGAGAAAGTGTTTCAGTTCGTCATTTGGCAAAGAGGTTTAATATTGGGAAAACGCAAGCAGCTGAAATTGCCAAAAATAAGGAAGATATCAGGAGTAAATGGCAATCAGGAACTAATATAAATCAAAAGAAGGATTTTTTAAAAAAGGAAGGTTTTGCTATAGACAAAACATGTTTTGAGTGGTTTGTGAAAGCTAGAAGTCAGAACATTCCAATCTCAGGGCCGTTAGTGAAAATGAAAGCTAAAGAAATCGCCACTATTTTGGGCTATAATAATTTCAGTGGGTCCGACGGGTGGCTGCAAAAGTGGCGCAAGAGACATAGTGTGAGTTTCAAATGCATATCTGGCGAAGCTGCTGCAGTAGATCAAGTTGATGTGTCACAATTTTTGGAGAAACTTCCGTCCATGTTGCTTGGCTACAAACCAGAAGATGTGTACAACGCAGATGAGAGTGGACTTTTTTTTCGCGCATTGCCCGACAAAACTCTGTCCTTTAAAGGAGAAACATGTGTGGGTGGTTGTCTAAAGATAGACTAACCATTTTATTCTGTGCAAATATGGCCGGTGAAAAATGCGATTTGATTGTGATCGGGAAAGCGGCTCGTCCCCGTGCTTTAAAAAACGTTGCTATTAAAGATCTACCAGCGACTTGGAAATCCAACAAAAAGGCATGGATGACCCGAGAAATCATGTCTGAGTGGTTAGTCGAATTCGACCGGAAAAAAGGCAAGTTCTTTTATTTTTAGACAATGCATGCTCTCATCCTCGTGATATGAAAATGAAAAATGTGAAAATTATATTTTTACCGCCAAACACAACTTCTGTTTGTCAGCCCATGGATCAAGGTGTCATACAGAACTTTAAATTTTATTATCGGCACTTGATTTTAAAACATATTTTAACAAAAATTGACGATGGTCAAAGCTTATCTGAGCTTACAAAGTCTATCAATGTATTAGAAGCTTTGTATTTTATAAAAACAGCATGGAATAAAGTAAATTCCTCTACATTTAAAACCTGTTTTGGCAAAGCTGGATTTAGAAAAAGTGAATGTAGCTCAGAATTTGCTGAGCAAAATTATTGCGATGCTGAAGACGATCTGCCCTTAGCGACACTTGCTCAGTTACTGCGACATGCCAAACATTTAGGAGTAGCAGATCCCCAGAAAGTAGATGATTTCCTGGCCATAGACAATAACATAACAACAGAAGAAAATGCCATCGGCAACTTTTCGAATTTGGATGTAGAAAGCCCAGGCCAACTTGAATATGGTAGTCCAAACGACTCAGAAGAAGAAGTGGAACTGGTGGACTCACTAAGCGGTTCAAAAACGATAAATTCATATGGGGAAGCTCTAAATCATATTTCTATATTGAAAAAATTTGCTAAAGATGATTTCACTGCATTTCAACATTTGAAAAATTTAGAAAGTTATTACGAAAATTGTCTCCTTCAGCAAAAGATGGTGAAATTTCGTCAGACAAACATTTTAAACTTTTTTCAACAAGCTAAAGAATAATGTTTTTTTTAAATTCTCGTACCATGTATTGAAGCATTTATGTTTTTGTATGCGTATATGTACATATATTATATAGATATATAGCATAAATACATACTTTAAAAATGTGGCGAGTTTCTGTTTCATTTTTCTCATGATTATAATACCTCATTTCCTCATGATTATATACCCCGTTATTTATACTCTATACTTACATACTCTCTTTTAAACGGACACCTCCCATAAGCGGACAAAAGTTACGGAACCGTGAGTGTCCGCTTATGTGAGCTTTCACTGTATTTGATAAAATTTTTTACATTGAGCCATTTTAATTTGCTAAGCATTTGCCTAATTGGAGTATATTTATCTTTATTTAGTTGCAGTCTTTCAAAAATGGAATTATTTGCTAAATATAGAATAGTCGAACATATATCATTACAAGATATTTGATAAAATTTTTTACATTGAGCCATTTTAATTTGCTAAGCATTTGCCTAATTGGAGTATATTTATCTTTATTTAGTATTATTCTCATGCACTTATTTTGTAAAATTTGCAGTCTTTCAAAAATGGAATTATTTGCTAAATATAGAATAGTCGAACAGTACAAGAAATTTGGAAGAATGATGGTATTATAGATAATTTTTCTGCTATATGAACTCGGACATCCAGAAACTCTCGATAAATATCCCACTTTACTACTAATCTTATTTATAACTTTTTCATAATGAATATCAAAAATTAATCGAGAGTCAACAAAAACCCCCAGGTATTTCAAATTTTCTACGAATTCAATATCTTCACCATCAATATTCAGTTGAACATTTGTACATTGCTTTTTTCCGATTAACAAGGCTTTCGTTTTACTTGCATTTAATTTTAGTCTGTTAGATGCTAACCATTTTGAGACAAGCTTCAAGTCTTCATTTATATAAGAGATACCAGACTGAATATTTTTAGTATTTATATAAATCATAGTGTCATCGGCGAAAATCTGAATTAAGCATTTTTTGACTATGGCAGGTAAATCATTTAGGTATAAAATAAAAAGAAGTGGTCCCAGGATACTGCCCTGTGGAACACCCAACGTATTTTCAATTTTTGATGAAATAGTGTCATTAACTTTTGTAACCTGCATCCTTATAGACAAATAATTTCTAAACCAATCTAAAACACTTCCTTTTATACCATATGCCTTCAATTTACCTAACAAAATATCTCTATCAATCGTTTCAAATGCCTTCTTCAAATCCAAAAATACTGCTATGACAACTTCTTCCGAGTCTATGAATCTTCTCCAATTCTCAGTTACCAACTGGAAAGCTGTTTCTGTGGAATATTTTTTTCGTAAGCCTGCTTGCGCCTCCACTAAAATTTTGTTTTCTTCTATAAACTGCATTAATTGGTCATGCACTATGGACTCTAATAATTTTTCAATGTCTGGTAACACATTTACTGGTCTCATATCGCTGCATCTTTTAGAATTTTTTATTTTGGGAACTGGTGTTATTGTAGAGCATTTCAAATTTTCAAGAAAAGAACTGCTTCTCAGTGAACAATTGATCCAATTTAATACAGGATATCCCAAAATTTCGAAACAGTTTTTCAGCACGTTTTTAGTAGTGATTTCGGCACAGTTGTTATTTGATTTTAAACTGTTTACTTTTTTCTTAGATAATTCAATGATACGCTGTGAAATTTTGAAAGTGTATGCAACATTTCCCCCTGGAAACTGATTTTCATATAGTCAGGTGCAGCATTGGCAGTACCCACAATATCAAAAATACTTTCCACAAAATATTCATTTAGTTTGTTTGCAATCACCAAAGAATTTGTTTCAGTACCGTTTTCGAATTGAACTTGATTTACACAATCATGCGGCTTCGAATTGATCAGTCTTTTTAAAGTCTTCCACATCTTTACACTGCCGCACTTGTTATTATCGATTTGTTTATCGTAGAATTTCCTTTTTTCTTCTCTAATTACATATACACATTTATTCCTTAGAGTTTTATATACCTCCCAATCATCATTTGATTTTGTGAATATACATTTATTGTATTGTTTGTCTCTCAAATTTTGAGCTGCCTTAATATTCTTGTAATACCAGGGTGTATTTTTTGTCGAGCAAATCACTTTTTTATCAGTTGCAAGATCTAAACAAGTTTTTATATTTCCTATTATGTTGTCATATATTTTTTCCATATTCTCACCAAAATTCCAATAGCAGCCTGCTAGATCTCCTGATTTGACGCCATTAGACCTGAATGTTTGGATGAACTTTCAAACAATACCCCTTGTCATTTAAAATGTTGAACCGGATCACCCTGGGGGAAGCAGTTTTTTATTTAAAAAGGTGTCCCCCTTGGCGTTTTTTCTTTTAATCAGTGGTTTTCGATAAATCCGTGGTGCGAAGCTTTCAAATTTTTTACACCCTGTACATAACTTGATGGAAATTTCATAGACTCAATTTTTCCTGTATGTAGATTTTTGGGACGGAAATCCACGCTATGTTAAATGAATATCTGATTCTTTGGAAATAAATACGTACCAGTATCGGCAGAATATACTTGTTGATGGTATGCGTGGTCAAATATTCGTAACACAATCCGAAAGGCCTCAGCAACGCGAACACTATCGACACGCTCAAATTCTGACCGGTCTGGAACCTGTCTAACAATATCTGGAACCCGCCCAACTCTCCGAATCTGGAAGAGAAGATAACAGAAACATGATTCTTAAATAATAACGGTGTGTAGCGTTTTCAAGCATTATTGCCCAACTGTAATCGGAAAGAAAACTACTTGTTTCAAATCAATATGGATTTGAAAGGGGGGGTTCCAAAACGGCCTATTGTTTACCTCAAATTCGTGCCTAATCAGGATTTCTTGACGCTTATAGCGGTATTTTTTTATTTATATAGTTCGTCGAAGTTTGCATGTTAAGACAACGATTTATAAAAGGAAAAATCCAACTCATTTTCCAAGTATTATACCTGTTTATCAGGTCGACCAGCCAGCCCCTCGGATTTCTAGGATCACTCGAAGGCCTGGAAAACAGTTCCTCTTCGGTTAGGTTCAAATTCGGCCCTGCAGTTTCGCTCTGTCTTGATGAATTGTAAGTATGGAATTTGTTATTCGGATTCAGAACCATAGCCAGCAAGTCGAGGAGAGGAAACCTTGAGAAAAAAATCATTAAATCAGCATGGTATTCAATATATTTTAATATTTACCGGTAGGCGCTTTGGCAGCCAAATTTGAGTACATTTTTCAACAATTCAACTTAAGACATTTTATATTCCTCGAAATTTATTGCTCAGGATATTTAACTAAAAAAAACTAACTTTGGCTGGGTTAAGTTAGAATGGTTTTATTTTTTTATTCACAACATACTGCCTATTTTGATAAAAAGAATAGAATTCTCCTGCGAGCAACCACAACAAAATAATTATATTTTTTAACTGCTAGAAATGAAAACACGTTCGAACATTTTCTCTCTATTTTGTGGTGCGATTAAAAAGTATTGTATAGGATTGTCCAATAGGGACGCAGGAAAGTAAACGTCAATTTGACATAGACGCCATCTTTGTTTTCTGTCACCGACATGTCATTCTGTTAGTTGAATGTTTACCATTGATCGCTATGGAGTCGTATTCGATTGAAGGCCGCATTAAAGTTATTCAAGAGCACTACAAAAGTGGTGCAAAAATAAAAAACACGTTTCGCGCGCTTCGTGAACATTTCGGTCGCAACAACCGCCCAAACGAAACAACCGTCGGTCGTCTGGTGCGTAAATTCGAGGCAACAGGTTCTGTGGCAAATCTGCCGGGCTCCGGCCGGCCAAGGAGCGTTCGCACACCGGAAAATATTGCTGTTGTGAAGGAGAGTGTGGGAGACGATCCGAAACAATCAACAACGCGTCGATCCCAAGAATTGGGCATTTCGAGAACCAGTTTGCTCCGCATTCTCCACAAGGATTTGAATGTACACGCCTACAAGATCCAATTGACGCAAGAGCTGCGTCGGGCCGACTATTTTTCGCGCCGAACGTTCTCAGATTGGCTCCTTGAACACCGCCAAATTGATGCCAATTTTTCATCAAAAATCATGTTCAGCGACGAAGCGCATTTCACTTTGAATGGGACGGTAAACAAGCAAAACTGCCGCATCTGGGCGAACGAAAATCGCTGTGAGTATCAAGAGCAGCCGATGCATCCTCAAAAAGTGACTGTGTGGTGTGCATTGTGGTCAAAAGGCATCATCGGACCTCACTTTTTCGAAAATGCGGCCGGGGACGCCGTTACCGTCAATTCTGAGCGATATCACGTGATGATAGAGGACTATTTTTTGCCGCAACTTGAAGGAATGGATATGGACGATGTTTATTTCCAAGAAGACGGTGCAACATGCCACACAACCAACGTCAATATCCATCGATTGCAGTCCTTCTTCGGTGATCGCGTGATTTCGCGCAGAGGAAATGTGCCATGGCCACCAAGATCGTGCGATTTGACTCCGTTGGACTTCTTTTTATGGGGATATTTGAAAGTCTACGTCAACAAACCAGCCACCCTCCAAGAACTCAAAAACAACATCATTACCGAGATAAATGCCATAGAACCGACCATGTTGCAAAATGTCATTGAAAATTTCGACCATCGCGTGGACGTCTGTAAATCCAGTCGTGGTGAACATTTGAGCGATATTATTTTTCATACATAAATGGTATAAATTAACCTTCAAAATAAAGTACCCAACTTGATTTGAATATCAATCTTTCTTGTTTAAATATGCGTTTACTTTCCTGCGTCTGTTTTGGACAACCCCATAGTTTCATAATTATATACTCGGTGACATTAAAAGTGTAATACCCAGAAAAAATGATTTTTTGGCAATGAGGTAGTTTTAAATCAAGAATGAAACGATAGCCTTCTCACGACATTTTGTTGACAATAAGAAAAAAAATTAATGTGTTGGGCAACCGCGCAGTTGAAAACACTCTTGTATTCGTCCAGGCATCGACAAAATGAGATGATCGATGTCTGGTTGTGGCACCTCATTCCAAGCAACTTGAACTTAGTGGATTATCTGTGGCGGATGGTGCAAAGTGGATAGTCTCCTCCCCATCATATCCCATACATGTTCGATCGGATTTAAATCCGGTGAATGGGCTAGTCACGGCAAAACATTAATACCTGCTTGACGCTCTGTGGTACACCTCGGTGGACCAGTAGGCCTTCTTCTTGTTCCTCTACCTTCTTCTATCCACACACGACACACACACATTACCGCCATTGCAGTACAATTAACACGGTGGCCAATTTCGCGATAGGACCAACCAACATCTCGATGTCACCGAGTATATATCGTAATTCATCGACGAATCAAATTTTAATCAACAATCTAAGAGAACGCTATCTCGGAATTCTTATACTCACCAATCATGAGGTAGCTTGGCAACGCAAAGTTCGATCAGCTTAAGGCAGTTTTGGAAAATGCAAGCGTGAATATTCGGCTTCCAGCTCGATACAGCATCATCGGTAAGGATCTTCGTGAAGGAAGTCGTCAATCCTTCACGAAAGAACCTTTGACACGGCTCTGAACGTATGTCTAGGTTCTTTTTGGACAGCTCAATTGATACCTTAAGAAAAAACGATAAATAGATACATATTGCCCAAAAAAACGGTTACGAATCGTATTATTTTATGCTTCAAAATGCCTTTAACAAAATCGATGATTTTCTAAATACTGATTTTAACCTATTGTGATAAATCAAATCCTTCATACTAAATGAATTTTTTTTTCTCGTTCTGTGTTATAACAATTCCAAACATTTCTATTAAATGAAATGAAATCAGAAAAGCTAATATTGTTAACATATTCTCCGAAAAGTAAAAATAACGCAATAAAAAAGTTGGTACCTTAAGTAGACATTCTAGTTCCTGATCAGCCAATACCGGTACGACCCATCTTAGATTAGATATTTTTTCATCTAGAGATGCTAGTTTATCCTTAGGGAAATCTGGTTCATAGTTTTCATCTTGGATTTCATCAGGATTGTTGTCAGATGGTCCGGGGGATAAGCCCTGGAAATATCATACTTTAAAATCATATTCAATCTTTTTTCAAGCTGCATTTTCCATATTTTTAATATGCATTTGCCATATTTTCAAAATGCATTCACCATATTTTCAAAACAATTTAAAAATATACCCATAATATTTGCAAGATTAATTCACTACAATTTAAAAATACATCCACCATATTTTAAAAAAAGCGTTCACGTTTTGAAAATGCATCCACTATATTTCATAAATGCACTTTTAAAATCACATTCACCACATTTACAAAATTAATTGACCACAACTTTAAAATGTAATCACCATAATTTAAAAATGCATTCACCATATTTTGGGGATATATTCACCGTGTTTTCAAGAGAAATTTAGCATATTTTAAAAATTTGAGCATACTATAAAAACGCATTCACCATATTTTCAAATGTCTTTCACCACAATTATGAAATGTGTTCACTTTAAATTAAAAATACATTCACCACATTTTTAAGAGGCATTCAGCATATTCTAAAAAACCTTTCGAGTTATTTTGGAAATGCTACCACCATATTTAACAAAAAAAAACAAACATAATTTAAACATAAGACCAGCATATTTGAAAGATTCATTCACCACAATTCAAAAAGGAATCCACCATATTTTTAGGAGCTTTCACATTTTGAAAATGCACTCATATTTTAAAAACGCTTTCAGCATAAAAAATTAATACCCACAATTTTGAAATGTAATCACCATAATTTAAAAGTGCATTCACCATGTTTTAAAAAACTATTCACCATTATGTTTCAAAAATCCATTCACCGTATTTTAAAAATACATTCATCTATTTTAAAAAACCTATCACACTTTAAAAATGCATTCACCTTAACTTTAGAAAACATTCACCATATTTTTAAGAGGCATTCATCATATTTTAACATAGCTTTCACATTTTGAAAACACATCGTCCATATATTTTAAAAATGCGCTCATTTTAAAAATGCTTTCGCCATACAATTTACCACAATTTTGAAATGTAATCATCCACTTATTAAAAATAAATTCATCATATTTTAATATAACATTCAACCTTTTTTTTAAGCTGCATTTTCTATATTTTCAATATGCAGTTGCTAGATTTAAAAAAAATCACCATATTTTAAAAATACTTCTGGATTCATCAATTTTTTAAGTAGCGTTCAGCATATTTTCAAAAGCTTTCACATGTTGAAAATGCATTCATATTTTAAAAACCTTTTCACCATACTAAATTGAATTTACCATATTCACCATGTTTTTAAGAGACACTCACCATATTTTAAAAAAGCTTTTATAATATTTTCAAAATGCTACCACTATATATTTATTTTAAAAATTCCATCATACTTCAAAAATGCATTCACCTTAATTTAGAAATACATTCACCATATTTTGAGGATACATTCACCATGTTTTTAAGAGACACTAGCCATATTTTAAAAAAGCTTTTAGGATATTTAAAAATGCTACCACTGTCTCAAAAATCCATTAACCATATTTTAAAAATACATTCACCATATTTTCAAATGTCTCACCACAATTTTGAAACGCATTCACCGTTTTTTAAAAATCTTTCATATTTTGAAAATGCATCCACCATATATTTTGAAAATGAAATCATATTTTAAAAATGCTTTCACCATACAAAATTAATTATTCACAACAATTTTGAAATCACGATAATTTAAAAATGCATTAAATTTATTTTGAGGATATATTCACCATGTTTTCAAGAGTCACTCGCCATATTTTAAAGAAGCTTTTAGAATATGTTGAAAATGCTGCCACTATGTCTCAAAAATCCATTAACCATATTTTAAAAAATACCTTCACCATATTTTAAAAATATAATCATGCTTTAAAAATGCATTCACCATATTTTCAAATGTCTTTCACCATAATTTTGAAATGCATTCACCATATTTTAAGAAACTTCCACATTTTTAAAATGCATCCACCATACATTCTGAAAATCCAATCGTATTTTAAAAATGCTTTCACCATACAAAATTAATTATTCAGAACAATTTTGAAATCACCATAATTTAAAAATGCATTAAATTTATTTTGAGGATACATTCACCATGTTTTTAAGAGGCATTCCCCTTATTTTTAATAAGCTTTCAGCGTATTTTGAAAATGCCACCACTACGTTTCGAAACTTGATTCACCATATTTAAAAAATTCCATCACAGTTTTAAAATGCATTCACCTTAATTTACAAATACATTCACCGTACTTTTAAGATATTTTAAAAAACCTTTGCGTATATTTTGGAGATGCACCACCATATTTTAAAAAGCATTTGCTATATTTTGAAAATACATCCACCATATTTATATTCTGGGTATATATAGACAAATACAAAGTTTTGGCTCGGCACTGGAAAATTTACTATAAAACTATAATAAGTAATACCTAAATTTATATTTTATGCATAAACAACAATCAGAATAACAGTGCAGCATTCAGAGATTGGATAATGAAATGGTTAGAATGTAATCAGCTGATTCTACATGTTTTTTGCATTTGGGTGTGTTACCTGTGATTCAATCGTATCTCCTGTAATTCCTTGTCCTCTAGTTGCAATAGTCATATTTCTTCTTGGTATATTAATTCTAAATGATCATTGTCGAATGATACACTACAACAAAAAGCATCACTTGATCACTTTTATCAGTATACTATCACAACAATCAGCCCTAAAAGTGTCAAATTACGCTGCAATAGCGTAGAATTAGTCGATATTTCTCTTTTTGAATTGGGGACGTCGGAAAATGTGGAACATTAGAGCATTTTAAAGGAAAATTGGGAGTGACAGATACAGGGAATTTGACAACCCTACGATTCACACAAAGATATAATACTGACCCTATTTTGGTAAGGAACGATCAACTCCGCAGCCCCTGAATATACTAGCTGGACAGATTATTCTGCTCAGTTCTGTCTGCTGGATTCTTTCGTCGTATCACTTTGGTTTTTGACAAGTCTTGCTCTGTAGAACAACTGTAAAATGCACCGGCATATACAAAATGGCGCCGTCAAATCCTACGATTAAATATTATTCTAAAAATATCCTCTTACTCAGCAACGATTCACTGAAAGGGGATCACAATTCTTATCCATTTATGCACTTATTTAAATGTACGAAGCTGTTTTGGAGAAATCCTCTCGACTGTGGTGTGTTGACGTACCGAGAAATATTTTGCAGGCACGTCGTGAATTTGCGAATCGTTGCCAATTGTCTGGTGAATTTTCTAGGGGAAAACAGAAAGACTTGCTTTAATGTTGGAGTTCCTGTAAAATATGTCAAATTGACAGTTCAAATAGATAGAAGAGCAAGATCACGTGGAGTGAGAAAGAGGCGTAATGTCAATGTGTCTTATAACTGCGCCTCATCGTTTAGGATACACCTGTTCTCCTCCATCTTCTTCAAAGCCACGCCTCTTTTACACCTAATTTTATAAACTCCTCCCCATTTTTAGCCCATCTGACCACGCCTTATTTCCTATTATTTAAAACCACGCCTTCTTTCCAATCAAGTTCACAGGTGTACTAAATTTTGTCTAGACTTAGTACTCTTATGTTTTCTCCATTAGCAATTTCCAAAAATTTTCAGACTGTTCTTAGGTAAATTCATTTTTGTGACAACATTTAAAAATACACCTTCTAATTACTATTGAAGTCCAAATTTTATAGATGTCAATAACATATTTATGCATTATTATTTAAATGTCCACTGTATATACATACAGGGTGGCCCAAAGAAAAGGTCGCACCCTCATTTTTCATCTTCGTCAGCGGATTAGGGCGGAGAGCAGAGAAATAACTCATAACATGCTTGAGGAATAGATCCGAACAAAATGTTTATTATTGCATTGGAGGTAAATGGACACCACTTTCAGCATTTATTACCACATTAACCTATCTATCTGTTTATAGCAAATTAATTCTTACTTTAACTTTAATGTGCTTGTAACCTGTGAGTTGTTTTTCGTTTTTCTTTTAATACTGGGAGACTTGTTTTTAATTTTAAAGTAAAGTCTTGTTACTTCGCGAACTATGTTGAATACGATACGATATAATCCCTTCTAGAATTTCATTATAAACTCAAATAGCTTCACAACGATTGAAAATAGATGTAAACGTTATTATACAAAAGTTACTAAGAACTTTATGGAAAATCGAAAAATTAAAGTGTAACGAAATATCTTATTCTTGAATCACCCTGTATTGTACGACTATAGATGAAAAGACGTGCCACTAGCAATCAAAATAGACGTTTTCCCCAAAATATATCAGGACAGTCACAAATGGGTTTGTGACCCTATAGATATGAATAAGTCCATGAAAGCCCATCCATTTTAAGTATTTTGAAATTAACGCGTTCACCATATTTTTAATTGACGCGTTCACAATTTTCAAAATGCGTTGACCATAACTTGGAAATACATTATCTACCAGATTTACTCAAAAGCATTCACAATATTTAAAAAACGCATTATATACTATCAGTTTATTAAAACTACATACTATAACAATATTTCAAAAACAATAGTCTAATAATTACAGACACAATTAAATAAAAATAATCTAATACTAAACATTTATACCAAATTCAGGTTAGTCAGAAAAAAGTTCATAGTTCTTGATAAAGCTGAAAAAAAAGTATAAACACAATGCTACAGATACACTGTGTTTCCTGATTTAATATCAATACTTAAAGAGACGATTTTTAGGTCCATTTTAAGAAGAAAACTAAAAAATGCATGTCCTTTTCTAATTAAATTAGACAAACATGTACTATATATGTTGAGGCATTTTTTAATGTACCACTATTCCAAATCAGTAGGCATGTCAAATGATTTATTTTTAAAAACTTTACTACTCTCAGAAATTAAGACATTTGACATACATTCATATGAAGTTTTCTTCTTAAAATGGACCCAAAAATCGCTCCCTTAAATATTGACATATTCCATTAGAAAATACCTTGTATTATTATAAAATGGTAGATAGCTTGTATTATTGAAGTTACTACATAAAGGATGATTTATTTAAGGGTAATTTTTCGTACTTCGTAAGCACTTTTAGCAATTTTGTGTCAATAAAGAATTAATTGTCTTAGAAGAAGACAATCATTTGAGGCCCCAACAAATATTCAGGCTAACAAATTCATCATTCGCCTTATTTTTTGACATATTATCCTGGGTTACACCCTGGACATATTTTCTGGCACATACCTATCCAAAAATCAATTGCTCTTTTCTCCATGCCGTCCATCAGCTACTGAACTGGATTCTCTTGCATGAGAATTTTCAGGAATTCTTTCCATTTTCAACATAAACTTAAATATGCTTTTATCGTTTAAAAACATCTGGTTTATAGAGTGGCATGTTTCGATATAAACACCTAACTCTTTCTTAGTTATGTGTTTCCTTATTTTTTTCAGTTCTCTTTTTCCTTTCTTATGCCAGTAGTCATATTTGAGTATATTGCCCCTAAGTTTAAAATACTCTCTTTTTAACAATGAAAACCTCAATTGGTTTCCATACACTCGTTCCACATTGTCCAGTCTTTCCCAATTGCTGCCTCCTTCTGCAACGACGCTGGATTCAAACTCTCTCAAGGAAACATTCATTATAGGGCAAGCTGGAGATTTTTTTTTGGACAGATGCATATATTTTTTGAAAAACATGATCCAGAGTAGTTTTTTATCTTGGGCTAAAACAAAATTCGATAAGTTGTGGAACCAACAGCACTACAAAACTAACCCGTCAGTTTATTCGTACTTTTTTTCATGTTTCTGTTCTCTGTTGTTTTGGTCAAACGTTTTTTCAACATTCTCAACTTTATCAATGAGGAATTAAAAACCCTTCAAATTTTGACGGTTGATAATTTGGTAACAGTAAATATTGAATAGTAGGCGTGGCACAACGATATTTTGGCGTGGTTTAATGCCACGCCCCCTTTTAACTAAGGTGTGCTCACTCTGCCTGGCGCAAGGACTGTGCACCGAAACATGCCAGTTGTCAGAATTTTCCGACATAACCTAACGAACTTTCTTTTCTGTTTGACCCGCTTGAACTCGTGCTTCGTCGTGCTTGTTCTCTTGGAGCTAAGGCCTATCGGCGACTTGCACAAATTTTATAACAAGAAAAATGACTTCCAACGCTGAATTAGCTTGTGTTTACTCCTCTCTGATCTTGTCCGATGATGATATTGCTGTTACGGTAAGCAAAAACCAAAACTAACTACAAACAACTAATCCGCTAAAATTTCACAAATCCTTCAGAATATTAAATAATTCTCAGCTTTATTTACTATATTAGCCTTTATCCTGTAGTGTATGTGACATATTTGTACGTTTTTCTTCTCGAATTACGCGAAAAAAGTATATTGCAAAACGGTGATGTTTTTAGGTTCAAATTCATGTGATACTTATATTATTTATTATTAGGGCGAGAAGATCCAAACAATCCTGAAAGCAGCCAATGTCGATGTAGAGCCGTACTGGCCTGGTCTGTTCGCAAAGGCTCTTGAAGGTATCAATGTCAAGGAGCTCATCAGCAGGATTGGGTCTGGAGTAGGAGCAGCACCAGCTGGTAAGAATAACATTCGTTTGTAAATATTAACAGAAAAGAGATGCTTAATCAGCATTGGAAATAACTAATACTCAAATGATTTGATTTTGAACTATCATCAACATTTATCTTTTGATTTTAATGCTGGATTGTTATTTGAAAGTACATTTTGGGCGTTTTGGTCCCATATTCACTCATTTCAAATATTTAACTTGGTCCTTTTATATGAGAGAATGGTCACAATACTTCAAATCTGTAATAAAACACACAGAGACAAAACTTTGAACGGTCACTAACATGACTGATGGAAAGAATGGAGATTAAATCAAAAGCGTGTACCCAAATAGTAATGGTAAATCCCTGACCAACTTTAGGATGTCCCTAATTCATGCTGGGCCGAAATGCGCCACATAGGCTGTGTTTATGCTGAAGTTGGTGAATCCCCAGTTACTTGAGAAAGTCCCCCTCAACAAAAAAAATGGTTTATTTAGTTGTTTGTCCGGTTAGGAGAACATTTGCGGCAATCCAAAGTATATGAAAGTTGGTTGAGAAACTGTCCATTTAAAGCATGTGTCTGTGAAGGGGAATTTCACTACTTAAAATGCATCATTTCTGAAATATTTCAATTCAGAAACCTCATAGATTGAATCACTTTAAAATTTGAGTAAGTTTCAAGTCAAAAAAAATTGCTTTGGGAAACTTGGTGGGTTTTAAAAGCACTTTCAACTAAGGTGGATTTCAAATTTTTTAAGAGTAAAAAAAGCAGGGAATTATGAGGTTTGTCTTTTAAGTTTTGCATATGGAAATAAAACAACACGGTTGGTAGTTTTAAATAAATAAACAATTCCATGTTTTCTTCCTTGTTTTTTGGGCTGTGTGCGAGCTTGCATTGTCTTGGTGGAGGATGATTCTTCTTTCGGGGTTGATTTTTCGAAGCTCGGTGATGACTTTTGGCAAACAAGTGGTGGTATGCCAATCCACAGTAACAGTTCTTTGCTCATTAAGAGGAATTGTTGCAATATGGCTTTTGACACAAATGTCGCGACCATCTTTTTCGAAACACTTCGAGAACGGATGACTTGTTGGCTTTTCATCACCTTGGAACACCCAAACAGCCGACTGTCGTTTATTTTCTGATTCACAACAGTAAATCCACGATTCATCACCACTAACAATGCTGAACACATTTTTTTGAGTTTCCGGAATTGAAAGGGTCAAGCGTTTTTTCACACATCCCTTGTAATTGATAAAATATATTGACCTAGAGTCATGTTGAAAACTTGAGCCTTTGTTGGCTCCTACACTTTTTTTAAAGAAATAAATTTAGTCTAGAAAAAATCTTTGTCAAATGCCTGTGACATGTCAATTGTTAGTTAATGTTTTGAGTATGCAGACTGCTGAATCGTGAATTTGTCGATAGGTGGCGCTGCTGCGGCTCCCGCGGCAGCTGAAGCGGCCGCTGCCCCAGCAAAGGAAGAAAAGAAGAAAGAAGAGGAACCTGAAGAGTCTGACGATGACATGGGTCTGGGACTCTTCGACTAGACATGTGGTACAAATCGCATTGACTTGTGATCATGTATTTTAAGGAATAAAACGTTTTTATAAGATACGCAAGGAACAGAGAGCATTTTCAAAACCTCAAATGTTGTTACAATAATCCTCGAATTTCCGCATTCTTTTCAACAACACAGATATCCTGAGCGAACTGTATTTATTGTTATATTGACGTTACATGTCTGACTTCAACATTACTGGTGCAGGCAATAGAAACGTATTGCGATCTAATTTGTAAATAAGACTTTATCCAAAGATATGGCACTATATCCAATAACATCCACACAGTGCGATGAATATGCCGTTCGATGGAATATTTCACCACGTCACCTCCTTACTCTTGTCCGGCCATCATGTGTGCCCAAACAGAATCTGGACTCATCGCTGTACACGACTGGGCTCCATTCAAGTCTCTCCCTACTCCATACCACATTTAACTGACATCGTAAATCGATACCTATGTAAAAAATTCTTAAATTCTAATAAACATACTGTAGCGTTTTTCCAGGATCTTTTGGGTGTGGATTAAAACACTGAATTCCACAAAAAGAAATGCACGAATTTATTTACAACACAACACAATCAACTTCAACTTAACTAAACAGAACATTTATGTACACCACTGACTGCACATAACTTCTCTCCGCTCTGCTACTCCACCGTATTCCTTACTCTCCCTCCATCTCCCGGCCGCCGAGTTATATATAGTCCCAATTACCGCCACAGCGACATCTAGAATGTTGGAGATCACTTCGCGTCGATCTAGAAGGCCATTCACTGTCACGCTCCTCACAGGCGGCTTGTGCGCCGTGGTTCGCGTAAAAGCAGAGATCGGCATTTAGGCTCTGGCGAGTAGGAGACTCGCCCAACAGATGGCGCTATTCGTTACAATACGTAGGTGTCTCTCAGTATGTCACTTAGTATATTTAGGGAATGAAAATAAACCAATTGAAAAAAAATAAACAGCTTTATATTTTGGTTACGTAACTAAAATACAACGTCAAATAAAAAAATATGGAAACTTGGTACAAATACATTAACGTTATAAGAAATGTCTCGACATGCAAGACCCTACTTTCCCAAGATGATTTTACGTCCTGCCCCAATATTCTGTCCAGCCTGGGTGGCACCCTTGTTGGTTCCAGCTTGGAGGCCGATCATCGTCTCGCCGGCCCTCAGAGTGGCCTCGTCGAAGTCCCTTTTGTTCTCGTCAGATGGTTTGGGGCCCAAGTGGGTGCCCTTCCATTCTGGGTGTCTGTAGGTTTCCCTGCCAAGAGCGAACAAGGTGTTCGTGACTTGAGCGATGTCTTTCTTTTCCCATAAATCGACTGTTTGGAATACGTCTACGTCTGCGACGCCGTACGCTTTGATTGCCGCCAAGAAGCTGAAAGAAAAAGAAAAGGGATAAGTGCTCATAATTCAAGTTTCGCGAGAGATGGAAAAGTATCTGGACATTACAGATTTTTACTGAAGAGCTATCATGCCTGAGTATTTCAAAGACTGACAAGCTGTTAGAATTTTATCGACAAAGACGTTAGATAGCTGTCTGAATATTTCGTCACTTTGAAAACTGATTCAGAGGCAGTGGAAATACTCGTAATATCGCTGGCACATAGTGTTACAATATTTCAGAGATTCCTGCTCATTTTCAAACATTGTTCGGAGAGTCAATCTACTTGATCTAGAATATTGGAGGTGACCGCCTCGATCTAGATGGTGAGTCACTGTCACGATCCTCACAGACGCCGCCAAGCGGCTCGTGCGGTCGTGATTCGCGTGAAAGCAGAGATCGATCATTAAGCTCTTGCGAGTAAGACACTCGCCCAACAGATGGCGCCTATTTGTCACAGTATGTAGATTCCTACCGCATGGAAGTATTCACGTAAGTGTAGTTTGAACACCAACATTATTACGCTTATTATACGTATCGGGGTAGAAAATGAGGTTTTTTTTGCAATGTTCAAATACCAAATCGCTTATAGGTACCTCGGAAAATATAAATTAGACAAAAGTTGTTTGTTTTTTGTTCTGTGACCCAAAAAATCTAAGCAAACTGTATTCGGAGCGGAAAAACAATAATTTCTAGAATTTATTCATTTTTTGATGACTGTCTGAATATTTCGTCAAGTAGATTCACTCTGTTCTTACGACGCATTGGTATACAAGATACACAGACTGTCAAACCGACATAAATGAGAAACACGGTCTTGCGTAAACAACAGAAAACTTGTGAACCGGTTCAGACGCGAGTTTAATGCTTCCATCGTTTAGGTTTTAAGTAGTCGCAGATTCAGAGGCAGTGGAAATACTCGTAATATCGCTGCCACATAGTGTTACAACGTTTCAGAGATTTCTGCTCATTTTCAAACATTGTTTGAAGAGTCAGTCTGCTTGACGTCATTTGTCAGATTTTCCGCCTACCTCCTTACATTTTTTTTTGTTAAAAAGCATGATAATTCACGCTTTTTCATCCGTTCACGTATAGTCAGAATCACGAAAGATGACTATTACGTCATACCACAAATTGTATTGAAGTAATCAATGGTACGTACCTCGATGATAAAATCACGACGTCAGGAATAATGACAACAAATTTATATTATGATTTTGCGAAGTTAGGTTATTTCACCGATTATTTTTATTTTATTTCATGATTTTGAGTAATAATGATCTTCGTGTGGAGTTTTTGTTTTGAAAAAAACAGTTATGATTAGAATACATTAAGACAGAAACACCAAAGACCAAAGAGTATTATTCGAAAACAACCTAACCTGCTTTAACATAACCTATCTATACATCTGTCAAAAATGATCGATCATGCGACATGGAAATATCGTCTATCTTTGTCGGATTAATGCATATTAGCAATACAGTTTGTTTAGACAATAAAATTCTGTTTGTCTCTGTCTAGCTTATCTGAAACTTCATTAAAAATATTCACAAATCGCTGTCGTTTGTCTTTACTACAGATTAAAATGATGACGTAATCGTCATCTTTCGTGATTTCGACTATATATGATTCACATTTTGTAATATATGAGATTCCAGACTACGTTATTTTTATTTTCAGTTTTTCTGTAATCTGGGCCAAAAATAGCATTATGAATTATTGCCGTATATCTAAGAAACACCTGTACCTATGACACCTACACTTTTATTTTCGTTCCTATTATTTCAAAATTGCTGTCAGGTTGTTTTTGTTGCCGCTTTTGAGCGCGAAATACAATTATAAATGCTGTTTGAAGGAATGCCAGTCGAAAATATTTTATATGTGTTACAAAACGTTGAAGGCGAGGATTTAAATCGGCTAAAAATATAGAACTCCGCGTTTCCAAACACTCGGATAAAAATACACACAGAAGTTATAAAATATACCAACTGGAATCTGTGATGCATTCTCAAAAATAGATTTTTCATGATGATTCAGTAATTCTGGAAATAATATTTACACGATATTTGAAGTTATTTTTATCTAGATTAATTAGTACAGGAACTGTTGCACAGTTTTCATATGTTTTGGTATGTCACTTTGACAGCACAACTAGATGTTTCAAGAATATTTGAAGGGCCACGTTTCCATCTAGAAACTCCCGTAAGGTGTACGAAATTGATTTTGATGACAATGCGCTGATAAATGTCGCTAAAATTTCTAAAGGGCGTTTTTTACCAACCTATATCTCACACACTTTTACGTCAAGAAAGCTATAAGACATTTAAATTCCAAAATGGGCTCCAAACTGAAATTTGTTGTTGGTCAAAACAAATGATGCTTTAATGGTACAGAGAATAAAGAATGTTCTTGATTTAGTTTAGATAACAGTGTGGACAGACATTATGGTTCGATTGACAGCAGTTCTAATAGTGATTATAAGCAAATAACTATCGAGAATAATTAAAAAATAAGAAATAATACTGGTAGCGACATCTGTATGTAATGTCACTTAAGAACCAGTAAATGTAGCGATGTTCTCTATGTCGGCCTAGGATGCACGATGTTAAGTCGTAGTGTACTCGATGTAACTTCTAGTGGTATTGATTCTCGTTACTTTCGAATATTCGTTTCCACCCGAATATAGGGTGTCTGGCAACCCTGATGCATGGACAGTAGTGCTATAGTGATGCCAGAAACCAGCGTTGCCACTCAACGATCAACGATTTAATGCGAACCGGATACGGTAATCAAAGTAATCAATTCGTACTCGGATTGATATTCGTTACTTCGGGTATCTATGAGTAATGAGTACTCGAGTAACGAATAGTTACTTCTTGAACGCCTCTAGTAACTTCGAGTATTGGGGGGTCCGAAGAGTTTGAAAGATTAACAGATCTTCAATTGTTATTATTGAATATGTTTTGTGAAGGGTATGATCTATGGTAAGAGGGTTTATTTGATGCCAGGTTGTCAGATATACTCACTTGTTGACATTTTCCATCATTTTGAACTGTCCGCCGGATGTGTTGATTTTTGGTACTGATCCGGGCGCCAATTTGTTGATGAGTTGACATAAGATGACACCGTCTTTGAGTACATCTTCGTATAGCTGACCTGGAGGGAATTTGGCGCCCAAGACGTTCTCGATCCATTCTTGTGCTTCTTTGTCTTGTTCAGGATTGCGCTTTGAGGCAATCTGGAACGAGATTGGTATACAGTGTGTTGAAAAATGATGGCAGTAAAATTGTCGAGCAGAAATGGTTAGTTTCTATCATGACTAATGTAATTAGCAATTTGGATGGATATTCCCACGATAGTATTACCGCATAGTCAATTCCTATTATACAATCACGAAAGATGACGATTACGTCATCATTTTAGTCTGTAGTAAAGACAAATGACAACGATTTGTGAATTTTTTTATAAAGTTTCAGATATGTTAGACAGAGATAAACAGAATTTAATTGTTTAAACAGACTGAATTGCTAATTTGCATGTATCCGACAAAGATAGACGATGTTTTCATGTTGTATGATCGATCATACTTGAAAGATGAATAGTTAGGTTATGTTAAAGCAGGTTAGGTTGTTTTCGAATAATACTTTGGTCTTTGGTGTTCCTGTCTTAAGGTATTCTACTCATAACTGTTTTTTTTTTCAAAACAAAAACTCCCCACTAAACTAATTATTAAGGTATCGCTCAAAACCATGAAATAAAATAAAAATAATCAGTGAAATAACCTAACTTCGCAGAATCATAATACAAATTTGTTGTCATTATGTTCCTGACATCTTGATTTTATCATCGACGTACGTCCAATGATTAATTACTTCAGTACAATATATGATATGACGTAATAGTCATCTTTCGTGACTTTGACTATATGGTTCTGTCTCAAACCGGCCATTCAAACTTTTCCTCAACATCCAATGAACTTTCAATCAAACATCTAAGCGAAACAATTTCATAAAAAGACGAACGCACGGTCATGCCTGCAAATATCTAGGAATACTTAATGAAAAAAATTACGAAAAACATGTATTTTTGGGAAAGTATATTATCTCAGTTGTCATAGGAAAAATATCCTTATTTTCAGTTTTAGTCACTGCGCGAAATAATTTTGATTTAAATTTAGACTGTTGAAGCAGGTGTGCCTCTTTCTGGATCATTGCCAAAGTGGATAATATGAGAATATAGATAGCGTAATGAGATATCCCAGCATTTTAGTGCTTTGTAGTTTGGTTAAAATGTTTGCCAAGAAGATAATCACTCCTACTTGACGCTGCAATACTTTGAAATAAGCAGTTGAAGATGCCCTAAATCGGACCCCTAGTTTAAATAAACAAGACTAGTAGTAAAGTCGGATATTTATGAAGAGTTTCTGGATATATGAGGTTTGGGTAGAAAAAGTATTGGAAGTAATTATGAGGTTTATTTTAAGGCACGTAATTCGGTAGAACATTTTCCCGAGTTGAAAGAGTAAAAGTTCGAACATTTTACTTAAATTAACATTAAGTAGGCAGGTACATAAAAATTACAGAAACATTGACAAATTAAAATGAAACAGAACTTATCGCAACTAAAAATTACATGAATTGCAGTTGAAAACACAGTATTCTTCTCGCGTATAATACACATTTTTTTCTGTGACGGGAAACACGGGAATATTCAAAATTTATGTTACAATATTTAGATCAGAAAATTATGTTGTACTTATAGCGACAATTAGACCTGCGTTGTTAAGGAAACTTCTAAAATAATCAAGTAGCTGTCAATTTAATTTTGTGATTTGATTTAAAAATTGTAAACATAGTGGTTGTTTAGAAGTTATTTTTAATACCATAAAGTAAAAAATGTCCGAGTATTCTTTGACTCCACCGGAATTAGTAGAAGTACAAGCCAAAGTCGCGTCACAAAAATTATTGCCAGATAAATCGTTTATACAATATCCCGGAAAAAAGTACTCATCTTTTTTTCCCCGGGAAAAAAGCAATATCATAAAAAGTGACATTTTGTTACCTGTCAACAGACATAAAATGTCAAACTTTTTTCTCGTCACAGAAAAGAAAATATTTTTTCAACAAAAGACATTTGTGCAAAAATCAGCACTACGCTTCTTGTTGAAATATTATTATGCCCCTATGATATTATTTTTGAGCTGGGTATTGAGGGCCGTATCGTCAGTTGTTCCTACAATATTGTAGACGCCTTTATGGCCTCCTTGATTTTCATTTCATGGTTTTCTACTCTTCCGTGTCAGCGCCCTATTTTGGGGTTATGTTACAAATATCTACCTACATCAAATTGTTCATGCTTTTGATTTATATAATGTCTTATCAGCTTGAAATTTCCTACAATTCAAGAAGTAAACATAGCCCGACAATAGGAGAGCGCTGACGCTGACACGGATCAGTAGAAATCTAGAAATATTTCAGTCTTACTGAAGGAGATGAAATACTATGAAAATCAAGGAGGCCGTAAAAGCGTTCTACAATTCTAGGAACGACTGACGATACGGCCCTTAGCTGCTATTCAAATCGTTAACACAACGGCGGTTCGGTTTTAGGCATTTTCCTCTATGAATAATTAATTTTGGAATCGTTCAGTTCTTCTAAAAGCAGGCACGTCAATAAAAACAAACAAAAACCTACCTTGGCCGCTACTTGACGCTGCAGAGACATTTTTTGTGAGTGGGCGGTCCTCGAAAGTTCTCAACAACGATAACAACCGACTGGGTTTCGACTGGCGTATCCCGTCTCAATATATACGAAAAAGCTCGCGTTTTCAGAAATGCCTGCCCGCCACGTCACACTCCCGCTAATTTTAGAAAGTTATTCAGTTTTTCGTTATCAATTATTCTTTCTGCCAGCGTGGAGCGTAAGCACCGCCTTCTGGATGCTTCGATTGTCGCCAGGATGGACTTATATGGCGTTTTTAGCCCTCGACGCATTGGCGTACGCGGAAAAAAGTTCTAAGGTATCCATGAGATTATCTTAGCTCATTATTTTTTGTTTAGATACTTATTTTTGCCTAAAATGCTTATTTTTAACACGTTTGTATTAGCTTGGCCTGTATATATGTATAAGTATGTAATGGAATCTTTGAGCATAATTTTCACCAATTTCCAAAAGTCTGATTAATTTGAAACTTTGCACACGTATCAAGGACCGAGTAATTTGTGCTTTCTATATTAAATGTTTGAATGTTTCTATTGGAGAGGAGAGTTGTGGAAAATTAGTAAAATGTACCCCACGCTTTTGACTATGAAATGAATTATTCTGTTAATAACTTAGATTTTATTATTATGTTATTTTGAGGTCATTAATTATGATTGATTGTTCGACCATCTACTACTGTAATATAAACTCTTGGAATTAAAAACTATGTTCTACTTTTTAGTTTGGTTAGCTATAAAAGCGTGTTTTTTTTTAGTTTTTTCAAACTATCATTATTTTTTCTGATTATTTTGGAATGTATCACGATGCAGTGAGCCTCCTCCCTTATACTTAGTAGTCGATATACGGTGTATTGTTGGAGCAGGAGGCAGCCCCCCTCTGTCCATTTGTATAGGAGGATTCGACGATGGTATTGATGATAAACGTGAGAAAACAGTAATCCCACCTTACAAGCGTTCGAAGTACTACCCTGTACCTTTTCACTTTTGTTACGAGGGTAGTACATAAACAACTTAACAAGGGCTTCAATGTGTTTTGGTACTGATCATAAAACAATATAATAATTTCCATGATATCTCTCAATTATATTATTAGAAATTATAACACATTGCATGGGGGAAGCGGTAGCGGTAGCTTCCTACTATATGGAAGTCACACCCATGTTCATAACCAGAGGAACGGTAGCTTCCTAACGCTTGGAAGTCACGCCTGTGTCTATATTTGGGGGAACGGTAGCTTCCTAACACATGGAAGTCACGCCTGTGTCCATATTTGGGGGAACGGTAGCTTCCTGCCACATGGAAGTCATACCCATGCCCATAACCAGGGGAACGGTAGCTTCCTAGCGCATGGAAGTCACGCCTGTGTCCATATTTGGGGGAACGGTAGCTTCCTACCGCATGGAAGTCACGCATGTCTCCATACTCGGGGGAACAGTAGCTTCCTGCCGCATGGAAGTTACACCCATGTCCATAATCAGGGGAGCGGTAGCTTCCTAGTGCATGGACGTCACACCCATGTCCATAACCAGAGACGGTAGCTTCCTAGTGCATGGAAGTCACACCCATGTTCATAACCAGGGGAACGGTAGCTTCCTAACTCATGGAAGTCACGCCTGTGTCCATATTTGGGGGAACGGTAGCTTCCTAACGTATGGAAGTCACGCCTGTGTCCATATTTGGGGGAACGGTAGCTTCCTAACGCATGGAAGTCACGCCTGTGTCCATATTTGGGGGAACGGTAGCTTCCTAACGTATGGAAGTCATGCCCGTGTCCATAACGAGGGGAACGGTAGCTTCCTAGCGCATGGAAGTCACGCCTGTGTCCATATTTGGGGGAACGGTAGCTTCCTACCGCATGGAAGTCACGCATGTCTCCATACTCGGGGGAACAGTAGCTTCCTGCCGCATGGAAGTTACACCCATGTCCATAATCAGGGGAGCGGTAGCTTCCTAGTGCATGGACGTCACACCCATGTCCATAACCAGAGATGGTAGCTTCCTAGTGCATGGAAGTCACACCCATGTTCATAACCAGGGGAACGGTAGCTTCCTAACTCATGGAAGTCACGCCTGTGTCCATATTTGGGGGAACGGTAGCTTCCTAACGTATGGAAGTCACGCCTGTGTCCATATTTGGGGGAACGGTAGCTTCCTAACGCATGGAAGTCAGGCCTGTGTCCATATTTGGGGGAACGGTAGCTTCCTACTGCATGGAAGTCATTTCTGTGTCCATACTCGGGGGAACGGTAGCTTCCTAACGCATGGAAGTCACGCCTGTGTCCATATTTGGGGGAACGGTAGCTTCCTACCGCATGGAAGTCACGCATGTCTCCATACTCGGGGGAACAGTAGCTTCCTGCCGCATGGAAGTTACACCCATGTCCATAATCAGGGGAGTGGTAGCTTCCTAGTGCATGGACGTCACACCCATGTCCATAACCAGAGATGGTAGCTTCCTAGTGCATGGAAGTCACACCCATGTTCATAACCAGGGGAACGGTAGCTTCCTAACTCATGGAAGTCACGCCTGTGTCCATATTTGGGGGAACGGTAGCTTCCTAACGTATGGAAGTCACGCCTGTGTCCATATTTGGGGGAACGGTAGCTTCCTAACGCATGGAAGTCACGCCTGTGTCCATATTTGGGGGAACGGTAGCTTCCTACTGCATGGAAGTCATTTCTGTGTCCATACTCGGGGGAACGGTAGCTTCCTAACGCATGGAAGTCACGCGCGTGTCCATGATCAGGCGAACGGTAGCTTCCTACCGGATGAAGGTCACACCTTTTATAGAAATACCATGCACTATGGAACGGTAGCTTCCTATTGCAAGGAAATCACACTCGACATGGATACCTTGATAATCTGATGCTTATAAAACTTTTTCAAAAGCTTTTACGACACAGGATATTATTGATATTGGTATATAATTATTAACATTTGTTTTTTCCCTGATTAATGTATCGGCATTATATATATTTTTTTCGAAATTGAGGGAAATATGCCGGATTCAAAGCATTTGATTGATTAGGTAAGTTCTGTTATGTCTTCAGCTATAATTTTCAAATGCTCGCTTTTTTCGATTTTTTATCATATACAAAGATAATAAAACTAAAATATCCCAATCTTCAATCCAATTTTTATTGAAATTTTCTTTACATACATAAACTTATGTTGTAATGGACTAGACAAGTAGTGCTTGACAGTTCTATACACACAATTTCTTAGACTAACATAAAAATACACGCATATATACAATATTTACAAAAATCAATTGAATCTACATTTCATAATTATATTTTTTATAATTTTTACATAGTCCTTCATTTGATACTAATTGCAATTGTCAACTTAGAACTTACTTAACAATTCTCTACATCACAAAATTCCATTTCTAAATCAAAATATTGGGGAATGCTATCAGAAAAAATACGGTAGTGCCTGCACAAGAAAAGACTAATCAAAATTGTTCTTTAATGCTGAAGGAAATTATATTGTAGCATCCTGTATTATAACAACATTTTATTCAAAATTCGATACGTAGAAGTGTCGTAAAAATAAACAACTTATTAAAGACATTTTTTAACTGTCAAATTCAAATCTGATTTTATTCGATATCCTACCTGATTTTATTACATTGACGCGTATACCTTCGATGAAAGAGCGAAATTTTCCAAAATAAAATATTTGACCGTATACTAATGTTCGTATGAATCCATACCACTGCTTGAGACGGATTTTCTGTTTCTGTTCCGAAACATTCGTATTATCTTAAATATATGCGCAATCTTTCTGGATCTCTCGACCCGAATATTTGGGATAAAAATATTTACAAACTGTGTCATCACGATATGGGCTGCAGAAACGTCGGAAGAAATCATTTCAAATTAGACGAGGCAATACATGTTGCTGGAGCACATTTTGAAATCGATTTTTCTCATAATTGCGTTTATTTCATTATATATATATATATATATATATATATATATATATATATAGGTGAAAAATTAAAGCTTCCGCCTTTTGTTGGGTACTTCGACAAAATTTAAGCAAGGAGGACTCTTTATACTTTTTTATTCTCTCTAGCTTTCAATGGTCTTTGCCATCATCATCAGGAGCTGCAGTTACATTGATAACAGTAGCAACAATAGTGTAAAATGAATTTAAATTAACTTACAGTAGTATGTGAGGATGTTGCTAATTGTTGTTTAGGTTAAGGATGAGGGAAACACCCAGTAACATGGTGAGAGCTGGATACATGGTACAATGATTAAAATTATATAAAATATGACAAGACAAGTTAAAGACAGATTAAAAATTATTTAGAAAACATTAGAGCATTACGTCGTGAAGCCACTTGATGATTGCACAAAATGGTGGTCATGGAATAATGAGTGAGATGAACCTTTGACAGAAGGCCGAAGGTTGTCAATGTCTGTGTTGAAAGATGGAACGAATTGTGGGCGTGTGCCAAAACGTTGCCAAATCACTTCAGATGATGTGATTTTCAGAATGTTATGGAAGAAATTGTTAAACCGACAATAACATTCACCTAACTGGTTTAGACGACAATGACCACGTCTCAAGTTATATATATATATATATATATATATAGGTGAAAAATTAAAGCTTCCGCCTTTTGTTGGGTACTTCGACAAAATTTAAGCAAAGAGGACTCTTTATACTTTTTTAATTCTCTCTAGCTTTCAATGGACTTTGCCATCATCATCAGGAGCTGCAATTACAATGATAACAGTAGCAACAAAAGTGTAAAATGAATTTAAATTGAATCAACTTACAGTAGTATGTGACGATGTTGCTAATTGTTGTTTTCGTATAGGATGAGGGAAACGTCCAGTAACATGGTGAGAGCTGGATACATGGTACAATGGTTAAAATTATATAAAATATGACAATACAAGTTAAAGACAGATTAAAAATTATTTAGAAAACATTAGAGCATTGCGTCGTGAAGCCACTTGATGATTGCACAAAATGGTGGTCATGGAATAATGAGTGAGATGAACCTTTGACAGAAGGCCGAAGGTTGTCAATGTCTGTGTTGAAAGATGGAACGAATTGTGGGCGTGTGCCAAAACGTTGCCAAATCACTTCAGAGGATGTGATTTTCAGAATGTTATGTAAGAAATTGTTAAACCGACCAGAGGCAGTTGAATAAACTATATTTTAATTAATGGGAATTTTAAATTAACAATTATTAATAAATCGTGAGAAGAGAATTATTAGATTTTGAGTGGAATGAAATTTGTTGGTGGAATCTAATAATTCTCTTCTCACGATTTATTAATAATTGTTAATTTAAATTCCCATTAATTAAAATATGGTTTATTCAACTGCCTCTGGTCGGTTTAACAATTTCTTGCAAACATTCTGAAAATCACATCATCTGAAGTGATTTGGCAACGCTTGGCACACGCCCACAATTCGTTCCATCTTTCAACACAGACATTGACAACCTTCGGCCTTCTGTCAAAGGGTTCATCTCACTCATTATTCCATGACCACCATTTTGTGCAATCATCAAGTGGCTTCACGATGTAATGCTCTAATGTTTTTTAAATAATTTTTAATCTGTTTTTAACTTGTTCTTGTCATATTTTATATAATTTTGACCATTGTACCATCTATCCAGCTCTCACCATGTTACTGGACGTTTCCCTCATCCTATACGTAAACAACAATTAGCAACATCCTCACATACTACTGTAAGTTGAGTCAATTTAAATTCATTTTACACTTTTGTTGCTACTGTTATCATTGTAATTGCAGCTCCTGATGATGATGGCAAAGTCCATTGAAAGCTAGAGAGAATTAAAAAAGTATAAAGAGTCCTCTTTGCTTAAATTTTGTCGAAGTACCCAACAAAAGGCGGAAGCTTTAATTTTTTTATATATATAACAAGTAGTTTATTTTTCCTTTTCAAAAAAAGTATGTCAAATTTGGTTCCTTTCCGCTACAACGAAGATTATGATTACTACTAAGCTTTTACATTTGGGCAAGGTCTTGATTAATTTTATTATTAGCCGTTTCCAAGCCATTACTCCTAAATGAATAGAAAATCTGAGTATCGTCCGCAAAATATTATATGCTGCATGATTTAACCTCTATTTCTAAATTTCTTGTTAATAATGCGCTACGGATTTTGGCCTCGTCCAAGTTCGATTTTTCCTAATCGAGGAATTCTTCCACGATCCGTGACCATGACAATAACTTTCTGAAGCGTCTATTTTAGTGCGTAAATCCATCATTCCACACTCCCTGCGAGTTCGTTAGTAAAAATAGCCGAACATTCGAATAGTGTGAAAAACATTAGACACATCTTCTGCGAGTACAATAACACTGTTAACACCGATGGTCCGATTTTCCAAAGCTATTTCATCCTTGGCATAGCAGTAACCTTGTGCCGAAATAGGCGGTTATAAACATGAGCGTACAGAGCGTTTAAAGATTCAAAAAACCTAATATCTCAATTTCAAAATAATTTAAGAATCTACAGGGTGGCCAATATACAGTCTGCGAGAGGTTGTGAAATCTCGAAACCGGAGATACTACAGACCAAAATATGTGAATTGACCTGAACATACCTCAGTCCAAAAGCTGATAGCTGATATATATATATATATACAGGGTGACTTCGAAGTTGAGTCATTTATTTTAACAGTGAGTAGATCTGATCAAAAGAAATGTTTTTTCCTTTAACATTTTTGTGGTAAAATTAAAGTAACAAAGTTATAGCCCTTTAGAAGTTTGAGTACCGCCCTGTCTCAATAATAATATTATGTGCTTGTGTTTGGCGACAACGGATATACTCCGCCTTATCGGTTCATCTCATCGGAAACAAAAAAGCGAAAGAATTTGAAACGCTGATCACGATGTTTTTATTCAGTCTGTGTCAGTCGGTAACGCTTGAGTGAATAGTGGTGTTTGCGTGGCTGAAACGAAATAAAAAAATGGCACATATTTATGCGGATCGGTTTCCCAATCGAGTGCAACCAACCCCTCGTGCCTTTGTTAATCCAAGACCTCACGATCAAATACAGGTCCGCACTGAAATACTTGTCGGGAGGATACTTTATAAAACAAGGTAAAAAAAAAAATTAATTTTTTTTTATTTTTACACACATATTTTGGTTTATCTTCCTTCTACAATCATTATCTGAAAATTAATGACTCAACTTCAAAGTCACCCTGTATATACTATATACCCTGTACTATACTATAAAGCAGCTGAACAACAATGTTACGGAAGCGATTGAAAATATTCCTCCCGAAATGTGATGGAAACTGTCTGACATTATTTTTCACACATAATTTCAATAAAAGATTAAGATGAAAAAAATGGACGTACTTTATTTCATTTTACAAAAGTTACAAGCCAGTCAGTTACGTATCGGCCACCCTGTATTATTACGTTTCTCACTCAACAGAAGCTCAACGTTTCTTCAGCCCATATTATGATGTCGAACATAGTGAGATCGACATCTAAAACAAATGATTGGCCGCAGTCGGTTTGAGGTGATCGCCGAGGAGGTAACTGGCTGCGCCTCCTGCAGCCGCCCCTAAAAGTGACGTGAACGGCGACGAAAGGGCGGCGTGGTGGTGGGACTGCAAATGGCTCGGCTGATGGTGAGATTGCAGCACCTGAAAAGAGGAGAATATTATATTTTTGCATGCAAACAGTCTCAAAAATAAAAACTAAACTGCATCTCGGGAAGTGGGGTTCATATGTAACATCATTTTCAACGTCTTAACCTAGAGAAGGTTTAGGAAGGTTTACACTACTTTACATAGCGAGGACGAGCGCCGTTTTGCTGGAAATATATATATTGTACCAAAAAACGTCGCGGCCCCCCAGCAGAGGTCTCTGTAGACGGCAATCGTGTACCATGGACAACTTCTGCCAAGTACCTCGGTGTCACCCTTGATTAAGGCATGACCTGGCAGAAACATACAGCAGCCTTGAAAACAAAATTCCAAATTGCGTTTCGGCAACTATATCCTTTGTTATGTAGATCCTCCAAATTGAATTTGATAAACAAAGTTCGCCTATATAAAACGATTATTAGACCTGCCGTTACTTATGCATGTGCGGCTTGGTGTTTTCTTGCCAAGACACATACGCAAAGTCTTCAGGTACTGCAAACTACGAGGTGCACTCCAATCTGAGAAAGAACGGGGGAGTTGTGGCTTTTGTCCGCAGCAGTCTTTCCTGCTCCAGGGATCTTTCTTTGGAATCAGACCGGAAGGACATTCTGTGGCTTCGCCTCAACTCCAAAACATCACCCAAATTTATTTGCTGCCTTTATCGCTCTCCCTCGAACCATAACTGGGATGACCTACTCGAATACCTCGCCGTCCAGATCGACTTCCTGAACATCAATCACCCCGCTTCAGAGGTAGTTCTTCTCGGTGATTTCAATGCCCATAATGAGCTTTGGTTGGGCTCAAATAAGACCGATGCAGCAGGTCGTGCAGTCGAAGCGTTCGCTCTTACTCAAGGGCTGACCCAGCTGGTGACGAGCCCTACTTTTTTCCCCCGCGTCTCGTCACACGCCAGTAGCCTGCTGGATCTCTTTCTGACCACGCATCCTGCCCCTTACAGCACTGCCGTCCTGTCCCCCCTGGGTAACTCAGATCACGGTGTTGTGGAGGTTAGGTTTCGGTCAGAAGCCGCTGTGGCCGCAGAAACTCGCACAGGCCGCAAAACTTGGCATTACGGACATGCCGACTGGGAGGGGCTCAGAGACTTCTTCTCTAGCTTTCCTTGGAGAGATGTCTGTTTCACTGACGCGGATGCGTCGACTGTCTGTTCTTCAATAACCGAAATTATCCACGTCGGAATGGAGGAATACATCCCTCACACAGTGAAAGCTCCTAAACCAGGGTCCAACGGCTGGTTCAACAAATCGTGTGACACTGCTCGCCAGCAGAAGATCAAGGCCCACAGAACCTACTTACAAAACCCCACTGTAGAGAACAGACAAGCCGACGTCGAGTCCAGAAACAAATATAACGAAGCGGTTCGCAATGCCAAAACCCAGCATGATATAAAAGTTAGGCACAGGGTAATGTCGCAGCGCAATGGCAGTCGGTCTTTCTGGACGCTGGCCAAGCAGATTGAAAAGAACTTCTCACACAGTAGCCTTCCACCACTTACGTGCCAGGATGGAACTATTGTATTCGACTCAAAGGCCAAGGCGGAAGTGCTAGCCAAGATCTTTGCTGCCAACTCCACCATGGACGTCCCCACCAACGCCCAAGTGCCGTCAATTCAAAGGGTTCCCCACACTATGCGGGAGGTAACATTCAGGCATAAGACCGTAAGACGAGTGCTCTTGTCGCTCGACATCAACAAAGCTTCTGGTCCGGACTTGATTCCTGCCATTGTACTGAAGAGATGTGCAGCTGAGCTTGCTCCAGTTCTTTCGCGTCTCTTCCAGATATCTTATGAATCCGGCACCTTCCCAGAAAACTGGAAATTTGCTCATGTACAGCCCATCCCAAAAAAAGGATCTAAAACCGACCCTTACAACTACAGGCCTATAGCTCTGCTTTCTGTTATAAGTAAAGTAATGGAGAGGTGTATAAATCGCGAGCTTCTGGACTACCTCGAACGTCACAGCTTGATTAGCGTCAGGCAGTCCGCTTTCCGGCACCAACGATCCACAGGGGACCTCCTAGCTTACGTCACGCAACTGTGGAGTAAACTCATCCAGTCTCATGGTGAGCCTCATGTCGTTGCTCTTGACATCACGAAAGCGTTCGATCAGCTGTGGCACGCTGCCCTCTTGAGCAAACTTCAATCCTACGGCCTCCCAGAAAAGCTTTGCAGATGGGTGGCTGACTTTATCTCTGGCCGCAAGATATCCGTCGTAATTGACGGATTCTCCTCTTCATCCCACAACGTCAACGCGGGTGTTCCCCAGGGATCGGTCTTGGCTCCAACACTGTTTCTCTTACATATCAACGACCTCCTTTCCTGCACGATCAACCCAATCCACAGCTTCGCTGATGACAGCACTCTACATGCAGGAATTCAGAGTGACAAGCCGATCTCTGCCGCTGAGCTGGAAAAAAGAAGACTAGCAACGACTTCTTCTCTGACAAGAGACCTGGAGGCTATCACTGCTTGGGGACGCAACAATCTTGTACAGTTCAATGCTTCCAAAACACAGTACTGTACTTTGACGAACAAAAAGCGTCTTAGCGCTCATACAGTTTCGATGGACGGCCGAGTTCTACCAAAGAGCCATTCATTTCGGCTGGTCGGAGTCCAGATCACCGAGGACCTGATCTGGCACGAACACATCTCTTCAATAGCTGCAGCTGCTGGGAAAAAGCTAGGCTATTTGTTTAGGGCTAAGAAGTACTTTTCTCCGCATGACCTTCTCACTCTATACAAGGCCCAGATAAGGCCTAACCTCGAGTATTGCTCACTCATTTGGGGTGCTGCCGCCCCGACTACATTGTCCATGCTCGATGCTGTCCACAGGAGGGCGGTCCGACTGATCGATGACTCTTCTCTAACAGACAGTCTCGGGACTCTTTCGCACCGGCGGGCCATCGGCGATCTAGCTCTTTTCTATCGCTACACCAACGGGCTTTGCTCCTCAGAGCTCTCTTCCATGATGCCGCCGCGCGATGTACCTGCCAGTCAGACCCGCCTGACTTCGGCATCCCATCCTAACCGTGTCAAACTTCGTACATCCAGAACTGGCCGATACGACCGCTCCTTTATCCCGAGGGTATCTAGATTGTGGAACAAACTACGGGAGGAAGCTTTTCCCAGTTCTACTAACCTTAGGCAGTTCAAAAATCGTATTAACAAAATTTCTTTGGGATCATCATAGCAGCCGCGGTGTTCCGGCATTTAGGCTTCTGCCTGCGAGGCTGTTTCGATATAAAAAAAAAAGTAGAACTTTGCGAACAATTTGCAACGCTCCATGGTATGTCTCAAACGAGACGCTACACAGAGACCATGAGGGATTATGTCAAACCTCAGGCGCAGCGACGTTATAGTCAGGCGGAATCGCACAGCAATCCTCTGTTGCGAGACTCAGTGGACTACACAGTGGAGTAAGTTCGTAATCCTTGAAGGCCGCTCGCACTGCAATAAAAAATTAGTGCGAACTTTTAGTAAACTTAAAATTACAAAAAAAACCTAGGTGTCTCCTCTTAAACTAAACACTTGTTTTTCTTTGCTCTTCTCCATGTTTCTTCTCTTTCCCTTTCACTTTTTCCTTGACATTGCCTGGTTTCTGGGCAACCAGTACTGACAGATTCGACTAACGTACATTAGACAGTGACTAATGGGCAAAGGTCCTACGGACCGCCCAGACAAACGAATGACGGATAGTAGCAAATTAAATTCTTTCTGTCGCTCAGCAACAAATAACTAAGCAGGTATAACAATAAATGCAGTTCGCTCAGGATATCTGTGTTGACGGAAAGAATGCGGAAGAAATTCAGGTTGTTATTTGGCTGTTGCCACGTCTAATCTTACAAATTGTACTCGTACTGTTGGCGCCATCTGTCGGGCGAGTCTCCTACTCGCCAGAGCCTCATGGCCGATCTCTGCTTGTACGCGAACCACGACCGCACAAGCCGCTTGGCGGCGTCTGTGACGACCGTGGCAGTGACTCACCTTGTAGATCGACGCGAAGTGACCTCCAATATTCTAGATGCCGCTTTGTGGCTCGCCAGACCTTTCACGAAGCAGCAATGGGGACTATATATAACTCGGCAGAGCAGAGCGGAATGGAGTATAGTGCAGTCGATGGCGACATAAGAATTAGTCAGACATAAATAGTGGTGTATATAAATGTTCTATCAAGTTAAATAAATTAGCGCATTTCTTTTTGTGGAATCCAGTGTTTAAATCCACGCCCGACAGAACCCAGAAAAACGCTACACTATTTAAATGTTTTCATTTGCTGTAAACAACATGATTGAACAATATAAAAGGTGTCTATACATAATTTTTTTTCGGAATACATTCAGAGATTATGAGAAAACCCTATAGAAGAAATTTTCCTTTTTTGATATTTTAAAATACCTAATAATAATGCTCTTGAAACAGTAGTTGACTATCCACATATCACAATCATTCGACTACATCCAGTTTTTCATCATTAATCATGAGCCTACTTGTATTGACCTGAATGTTTCCCTATTGACTTACATTTTGTTCTATCATATTATTGTATTATTCACACGAAAATACCTTATTAGCTTGTTGTACCAAGAGGGCGGTGTTGCAGGAAGACGCTTGAGATGTCGGGCTCATCGATGACCATTTGTTGTTGTTTGAAATATGGTGATGATCGTCATTTCCTAACGCACTGCCTCCTCCACCACTGCCTGGCTGCTGTTGGCCCTTACCTGAAAAAAAATCCTATTTTCAGACACCCAAGTACGAGGCTTGTTCAACTTAAAACCCATTTTTGGTCAGGTGATTCTTGGAAACAATTCTAATCACTGACGTTTTACAATATTTGTGTTTGTAAACGATACACTGATCAGTTCCTGTCATCTGTATTAAAGTTTAATGTTCAACCTTCTGCAGGCAAGGTCATGTTAACATTTTTGTTTTCGACCATGAAGGACCCTTACCCATATTGTAACGAATAGTAATGTTGGCGCCATCTGTCGGGTGAGTCTCCTACTCGCCAGAGCTTTATAGCCGATCTCTGCTTTTACGCGAACCACGACCGCACAAGCCGCTTGGCGGCGCCTGTGAGGACCGTGGCAGTGGATCGCCTTCTAGATCGACGCGAAGTGACCTCCAATATTCTAGATGTCGCTCTGTGGTTCACCCGGCCGTTCTTGAAGCAGCAATTGGCACTATATATAATCCGGCGGCCGGGAGATGGAAGGAGAGAGTACTGAATACGGTAGAGTAGTAGAGCGGAGTGGAGTATAGTGCATTTCTTTTTGTGGAATCCAGTGTTTTAATCCACACCCAAAAGAACCCAGAAAAACGCTACAATCGCAAACCTGTATAATGAAACATTGAACAATCTCCATCAAGCAATAAGATGAAAAAGTCCAGAGAAGCTCTCACGTGGTGTCATTTATCCGATAAACGACCAATATCTCAGCAGTTCCTGTTCTTATTCATATTTATATTCGGTTATTAAAAAAGAATATTTTCTCTAGCAAATTGGCGTGGGTAAAATGCATATCCAATTTTCCACTCATAAACTTTTGATATGGATCACCGATGCGCTATGATGTTGATAATGGGATTCTATGTTTATTAAGTGGAGTTAAAAGTTAAAATAACATTGCGTGGGAGTGATGTTTATGTTATTTCGGTAAATCGTGCATTGCAGCATGTAATGCAGGTCATTACGAACCGGTCTGAAAATAGAACTGACGCTGCATACACCACTGGAGTCAGATATAAAATTGAGCGAAAAAAGTCCGTGGAATCGCGTATTGAAATCAGTTCTCCGTTTATTGTTAATATCTTAATTCTTATATTGATCCAACTCTGGTACGTCCAGAGTTCACCATGAGTGTGCTGGAAGAATCTACGACGCACTTTAAAACAGGTGAGGCATCAGGACTAGATCGTGAAAGCGCTGATTAAAGAGATACCCGAAATCGCGCTGTTCGTGATGGATGAATGCTTGAGAACGGGAGTCTTTCCGAAGAGGCGTGAGGAGGCTGGTTTGGTAATCATCGCAAAACCTCCGAAACCCACCTATAGGGAAGTCAGATATAGACAACTGTGTATGCTGAGTCGCAGCCATCTTCAACTGACAAGCCATGCTGATGAAATTTGGCAACACTGCATAGTAGTCCGATTAATTGTATTCTGTATCTGTAGCAGTGTTACCAGGTCTATCGATTTTTCGGTAGATCTACCGATTTTGGTCCTGGTCTACCGAATTACCGATTTTAAAGCAAAATCTAACGAAAACTTTTCCTTCAAGTGCATAATTTCTGTTCCCTATATAAGAGAAATATCTCTGATGCATATCCAATTTTCCACTCATGAACTTTTGATATGGATCATCGATGCGCTATGATGTTGATAATGAGCTTCTATGTTTATTAAGTGGAGTTAAAAGTTAAAATAACATTGCGTGGGAGTGGTGTTTATGTTATTTCGGTAAATCGTGCATTGCAGCATGTAATGCAGGTCATTACGAACCGGTCTGAAAATAGAACTGACGGTGCCATACACCACTGGAGTCAGAGATATAAAATTGAGCAAAAAAAGTCCGTGGAATCGCGTATCGAAATCAGTTCTCCGTTTTTCGTTAATATCTTAATTCTTATATCGATCCAAGTCTGGTACGTCCAGAGTTCACCATGAGTGTGCTGGAAGAATCTACGACGCACTTTAAAACAGGTGAGGCATCAGGACTAGATCGTGAAAGCGCTGATTAAAGAGATACCCGAAATCGTGCTGTGTGTGATGGATGAATGCTTGAGAATGAAGAGGCGTGAGGAGGCTGGTTTGGTAATATCGCAAAACCTCCGAAACCCACCTATAGGGAAGTCAGATATAGACAACTGTGTATGCTGAGTCGCAGCCATCTTCAACTGACAAGCCATGCTGATGAAATTTGGCAACAATGCATAGTAGTCCGATTAATTGTATTCTGTATCTGTAGCAGTGTTACCAGGTCTACCGATTTTTCGGTAGATCTACCGATTTTGGTCCTGGTCTACCGAACTACCGATTTTAAAGCAAAATCTACCGAAAAGTGGACTTTTCCTTCAAGTGTATAATTTCTGTTCCCTATATAAGAGAAATATTTCTGTTGCCGCACGTTTGGCAATATTTGAGGAGTAATTTGAAGGTACTCATTCACAATTCTTTGTCGCAGGTCTTCTAATGATGTTGGATGAGTAGCATATATTTTGCTTTTTAAATGACATAAAGAAATCCAAAGGTGATAAATCTGGCGATCTAGGGGGTCATTCAATGGCACCTCTTCTACCAATCCATCGATCTGGAAACGCCTGATCTAAATATTGTCGAACACGTAAATCGTAATGTGGTGGGGCACCATCCTGTTGAAACATCAACCTATTCGCAATACAAAAACAAAAAGTAAAAACATTAGTGAAACGTAAAACAATTTCATTCTATCAATATTTTACTGTTTGTTATTTTTTGTTTTTTATAATTACATGGAATTGTTTTTTGTTTTACTACTGTTTTATTTTTTGTTGTTTATTATACTTTTTATTTTACTGCTGTTTGTTATGTTTTGTTTTATACTTGGTAAGAATCACTTTTAATTTTACTACTGTTGTTTGTTTCAGTTTTTTGCTTTTGTGTTTAATTAATATAAATGTATATAAATTTTCCACTTTTCATATTTTTCCCTAAATATGGAGCACAATCCGGCAACACCGCAGGCAAGCGCCTCTCATATATGACGTATCCACAAACGTCAACGTCATATGGTAGATGGCGGTGGAAATGCTGGGAGGAAATAGCTGCTAAAAAATACAGTGTTTTGGGAAAAAAATGTCATGAAAAGCGTGCTCCATCCACACTTTTTATGATTTAAAATAATCTATTAGGCTACGTTCTATAAGTTTCAAGTGAAAAAACAGTGAAATCCGAAGTTCTACAAGACGCAACAGTACCGGTTTTAGAAAGGGAAAGCCTGCCGAAGATGCACTTGGTGCAGAAAGTAAAAAGCCGGACGGATGGCAACAACCTAATTCCCAGACGCCAATGCCTTTCCATGAGATATGTATGATACGGTTAAAAAATAAAGAAACGAGAACGGGAATCGGCAGCAGTCGGAAACGAAGCAACGATCCATCATAAAAGTAAGTTGTTCCCGATCGAAGGAGACAATATTATTTTTATATTTCAATGATAAATCTAAGGGGCAGCTGGCGAACGTCGCTTCGATCCGCGTATGATATTCATTTTCGAACCAAGGGAATATCGTTTTCTTTCTCTCTTTCTCTCGTCATTTCTCTCGTTCTCCTGGAAAATTATGGGCTGGATCCGGAAAATTCGTCATTTCGCATCAGCGAGAAAACGGCGATTTTCATCAGAATTGTTCATACAAAGCGTGCCATTTTTCATGTACGGCTCTCAATAACAGGCCCAACGACGCAATTTGCGATATACGAGGGTTGTCTTACAAATACGATACAGATACGAAATTAGTGAGGTCGTCCGACTTTTGCACGCAAAATCGGTACCACCCATAGAAATTCATCGCAACAAACGAAGGACTGAATCGAGCGAGTCATCGCCTATTCCCCTTACGAGTGGATTTCACGTCTAAAAAAAAGCGTAGAAAAAATTGCGGTTAAGATCAAGATCAACGTTTCCAATGGTAAATTCGTTTTTCGTAATAAAAAAGTTCCTTGTGCCTGAAAAAAATGTTGGAACTTTATTTTTTATTTAACGGCACCACCGCAGAGCGATTTTCAAAAACTAGAAAGCTTCATCTTTGGCATAGGTACTTCTTAAGTTATAGGTTGCTATACAATTAGCGGACAGACCGATAGACCGACAGATTGATGAAGAGGAGAATTATGGAAAATCACCACCGCGCCTGCATTGCGTGTAATTACTATAAGCATGTATATTACTTGTAATTCGACACTGTACGGTGAACATAATTGCAATATACAGGGTGACTTCGAAGTTGAGTCATTTATTTTAAGAGTGAGTAGATCTGATCAAAAGAAATGTTTTTTTCCTTTACCATTTTTCTGGTAAAATTAAAGTAACAAAGTTATAGCCCTTTGGAAGTTTGAGTACCGCCCTGTCTCAATAATAATATTATGTGCTCGTGTTTGGCAACAACGGATATAATCCGCTTTATCGGTTCATCGCATCGGAAACAAAAAAGCGAAAGAAGAATTTGGAACGATGTTTTTACAATTATTTTATTCAGTTGTATACAGTCAGTGTCAGTCGGTAACGCGTGAGTGAATAGTGGTGTCTGTTGCGTGGCTCAAACGAAATCAAAAATGGCACATGTTTACGAAAATGCTGTTTAGTTGAGCGATTCCTCCATAGATGGACGTTCACAACGATCCTAGTGAGCAAACGTGGAATGACTGTTTGCGTCCTAAAAACTGCCGAGTTTGCAAGATGACATCTTATAGGTTTTTTTACGCTTTATAGGTTTTTTACATGATATCCGTGCGGGTGTCGAACCTTTGGAACTGTGTTACTATGAAATCCTGTACGATCCGACCCTGTAGCGTCGGGCGTCGATTCCTGGTGCTGCGGCGTCGTGAGCGACGCGACGCCGGGCGTCGGTGCTCTTCCCGCTGCTCTGACATTTAATCTAGAAAATTGCCTGGTGCCGCTCATTTATTTCCATTACTGTCAACTCTTTAGCTGCCTCCTAACAGAGGACCGACGCCACGCCACCTACCGACGCGATGCCTCCCTTTATACCGAACGTCCGCTATTACCAAAACTTCCAAGTTCGGATACGAACAATTTTATGCTATATAAAGGTCCCAACAATGTTTACAGAACTAAACTGGTGGACAGTCGCTTTGCAACATGGAAAATTTTACCCAACTTCAAATATCGATATGTATTTTCTCAACGCGTTGTCAAGAACGCGTACATTGTTCGACCGGTATTCTTTTATTTATTAATTTATACAGGGTGAGCAAAAGAAGTCAGGTTTTCAGTTTGTCAGATGTCAGATTCTCAATGTTTGATCTTTGAATTTTTTCTCTGCATCGCGAAAAAAGTTAATTTATCAAATTTTTCGAAAGTTGGCCAAAACTCAAATTATCGAATTTTTAACTTTCCGCAGAGTTACACCTACTTCGTCGTCATGTTTCGATAATAAAGTTGAAATCACGAAAGATGTCGATTACGTCATCATTT